CCTAACCCTAACCCTAACCCTAACCCTAACCCTAACCCTAACCCTAACCCTAACCCTAATGGACCGTCCTCCATTTTGAAGCTAACCGTCCTCCCGCTCACTACAAAATTCAACTTTTTCTGAAGCAGACTGTCCCTCAGGTGAATACAGACGTGTCTCAGGCTTGAATTTCTTTTTGTATTTCACACCGCGTCCAAGCGACCACCCCAATGACCACCGTAAATGGAACCCCTAACCCCTAACCCTAGCTCGGAACTCCAAGCCAGACAAGCACAGAGAGCCAAGGTTGAGATAAGTCAAGACTGGCAATAGGCGAGAAGCTGGGTGGTCAAGAGAAGAACGCTGCGGTTGGTATCCTGCAGCATGATGTTGTCAGTATGGACAATCAAAGTTCCGCTCTCGGTGTCCTAAGTTGCCGACGGCTCGTTGCTGACTTTCAAGAACAGTGTTCTGTGAAGCCTAGCAGCCGCGGTCTTTGAGCTTCTTTTGTTGACACCTTCTGCACGTATAATCTAACTGCGGCCAATCCCCGCACAACTCTTGTCCCACATTCTTTTGCTTTGGAAGAACAGAAACTGCGCGACCAATTCATCGTAGCTGACTTGGCACACCGTTATAACACCTGCGCAATGTCAAGCACATACAACGTGGTTGTCATCGGTGCAGGCGAGATCAACTTTGGTGAGTCTGCAAACAGGTTCAATCAATCGAAGATGCAAAGCGCTGACAAGTGCTGAGTTTGTGGCCCCATTTCTTGCTGCTTCAGGCTCGCCCGAAGGTCCATGGAACCATTCGGCAAGGCTAGAACATATCTTCAAAGACAGCACTATTGCCCTTCGCTTCCTCGTTCTGGTAGATCCAAGCGTTGAACGTGCTGTTCAGCGGATCAGAGCGAAGCAAGCGTCAGTAGATATTGGCTGCAGATCAGCCTGGGGACCTACCGCAGTGTGCGCAAGCATTGCAGAGGCCGCCTCGTATCTGGCCACAAAGGGCGAGCAAGACGTCGACCTGGTGATCCTGGGCTGCCCGCCGCACTTTAGGGGCACGCTGGAACAAGGCAAGAGGGCTGATGTCGAGATGCTGGAGCACCTGCCCCAAGCAAGAGCATACCTTGTCGAGAAGCCTGTAGCGGCTGTCAATCCATTTGTGGACAACGACGGTGACGAGGTCGCTCGACGATTCGAAGCCACGTCAAGCTTATGCAGCGTCGGATACATGCTGCGATACAACAAGGCGATCCTCAAGATCCGCGAGACGCTGAAGGTCAATGGTCTGACACCTACATGCATCAATGCAAGGTACTTCATGGCCTACGAGCACGCCCGCAAGCTAGATTGGTGGAACAAGTCGCGATCCTGCGGACCGGTGGTAGAGCAGGCTACGCACTTTATCGACCTGATCCGATTTCTCGCTGGTGAAGAGAACGAGGCATTGCTAGACACTGTCAAAGCAACCACCGTCACGCACAACGAGACAGTGGGAACGCTATCAAAACTTGGATTCGACGAGTCTGTGATACCATCTGAAGAGAGAGTACCAAGGATCACGAGCGCCTTTTGGAAGCATGAAAAGGTGAGCATAGCAAATCGAAGCCGTCAAACATGCTGTACGAGACGATGCTGACACCGAGATTCCTAAACGGCTCCGCGCGCCTCCGACAGGGCACGATCGGGTCCCTTACGCACGGCATCACTCTGCACGGTAAGCATTGACCCAGGTCAGAGCCGCTCCAGGCGGAAAGCATACTGACGACACGCCACAAATGTTTGCACAGGCACCACATACGACACAGAGATCGAGGTGCTCGCTGATGGATGGATCCTACGAGTACGCAATGCGTACGATCCAGTCTCAACATTGGCGATACGACGCCCAGGCCAGGCAGAGGAAGAGATCATAAAGATCAAGGACGATCCCTTCCTGAGCGAGTTCGAGTGCTTGACACGAGCTACGCAGCCAGGAATTGCCGAGATGAAGGGTGGAGAGGATGTGCCGACCGAGCCGCTTAGTTCTTTTGCGGATGCACTCAAGACATACAAGCTATCATGGAAGATCCGGCTGGCTGCCGAAGAAGATGCTGCTACATCGAGATGATTTCACACGGCTCCGCCCGTGGGATCCGGGCCACGGACGTTCGTTGGGTCCGAATCCAGACGGCACACACTTGTCTGATGATGATGCTGTGACGTACAATGTGCTTGTCTTCTTTCAAGGTCGGAATAGAGCATTACAGACGATGCGAGGTGAGAATCTCAAGGAAGCGTGTAACCGCCGTCGATGAGAGTGTCGCTGCCTGTTTGATAGGATGAAGCGTCGCTGGCAAGGTAGAGGAAGAGGCCCTTGATTTCCTTGACGTGGCCTTGTCTGCCGAGCGCCGACATGCGATAGGCCTCGTTGACCACGCGCGGACTGGCACCGAGCTTGGTGTCGAAGAAGCCCGGACTGACGATGTTGACGCGTGCAAAATCCCTCCACTCTCTAGCCAGCGACTTGCCCATGTGAGTGACGGCGGCCTTGGTCGAGTTGTAGACGGGCTGATCGACGGGAACGTTGACAATGTGAGCGGACATGCTCGAAGTGATGATGAGGTTGCCCTTGCCCTGTCGCTTGAAGACCTCGCCTACGTATTTGGCACAGTAGAAGACGCCGTCGACGTTGACTTCCATCTGACGCTTATACTCGTCGACGGTCTGCTCGAGGATGGGTTTGGAGATGGCCATGCCGGCGTTGGCGACAAAGACGTCTATACGGCCAAAGTCGGCGACAACCTGTTCAATGGTGGAGCGAACCTTGTCGACTTTCGAGACCTCGCACTGGTACGCCTTTGCTCGAATCGAGTGTGCTTTTGCGAGCTCCTGGGCTTTCTGGATGGCTACGTCGTTCGAGTTGTACCAGAGAGCAACATCGGCGCCAGCTTCAGCGACGGCCTCGATGGCCGCATATCCAAGACCATCGCTTGCGCCTGTGACGACGACGACCTTGCCCTTCATGCTAAGCTGCTGGAGCACATTGGTAGGCGTATCAGGAACAGGTCGTGCCTGTCGAGCAGCAGAGCAGTCCTCGATTGTCATCGACATGGTTGCTAGAAAATTCTGAGAGCAGGGAAGTGGTGAGAGCGGTGCGAGATCGAGCAGAGATGCTTTCGCGTCGTCGAGTTGCTGGTAGTGTAGGAAGAAAGCGGAAGGTGAGAATGTGTTCTTGGCTCGACCACTTGGCGGCGAACAAGCTCGCAGAGATTGCCGACGTGCGGGGTGATGTGTAGGCTGAGTGTGCACGCTCCAGCTGCAACATTACCGGACAAGAGTGCAGCTGCAGGCTTGGGGGAGCTGACTGTACCGGCGTTGGGCGCGGGCGGATTGCTTCGGCAAGCTCGGCCAATTTGTGCGCCATTTGGCCGAGAAGAACCAGCTGAGGCGCGCAGGTGTGGAGTATCGTTTTTGAAGGATTGACGGCAACCCTCGGTAATAGAACCTCTCGTGTGATGAGAGCAGCAAAGGCAACAAGGTGGCTGCTATGCTCCTCAACGACATCAACTGATCATTGAGATTCAGATCCATACCTCAATCAGAGACTTTTTCAATTGAAAGACCCAAAGAATAGTTCGCATGCTTGCTCTCAAACGTCAGCTCAAGCCCAGAATTTCCCTCTCGTTTTAAGACACGATTTTTGTCATTTCTTTTTGATTTCTTTTTTGGCTGGTGTGTAAAAAAAGATTGGCTGGCAGCCTGTCGAACGACGATCAGTTTCGACCAGCTAGCAGCAGCCTGCTTCTGTTGTTGTGACTGACGAAGTGAAAGGCAAAGGACTGTCTACCAAGGCTAACCGCCGATCATCTGGCTGGCTCAACGCCGATCGCGATTCTGAGGCTCGCACCTTTTGCTGACATTGCGTCAGGAAATCACGGTCAGCGCAACGTACGGTGGGTGGGTGAACGAGTGCTCTACAGCATAGACGAGCCGGTGTCGGTACCGCTGAATGCATTTGTCAAAATCTGAGACTGAGTGCGTGAACGCTTCCGTTTCCGCACAGGCAATCGATAAGACGGATAGCACTTGCCGCCTAGTGCTCGTCGCCTTTCGGGTTGCATACTTCGGGAAGAGCTTATAACCGGACTCAGAACAACATGCGGTAGTGACGGAGCATGTGATCTGTCGCATGTGTAGGCGAAAGTAGCCGTAGTCGAGTAAGCTCTTATGGTAGCCGCGATCACATCATTCTGACCGTACAGAACAAGACCGACATCGCAGCTGGCAAAATACACCCTGGCTGCTAGATTTGCATTGCCGTTGAGCAATTGTGTGGCTTGCATCCGGCACGCAATCCTTTCGGCAACGAACAAGGTACAGAGGTTGCCGCTTATGCTGAGTTCGGTCTCTCCGCGGCATCAAACAAGTTAAAGTTTGCGGCCCGACAAAGCACAAGCAGCATCTTAGGTGTGCCGGAACGGAAGCATCAAACAAGGCACATCCGTGGAACAAAAGGGTCTTGTCGATCCCGGAACCGCTGTGATGTCATGCAGTCAGCAAATCTTGAGGCACTATACCAGCGTGAGAAAAGAAACATCAAAATCCCATTTGGAAATTCGCCGTTCCACGGTGTTTGAGAAAACGAAGGCCTTGGCGCGATGTCCCACAGCCGCTCCGAAGAGGCAGGCTTAAACTTGGAACAAGTGGAGGGGGTTTGACTTCGTAGCTCGCCGTACCTGCCCACTATCCAGAAGTTGCTACCGGTTGCTACAAAGTGAGAGTCTCCAAAGTGCTTTGTGCATCCCAACCAGTGCTAATTAGAGGCCAGAGGAAGTCCCGGAAGTCGGGTGACATCGAGTCACTTGCGGACTGGCAATGACTCGAAGTAGCCAGGAGCTCCTCCACGGAACAGCAATCGTTCAGCGCTGTGGAAACGCGCAGTGAATGGACATCCGGTTCCGACATTTCGTCAGAAGCCCAAGGGCTAGTGGAGGGTTGACTCGAGCTGGCAAGCGAAAAGTACTGTAAGGGGATGGCATACCGACAATGTGTAGCAAGGCGGCGCTTGCAAGAAGCGCGGTCAATTTCATGTCCGTCCCAACGTGCTGCCGGGTAATCGCCGTTCAACAGTGCGATAAGTCTGGCGAAAAAACTTTCATAGCAGGGCTGCATCCTCCACACTATCCCGAGAGAGAGATCGCCTTATCGAGCCACAAAGTTTTCTCATGGCATTTGCTTTGCCGAAGCGGCACCAGGTGCAAAACCGTAAGGCAAATAAATAATCATGGTCACCGAAGCGCCGCTGCATCACCTGTACAGTGCAAATCCTTCGTGTCCTGCTCCTACGAGTCGCAACTCCTCGCTCTCCATTCGCAGTGTTGGCAGAGCAGTCTGCATGTTTTTCCACATTTCGACCTCAGACGGAGTTTAGACGCAGTCCACAGATCTTCCCGGCAACTTGGGTGCTGGTATAACTCACCGTCATATTCGTCCCACCCGTGGTCAACCTTCGCTTTCACCTTTCACCTTCACATCCCCTCCTTCAGCATCCAGCGAAGACTGTCTTATCGTCGGATCTAATTTCGCATCCTGCCCATCGTCAATCCAGACGTTGGCAGATCAGTCCAGCGCGCCGAACCCGGCCCTTTATCCATTCAACAAAGAAAGGTTCGAGTTGACACGGTTGAATACCGCCAACCATGGCGTCCGCATCACAGCAGGCGCCCATCGTGCCTCCTCGCGAGATGAAGGAGGCCGAGACAGTGCAAAACACCAGCGCAGCTCCCCTTGATCGTGTCACCAGTACCGGTACATGGGGTGAACCAGAACATGGCGAGCATGTCAACGTCGACCAAGCCATGCAGGACTTCCAGCTCGCACGACAATCATCACGCGGCTCTGCGACCAGTGTCGGCGCGTCCGCATCATCCTCTGGTCTCCGTGGCGGCTCTGCGATCGGCCGTGCTCTTAGCGGCGGCGACCGCAAGAAGCAGCCAAAGATCAACGAGAATGAACTCGATCTCGAAAACGTCCCTTCTGAAGACGCCTACGAGAACGACTTCGATCTTGGCAAATGGCTTTTGACACGCAGTGCACAGGCCAAGGACGAGGGCATCGACGATGGAAAGCCTGTTGGAATGCTTTGGAGGGACATCTCCATCACTGCTCCTGGCTCTGGCGGAGGCGGCATCTTTGTAAAGACCCTGCCCATCGCCATCTCCAACACCGCCTGGAGAGATCCCATCGGCGTCCTCACCACTCTGATTCCACCGCTCTCCAATCTCTTTGCCCCCCGCAACATGCCCACCACCACCCTTCTCCACAGCTCAAGTGGCATTCTCAAGCCAAGCGAGATGCTCCTCGTCCTCGGTCGACCAGGCTCCGGTTGCTCCACCGTGCTCCGTGCCATCACCTCCAAGAACCATACCAACGTCTCTGCTTCAGGCAAGATCCTTTATGGAGGTCTCTCTCCCGACGAGATCAATCGCAAGTACCGAGGTGAGGTCGTTTTTGTCGACGAGGAGGACGTCCACTTCCCCACCCTCACCGTCGGTCAGACGCTTGAGTTTGCCCTCAAGAACAAAGTTCCTCATCGATCACGCCGACTCAAGGGCGAGTCTCGCCAGCAGTTCATCGAGACTTGCATCGATGTCATGCTCAAGATGTTTGGCATGACCCATGTCCGCGACACCATCGTCGGCGACCAAGCCGTTCGCGGAGTATCTGGAGGCGAGCGAAAGCGAACAACCATCTCCGAGGCTCTCGCCACCCGCGCCAGTGTCATTGCCTGGGATAATTCCACACGGGGTCTCGATGCCTCCACCGCGCTTGACTATGCACGCTCTCTTCGCATCATCACCGACCTTGCTCAGCGCTCCACCATCGCTACCCTATACCAAGTCTCTGAAAGCATCTTTGATCTCTTCGACCGTGTCGCCGTCATTGATCAGGGCCGATGCATCTATTACGGTCCACGTAAGCTTGCTCGTTCTTACTTCTACGAGCTCGGCTACGATACGCCTGACCGTCAGACCACTGCCGATTTCGTCACGGCCCTCACCGACGTCAACCAAGTCGTCTTCCGTCCTGGCATGAGGGACCGTGCACCCAAGACGGCCGAAGATCGCGAACGTGTATGGAGGTCCAGCAGCCTCTATCGACAGCTCGAAGGCGAGATGGAGTCCTACGAGCAACATTTGGCTCAGTCAGAGCAAGCCGACCAGCTCAAGCAGACCGTCCGCTCCGAAAAGCGCAAGGGTGTCAGCAAGGGATCCAGCTACACGGTCAGCTTCTGGGATCAGATCCTTAGCTGCATCTGGCGACAGCTTCTCATCAAGTGGGGCGCAAGAGGCGATCTCTACGTCAAGCTCTTCACCATCATCTCGGTCTCTTTCATGATCTCGTCGCTCTTCTACAAGCAGCCGTTCGACTCCGAGGGTGTCTTCACTCGCGGCGGTATCCTGCTTTTCGCCTGTTTGTTCAACGGTTGGCTTCAGCTTTCCGAGTCCTTCGAAGCCGTCGCCGGTCGACCTATGCTTAGCAGACATCAGCAGTTTGCCTTCTACCGGCCCTCAGCGGTGGTTCTGGCGCGAGCTCTGGTCGACATCCCCTTCCTCCTAGTGCAATGCTTCCTTTCGTCCATCATCATCTACTTCCTTTCGAACCTGAGGAGCAACGGCGGCGCCTTCTGGATCTTTTACGTCTACTGCTTCCTCTCCTCGTACTCCTTGACCGCGCTCTACCGCATGTGCGCCGCTTTCTCGCCCGGGTTTAACGAAGCCATCCGCTTCTCGGTGCTTGCACTCAACGTCCTCATCATTTGGGTTGGCTACGTTCTTCGCAGGCCCCAGATGAATTGGCTGATTTGGCTCAGCTATGCACAGCCGATCAGCTACGCATTTGAAGGCTTCTTGGCGAACGAGCTCAACTATCCCATCAATTGCGCACCGCAACAGATCGTGCCCTTTGGCGAAGTCAGAGACGTTGCGTACCAGACCTGCTCGCTCACCGGCGGCGTACCCGGCTCGGTCGTCGTCAACAGTGCTGACTACCTGTCCACCACATTCGGATACTCGAGGTCAAACATTGGTCGCAACGTAGGCGTCATGATCGCTTTCTCTGTGCTTTATCTTATCCCGACGGTCATCGGAGCCGAAATCATGAACTTTGGTGGTGCCGGCGGTGGCGTCACCGTTTTTGCTCGAACCAAAGCAGCCAAGGCCAAGCTTGCGGCCTCAAAGCCTGCCGCGAACGATGACATCGAGGAGAAGGCCGCCATTGCAGCGAACCACCCGAGTTCGAACGATAGCAACGGTAGCGTCACTCGTGCCAACTCGCCGACTGACTCCGGCAAGAACAGTAGGTCTGACAAGCAAGTCTCGGCCAAGTCGGCGGATGAACTCGACAAAAAGGCCATCTTCACATGGAAGGACGTCTCGCTCACGTTGCCAACCGGGCGGAAGCTGCTCGACGACATCACTGGATACGTCAAGCCAGGTACCATCACGGCGCTGATGGGCGCTTCAGGTGCCGGTAAGACAACGCTACTCACTGCGCTTTCGCAGCGAGGGGTTGCCGGTGCTCTCTCGGGTGATATTCTTGTCGACGGCAAACCTCTCGGACCAGGATTCCAGCGTGGAACCGGCTTCGTCCTCCAAGGTGACATCCATCTTGCATCGCAGACCGTGCGAGAGGCGATCGAGTTCTCGGCACTTCTACGTCAGCCTGCGGAAGTTCCGCGTGAGCAGAAATTGGCCGACGCCAAGCGTGCAATCGAGCTTCTCGAGCTGGAGGATCTTCAAGATGCGCTCATCGGTGTTCCTGGTTTCGGCCTCGGTGTAGAGCGCAGGAAGCGAGTCACGATCGCCGTTGAGCTCGCTGCCAAGCCTGACTTGCTTCTCTTCCTGGACGAGCCCACCTCTGGTCTCGACTCGGCTGGCGCTGCTTCCATCGTCCGACTCATCCGCCGTCTTGCCAGCGAAGGACAGGCCATTCTCTGCACCATTCACCAGCCTAGCGCCTTGCTCTTCGAGTCGTTCGACAATCTATTGCTTCTGCAGCCTGGTGGAAAGACAGCCTACATGGGACAGATCGGCAACGAGCGAGCCAAGGGCTCCGACCGCGTACGAGAGTACTTTGAACGAAATGGCGCCCCCGCATGCCCTCCGACCACTAATGTCGCCGAATACATGCTCGAGGTGGTTGCACAAAAGTCCCAAAAGCCGTGGTCTGAGCGATGGAAGGCATCGCCCGAAGCCAAGGCGCTCCGTCAAGAAGTCGAAAGCATCAACGCCGAACGGGCAGGTCGTCCCGTCATTCAGGACTCGCGCGCCGAGCGTGAATACTCGGCTACGCTCAAGACGCAGATTGTCGAGTGCACCAAGCGTCAGTTCCGTGATCTCTGGAGAGACGCACCCTTTGCCTACGGCATCCTCTTTTCGAACATTGTCACTGGTTTCGCGGCCGGAGGTGGCTTCGCTCACCTGGGCAACTCGGTCACCGACTTGCAGTACCGCGTCTTTGTCGTTTTCCTCGTCATCCTCAACTTCCCCGCCACGGTCAACTCGATCATCTCCAAGTTCTGGGAGATGAGAATCACCTTCACGGTTCGCGAAGGTCCTTCCAAGACGTACTCGTGGATCGCTTTCATGACAGCTTTCGTGGCCGTATCGATCCCCATCGCTCTTGTTGCGTCGGTGCTGTTCTTCCTGCCTTCCTTTTTCTTGCCCTTCTATACGCAGCCGTCGACGGTGGCAGGTATGTGGTACCTGATGATCTTCCTTGTGACGTGCTACGAGATGTTCTTCTCGTTGGCGCTTGCCGCAGCTTGCCCTACACCCGTGACTGCAGCCAATCTGCTACCCTTCTTGCTGCCGTTTGTTGCTATCGTCAATGGTGTCATCAAGCCCATCTCGACGCTGCCGAAACCGTGGAAGGAGCTCATCTACGCCAATCCTCTCTACTGGTACGTGCGCTCCATGGTAGGCAACATCCTTCACGATCTTCCCGTTCGATGTCGTCAGGAGGATTTGGCGATCTTCAATCCACCTGCCAGCCAGACGTGTGGTCAGTATGCCTTGCAGTGGGTCGAGTCGGTGGGAGGCCAGCTGCTCAACCCTGACGCCAACAGCCGATGCGAGTTTTGCCAGTACCAGGTCGGCGATCAGTTTGCTGCTACGTTGGGAGCCACTTGGGGTTTCCGCTGGAAGGGTGTCGGTATCGTGGCAGGCTATACCATCGGTCAGCTGTTCTTGGCTTACGTCGCTTACTGGTACTTTACCGAGAAGGGCTACGGCATCGGCGCTGGCCTCTTCTCGGGTTTTGTTGGAAAGGTCAAACGTTTCGGCAAGGGTCGAGAGTAGAAGCTTTCCTATTTATCTAGCTGCTTTGTCGCTTTAATCTTGCATCTTCTTTCCATACAATGCTACTTACTGTCTTTGTTGCTCAAATTAGTCGTGATCGTCGAGGACTTATCTGAATGTTTAAGCAGAACACGGGCACACTTCAAACGATAGGCAACCAGCATAAATGTATATTGCTCTTGGACGAAAAGGGACCCTACGGATGGCCAGCACGAGACTGGACCAAAGCACGATCAGATTCAGGCCGAAGCGGCCTCGATGAGACTCTTGAGCGCGGCCTTATAGTCAACTGCGGGGTGTTCGTCGATGACTGCGACACCACGTGCCTTTTCATGGGCGAGAGCAGCTTCGTCGTGGATGGAATCAATGTAACCGGTGAACTGACCGGTAGCCATTTCGACAAACAATTGAGCCTGCTCGTCGAACATGCCTGCCTTCTTGAATGTGTCGAGCCACGCTTCTTGAGGGACGGGCACAGCATTGACTTTCGTGCCTGTGATCTCAGAGATGTAGCCGGCGATCTCCGGAACGGTCTTCTTCTCCGTCACGAGCTGGACCGCCGTGATGTGACCCTTCTTCGCGACATTGGCTGAAGAGGAAGGCGGGGCGATGAGGTACTTGAGTGCAGTGATAGCGATGGCGTTTGAGTCGGTCATCTGGTACGATCTGTCGAATGGGATCATCATGGACGGGAGAATATGAGGAGGGTTAAGTGCGAGTGGGAGGACGGATTTGAAGTTGGAGAGGAAGTACGGAGGTCGAAGAGCGTAGAGCTCGATGCCATCGCGCAGCTTAGCCAGGAAGCCGTTTTCTGCGATATGCACGTTGCGGATGGGTCCAGTACCGCTGCTCTTCTCGCCTCCGACCGAAGAGAGGTAGACAATCTTCGTCAGGGTAGAGCTAGAATTAGCAGCCTCGGTGATCGAATCGACCCAGGTCTGAGAGAGGGAGAAGGGGTCCTTCTCGCCGTAAAAGGGAGGGTTCATGATGTAGGCCGCCTGACTGCCATCCAAGGCTTGCTTGACGGAGTCAACATTGGCAATATCCAGAGGAGTCTGAGAGACGGTGACGTTGCTACTGCCGGCACGAAGCTTTGCGGGAGAGCGAGCAGCGAGTCGGACTCGAATGCCAGGATGTTGCTGCTGCAAGAGCTCAGCGAGGCGGACAGCGCTCGCTGAGGTTGCAGGGAAGATGCTGATTTGCGATGGTGCCGACATTTCGGAATGTATATCAAGTGCTATGCTTTGATAAACGCGGTGTGAATAGCTTTCGTATAGTAGGGCTCGGGGAGGGATCTGTGGCTTGAGATATTCTTGTGTTTGTTGGCTGAAGGAGTGATGATGACGGACTGGATTGATGGTCAGGATGCACTGATTATATAGACATGAGCATGGCCATACCGAGTGAGGTACTAGGTACGACATGATGCAAAGTACGGATCCCAGCTATCTCCTCGAGCATCGATATTGCACTGAGACCCTACTGTCGCGACACGACCTTGTCTCCGGCGAGGGAGTCACAGACAACGTTGCTCAACAGAGCAACTTCAAACGGCTATGGGAGGTTTCCGGAAGGACGCGAAAGTGGTGGTATCGCTAAACACCGAGCGGAGTAACGCGCAACGTCGGTGCTAAGCGAGCAACGTGGTGCTGTGGAGAAGAAGTCAATCAAGCATGTCCATGGCTTGCTCGGGGAATGCAACATCATGTCGGGATTGGAAGGCGTGCCAACTCCACGGAGATACCTGTCACGCTCGAAATCGACCGATTCAGGTCCCAGCGTCGTTGGAGATCAAAGATGGCGTGAGCGGCAATATCTCAACAAGGCTTACAAGGCCGACATCGAAGATATTTCCGCGGCTCTGCCGCCAGGAGCGCTCATCCCCGGCTCTCTCCCGACTGGAAAGCCTTTCAAGGTGATTCTAGAAGCATTCAGACCGACATCGTAGAATGTTTAACAGATGTCATGACTTGAGCTTTGTCGGACGTATCCGCACCCGAATCCACGGAGATCAAGATCGCCGTTGGCAAAGCACGTCTTGAATCATCTCTGCAGCAGCGCTCCCTCCGCATCTCAACCTCCACATAATTTAGAACACCATCTTCGTAGGACTGTGGTCGCAACTTACCTTCTCGTCTGTGATCCGCTCATAACTTGAAACATTGGGTATCGCCTTTCACCATGCCTGTTGTGCACGTCGTCTCATTCAAGTACAAGGATTCAGTCTCTTCCGAGGATCGACTGGATCTGTACAACCACTTCGGCACGTTCAAGGCTGAGTGCCTCTACACGGACGGAAAACCATACATCCTCGATTTCAAGAGCTCGACCGAAAACACTTCGCCCGAGAACGCAGGCAAAGGATTCCACCACATCTTCGTCTCGACGTTCCCAACGCAGGAACACGTCAAACACTATCTCGAAGAAGACCCAGTACACCTCGCTTTCGTTGTAAGTAGTTCGCCCAGATGACCGGAGCCGAACGTTGACATCAAGACTGACCGCCAAGCTGCTTTGCACGGACGCTTTCGATCATCGCTCGCAGGAAAAGGTCAAGCCCGCCATTGCGGACGTTTTCATCTACGACTTCGAAGTGTAAGCCTTCGTGTCACTCACAGCACGAAACAATTCGCCCGGTGAGACGCATACCTTCATAGCTTAGAGTATACAATACAACCGGTTGGTCAACTCGATAGGTTCCTTTCGCACATGGTTGTGACTACGACCGCGAACGGATCGAGCCTGATGACGACACTCGAGCCTCAGCAGCTTTGCTCGCCGTCGAGGCTCGGATGGAGCCTTCGCGCGTGTTGGTCGAATTGGACAAAGGGCGCTTGACACTTGCTTGTGTTGCTTCGCTGCGCCGAAGAGACGAAGCAGTGGGCCGGGTGACGGATGACGAGGAGCCAGAGACAATTCTGCGGGAGGTGAGCGCTGGCGTCTTGCTCGAAGCCGAGCCAGCCACCGCAGGCGTAGAGACAACACGCGTCTTTTGCTTCTGATCGAGCTCTTGCTTCTCGCGGGTGGAGAGCCTTCGTCGCGATTGGGCGACAGCAGTAGCAGCAGCATCAGTTGATGCAGCGTCTTCAGTAACATGTGGCTGTTCCGATGGGGAGACCTGCGTCTCACCTCGAGCGCGCTTCGACATCCGTGGCGAGGCTTCCTCTGATGTCGCCTTGGAAGCGGATCCATCCGAAATGCGTCGGCTCGTCCGCCTCTTGGCGGTGCTACTGGAATCTGCTGCCTCTCCTTCTTCTTCGACCTTCCTCTTGCGACCTCCGGTCTGACTATCCACTTCCTGCACCGTCTCACCCTTAGGAGACAACTCGTCTTCTGCCGCGTTCCCACCGGACAAACGTGATGAGCGTCGTGTCGAAGTCTGAGCTACGCTTTTCACCTTTTTCGCAGTGGAGGAGACACCGAAAATCGCATCGAGCTCGGGATTGTTTGCGAAGCTTTCGCCAAAGCTGATCGCTCCCGCATTCGCTGAGTCTTTGCTCAGCCTGCCTTTCCGAGTAGATCGACGCGAGCTGGAAAAGTCCGCATTTTCGAGCGCGCCATCGCTGGCACTGTCCGCCGTGTCGACGGTGCTGGTCGAGGAAGGCATCTCGGCGTCCTCTGCAACCACGGACAGGCTACCGAGATCGTCGCGACGCTTTTGATCGCGGGCATGGATCTCAGCCACTTCATGTTCGTCCAGCCGCTTGAGCGATGTGACCCTCGAAGGTTGAGTCGCGTTGCTCCGTTGCAGCAAGATGCGGTCGCGCTCATTTCGGAGCTCGCGTGCTTCTGCTTCCAACGACTCGCACCGGTCGGCAAAGTGTAATCGCTCCTTTTGTGCCGTCTCAAGCTCCGACTTCAACGATCTCGCTTGTTCGATCGCTTCGGAATCGCTGACTGCTGGAGATGAAGAGGCCTGGTCGAGCATAGTCCTAGCGCGCTGTTCGGCCTCGACGAGTTGGGCGACTTGCTTTTCCTTTCTCTCGATATTTTGCTCAGCTTGTGCAACCTGTCTGACGAGTTGAGCCAGCTTCTTTTCCATGTCCACCCTCTCCCTCTGCCAGTCGATGCGTTGCGATGCGCCGCCACTTGTTGACGCGCTCGAGGCTGCGATTGCGGCAGATGCAAGCGAGCCGACGTGCGAAGGACCGTTGGTCTTGTTGAGAGAAAGTCGAGCGTCATTCTCGAGATCCTGGTGAATGTCGTGTTCGAGCTTGGTCGCCCAGGTTTGTTCGCGCGCTTCGGCGGCAAGGCGCTGACTCTGTGCCGCGTAGTACATGCTGCGTTCTGTGCGAAGGTCGAGAAGAGCCTGAACATGCGAGTGGATGGCATTGGATGTAAGCTCAAGAGCGCGCAAAGCCGGATGAGAGGCTTTGCTCGATGAGCCTGAAACCAGTGCGCCTGAAGCCGTCGAGCGAAGCGTATCATTTGCGGGGAAGAGGTCTCTCTGGAAGAGCGGACGATGTCCATCGAGCCACGTGTCGTTGGAAGGAGATCGCTTCGTGCCGCCAGCACTGTTCAGGCTGCTGGATGAGACGGAACGAGAGCCTCCCGAGTCGCCACTCGTCTTGGTCGCCGCAAGTGTTGAATCCTTCCTCTTCTTGCCATCGTCCTGTTCGGCCTCAACCATGTCCAGCAGCTCCTGATCGGCACGTCGCGCAGCATTGATAGCCTCGGTTGCAAGCCGCTTGAGAGCTTGGTTGTACTCGACAAGATGAATCCGCTTCTGCTCGAGATCCTGTACCTGTTGAGCGTACAGACCTGCTGCACCAGATCTGGACGATGAAGCGGTCGGTGGTTCGTCGAAGGCGGATGCGACAATCTGGAAGTCGGGAACGGCAGAGCGGATCGCCGAGCTGGTAACTTCGCCGATTCGTGCGCGGACTCGCGCCACAGAACGGTCGTTGCAAGACTTGTACTGCAGTGCTGAAGCTTTGACTGCCTGCAAATCCCTCCTCATACGAGCGAGCGCCTCCTTGGTGGCCTTGTGTGCGGTGCGTTCCATCTCGAGCTGGTTGGTTAGGTGGATGAGCTTAGCTTTGGACGATTCGGCTTTGCGCTCGAAGTCCGCGGATCGCTCTATCTCCTCCTTCTGAAATCTTTTTGTTCGTTCCAATGAGGCGGTGAGCGTGCGATTTTTGGCAGTCAAGGCGGTACGCACTTCGATGTCCTCCTCGCGCTGCGCGATCATGGCGTGTAGGGCATCGGCGAGAGCTGCGAGCGAATCTTCGCGCATGCCTGAAGCATTGAGCGGCGAGCGCAGATAGCCTCGCGATATGAGAGTAGCGTTGAGCTGTTCGAACGTGGGTGGGATGCTCTTGTCGGTTTCCATCGAAATGTCGGCAGGGAGGTCAGGAAGATGATCGTAGGGCCCCGGCTGAGCTGCCAGTGCAGTTGTTGCTTGGGCCATTTGAGCCTCAGAGACGAACGTAGTCATCTCCGCTGAGTTGCGCGGTAGCAGCGAGGTACTGCTAGGATGATGGTGCGACTGATGATGGTGTTCGAGATTCTCTCGATCTGAAGCAGAAGGCGGATCGGTTGATTCTGCCAAATCCGTCTTTTTCCACGAGAACAACACTCTCGCGACGCGTCTCGGCAGGCAAGCTGATTCTGGTCCAGATTTGGTGGAGAGCCCCACACACGTGACCCGCCTTCAAAGATAAATGGCGCAGCCAAATTGACATCGGGAGCCCGCCCGATTCATCAGCGGGTTCATATGCACGACGCGACCCTGACTTTTTGACTTTTGGGCTTTCTCTCTCCAACACTCACATCACCATCGAAACATACCGTCCAGCTTGCATCATCATCGGAGCAGCTTGCGCACATCTAGCAACACGCATTGCCATCGCAGTCCAGCCTCATCCCGAACCTTTTCTCGAACTCGCTCAACAAGCTGCATCGGGCGCCTCTTACCTCCAACATGGCTTCCCGCCCGAGGCCGAGTCTCGCCGACACGTCTTATCCCGAATCTACAATCTATGCAGAGACGTACGATGAAGCATCATATGCAAGCTCCTCCGAGGGCGGCGGATCAGCCATGCTCTCACGACGAGCACCTTCCATCCAGTCAGGCATCTCAAGGAGAAGATTTGAGGAGTATTCGATGCCCGATCCCAGTCTGAGTAAGTGGGCTCGCATCACGTTTCTGCCATGGCGCATCGATCTTGGACCTCGACAGCTCCCTCTGACCGTAAATTAATCCGTACTGCACGTAACACCCTGCTTCTACTCATCTCACGCTCGTACAGGTCACATTGGACAGAAGAAGCGTTTCAAACCCGGCACGGTAGCGCTCCGAGAGATTCGCAAGTACCAGAAATCAACAGACCTGCTGCTGCGCAAGCTACCGTTTGCGCGCCTTGTTCGCGAGATCGCCAACGACTTCGTGACTTCATACGAGCATGGAGAGTACGGTTCAGGGCTGCGTTGGCAGAGCTCAGCCATCTTGGCGCTACAAGAGGCTACCGAAGCTTTCCTTGTTCATCTATTCGAAGACGCGTAAGTGCTTCCACCCGTTGATACTGCGCGCAACTCCCAAAGGCAGCGTAAACTGACCCGACATCTTTCATGCACGTGTATTGTTGCTGTTTCTGTCTTTCAGCAACCTGTGTGCCATTCATGGAAAGCGTGTCACGCTCATGAAGAAGGACTTCCAGCTAGCCAGGCGTCTGCGCGGCCGATGGGACGGCCTCGGCGGCTTCTAGTCCTGCTCGCTCGTTGCTAGCTCTACGCCTCCGCTTCCCCGCCATTCGATCCCACATTATACCGCCAGAGTCATACTTCGTGCCGCTCCACTCGCTTCTCTCCTCGGCTCACATCGTCAAAATTGTGTACACTAGTCTTGTCTTGCATTCAGTCAATCTCACAGTCATACCTCGCCGCGTAATTTATCTTACTGGAATGTGTGTATTGTATGGACGATGTATCTGAAGCGACTTTGTTTGGGACAGGCTACGGAGCATCTACCAGCCAAAGATGCCATCAGTGATCCTACCAAGAACGCTCGTACTTGCGCCAGCAGCGCCAGGCTTGTTGTCGGCGGCACCAGCTCCCGCCGAGGGGGTGGCGGGCTTAGGCGAGCCAGCGGCGGCGCTGGAACCAAAGAGAGACGAGGCGGCTTTGAAAGGCGAGCCTGCGATGCCGCCCAAATTGCTCGTCGAGGCTGATGGCTTGAATGCGATGGACGGATCGTTGATAACGGACAGCGGTCGACCGAAAGCAGGGTACGAGATGTTGCTGCCTCCAGATGGCGCACCTGAACTCGAAGAAGCTCCTGTTTCGTTGCGAGATGAACGAGCGTTGCCACCTTGTCCGGACGCGATCGAGTGGTGACTTCTCTGTCCGTTCGACGCGTCGACACCTGCCAAGCCGGAGGAGCTTGCGCCCTGAGATCGCGATGTTGAAAGTGCAGATGCACCCGAAGCCGCATCGATTGCTGGCACTGCGATTGCCTTCGAAGATGCCTTGTATATCTCTGCTGTACGACTCGAGGGAAAGACATCCATACGGAAGACGGCATCGACGCCGTTGGTGAGAGCAACTTGGTTGAAATTGTCGTCCTCCCATCGAACACCGACCATACACGCGCCGGCGACGACTTCGCCGTTGCGACGAAGAGCATGAAGTGCCTGGAACGACTCCGAGTAACGAAGGCGGGTACAGCACGAGAGCGAGGGAGACGAGGGCTGAGCTGTGGCCTGCTCCTGAGCCGAGCCGCTCCCAGTCAAGTCGATCGCTTCCATCAGTTCGACGCCGCCAATGCTGGCAAAGAGCTCTAGAACAGCTTTCTCCATCCAGGTAGGGTATCCGTAGAGGAGCACAGTACGTTGCGCCATCCCCAGGGCGGTATTCTTCTCGGCAGACGCAGACGATGAGGCTCCATCGTTAGAAGATGCGAGACCCTGCGACGGGGATGCCTGTTGCAATGCGTGGGAAGATGGAGTCGACAGCCCCGAGCGTCCGGGACCGAGCGATTGTGCAGATGAAGAATCCGGATTTGGCGAACTGCGGAAATTGTTCGCGAAGGAAGACCCAGAAGAGAAGAAGGAGGACTGAGCTGCAGCGGAAGCTTCATCTTCGAGACGCTCCTGCGGCGGAGCATCTTCGTCATCGTCCTGGTCGATTGCTCCTTGTGCCAGACTGAAGGAGCTGGATGCTGCGGGCGGTGTTGAAGTGGAGCGACTGGTGCGAACGGGAGATTCTGTGGATGTCTTGCGAGCAGGCGTGGCGGATGCAGTCTGGGGAGCGGGTGTGGCGGACTGACGACCTCCTCGCAGACCGCCCGCTCCAAAGATACTCTCCTTGCCGCCTCGCCACGGTGTTCCCGGGCCGACTGAGCCAGCTCGACTGAACGTTGCGTCGTCGCGCCTGTCGTTGAAGAAGGTCGAACTGAAACGTCCAACCGGAGACGCTTGACCTTTGGACGAAGGGGTGCTATCCTCTTTGCCAGACTTGGACGCTGGGGTTCCGAAAGCGATGCTCGTATCGGCATCCTGTGTCGCTTCAGGAGAAGTAGGCTCTGCTTGGCGCACAGGAAGCTTGTAAGGCTTGACCACCTTTGTGCGGCTGAGATAGCCTGGAATGTAGCTCATGTTCTGACTCTGCTGTTCCAGATTGAATCTCTGCTGATCGATAACTTGCTGTTGCTGTTGACTCGGCTGACCGTTGTGTTGAAATGCATTGGACTGCTGCTGCTGCTGCTGCTGCTGATGCTGCTGCTGTGCGTTCGGATGATGGTAGGGGCTCCCGAAGGACTGATTTTGCTGCGGCTGCTGTTGTTGCTGCTGAGCAGAGAAGGGCGCAGGAGAGGACGAGTTGAAGCCAAACGATCCCTGGCCGAAAGAATTCGGCTGCGATGACTGTTGCTGCTGTGCCTGTTGCTGTCCGCCGAATCCTGACGAAGCGGACGACCCGAACATGTTGTTGTTCTGGGGTGTTCCGAACAGGTTTGTCTGCTGCTGCGGCGGCTGCTGCTGCTGCTGACCGGCTTGACCTGCGTTAGACGCAGCGGTGCTGTTATTGCCGAACAGCGACCCGGTGTTCTGCTGCTGTTGTTGCGGTTGCTGCGCCCCGGGGGTACCGAACATCGGCTTCTGTCCGAAGAAACCGCCCGACTGCGGTGTACCTTGCTGCTGCTGCGTTGTATTGTGGGAAGCACTGTTACCGAGCGAAAATCCGCCGGGTGTCGAGAACGCGTTGTTGAATCCGCCTGTGCTGCCACCGAAAGGGGTGGATGTTGGCTGCTGCTGCTGCTGGTTAGGCTGTTGCGGCGTCGCCGACGAATTGGAGAAGGAGAACATGATCGGCAGATGCAGCTTGACAGCACCTTACGCACTGACAACGAGCAGAATGGAAACGATGGAGGTGTATCAGCTCGCAGCGGAAGTTGCGCCTCGATGCACCTGTCGTCGATAGCGATGAAAGGCTAGATCGCTGGAGTGGTGGATGTTTTGTTGTTCTTCGTCGTGCCCGTGCTTCTTTTTCTTGAAACGCGCATTGAGAAAGCCCCAAATCTGTTACTTTGTGTCTCGGCCGTTACACAACCGTCCGGGCCACCTCCGCGCTCGGTGAATTTTGCCACTTTCAAGGGTCCAAAGCAGGAAGCAAACGCACAGATGCATGTGTGCCACTCAGCAGTGCAGCAAGCCTCCTCCTCAGCTTTTGCCACCTTTGCGTTTCTTCTCAACGAAAGTCCGTCCTTGCCCGCCCCTGTCAACTGTTTCTCTACTTACCGCTCCTCTTTCTAGAAGGAAACACAAGGGGCACACCAATATGGCCGCCACGACTCAGTCCAGTAGAAATATTGTCGTGGTCGGGGGTGGGATTGTTGGCTCTAGCATAGCCTACTATCTCTCCAAGGCCGTGGCAGGCTCGGTGACCCGAGCTGCTACCAAGATCACGCTTATCGAAGCTTCGTCAGCGCCTGCTCCTGGAGCATCTGGCAAGGCGGGAGGCTTCCTCGCTCTCGATTGGCACGGTGCGGCTACAGCAAGTCTGGCTGAACTCAGCTTCAAGTTGCATCGTGCGCTGGCGGATCAAGACGGCGGCCACGACAAGTGGGGATATCGAGAGGTGGAGACGTGGCAGGTCAACATCGACTCGAATCTCAAAGGCAAACCGAAAAACAACGATTGTGCCATCAGCTGGCTCGATCAAGACATCGTACGCTCCACGTCCAACATGGGTGGCGGAGGCACAACCGCTCAGGTTCACCCCGGTCAATTGACGCAGCATCTCGTCGACGAGTCCCGCAGAGCAGGCGTAGAGGTCCTGTTCAACTCCCAAGCTATCGCTTTGCGCTTCGATGACAGCAAAAAGGTGGACAAATTGGAAGTCCAGGACACCAAGTCTGGCATCACCAAGACCATCCACGTCGACGACCTTGTCATTGCGGCTGGACCCTGGACCGGATCGCTCGTGTCCAAGCTGTTTCCTCGGAACCTGCTGCCCGCCCATCTCAAATCTGCCTCCTCGATCGACGGGTCTCGAGCTCACAGCGTTGTCATCGAGTCGCACAGGCCGCTTTCGGCACACTGTCTATTCACAGATATGGCCTACGGCGCTGGAGGTCGCAAGGCCGGCGCGCCCGAACTTTACTGTCGTCCCGACGGTACCGCGTACATCTGCGGAGGCTCGGACGATGTGCCCTTGCCCGAGACTGCCGACGAGGTAGGCTTCGACGAAAAGAAGATCGTGGCGCTCATCGAGCAGAGCAAGGTGCTGTCGCCGTCTTCTCTGGACTTGGATGGTGGAGCCAAGTTACGCGCAAAGCAGGCCTGCTACCTTCCAGTCAGCAACCGGACAGGCAACCCGATCATCGGGGGCAAGGATGGTGTCTACGTAGCAGCAGGACATTCGTGCTGGGGCATCACCAACTCGCTGGGTACTGGAAAAGTGCTTTCGGAGCTGATCCTTGAGGGAAAGGTGCAGAGCGCCAACATCCGCGGCTTGATGCCATAGCGCCTCGCATTTCCCTTTGTACTACATCACGCAACTCTGGGACTGATGGAGTACCGAACAGCCGCACGTGTTGACACATCTGAGTCGAGATTTGATTGGGTCGTCTAACCTTGCACATTAGCTGAAGCGTGTGAAGATGCAAGTTGCCGACGATTGGTGCTGAGTTGGAACGTCTCGTGCCAGGGACGCGGCGCAACTCGGTGCCTGAGCGAGCTGATCACGCGCCATCGAAGCTCATCAATTTAACGTGACACTGCCAAGGACGCGGACACACCCCTGTGGTATGATAGTTGGTTGCCTTACTTCGTAAGTGTCCATGGATCTTCACGGTCATCAGATAGTCAGATAATGCCGTAGCACTTGAAAAGCTCCTGAGGGATCGGTTGCATGGAAACCGAGAACGTGGCCACTTTACAAGGCTGAAAGACGGCGGAAGTGACGATCCGTTGAAGCAATGCGGTCATAGCGTCAATCCACTACTCTGGCCGCCAAATGACCCACTTGACAGCATCAGCCTCGATCCTTCGGGTTGACGAATGAGAGCCACAAAGATGGATCAGGGCGCCCACCTCCTCTCTTCGGCTGCCGAAGTTGCCGACAAACGCAAGGCGGCAATCATGAACCTGGGGTACCTGCGTCACTGCCGACGATATTGAGACTCAGGCACTCGGATAGAAGGTAGTAGCTGTGTGCCTGACCATTGTATAAGGGCAGCCGCGGCGAATAGACACAGCTCGCGGCTGTCGGATCGGGGAATTTGACTCGACGTGACGGAGACCAGGAGCTGTCTTGGCAGCCTAGAATTTCCGCATGAAGCGCTCTTATTATATTTCTGGTTCAATTCGAGGGAACGTGGACACCTCGGCTAGAAGCGTCATGGTCATGACCGAAACCCATTCGATCTACTGCTCTACACTCTAGGAATGCGAAGAGAAGCCTTGCTTTGACGTCGTCATCGCCGACGTCGGCATCGTCTCCCAATGCACCGGCTGCCGAGTCCCGTGATGAACTCGAGATCGCAGTCTGACGATGATGAGAACGATTCGATGAGGATCGGATGGTAAGCATCCAAGCAACCGAATCCTGGTTTGCACACGAGGGCGCTTTGACCGACCGAAAGAACGCACCCGGGAAGAAATCATAGCAAAGTACTCGAGCGACACAAATGGTGTCTCTGCTGTTCAATACCACAGTCGGCGCTCCTCTTGCTGATGATGCCACTAGTCACACGACCGTGTCCCGCTTGTAAATCTAAGTGAAAGACCGAGGAAGCGAGCGTCGGACTGCGAGCCAAAAACGAAGGGTGCAGATAGATGCTAAACCCGAGACTGAGACCCACAGAGAACTTTCGAAGCGAAAGAGCAAGATACAGTATGGCTGGTTGAAGCAGGCTGCAAGGAGAATTTCGAACTTGAAATTAGCTATGCGCAGAGTTAGGGCGCCTAAGCGAGGCTCGCCTGGCTCCTCTGGTTGCGGTTCGTTTGGCCGCCGCATCTGTGTGTGAGCAAACCCGCCCGCAGAGCCGTCACTCAGTAAAGGGGACGATGAGGCGATACTGGCCTAGAGGGTAGACTTTTGTGGAGCGCGCAGAGGCTAGCAAAGAGGTCGCCGACTGTCGTCGTTATTAAGCGGTCCAAAGAACATCGGTCGGTTTTGCGAAAGCGTCGGCATCGTCTGTTGGGCAGATTGAAGCTTGAAAGGACCGCAGATTTGCGAGCCCTTCTCATACAGAGGCGCCGGTCACCTCTTTCGATTCTGGACTGCGCTGCTTTGGCCTTTATTTAAAATAAATTTTTTTGATCCACTTCGTAGCGGCTGATCATCCAAAAGTTCGTGCTCCGCCTTGACGCTTCGGCGGGTTCTGATTTCTTTTTTTTTTCTTCGCGGCAATGCTTGGGCCTGCGGACTACGACAATGACGGAGAGCAAAAATTCCTCACCTTGTCGCCGGCACATCCGAATCTTGACAGTCCACTGGCTTCGGACACCACTTGTGCTGTTTCATCGTCCTGGTTTGGACTGAGCTGCATCCTCGCCGCTCGTCGCCTCTGAGCTGCAGATCGCCGGCAAAGATCATTTCGGCAGCCTCGTTCCGCTCGTAGCCTACCTTTTTCTTCTTTGGGCAGCTAGCCAATGTGGGACTGCAATAAAAAGATCCCCGCCCCTTGCCCAAATCAGGCTGCCGCTTCTTGCCTTTCCACAAGCCATCAACTCCTCAACGTCCTCCCCCCGACGTCGACTGCGCCCTCCGTTCCTGCTCTTCCGACGTCTTTGGTTGGTTAGTTGGCTCATCCGAAGGCATCGATCGCTGGCTGATTGTATCCATCTGACCGTCATAATGTCACAGCCCCGCACTGAGATGGTCTCCATCTCGTCGGACAGCGACTCTCGCGACCAGCAATCGTCTTCGGCATCAACACCATCCGATCACGATGTGCACGCCGGTCCTAGCGCGGCTCAGTCCCAGGTCCTTGACGAGACCCTCTTTCCCGCCGACTCCTACACCCGCGACACAAAGACCTACTGGGCCGACCTGCCATTCTGGGAAAAGACCAGATGGATCAACGCCCAGTCCAACCAAGAGGCACGTCGCGAGCTCGGCGAGATTGGCAGCATGTTCAAACGCGACCCTCTGTCGCCCTTGCGTGCCTATTACAACAACTACGTCATCACCGGTCTCGGTCTCTTCGTCGAAGGCTACACCCTCTTCTCGATCGGAAACCTCTCGCCGCTGTTCAAGGCGGTGTGGCCGGAATGCTGGAAGAACTATCGCGTCTGCGATGAGGGCTGGCTCCACGCCATCGACTACCTCGAGATCGTCGGTATCATCTTTGGTCAGATCCTCGTCGGTATCGAAGGTGACTGGATCGGCCGTCGATTCGGCATGGTCCAGGATGCGCTCGTCATGACCCTCGGTTCCGTCATGCTGACAGCCATGTGGGGCACCTCGCTCAACGGTTGGATCATCTGCTACGCCTGGTCTGTCTTCATCTACGGCATCGGTGTCGGTGGTGAATATCCCATGACCTCGACTCGCGCCATGGAAGGCACCGGCACCGGCCGCGCTGCTACCACGGGAGACCGCATGCACCGTGGTCGAAAGGTCGCTCTCTCCTTCCTCATGCAGGGTTGGGGTCAGCTTGCCAACCAGGCCGTGCTCATCATCGGCTTGCTCATCTTCCACGGCTCGCTCGCTGCTCCCTACTCCAAGACCTCCACCCAGTGGACCTTCCGAGTCCAGTTCGGCATCATCGCCGCATTCACACTCTACCTCGCCTACATTCGTTACTACCGCATGAAGTACCAGGATGCTGCGCTACAGAACGCCAAGAAGCGTCTCAACACCTCGGGCTACGACGTGAAATCGCTCAAGCTCTCGCTCAGCCATTACTGGCATCGCCTCGTTGGAACCGCTGGCGGCTGGTTCGCCAACGACTTCTTCTTCTACGGCAACAAGATCTTCTCGGGCATCTTCATCAACATCATCACCGGCAACCGCGGTGGTCTCGAGACCACCTGGCTCTTCAACCTCTACAACATCATCGTCTCGCTATGCGGCTACTACCTCGCCGCTCTCTTGATCGACCACAAGCAGTACGGTCGCAAGTGGATGCAGGCCAACGGATTCATCGCCGACTTCATCCTCTTCATCATCGGTGCTGCGCTCTTCAACCCGCTCACAAAGCCAGGCGGAGGTGTCAAGGCCTTCCAAGCGATCTACTTCCTTTCGTCCTTCTTCAACCAGTTTGGTCCCAACTCGACCACCTTCTTGCTCGCCGCCGAGGTGTTCCCCGCTTCCATCCGTGCCACTTCGCACGGTGTTTCAGCTGCTGTTGGCAAGCTCGGTGCACTTGCCCCCGCCGTCCTGTACAACTACATTGACAACCACACCAAGTTCTGGGTGGTGTCCTGGTTCGGTCTGCTTGGCTGGATCCTGACCATGGTCTTCATCCCCGACACCACTGGTCTCGATCTGCGCGAGCAGGAGCGATACTGGGAGTGTGTCGTGCAGGGCCGGGAACAGGACTACCACGGAGTTGCCATCCACCCGCGCCACCTCTCCTTCTACGAGCGTGTGGTGCTCAAGCGACACCGTTACTACGATCCCGAGCTCGACCGTCAGCAAAAGATGCAGGAGCTCGAAGCTCACTTCCACTCGAGCAAAAACGAGAAGGGTGCATCCGACGACGATTTCCCTGCGGACGATATGATGGAGGCCGATCTTCAGCTTTACTTCCAATCCCTCGCCGATGGTCAGAACAAGAAGCTGCGCCCGCAGGAACCGAGTGCAGCTCAACATCCTTCCAAGCTTGCAGAGATCGAGAAGAAATTGTGAGACGGAGGAGTTGCTCCTTCCTGGACTCGCCTGGACGGGAAATGTGGATCATAGACACTACATTGCATGCTCTTGTGTTTCACGACTATTCATACTTCATTACCGCATTAATCAATGGCTCTTCCATCGCATGAGGATCTCTTGTCAGTCTGCTCTACATCGTCGTCTGTGCAGCTCTATCTGAAAGTTAATCAAATCGCCCGGAAGCGGTCGCTGAATTGCTCCATCGACTCGACAACGGACGATCTCTGTCTAGAAGCCTGAGCAACAGTACAATCTTTGACCCATCAATTTTAAGAATTTGACTATGATGAATGGCGCAAATTTGACTGTGAAGAGGTGAGGGAAGGTCGACTGGCAACGTCGACCGCTTTAAATCTGCGGTTTATAAGCCCATCTGAACAGTAGCTGGCACCACCGAAACTACGGTAACCGACTTGGTAAAAAAGGTTACACAGCATTGCTTGCAGCAGTTCGTTAGAACAGGTGTTCGAATCCGTCCTTCTGACGTTTGTTTGGAAACATGTAGGGGCTTGAAATTTGATAAATGGGTTTTGAAAGTTGGCTTGGCCGACGCATCTAGGCTCTAGGTCAAGCAGAAAAAAGCTACAAAAATAGGACTTTAAAACCTCGCTCATGCGAGAGAGACACGGTTCGTGGGACAGATCCTGGTAAGTTCTTCCTCCTTCCTCCTCTCTCTACTTTCCCCTAACAGGCGATTCAAAACACAAGCAAGTTGGCACTCTCCTCGATGAAAGAGCTCCTCAGCGGATTCCAGGGTCCAAGAAGGTGTCTTGAGTTGGCAGCGCCGAATCTCGTAGATTCACAATTTTTGTTCCGCTCTGCTCTTATTCACCTTCAGTTTCTCCTCGCGACTTCAGCTGTAACTTCAGAAGCTGGCTTGCGATACAGAGTCCACAGGCGATGACATTCCCACACACTGTCAGAGGCCTCGAAAAAGTGAATTGCGTGAGTTGGACGGACAATGTCGGAAGGACAGTGACCGAATGTGACAGTTCTCAGATAGACGCCATCGCCGAGGCTGCCGCTGCCGCTGCCCCTGCAGATGCTGAGCCATGCTCCTGTCCCACTTTCGCATCGTACGACGGCGAGGCGGTCGCCCCTGCCACCGTATCTGTACTACTCTGATGCGTGAATCGCGAATCCGACGTACCGGTCGAGGGCAACGCATTGCTCGAAGTGGACTTGGACAACGATCCTCCACCGCTCGTTGAGGAGGAGGAGGAAAGCTTGCCAATGTACCAGCTAGGCACCCATCCTCTCGCGTGTCCGTCTCGCTCCTGCACACAGTACGACCAGTGGTTGTATCGCTTGAACACACGCAGACGCTCGTCCTTGCGCAAGTCGAGATCGCCTTCTGCACTGTGGTAGTCCATCAGCATGATCCCGGGTGTACTCGTGCTCGTGATCAACGCCGGAGGGATGGCAGCACGCCTGGCATCCAGATTCGCGCCATTGTTGCCGGGGATGCTCAATGCAGTGGGCGTGCTCGGATTCGAGATGGTGGTCGGTCCAGACCGCGCGTGCGACGAGCCGGCCTCGGCGTCCACGATGCTTCCCAATGGCTGACTCGTTTCCAGCAGACAGCCGGCCGGTACCCAGCCGGAGGCATACTCGGCGCGGTAATTGGAATAGGTGACGCCATCATCCTCCCCGGCGCTCGCTTCGCCGGCAGGTACACTGTACACCACATCTCCCGCACCGCCTCGCTTGGCATCTCGCTGAACGATCCACCATCCCTTGGCCTTGTTGATGACGACAAAGGTGTCGCCCACGTTGACATCAAACTCGTCGTCGCGCTCTGGCATGTATGGGTAGATGGCTACCGCGTACGTCCTTGCCACCTTGCTTCGTTCGGGCAGGTCGGCTGCGGGACCGACTTCGACAGGGTTCGATGTGTTGGTGACCAGCGCGCCCGGTGGTGGGGTCCCGGCGATGATGCGACGTCGGTCAGCCCGAGGTGCAGACCGCTTCTTGGCGTCAGCAGAGCTGCCCTCGCCCTCGCGCTCTTGTAACTTGGCTGCTGCTTTCGCCTCGGCGATGGCGATGGGCGACTTGACGTCTCGAATATGTCGGAGCATAAAGACGGGGCTCTGCTCGTTCTCCTTGAGCTTCTGGAAGAGGAGCAAGGGCTTCTCGTCGTAGCTGAGACATCGTTCGGTCTTGCCATAGCAGATGAAGAGCGCGTATTTGCGCCAGTCGTCGTTGATCTTGTACTTCTTGAGCGCTGCGGGGAGCACCTTGTAGCAAGGATCGTCGAGCGTAACGCGGAACGACTTGTAAGGATTGCTGTCAGAGGAACCCGACTTGGCAGCCAATGCAGAAGAGGCTGACAGGGACGACGAGCCGGAAGCTGGGGTGGCGGCCGCCTTGGTCTTTGGCTCGGTGGTCGTGATTGCGAGAGCGTCCTTGGTGCGCTCGTCGCGCTCTGTCGCTGGACTGCTCGATGCGTTTGCGATGGTGTTGGTGCCTCCATTGCTGACGCTGCTACTTCCATTGCTAGCGAAGGGGGACGAACCGGTGCCCGACGAGAGCGCGGCAGATGCACCCAGAGAGCCGGCACGTGAGCGAGAAGGGCCGGCTGCATCCGGATGCGCGAGCGAGTTTTGATGAGCGAGTCGACGAGTTGGGCTCACCATGGAGCTCGAGCCGGCGCTGGAAGCTTGCGGTTGCTGCGGGAAACCAGGCTGAGAACCGAGCGAAGTGGGTGTAGCCGATGGAGTGGATTGTGTTGGCGAGATATCGCCCGCGGATACTGTGTTGGATAGGCCGGCAGCATACGACTGTGCAGCCGTAGTAGGCGTCATGGGCGCATTGCCTCCAATGCTGTCCGACCGGACGGACCTCACGGCGGTAGGCTTGAAGCCGCTCATGGCCTGGGCGGCGGAATATGTGAAACCTGTGCGGGTGGGCGAGACAAGACCGGCAAAGTTGCGCGAAGTCGGCGATTCGATGGGCAAGCCGGAGGCGGCGGTGGAAGCGAGATCCGGATTCGAAGCGAAGGCGGACATGGCATTGGCACTGCCGTCGTTGGTATGATGCGAGTAGAGCGAGTTGGAGACGAGGGTGATGGGAGCATCGATGGAATGAGCCTTGACACCGACATGTCGAGCGACGGACGCCATGTCCTGTTGAATGCGAGCGAGATAGTCGGCCAGCCGAAGGATCTGCGATTCCAACAGGCGGATGCGATCGTCTCGCTGACGGAGCGCGTTTGCCATGTGGGCGGTACTGAGGGTGTTTGAGGCCTGCTCTTGCGCCTCGATAGATTTAGGGATCCAATCGCCATCCTGAATGGGGATGCCAAACTGCTGCTTTAGGCGATAGATGGCTGTGAGGAGCGCGAGACGTTGGCCGACGGTAGCAACGCCGATGTCCTTGAGAGCCTCGTCGTCGAGAAGAACAAGCACATCACCGGAGATGCCGTTTGATTTGAAGTCCCTGGCATACTTTGAGAGCCCAACTGTGGAAAGCCAATCAACGACCTGTTGCTCGGACCATCTGCTGATGTGAACCGTCGGCGACGACTTTGGACTATGAGACGTCATGATTGCGGAAGAGGCGCGACTGCCGAAAGGCCACAGTCACAGCGTAGCGTGCTGATCTGATGCCGCGCCTGATGGGCAATTGAAATTGACAAGATGATACCGGTCCAGCTGCTCGATACGTTCTAAGAGGATCGAATGACCACAGCGGTCATCATTCTGACTGCTCGAGCACGATGCGGTGGTGGCGATGCCAGCCGGACGTTGCAAGGCGACGATGAGCAACCAGCTGAATGCGAGGCTGGGCTCCGAACAGCACCTCGAAGTTAAACTGAAAGGCGAGACCTCAGTCGAACCGAGCGGAGTTGATCAGATTATTGGTGCTGATGGGAGCTGTTGGGCAGCGAGGAATTCGATGGCAGAATGTGATGGTAGCAATGAAATGCATGCGCGGCGATGATGTGATTCGAAGGTGAAAGCGATGTGATGTGGGTGACGCTGCGCTGCACCCTGAAGGCTATTTCCGTCTCCGTCTCGGCGCGCGGCTCGCGTTGCGAATCCACTCACGCAGTCACATGGGCCCATCTTTCAATCCGGTTTTTTGATCGGCTCTCTCAACATAGCAGCAATTCAACATCCGCAAAGCGCTGGCGAGACGCGGTCACTGACGGCGCCGCAAGTAGTATGATTGTCTCATCGTCCTCACGAATCTTGCTCGAATCGACTCAGTTCTTGCTTGGCTTCTGCTACGGACAAGATATTGCGAACAGCTTGCAGCACAGGCGCCACGATTGCGACATGCACACAAGGCAACAGAAGAGAGGTCTGCGAAGAATGCGCTTCAACATTTCGGTGCGGTTTCGACCCATTACACTAGCTGCGGATCTATGCGACCCTGCGACGAGCCTGCCCGATCATCACTCGGGCGCCTGCGGAGCTCGACTAGCGTGTCGTTGATGTACGACGACAAGATATCGTTTTGCGACGAGTGTTGCATCAGCTCCTCTTCCACACCTTCCACTGCGTCCAACAGACGCGTCGCTGCTTCCACTGCCCAAGCCTCGGTGGTTTCGTAGTCCTCCTCCTCGTTGCCCAACGCAGACATGCCGCCTGCCTCAAGTCCATTGGCTGTTACATTGTCACTGCCATTCTCGGGCCGCTTGCTGCGGTCAGACGAGCCAAAATTGGCAGGCAGCGGTAGACCGAACTTTTCGTCGCCTTCACCGCGAATGGCAGCAGCGTCCTCGTCGTCCTCGCTCTGCTCGCGTCGTTTCGATCCAGCCTTTTGCAGCAACGACGCCGCTCGCCTTGCCAGCATACGCAAAATCAAGATGGAGGTATACGCAGGTCCTTGCGGCGATAAGTTTTCCTCGTTGCCGACGGTGGGTGTCCGCGTCACGTCGAGAATGTACGAGCCCGGATTGTCAATGGTGCCGTTCGAAGGGACCGTATTGGCCTTCGCAACATGTCCGTTGACAGCTCCGTTTGCCTGAGCCTTGCTTTGGACCGCAGCCTTTGCCAGCGTGAAGGTGGTCTCGACACCGTCCGAGTCTCGCTTCCCACGCAAAATGCGCGCACCGTTGAGCCTGGCAGTGGTGAGCTGCGCAGCTTCTCCGGTGTGTGCTGCTCCGGAGACAACACGAAGGTCATCGTCGACGATAATCTCTGGACGTTTGCTCGGCTTTGCTGGCACTGCCTCTGTACCGTCCGATTTGATGTGCGTCAGCACGTGGGCAGTTAGTGCTCGCTTTGCATCGACAGCCTCGATTGCAGCGTCAGAGCTCTTCGCGTCAAAGTCGCACCTCCTCCATCGGCAGCGACCATCCGATGCATACTCGGCATGCAGCTTGGCGTGACTTCGTTGCGACTCAAGCGTGTTTGTCTGCGGAGCTGAACATGTCGACCAATGGCAACGGAATGGCTCGAGCAGCTCGGTGTCCCTCTCCTTGACCGTAATGCCTCGAATGACGAAGCGCTGCGGTTTGCCATCCTGCGGTGGCACCACCATTGCTGCGGCATGCGGGAACACCTGGCTGACGGCGCGGATAAGCTCGGCTGCGGGCTGTAGGGGCACGTCGGTCTGCTGCCCGAACTCTTCCTTGTAGGCGGTCCAGAACTCCATCTGAGTGATCTCTTGCGTCTGATCGAGTTGGAAAACCATCTTCATCCACGCGATCCCACGCTCTGGCTCCTTTAGTCCGAGCAGGCTCTGACTTTCTTGCGGCGTCAGCTTCTTGCGCCTGGCGCGCTCTTGAGGTGTTTCATTGGCGATCCTGATCTGAAGCTCACGCCTCTTGCGCATTGTCTCGATGTGACGGCTGGGAATGCTCGAGAGCCATGCGTTTGGCACTCTGAGTGGGACCAGACGCTCCCACATGGTGCGGCCTAGCTGCAGATTGCGACAGAGCAAGCGAACCAGGGCAGCAGTCTTAGCAGTGGCATGGGTGGACTTGGAGGGATACGTCTTTGTGTTGAGGCCGCTTGCCCGTCTCGATGATGGCGATGAGGCTCTGCGCGTCTCTGGGTCAAGTGAAGCGGCAATCTTGATGGCATTGTTGCCGATACAGATCAGCTGGTACAGCAGGTCGAGAGCAGCGTCAAGCAGTTCGGTGTCTTGGGTCAGGGGGAGCAACTCGACGCAGCGATGCAGCAGACCAGGCGATTGTTGTCCGTTGGCCAACGTGACCTCGGTGAAGGCGACCTCGTTGCGCTCGTTAGCTGCCACTGTAGTAAGGCATCGTAGTGACCCCAAAAGCATGGCACGGTCGTTGGACCGAAGCGCCAGGGAGAGCAGGGTCTCAAAGATGTCGTCGCCCAGCAAAGCTGCTTCGTGCTTCGCTCCTTCCGCCTTGTCAGCTGCGTCCCTCTTCCCATTGATGAGGGTGAGCCCTTTTACCGTCGAATCCACAGCGGCAGCTCGTTTTGTGAGAGAGACCCTTGCTGCAAGTGTTTCGAGGATGTCGAGAAAGTAGAGACGCAGCTCTGCAATGCCTTCGACTTCGAACCAACCGTCCTCGTGTTGCGATTCGGATGCAATCTCTGTGTGTTTGCGCGTTTGCATCGCAGTGACTGGCAGCCGCAACACGTCGCGAATCAATCCGAAGATCCCCTTCGTAGAAGCGAGGCTGCGCGCATTGGAACCATGCATAGTGAGATTACGCAGAGACAAGGCTGCCTCGAGTGCCCTGCGCATCAATACGGCATGCGATGCATCGGCGCCATCGTCGGAAGCTGTGCTCGGCACGCTCTTCGACTCCATGTGCATGATCGAAACATACTGGAGTTGCTTGATGTATAGCTGTCGAGAGGTCGACAGTCCCTGATGACCTCCATCGCCAGGAGCGCCGATGCCAACATCTGGACAGTCAACAGGTTGCTCAAAGTAGCAAGCGGCCCACTTGGATGGGTGTTGGCCTGTGAGAGCGGCGTGTATCCTTCTGACGTACGAAAGCAAGGCCTCTGTCAAGCCTGGTACGCTGTCGAGCGTGAAATCGCGAGCCGCCTGGTCGCGATGGCCGGACGTGAGCGACGTGAGACGCGACAAGGCCCAGTCAATCTGCGAGGGGAGTCCAGATTTGAGTGAGAGCAGAATGCGGTTGCTTGGGCCCGGTAGTAGGTAGGGGGCCTCGAAGCCATCACCAACCATCTTGAAGCGCTTGAAAGGCGCGGAAGCATCGCTAGACGTATGCGGCAATCTGGTTGAGCTGGGATGATGTTGGAGCATGGAAGACGGGGTGTGCGGCTTGCCGGGCGTGGACTGTGGACGATGTGTCAAGGATGGCATCGGATGCATATGTCGAGCGTGTGATGGCAGGGAAGCGATGGGTCTGGATTGGTTCTGCGTTAGGTGGAAAGGTTGCTGTTGCTGTTGTGGGAATGCGGGATGCTGGTGGGGCTGCTGTGCGTAAGGTACCAGCGGCAAGCCTGGGCCCATCTGCTGCGTCTGTGGTGGAATGTAGGGGAGGTTCTGGCTGCGAATTACGCCAGGACTAGCAGCGCTAAACGCCGCACCCGCAGGTGAGGCGTGCTGTGGATACGACGACATGAGATGGGAGTTCGGTAGGGCGGACAGGTCGATGCTACGATTTCAGAGATGAAATGTGGGATCCTGACTTGAATGAGCTGCCGTCGACGCCTGTCTCATCGATTGCAGTGTCGTCTGTATCCTCTACAAGCGGAGCTTTGTGACCGCCGTCGAAGTTTCCGCTGACACCGGCGTGATGCCGTTCACGGTTGCGATGTGATTAGCAAAAGACAAGGGCAGGACCGTACGTTGCGGGAGGCCCGGGGGCTCGGGCCTTCAATAGAGGAGAGGAACAGAGTGACGTCTGGCAGAGGATTGCTGTTCGAAGAGTCGGAGACGGATCCGATCGGTGTGAATGATCGTCCTGCTGCCGACAGTCGTCTGAAAGAGGGTAAGGTCAGTGTGCGAGCTCGCAAGATTCAGCAGACGAGCCAAGATGGCTAAGCGCAGCTGCGAACAAAGTCTTACGTGAGCTCGAACAGCCGCAAGACGAGATGAGGTCGGAAGAGGGGAGGAACGTAGACAGCGGGAGAGGATGAACTTGTCGAAGTATAGGAAGTTGACTTTGAATTGAAGCGATTGTAGATCGACGCGAAGCGGAAATGCCATCCTCGCTTGGACAAGGCACACACGAACAGCGTTGGCTCTCTTTCCTTCTCGTTCTTCGTGTCGTGATTCACCCGCTATTTGGGTGGGTGGAAAAAAAAGTAACATGTAGGCGTAACATTCGAAAACATTCTTCTTTCGGTCATGGCGCAGTCAAGGGTCCTCCTCGCCTTGTTTGATGCAGCGTGCAGCAGTAGCAGCTGAGTTTCACTTTTCTTTTCGGCATTCATTCCGTCGATCAACGGCGATTCCGACACACCGACCCTCTCTCATGCACTTCACCACTTCTTGACGCTCATCCTGTTTTTCGCAAGCTCAAAGGGCAGGTTGAGAGGACGAGGTTGCAGGGAAGGTCGCCATGAATTGATCTCCAACTGTCTCGACTGCGCCGGCGGCTTGCTCCAACAGGATCCTACGGCGTACGGCGTCATGTCGCAAGTTTGTCCCGAGTGTGGATCGAACGACACCATACATTTCCTCACCGAAGTTGGCCACCAGGTGTGCTCGAATTGCGCCACCGTCTTCCAAGATCTCCAACTATACCAGCCCACCGATGTGCACGACGTAGCCTACGCACTCGGCGCTCCGCAGCAGCAGCGCGCCTCTTCCTCCTTCTCTCTTGCACCACTCGGTCCAGATGGAAAGCCTTTTTGGCCCGGCGACCGCGAGCACCAGCGTCATCTCAGCGAGCTTCGGCATAAACCCGAAGTGGATGCTCGTATACGAGGAACGCTCCGTCGTCTTGGCCATCCGGGCCTCTTCCAACAGGTCGAATTCCTTTTCCAACGTGCACGAGACGAGTCATGGAAGCCTGCAGCAGATCGACATACCAACGACATCGCGGGTCGAGGCGATTCAGCCACCGATCATGATGCTACATCATCTCCGCCGTCCGATTCGATGCCTCCGAGGTCCGTACCTCCTCGCGTCAGGTGGGGAACCAGCTCTTTGCTCCTGGCAGCCGCCTGCTGCTACGTAGTCCTACGGCGGCAAGGCGTCCACACCGACTTGGGCAGTGTGTCGGATGCGGCACAACTACCCTATCCGAAAGTTCGTCTTGCCTTCAAACGCCTCCGTCTACTCGTCAAGGGCGCCGTCCAAAACATCAGACTCGCCGACCCCGATGCGTTTGTGCGTCGCATCGTCGCCTTCTTCTGCTGTCACTTGATACACACCAACTCCTCGCCTCTCAGCTCTAGTGTGAGGGACTTTCTGCAGCCATTCCGAGGTGCACTTCCGGACGCTGACGGACTTTTGAAGCTAGACCCTGCCCGTATCTTTCACAAGACGCCATTCGAGGCTGTCGAGTCAACCGCCCTTGATCTTTGCACGTTTTGGTGGCCCAATCGACATCCTTCCGCATCTGGGCAGCTGGCTGCGTTTGCCGCAGTCGTCCTCGCTTTCGAAGCGCATCTCAAAGCACTAGCACCCATCTGGGACATGTTTCGCTGCACTTACGCCGCACTCGATTTCGACCCCAGATCGCTTTCATCGCCGGATTCCGTGTTCACCTCATCGGTCGATGGCGATGCCGTCTTCAGCAGGAACGCAAAGGAATGTTACAAGGAGATTTGCGCAGCAATCAGGACGGAAGTGGCAAAAATTCCCTGGCTTTCGGACGCAGCGCCCATTTCCCAAAAGCGACGCTCGAAGCTCCGCTCGGGACGACAGAATGCTGAAGGTATGTCGGATCTGGCTCGGCTCGATGTCGTCATCCATGCTCTCGACGTTCTCGATGTGCGTCGTGGATTGTCTTCCAAGGGGGTCCCGCATGACCAGGGACCGACACCCCAAGCACGCTCGGACAAAAAGGAGGCAGATCGACGTACATCGGCTCACCACGGCCAAGAGACACATGTCCAAGACAGTCCTGAGCGCGAGCTGGACGACGACGAATTGGTCTGCTTTCTCTCGACTTCACCCAGGATCTCTGCTTCGGCGATGCGTCCAGCACTATCCGCCGGTGAGCCCTATTCGTCGACAGAAGACGCCGGTGACGAAGTCGAAGTCTGGCCCCTTGTCCAACAACGCCTCGAAGCCGCTGGTGCTCTCCATCAGCGCGATGTCGATCCCGAATCCAAATCATGTTGTCATCCCATCGATCTGCTCACGGACGAGCAGGTGGATGACCTGCTGTTTGACAGCAACGAGCTGTCATCCTTCTTTCGTACCGATGCTGCCGAACGAGCTGTCTTTGAACGGACCAAGGTGGCTGCCGGTGATTGGCCGAGTCAATCGAAACAAGAGCGTGACGCCGAATTCGCGACCTTGGCGCGCAGCCTCGACACGAAGTCGCTGCCACCTGCAAAGTCGAAGGCAGAGCGCAACAATTCGACTCCGCCGTCGAGCCCCGCTGCAGCGCCAGAGGGTGACACCACTCGCAAACGAGCTGCCGAAGCTCTCGAGCCGGCGGTGGTGGCGGCGGCGCCGTCGGATTCACAACGTAAGCCACGGAATCCGTTGCAATCAACCTCATCGTCGCGACCCACCAAACGCGTCAAAGCGCCGCTGCCAGAGGTCTCCCTTCGCGCACAGGAGGAAGAGTCGGATTGGAGCGATTGAAGGAGCGATTATCATAGAACGAGAACGATGCCGGATTTGCTGTACACTAGATTCTTTCCAGGTGCCAGCGATGGCCTTTGGACTATGACTCAAACGATACCCATATTTCTTTGACACCCCTTTGCGCTTCCGTGTTGGCTGCTGCACGTCGCTGTTATGAGGCAAGTCCGATGCTGACAGGGAAAGGTCACAAGAAGAGGGCAAAAATGGAAGTCAGATGGCTCGAGCGCAAGAGACAGAGCAACCGCTGCAAGCTGTTCAGTCGGTTCAACTGTAATTCCGGTGCCACATTTTCCGCTGATCATTTTCTGCATAGCTTTTCCTCAGTTTAGCACATACGCTGACACTTTATTGCCTTCCACCCTGTCATTGCGGCAAAGGGATGTAGAGCACACACGACATCGTGAGGCAACCGACGAGACGACTGTTGCTCGTTCCGAGCCGGAGATGTTGATACGACACACGGGCCAACGCAATCGAAGCTCAAAGTTCGGTTGCCTTCCGAGCACTATGGAGCTGTCAAAGTGTGGCTGAGTCACATTCTCGCTTGCAACACATGGTCAGTCACATTCGTGCGCCTCGTTTTTCGAAGATGATGCTCTTTAGCCTTGTGTGTTACCCGAACTGGGCTCAACTATAGTACATCCTCTCTCTTCGGCGAAACACTCTTCCTCAGTTGCACTCGAGGCTTCGGAAGGCACGTCGGCTGCACGGGAAAGATGCCGGACGACAGCCCTCCGTGCTAATTGACATTCTTTGCCTTGCCCTTACGCTCGTCATCCACAATGTACATTCAGCACCTAATAGTGTCATGGCGCCGCTCGACTTTGGCGCTCAGCATCGCAGAGCGACCGTGACTAATCTTCATCCGATGTCGTGTGCCAGTCGCCTCCGTCCTTGTTCAGCTTCAACCCGCGAGCATGCTCTCGGAACGGGTCTGGACTGGCAGGTCAGGTCCGACAGCACTTGCTGGCTTCTCGTTGAGAGATTCAAGTCAAGACACCGCTCCAGTGCTCGCTTTTCCTACCAAGTGGCGATGGCTGAGACGCTATACTGCAGACCGGCTGAGTACATATAAGGATGAAGACGTCTCATTGGCCAACAGCCAAACGACTCTTTGCTGCTTCCTTCCTCTCCCACTTACTTGATATCACAGCCCCTTCCAAGTGAGAGTATCAGCATCATGTCCGGAGAACTTCCCACTGCGACGTCGACGACCTACAAGCCTGGCGAGGGCAGCATGCTGGCGCTCACCTTCCAGGGCACCAAAGACGTTCAGCTGTCGGAGGTGGCCAGACCCACCGTCACCGACCCTACCGACATCGTCATTCGCAACACGGCCGTCACCGTTTGTGGAAGCGACCTGCACCTCTATCACAACGTCATTCCCAACCTGAAGAAAGGCGACATTCTCGGCCACGAGGGCACGGGCATTGTCGAGCAGGTTGGCGCATCGGTCACTAAGTTCAAGCCAGGCGACCGTGTAGTTGCCGCTTTCAACATCGCCTGCGGATCGTGCCGCTACTGCAAGGAGAAGCTGTTCACCATGTGCGATCGCACCAACAGCAGCGCTCAGATGGAGCAGCTCTACGGCCAGAAGCTTGGTGGCGTCCTCGGCTACTCGCATCTGCTCGGTGGCTACGCCGGCACCCAAGCCGAATACTTCCGTGTGCCGTTTGGCGATGTCAACTGCTTCCACGTGCCCGAGACGGTGTCGGATGAGAAAGCCATCATGATGGCCGATATCACGCTCACCGCTTACCACACTGTTGTCGACATCGACTTCAAGGAGGGCGAGACGGCAGCCATCTGGGGCGCCGGACCTATTGGTCAGCTCGTCGCCCAATGGCTTGTCAGGGTCTTCCATGCCAAACAGGTGATCCTCATCGACAATGTAGCTGCTCGTCTGCAATGGGCCAAAGACAAGCTCGGCAACATCTCTACCATTAATTTTGACGTAACCCCCGACGTGGTGGCCGAGATCCTGAAGAAGTGTCCGGGCGGTGTCGACGTCTCCTTCGACACAGCTGGCGCCCGCTACGCCAAGTCACTCGCGCACAAGGCGATGCAGATGGTTGGCGCCGAGACCGACACATCGGAGAACCTCAACGAAGCCATCCGGGCTACGCGCAAGTTTGGCCGTATCTCTGTCATCGCCGACTACGTGGGACAGTGCAACGCATTTGAGATTGGTGCGCTGATGGAGAAGGGCATCATGCTCAAGGGCAACGGTCAGGCACCTGTGCAAGCGTACATGGAGCAGGTGTTCAAGGACTACGTCGTACCTGGCAAGTTTGACCCGACCTTGGTTCTGACGCACCGCTTCAAGCTGGAGGATATCCCCAAGGTGTACAAGGCCTTTGACGAGAAGCGCACCGACGACAGCAAGGGCGGCATCCCGATCATCAAGACGTTCATCGAGACGAAGGCGTCCAAGCCCAAGGCTCCTGGAACGCCCGCTCTCAGCTCCGTCCCTGGCTTCTGATGAGCAGTGGTCGATTGCTTACCGCTGGGTTCTGGTAAGTTTCTGTCGTCGTCTTGTTCTCGTTCCGGTCCTTCTTCGAGAAACATCCACTTCGCATCGCATTCCACATCATGTTCAGTCTCTTGTTCTCTCTCCAAGGTTTTTCGTGGTTCCGTCAGCCCGCAATCGAATTGTGATCGTTCATCTGCCTTGTGTTGAGTGTTGAATTCGACTGTCGAGGCGAGTTTGAGCTGATGTATAGATGAAATCACCTCGCTTTTCGGGACGGCTGACTGAAGCTGCGTTAGTGCAAAGAAGGAGGCAAGGGTCCTGTCGGTTTGCGCGCGTCAACAGATGTCATGCGTCTGAGTGGAGGATCACTCATCTTACACTCATCTGATCTCGGCGAATTTCCTTGTGGAATAAGCCACACCCTCGAATCGCTTCGGAAAGGACTGCGATGTCTTTCCTGGGTCTCGCAGCAAGTGATTGTGACGTGCTTCTGCTCGTGTGACGTTTTCCCACAGACCTGAGGCGAAAGTTCTTCCGACAAGCTGACGTGCGCAAGATCCCTTCAGCTCGCAATGGCTGGGAGTTTTGCAGGCGATCCTATATATACCACCCGTGGTCCATCTCTGTTGCAACAACATCTTTCCTGCAAAACTTGTCAGCCCATCTCAAATTTTAACCATGTCGGACGCCATTTCAAACGCACAAACATCCACCGGACCTCAACAGGAAGTCGCAGGCACGCTGCCCAACAATTACTCTCTAGCCGGCATGAAGGCGGACTACAAGGTGCCGCTCGACACGGTTCCCAACCCAGAGGCTGGACGCGACGACGTCAACACCGGCGGTCGCGGTGGAGATGTGCTCCGACAGGAAACTCAGGCACATGTAAGTTTTTCATCTTGCAGAAGAGCTTGTGTTCGCCAAAAGTAGAAAGCTGACACGATCCGACTGTGTTCTTTCAACGACCAACAGGACATCGACTTGCCTCCCAACAAGCCTCACCTGCACCCGAGCGCTAACGAGTCGCACAAGCAGGTCCACTCCAGCACCAAGGGTCCCGATAAGCCTGATGTATGATGCTTCGCAACTCAGCATAAGAAATCAAACTTTTGGAGTAAAGCAGCAAATGTTTTAAACCCCTCTTGCGACGAACTGCGTCTAGATTGTACCACCTCCTACAACCTCCACCTGGTCCCTACCTCCAACCCATCCTGCAATTCCTTCAACTTGAGCTCCTCGAACCGCTTGACATCCAACCCCTTCCCTTCCCTATCCACCTCCATAAAGTTGGGCCTTAATCTAGTGACACTGACATACCCATTCAAGATGGCCCAAACGTCGGTCCCCTCTGGCAGACTCTTGGGACCCAACAAGCTGGCCATGTTGGGAGCAAAGTGGAGCACATTCTGCGGTTTTGGCGCTGTGGCAGGTTGCGGCGCTGGAGGAGCCGGGTACGTTGCCGTCGATTCGGCTGCGAACAGCGGACCGTATCGGTTCTCCCAGATCCTCGTCCACACGACTTCGGGTTGAGAGATAGTCTCGCACAGCGGAACGTTGATGCTGTAGCACCTTACGTCTGCTTCCTGAGACCAGTTTGTGTAGAGACGCTGGATCAACGAGGCGGTGAACCTGTTCGCTGTGGAAGCGACGGTTCGAAGTTGGGCAGGTTCCAATCCCGGACCACGAGCCTTGGATCGATCCGCGAAAGTGGGTGGGTTGGCGGTAAAGTGTCCAAACGATACTGCGATGCTGCGAACCCCCGCGAGAGCTGCCGCCATAGCTGCACCCAGCGTCCCGGAGGACATGGCGAACGCCGTTCCTGTGTTCCTACCGAAGTTGGGTCCGGAAACGACCAGGTTGAAGGGAGTGGTGGTGCTGGCGGGTGCCTCTCGTTCAGCAGCTGTTTCGCCGAAGAATGCGTTCTGGTTGAACAGACCAGAGTTGGATGCTGTGGTGGGTGAGCCGTCGATGAGGATCCATTCGGCGATCTCGCCACGTTCGCGGTTGATTGGTCGACGGGTGGCCGACCACGATTCGGAGGTGCCGGCGTGTTTGCCGTCGAAGTTGTCTTTGATCGGGTAGTAATACCAGTATGCTACGGGGCCTTGCAGCGAGAACTGCATCGATCCCCACGACTTTTGGAAGGAGGGTAGCACTACGGTCACATCCCAACCAAGAGCCGTGAGCTCCTCATACAACCCCAATACGTGGGGCGAGGATGTCGAGGGTGGACCGTCGTCGTTGACGAGAAGCACCTTGACCCTCGCGTTTGCCATCTTGTGCGAGCTCGATAGGTTCGTGAATGCGGTCGAAGGGGTATCAGTGTCGGAAAGTTCTTGTCCGATGTAGAGACCTGACACTGGCGATGGGTGGTAACGCCGTTGCTGTTCTCGATACAAAAGTACAGACACGACGAAGACAAGGATGGAAGTGAAGAGTGTATGCAGCGAGAGGGTACGCAGATGCAGCATCAAACACAGGCTGCGAATTCAGAAGGTCGAGTCAGTTGTGGCTGTCGAGAGAACGTTGATCAACGGCAGCAAGGAGTCTCTGTGCTCCGTGCTCTGTGCTCTCGTCGGTCTTTGAGAATCGCCGTCCGACCGATGTTGCTCGTGCGACTGCCTCGGAGGAGCCGAAGAATTACCCGCAATTTTTGGAGTTGGCAAGTGTGAGATCGATGCTTGCTTGTGGAGGGATTTTTTGGTTCATTGCACGCAGCTTTGCATCATCATCGTCGACGTCTTCCATCTCTCAACCTTCATCTCAGACATCGCTCATCCTGCCAGAATCACCACCTGTGTCCACTTTGGCACTCACACGCAGATCAGCACGCATCATCCTCTCCACTCTCTCTGCGCACTCGCGTTATCGTCAGCATCACTTCTCCAAACAGCTACGAACTGCGACCTCTCCCTCCTTCCCCCTCCCGCCCATCGCGCACTATGGCGCCCTCCACCTACTCCGCCTCCCCCGTCCCTCACCACACCCCCATCCACCCACGCGCCCCTACCGCCAACCTCGTCTCCATTAAAGTCCTCGTCTCGCTCATCGGTCAAGTCCTCATCTGCGGCGCGTTCCAAATGTGGGCCTTCTACTACGTCCGTGCTCAACCCTGGTACACCCCACCCGTCATCGATCCCGATGCCGAACTCAACTCCTCCAACCCCGAAAACTCGGCCGTCTTCCTCGTCTCCTCCTTTCAATACACCATCGGGTGTCTCGTATACACCACCGGATATCCTTATCGAAAGAACCCGATCACGAACGTTTGGCTCATGGCTAGCGTAACCCTCCTCCTCGGGTTCAGCCTGTACGCCTTGTTCACACCAGAAGGTTTCGTCGCAGATATCTTGGGCTTGGTCAAGTTCCCCAGAAGCTTCCACGTGGCGCTCTTCGTGGCGGTGGTGATCAACACGCTGTTGAGCTTCGCCTTCGAAAGCTTCCTCGCAAAGTACGTCGTAAAGTCGGTCAAAGGGTTGCAGCGCGTGATGAGGAGATCAAGACGTGGAAAGGGCAGAAAGCATGGCAACAAGACCTACAAGGCGGTAGAACGAAGCATGCAGCACGATGGAGACGCTTGACCTGCTATGCTTCCCTGTTTCTCAAACTTGTACTTTTATTCACGTCTCAGATCGCACTTTCATCGCACGCATCGCACACACACACACACACACACACGAAATTCCTGCCTGCAGTCTTCTATGGATCGTTAGCATTGTCGACCATTCCCTACTCTACGGCGGTCCAGTCCTAGCCGAGAACACGCTCAACAACAGCGCCGAGAAGTCCGCCAACATGAATTGTCCATCCGACAGCGAGCTGCCGATCGAATACATGAGCAACACCGACGAGAACTGGATCAGCGACGTCAAGCAGATGTAGCTGAAGCAGTTGAACGACGTCACCAGCGCCGCACGTCCTTCGGCGATCGTATCGAGCACGCATGAGATGTCGCCTCGGTTCGATGTGAACGGCGCCGCAACCGACGCCTCCGCTTCCGAGAGCGAGATGCCGATATCGGCCGCCTTGAGCGCACCGCAGTCGTTGGCACCATCACCGCAGAACCCTACGCAGTAGTTGAGCGCTTGCAGTCGCTCCACCAGCTCGTGCTTCTCGTCCGGCGACATTCGTGCAAAGATGGTTCCTTTGATGAGCATCCTCCTCACCGTCTCGATGGGCGCAAAGTCGATCATCCACCTGAACACGTCGCCCGTCAAGGCCAGCTGATAGTCCTGGAAGTCGAACTCCTCCAGATCCAGCACGTGCGGGTCCACCTCCCTGGGCTGCAGATTGTAAGCATCCAGCTTGATCCGATCATCGTCGACGCTCGACCAATCGATCACCGCCCTCGGGCTCCTCTGATCGCCCTCGACAAACGTCGGCATGAACACGTGCGCCGACTGACCCACCATGCCGCACTCCCTCGCCACACTGATGGCCGTCCTCGGATTGTCACCCGTCACCATCTTGGTCACGATGTTGGCGTTCCTGAGCACCTCGATCGCGGGCGCACTGCCTTCCTTCAGCTTGTTCTCGAAGATGATCAGACCGAGGAATCGCAGCCCGCTCTCGGCTTGCTCTCGACGCATGCGTTGTGCTTTGATCCAGCTCATCCCCGCCATCGACTTGCCCGCGCATGCGATGACACGGTAGCCGTGCTTGGTGTAGTACGAGAGCAGATCATCGTAGTCCGCGGGGAAGGTGTCCTTGTCGCAGATGTCAGCCATCACTTCCGGTGCACCTTTCACAAACACTTCCATCGACTGCGACTTGAGACGTTTGACGATGACCGACATTCGACGCAGCGAGCTGACAAACTCGAACGTGCGCAGCACTCCTAGCTCCAGGAAGTGTGCGTGGCGGCCTGATTTGATGGCATCTTCCACCTCGAAGGCTTGGCCGCCCGGTGGACGCACAACGGTCTGAACCAGCGCAGGCGGTCGTTCCGTTAGCTTCGACTTGCCGTTCTTGGCGGTTCCGGATTTGGTGGTGGCTTTGGCCGAGCGATCTTTGCCCTCGTCCAAGGTCCAACCGGTGTACTCGAACATCTTGACGTCGAGCGGGTCGCCGATCACCTCTCCATCGACGACCTTGAGCGAGTGACAGGTTGCCATAGCATACAGCAGAGGCATCTTTCGCGCGTCTGCATCCGTCTTGGCACCGGCGCCGACCGGCATCTCCTCGACCGTCTCGTGCAGCTCGCTGAATCTGCCGGCTTTGAGATCGATGGTACGCGTACCAAGCACGTCCAGACCCTCGGCGGTGAGCGTACCGGTCTTGTCAAAGGCAAAGACATCGACCTTGCCACCGATGATGACGCGGTTGGGCGAAATGCAGAAGATACCGACTTTGCGCAGACGATTGATGGCAAACGAGATACCGATCGACATCGTAGCTGGAAGGGCGGGAGGGACCACGACCGTGATCAGGTCGAGCGCACGGATGACAATGATGTGCCAAGCAATGCCGATCTTGACAAAGTTGACAGCAGCAAAGGTGAAACCAATACCCGCAATCATAGCGAGGAAGCCGATGAAGCGGAAAGAGTCGCGATAGAACTTGAATCCCATGGGCTTGGGGAACAGCATGCTGCGCACCAGGGCACCTTTGGTGGTGTTGAATCCGGTGCGAACCACCATCGCCTTGGCGCCAGCCTCGTTCTTGTCAGTGGACCCGCTTCCACGGATACGGATGATGCGTGTGCCAGAGAAGAGGAAGTGTTTGGCAAGATCCGCAGTCACTTCGGTGCCAGCTGCGTGAAGACCCGCCATGCTGGTCGTGGTCAGCGGCACCTTGCTGACAGGGACACTTTCACCTGTAAGCATGCTCTCGTTGACGATGGCGTCGCCACTCAGCAGGACACTATCAGCGGGGAAGAGCAGCAGGCCGGGTTCGGCTACGTCGTAGACATCACCGGGGACCAGATCGTTCGAATCGAGCACCTGCCACTTGCCTTCGCGCAGTACGCGGACGTCGCACGAGAAGCGACTCATCTCGCGCATGCGGTTGACCGTCTGACGCGTCTCGAGGAGTGTGGTGAAGATCGAGACGAGCGAAATGACGGCGATGCAAAAGGCGTAGTAGTAGTAGTTGTCGAAGGACCAGAGGATGATCGAGACGATCTGGAACATGTAGAATGGATGAAGCACCTCGTCGACCAACAACTGCCACGTGGACTTGGCCTGGATCTCGATGGCATTCTTACCAAAGACGGTCGTGCGATCCTTCTCTGCGTCGAAGCTGATGCCGTTGTTGATGGCGGCGAGCGAGGTCCACAGTGGGTCCCGCCAGTCCTTGATCATGCGGAGGCGGCCAGAGGGCGGATGCAGTGCGTACCGGGTATAACGATGGTCGAAAAAGGTGAGGTCCATGAGCTGCTCGGTCTGAACACCGGAGAGCATGGCGAGACCGCCAGTAGTAGTAGACGTGTCAGCTCCGTGGCTGGTGCCGTTGACGCCATTTGAAGGTGTGCCGCCGTTGACGATGCTGCTCTTTGCCGAGGTGTTCTTTGAAGGTGCGCTGCTCTTGCTGACAAGCTCAGGAGGCAGGTTCATGGTGGGCATGGATTGTGCTTCAGCTTGAGTAGCAGGTGGCTCACGCGAAGAGTGCGGGAAGACCGTGGCGAGAGGGCGGGCGAATGGAATGGTGGTGCATCTCTCCTTGTGAAGATCTCCCCACTGATTCTCGATCATGACGAATTCGGCCTTTTCGAATTCGACCTCTTTGCAGACGTACCTGAGTCGGAAACGAGGCAGCCATCGACCGATAAGGTAGACGATGCCTAGCGTGAGGCAACAGACGATCGAATAGATAATCTGGTTACCGACGAGCGTCTTGTAGCCAGTGAAGCGAATGAGAGTATCCTCTTCGGTCAGATAGACTTGCTGCCTGCTCCTCGAGGCTTTGTCGAGGTAGCTCATCTCCTCCTTTGCTTGGGCACTGCTGCTCGCGGCTGTTCGACCGCGTGACTGCGCGCTGGCGCCGAGATCGCCCTCGGAGCGGCCGAATCCATTGGCTTCTCCTTCTTCAAGATCGCGACCGGCGAGCTCAGCGTCCAGGTCATCCTCGGGCGGATGATCAGTGGAAAAGCGCGTGTCTCCAAAGACGGGGTCGACTGCACCGCTGAGTGTACCGAAAGCTGAAGGAAGGATGCCGTTGCGGTTGGACGCATCGTCGTCGGAAGAATGGTATGAATCGTCGTCGTCGTCTTCGTCGTCAAAGCCGTAGTCGTCGTCGCTCCAGCCTCTGCTGTTGTCGTAATCCTCGTCTTCGTCTTCGTCATCGCGGCCTGCATCTGACCTGCCGGTGCGGGTTGAGATGACCGAGCCTGACGATCGTCGACGGGAGAGAAGAGGTCGAGAAGATGATCGGCGGCTTCGAGCATCATCGTTATCATCGTCAGCCCGGTCGCCACGGATGGAGGCGAGAATGGAGCCGAGCATACCTTTGGGCTGACTGGACCCCGTGAGGTCGGCATCTTCAGGAACGCGCTTCCTGCGACCAAAGTGGTACGTGCTGCCGCTGCGTTGACTGGCTGGCTTGCGGCGACCAGCAACCGAGTCTGGAGAGACACTTCTCTCACTCGAGATAGTGACAGCCTCGCTCTGTTCGCTCTGCGCAGATGCACTCGAAAGCTTGCGGGTGCGACGTGGTGAACGGCCCTCCAACGAGATGCGGCGGCGAGAACTGCGAGAGGTCCTACGGCCTAGCTCCGGCCTGGCCATCTCGTGGCGCATACTGCTCACCGAACTCGGAACAGCACCGGCACCGGGACCATCGAAGATGCTTCCGCCCTCATCGTAACTGCCGACCTGGCTATCCCGCCGACGCCTTCGACCGATCTCGACGGCGCCTCCGGAGGCTTCATCGGTGCCGGCGTCGAGTTCAGCTTGCTGCTGCGATTTTGCCCACTCGATGGCTTCACGAGCTTCCTGATCGTCAAAGTAGGGTGAAGAGGCAAAGTCGGCTACACGTGAGTCATCGGTAGTTGCTTCTGCGTCGATCTTCTTCGATGGCATCTGAAAGGGAGCCTGGTACTCGTCGGCAGCGACCTCGAAATGCTGCTTGGACTTGGATGAGCTCTGGCCATTGCGGCGTGAGCGGTCTGGTTCCGTCATGGTGACTGTGCGCAGGTGACGGCTGTGCCTCGGTAGAGAGCCGATGGCTGAGTCGAGAGTGATGATCAAGTCGGGATGGCGGACGAAGATGGAAAAGAAGACGGCAGGGAAGAGCGATTGCACCCAGATCCGAATAGAAGTGACACGCGAGCCTGCGCTCTATCGGCAGCTCCGTACTCGATCCCTGTGATTTCAACACGAGGCAGCACAGTGACGGAGTCGAACCAAGCATTTTCGTCGACGAAAATGGCAGGCATCTCGCGAGTCTGCTGGGCGTGGGCGGATTTTCGCGCTGAGCAGCACCTCCACTAGTTTTCGCATGCAAGACTTGGGTCTCGATCCAACCGCGACGGTAGCTCATATCGGCGTGACCGAAGGGTAGAAATCGATAGGTGTTCATCCTGGAAGCTTCGAAGCAGACAGACCTCAGACTCTCGAAAGGTAACGATCAACACTGAGATAAACCTCGACCTGAAAGATTGATGGGTATCTACAGAGCGAGTCGGGTCTAAAGATCAATCCCAAATCCAGCTGATGAATCGAAGCCACCTTCTGTCTCCCTTCACAGCGGCTTCTGCCTCCTCTTCCAGACGAGCCTGGTCAGCTCGCTCTTTGGCCTGCTCGATCGCTTCCCTCAATGGTAGATCCTCAAGTTTGACCCACTTTGTCTTCTTGATCAGCTTCCATCCCACGAAGAAGGCGATCACCAGCGGGATATCCAGGTAGCTCGACACAAAGCTGTTGGCGTTCCATCGTCCCGCGGTAAATACGCTGAACCCGCCAGTGAAAAGGATGACGAGACACATGACAAGAGCGACGTAGCTCGAGTACTCGGTCCATCCGTTATTCCATGGCAGCTCCGAGGCCGGGACGCCTTGTTTGCGCAGAGCCGTCTTGAGGCGGATGTGGTTCAGCAAGACTGTCGACCACGATACCAGCACACCTGCCGCGGTCAAGCTGACGAACCAGTAGAACACAGTAAGTGCACCAGAGGAGAGCGTCATGAAGCTGAGGAACATAAACGCGGTGAAGAAGAGCACGCAGTAGATCGGGATGCCCCACGAGGTCGTTCGAAGGAAGAAGCGCGGAGCTTGACGCTTCAGTGCCAGACCGTACAGCACTCGAGTTCCAGCCAGTAGCGCTTGATTCGACGATGACCACGCTGATGTGATCACGATGGCGTTGACCACGGATCCTACCGCAGAATAGCCTGCTGTAGAGACGGCGATGACGAATGGGGACTGAGCAGCTGTGCCCGAGTAATCGTTGAGACGAGGATCGTCCGAAGCTACCAGCATGCCCACAACGAGCACCGCCAGCAAGTAGAACAGAGCGATACGAACAAATACCCTCTTGCAGGCTCGTGGGATTGTTCGACCTGGATTTCTTGTTTCGGCTGCTGCCATGGCGAGACTTTCGACTCCAGCGAAGGAAAAGACAGCAGAGACGAGGCACGACCAGAAGCCGAGGAACCGACCCCAGGCGCCTGTTCCGATGTACTCGACGAAGGGTCCTGGCGTATCCCAGTACCGGAAACCAATACGCTCGACTCCGGGAATCCCGCCAAGATTGACGACGAGGCCGAAGATGATCAGGAATACGACCGTTAGCAACTTGAGTGAGGCGAATGCGAATTCGACCTCTCCGTAGGCGCGGATGAAGACGACGCCGATGGTGAAAGTCAGCACGATGAAGATCATGATCCAGAGAGACGAGTTGATGTCCGTCCAGAACTGGAAAAGAACGCAGATGGCCGAGATCTCCGAAGGGATGGAAAGCACGTTTCCATATACGATGTTCCAGCCCACCGCAAAACCCCAGGCTGGGTCTAGAAGGTAGTCGGCATGGCGGACGAAGGAGCCGGTGACGGGAAGCAGTGCTGATACTTCGCCGAGGGCGAATTGCACAGCGCAGACAATGGCGCCTACGGTTGCATAGCCCAGAAGTGCACCGAGCGGCCCGCCAGTCTGAATGGATCCACCCAGCGACAAGAACAGACCTGTTCCGATGGATCCCGCCAATGCAATCATCGAAAGGTGGCGTTGCTCTAACCCTTGCTTGAGGTGAGTCCTTTCGGTGGTGGTGACGCCAACCTCAGCACGGACATCCTCTGCCGGCGTCATGTGAATGGTCTTGTCCATGGATCCTGCATCTTCTTCGGCTGATCGAAGCTTGCTGTTGTGGTCCGCTTCCATCGACGGACCTGATCCGCCGACTGTAGCGTCTTGCGGGTACGACATCTTTTGCCACGAAGTATGGATGGCAGATGCTGGTGGGAAGGGAGGAGGGAAGAGATTTCAAGAGTTGGAAGAGCAGATTCAAGTGAGGTGGCTTTTCTGGCGCAAGCCAGATGCAGGAACGACCGCCCCCAACTCAGAGCCTGATCCTCGAGATAAGGTTTCAGCAATTCAGCACACGCGACCTTCGCCATGGTGAGGAGCAAAAAAATTAACGTCTGCAACCGGCGGGCACCGAGCCGAACCAACGAAGAACACCTAAGCCGAAAGTCTCGACGAGAGGGGCCAAGAGGGGCGTGGCGCGCTGGACCCTGGTTGGTTCCCGCGAAGTTCTGCTCTCCCATCGACATTGAGGTTCGAAATGGCGTTATCTATGCAGAGCGACCCGAATTGTCGATGCAGTTCTCGACAGAACAGAGGTCAGCCCGCGGCAGGTTTTTTCCTCCCGTGTAACAACAATCAAAAATTCGTGACATCCCAGCCGGCGATTTGGCCGGCCTCGGTGAAAATCGACGCGAAGCATTTGAAAGCCCTACCGTCTTTCGATGTAACAAATTCCAGTCTTTCCGGGCTTAAGCGTTTCCTGCCAAGAACCCGGACCACGTGTGAAGGTGTGGGGGACACCGAGCTGGGCAGATTGATGTTTGACGGTTCAGCAACCCTTGCATTGCGACGTGGGGACGTAATTGCTTCCGACGAACATCCTAGAGCGCTCTTGTACCTGATCAGAGTATCCCAACCGTCACAAACACCATCATCGCCTCTTCCACCTTCAGGACCTTCTCATCATGAGCAGCAGTTCTGACCCGCAGTGGAGATTCCACGACCCTACGTCCTCTAGCTCCCACACCATCTCGCCCTCCACCTCATCCTCCTGTACCGTCTCAATCACCTCCGGCGCACGTACCGACTGGTGGACGACAGCGCCTGGCTCACAACCCGAGTCATCTGCACATCGCACCACCGGACCTGTCGTGTATCAGTCAGTCTCCCTCCCCGACAGCGCCTCCTTCCGACTCTCCGGTATCCTCTCGCAGCCCGGCACCGAGCGATTCCAACAAACAACGCTCTTCATCCAGCGCCAGCATGCTGGCACAAGCGGTATTCAAGGTCAGCTCTGGCTGAAAGCAGGTGTGGAGAACGAAGGAGGAAGACAGTACGTCGGTGTTGTCGCTACGAACCCGTATTCGGACTGGAACGTTTCACCTCTAGCGAACGGAGGTGCTGGTGGAAAGCGGGTCAAGATTGAGATCGAGAAGACGGGTCCGGATGTTCATGTCTACTACACAGTCGTGGCAGGAGATGGCAAAGAAGAGGATGCAGAGAGGTTCTTGCTGAGAGAGAAAAAGGGGCTTGCCGTGCCAGTGGACGGAGAAGAGCACGAGGAGTGGTGGATCGGTGCTATGGTGTGCGGCCCTTTGAGCGAGGCTACGCAGGGAACGGTGGACGAGTGGACGTTTGACATTCTGCCGGAAGGACATCAGCATTGATGCGGCCTGATTTCTCATCACTATACACGATCTCGACTCAAATGTTCAAATCACTCTTCCCACTCGAGGGAGTCATAGACATCACGATCGCATTGCAATCCAATCCAGATGGGTATCAAATTAAAACGCCGTCGTCGCCGCTGACCTCTGTATACTCCTCCCCCTGCTCCCCTCCCTGCCGAACGGCGAAAGCGACTGCTCCCCAACAATCCACTTCCTGGCCCTCGACAACGACATCTCACCCCTCAACCTGCCCACCCTGGCCAGACTCCTCCCCCTCATCCTGCTCCGACTCCTCTCCCCCTCCCCATCAAACTCCTCGTGCATCACCCTCGGCTCAAAGCCATACTTTCTCGCTGGGGGCACGTACTTGGGCGGTTCTCCCTTCTCGTCGCACATCTCCGCCAAACAGGGTGAGAAGAAGATCGCCCCCGTCAACGCCCTCTTCACCGTCATGGTCGCGATGAAGATGTACAACACCACCTCCACCAACGCCAGCACCGTCCCCACCACCCTGAACGCACCCGAGTCGAGGACACTGCCGAACTTGATCGCCGCCGTAGCAAACACCCCCAGCGGGAAAGTAAACCCCCACCAACCCAAGTTGAACGTCAGCTCGCTGACCAACCACAGATCTACCAGACTCGACACCGCCAGTACCAACCATACCAGTCCCAAACCCCAGATGACCAGCGCAACTGGTACGCTCACCGCATAGATCGCAGTAGCCATGATTTTTGCCGTCTGCACATCGACGCTTTTCTCGTTGGGAAGTGCAACACCGTGTTCGTCGGCCAACTTGTACAGCACGGATGCGAACTGAAGCAGTGCAAATGCACCTTGGCCGCAGGGACCGAGCGGGAGGAATGTGCTGACGATCAGCTGCGCGGGTGGAATCTTGTAGATAGCCTGCCTGGCGTAGTACAGACTCATCAGCAAGAACGCCATCCCGAACCCTGTCCCCCACAACACCCAACATACCACCAAGGTCAACTTGGCATGCCCTACATCCAGCAAATCCGCCACCAACCCTCCAGTTGCACTGCAGACGATGGTAGTGACGACGGGCAAGAACCACACAGCGGTGATCTTGTCCAGAGACTGTACGTGTCGTGTGAACTGGATGAAGGGTAATCCGATGCAGATGGACAGTGACAGCACAGCGTTGATCCACCATAGCGTCCACGTAAATGTGATGAATCCGCCACCCCAAGCTGGGGCAGCCGAGATGGCGCACATGGCAACAAGCGTCGACATACCCATAACAAACGTGCCCAGGAAGAGCGACTGAGTCGGGTGGAACAACATGATCCAGAACAGCTGCGGCCAGATGATGTAGCGTGCGATACTGATGCCCAAAAAGACAAGGAAAAGCAGAACATTGAAGCCAAAGATGACGTTCGAGATGATCCCGAGACCGTTGAACTGGTATGGTAGCTGGTGGAGCAAGATGGAGGTGATCCCGGTACCCATGTTGACGCTGAACCAGCTAGGTGTAAAGTGCATAGTGATGCGCCGCAACTCGGAGCGCCATCGTTGCGAACGTGTGAGCGTTACTGGTGGCGGTGAGCAACCATCTTGCGTGGAAGAGGATGCTGTGTTGGTGTTGCTAGAAGCTTGCTGTTGGAGGGAGTTGGAGGAAGAATGCTCGGGTATCGCAGCTGGTAAATCCGTCCCCAGATCCGGTATCAGGCTGTGACCTGTGCGGCCAGAGCCTTGCGTGCCCTTTTCGAGGTCATCCATGATGATGATAGTGTGCTACAACATGCGGGTCGGCGTGCAAGAGATGATGTCGATGAAAGCGAAGAACGAAAAGCTGAGTTGCTTTCGGATGTCGTACGATCAATTTTTGTGACTCGGCTTAAAATCGGCGGCAATTCCGATTATTTGGCAGCGTGTTGCGTGCTGTCAAACTCAAATCACAGCATTAGATGCAGGGTCTTGTCAGCCGCCACCACGCAGCATCCGCGGAAAGCAATTCGTGTCAATCAATACAACAGATCTACAGAGTCCTGGCCACTAGTCAAGCCGATCAACGTCCTCAATCCCCTGCTGCTCGTCCCCCTTCCTCCTCAGCACCCTCTTTACGAGGTACCTCTTGTTCGTCGCACACCACAATCCCACCTGAACCGCCAGCATCGCCACCAACATGGGCGCCAAGATCTTGATCCCCTGAGGCGCCTCCTGCGATGCGATGCCCACCAGCAACGGTAGCATCGCCATACCCGCCGCTGCAAATGTCGAGATGAAGCTGATCGCCGCGGTCAGGTGTGCTCTCGGCCGAACGGTCCTCTCGCACACCCGGATCATGGCTGGGAAAGCGGGTCCCAAGAACACGCCGAGCAAGGCGAGCGCTACGGCGTTGGCTACGATGTTGGGGAGCAACCAGACGAGGAGCTGCAGACCAATGGCGCAGAAGAGGTAGACGAGCACCGCGAGCTCTTCTCCCATCCATGCCGTAACGGGAATGAGGAGAATCCGGCCGAAGGCGATGCCTGCCCAGAAGCCAGATACGATGGCGTTGGCCGATGTGGACTGGTTGCGAACTTCCAGCAGGAACGTCGACGACCATCCGCCGACGGTGACTTCGGTCCCAACGTACATGAACGTAAAGAGGCTGAGCAGGATGACTTTTCGTTGACGCACTACCGCCTTGAGCTTGTGAAATGCCGAACGTGTGTTTGCCGTGTCTGCGGGGACAGGGTGCAGTTCTGAGCGGCCAAGACCGCGCGAAGTAGTAGGCATGAGTTCCAACGGTGTCGATGACGAGCCCGACTCGCCCGCTTGCGAGACTCCAGCTTCATCAACACACTGGTGCTTCTCCTTCGAATCGCTCGCGCTCCTCGGCTGCAACTCGATGCGCGTCTCTGTCACATCACCCATCTCTGGGCCTTCGACATGTTCATCCCTCTGCAACCTGAATGCCACCGTCACCAACGTCAACACGACCGTCGCCAATCCCAACGAAACGATGAAAAAGTACTGAAACGCAATCCCCTTCCTTCCCTCGTGCAAAAACGGAATAGCAGCCAAGGGACTGCTCAGCGCGCCCACGCCATACAGGAAGTGCGTGAACCCCAGCCTCACATCCGCCTTTGGTCTCTGCGAGATCCACACGTTGACCAACGCATCCAGCGTCGAAGTCGACATTCCCGAAAAGATCATCGCCACGATCAGCACCGGGAACGGTGGCATCGTCAGGAAAACCACCGGAAACACCATTCCTAGAGCAGCCGCACCCGAGATCATCTTTCCGAACCCAAAACGATCCATCATCGGTGAGACGAAACCAGCAGCGATGATGCATCCGGTAAAAGTGCCGACGAAGAGCATCGAGACGTACACGAAGCTCAAATCCCATCGCTGCCGGATCGCAGGTAGCAGCGCTCCCGGTGTAGCATCCACCCATCCGGCGAGCAGGAAGCATGTGTAGAGCGAGCATTCTTTGAGAAACATGCTGCGGCTCTCGGCGTCACCGTGCGCTCCGTGGCCGGTGAATTTCGAGATGCTCTTGACCGCATGGCGCAGTGCGTTGGTGGTGCGCGGTCGAGGAGCAGGATTTGTGTTTGTGGTGGTGGTGGTGATCGAAGTGGGACGCGAGGCGTGGACGAAAGATGAACGGGAACGTGGCTGCGAGAGGTCAGCTGCGTCGGATGGCTCTCGCAGAGACATGATGGACGAGTTGCGGAGCAGGCGATGTGCGGGAGATAGTGGAAGGAAGAGCAAGGATGGGCTCAGTGTCGTACGCCTTGAAGGGGCAAGTGTTCAGCACAGAAGACCTCTGGTCTTTATACCCCACTGACCAAGATAAGCCCCCTCTCGAGCACCAGGAGAAAAAAAAAGATTCGGCACTCCGACTTCATCGGAAACCCGAACCACACGCCTCTTCGCAACGCCTTCTCCTTCGTTGACAGCGACATTGTACCACCGAGTGGGTTGCATTACCTGGCCTTTCCCTCGCAAACCAAAGTAAACTCCGTTACCAGCTCCACGCCTGTCAAGATCACGCTCCGCGTCGTCTCTCACTCTCCGCCTAATTTAGCGCGAGCGCGCGTGTTCGGGCTCAAAAGACGCCGTTTTATCGCCGACGAGATAGCGTCCTCAACGTGACCTTCTGCTACCCGAGAATAGTGGCGTTACCATCTTCATCCACGCGCTATCGTATATTCTATGCGATGACTCGATCGGCTATCCATCTGTGAGGAGATACCTTTCAAGACACTCTGATCGTCGGAAACACAACGGGACGTGGCCGGGTGGGAGAAGGCGACTCACTCCGCGGGGCTCCCTTTTCTCGGCGTGATTCAAAAAAAAAAAGAAATTGACCGGTCTGTCGTAGATCGACCGAAGCTGCTCCGAGCGGGCAACTTTCACCTCAGCATGGCAACCCTTCTACCCCGCTTGTTCGTTCTTGCCTTGCCTGTCAAACCAGAGCCAGACATAACAATCACACGAACATCCTGGTCTCTCACTCACATCACACCGTCGACCACACAAGGCTGGTGGTATTCACTCTCAATCACGGTAATCTATGTCTCCCGTCTACTCGACCGAATTGTGCAGCGCCGGCCTACCCTTCCCCTTCCCCTTTTCCTTCGCCTCCCTCTTCCCACCCGCACCCCAGTTCTCCCTCAAGAACGCCGTCATCTCCTCGTACAACTCCCTATTCGCCCCCCTCGTCCGGATACTATGGCTCGAATCCGTAAACATCCTGAACCTAAACCCTCTCACCTTCTGCTTGGTCAGCAGATCCAGTAGATGGGCCGAATTGCTGAAATGAACATTGTCGTCCGCACTGCCCTGCATCAACAGGTATTTGGTCTTGTCGAACCCGGCGGTGACGTGCACCGCTGCGGTCTCGTAGCCCTTGGCGTTGGTGATGGGCGATTTGAGGTAGCGTTCCGTGTAGACCGAATCATAGAAGAGCCAGTTGGTGACGGGGGCCACGGAGACGGCGAGCGAGAAGGGAGAGTTCGGCTGGGAGATGGTTTTGGCGGTAAGGTAGCCGCCGTACGACCAGCCCCATAGGCCGAGACGCGTCGAGTCGACGTAGGGGAGTGTCGAGATGAGCGTGGCAGCTTCGTTGACGTCGGAGGCTTCCAGATGGCCCAGGTCCGAGGAGACGCAGGATCGGTATTGTTGACCTTTGAAACCCGTACCGCGGCCGTCGACAACTACCACAATGTAGCCCAGCGTCGAAGCTACGTACTGATGCCAGTCAGCGCGGTTCCAGCGTGCATCCACGAGCTGAGAGTCCGGTCCACCGTAAACCCGGAACAGCACCGGATACTTTGTCGCCCCCGAAGCGTCGAAATCGTGCGGTCGAATCTCCTTCACGCTGGCGACTGTCTGACTTCCGTCCGGCAGCGTGCTGTTCAGCTTGAGCTGGTAGAACGTGTTCGAAGGCTTGACGTACTGGCTCGAGATCTGCCTCAGAAGCGTATTCTCCTCCAGCATCAACTCGAAGCTCGGATCGTCGACTCCCACCACCTTCTGATACGGCACGTCCGGACCTGCGTAGTTGAGCACGTAGTAGGCACCTTTCGGGTCGAAGCTGACGTCGTAGCTCCCTGGTTTGGACACATCCGTGATCGCCACCGGCTCCTTGACCAAATACTCTGTCTTTCCAGATTTCTTCTTCCAATCCGGCAGTTCGACGTAGTACACGTTGCGCAGCGCAGGCGTCGGCCTAGCAGCGACAAAGTACGCCCGGTTCCGCTTGGCATCCACGTGTTTCAGGTCGGCAATCTCCCACCGTCCTGCGGTCAGGAAGATGGGTTCGTCGGAGTCGGCCGATTCGTAATACGCCAGATGTCGGAATCCTTCGGGGGACACTACGATGTCGAGGTAGGCGGTCGACTTGATGGACAAATTGTGATGCGACAGAGGTTCGATGGTCTGAGCAGCGCGGATCCATCCACTCTTATCCGCCCGAGCGTCTTTCCTCCTGACGACTTGTCCCACCATGTCTGTCCCTGCGGCTTTGGCCGACGCTCCGCTGGAGAGATCGAATAGCACCAACCGCATCACATCGCTGTACCTATCCGTCTCCCTCACCAACAGCTCGTCGTCACCCACCCACTTGACCTCGGTCACCAGTCTCTCCTTCACCCCCGCATCGCTGCTCAAAACCCGATCCACCTCGTTCTCCGCCTTTCCCTTCCCGACCATCGGACTGTGCAACGTATACTGCGTCGGCATGACACTCACCCCCTTCCGCGTCGCCAGCCGAATTTCCTCCAGATCGATCATCTTGACGCTCACCGTCGGGTTCGGGAACCCAGGCTTGGGATACTTCATCCTGACCATCTGCTGGTACGGCGTCGTCAGCCCAGCACGATACGCATCCGGGTTGTACTTGGGGAACTCGTACACGGGGACGTCGGTCTCGTCCAGCCGGAGGAAGACCAACTTGCTTCCACCGGGGCTGAACCACATGACCGAGTCCGAGCCGTACACCTCCTCCTCGTAGACCCAGTCGGGGACGGCGTTGAAGATGGTCGCAGCACCGTCTTGGGTCACCTTGATGGTCGGTTCTCCTGCGCGCGGAACGAAGAAGAGGTTGTTGTCTTCGACGAAAGCCAGACCGGGCGCGTCGGTGCTGCCGGGCACGGCGGGCGCCCACGCAGCGTACGTCACTTTGGGAGGTTGACCCGGACCCGTGCCCAAAGAAACCGTCTTCTTGCTCGCGATGTTATGCAGCCAAAGAAAGCTCTTCTTGCTGTACCTCCACTGATCCACCTCGCTCGACCAGAACAAGACCCACTTTACATCCGGTGAGAACTTGAACCTCGTCCAGTCCAACATCTTTCCCCTTCCATCCAGCACGTTCTTCCCCTCCACGATCAAATTCTTGCCTCCGAAGGACGCCACCTTCCCCGTACCCGTCTCGGCATGTCTGGCGTGCGTGACGTCCTCCAGCCAGATATCGCGTTTCCTCCAGTCGACGTGGCTGAACACGCCTTCGTCTGGGTCTTCGTCGCTCCACTCGAGATCGCTCGATTGCGGCGAAAGGGTTCCGCCGAAGACGGTGTCCATGTCGATCGGCATGAGGTCCTGACCAGACTTGGATTTGGAGGAAGAAACTTCGGTGAGGTCGAGACCGGTTCCGAGGGCGGCTTGGGCGAAGGTGTTCCAGCTTGGGTCTTGAAAGTCGACGAGGAAGTGAGTGGTGTTGGAGAGCGCGTAGTGGCCGGAGGGTGTGTCGGGAGAAGCGAGTTGTTTCCACTCTCCGGGAGAGGACATATCGACGCTGGATGCAGCAGGTACGATCCCAGGTTTCGCTGCACTGCTTCCATCGGTCGAGGATGAAGTGGCAGTACTCACCCCCGAACTCAACCACTGTATCGTCGGCACCCCCAGCACAAATCCGATCACCACTCCCGCAAAGATCAACCCTCCCTTGACCACACCCGTCCTCCTCCTCCCTCTTCCCCCTTTCCCCAACCACCTCGGCCCTTCCCTCTCAACCTGCATCAACCCAACCACCTCCTCATCATCCAACCCCACCGCCTCCTCCACATCCACATACCTCGAACTCACCCTCTTTGGAGGATACACCATCATCCCCGCACCGTCTCTATACTTTTCCGTTCGATCTATCGTTGCATCGGATGCAGTCGCCTGCGAATCGTACGATGTACGAGGAACCTGCTCCCCGACCATATTGTGTGTTTGTGGGCGTCGTAGTGATATGGTACAAAGTCAACCTGCCCGGCAAGCTGCACGCTTCGCCCTGTCCAAGGGTCCAGTTCCAGCAAGCAAATCTCACATTCCCGCCTTGCAATTATCCGTGCGCGAAGCAGCAATGACCGCGCGCACCCCCGCAATTCTTCCTCTCCCCACCCGCACCTCGCAGTTGACCGCAAATCATCCGATAATTCGCCATTTACTCACACACAGCAGCAAATCGCACACGCTGACTCGTGTCGAGCACTTCATATTACAGAACAGCTTCAAGCGGTGAAAAAGCGAAAGGGAGTGACAGAGGTAAAAAAGAGCGTCGTACGATCGAGAGTCTGGCTCGTAGAGCAAGCAACAGATCTTCAGTTGGAGAAAGAGAGGGAAGTGTACACTAAACAGACGCCAAAACTGGCTCGGTGGGGAATCGGCCATCCAACAGCTGTCAACAGCCGGTCGTAGGCTCTACAAAGCCCGGGTATATGTAAAATTGCTTGGCTAGCTTCCACCTTCGAGGTGGATTCACTCCAAAGCGTCGCTTTCTTTTTCGATGAGATGTGAGCTTCGCCTACACGGGGGACTTCCTCTTGGCGAGCCCCGGCGACGTCGCCTGTTGCATCAGACTAGGTGTCCCTTGCCCGCTTGGCCCCGAATTCGACGCCGTACGCTTCAGCTGCGTTCGCATCGCTTTGGCGTTCGGTCCATCACCGCCATCAGGCCCGAAGAAGCTCTGATCGGCCATAGTCAGGTTGTTGTGGCCAAACTGCGGCGCAAACCCGTTCGAAGCGATGAACGGTGACCCGTCGAACGACTTGAATTGCCCATTGGGCATTGCGCCTGGCGCCGGAGAAGGAGGCAACGGTGTGTTGATGGCAGCCATCATGGCTTGGTGCTGCGGCGTCAGCGGAGACGGTGGCATACTCATCATCCCCAATCCGGCATTGCTTGCAGACAATCCTGCCGACGTCGGACTGAAACCGGGATGCGTGCCGTGCCCATACATACCCGCTGTCGACGCCGAAGTGTCGATAGCCAGCCCAGCGAGACCGGCTCGATTCGCGCCGGGTCCACCGCTGCGGCCGATGTTGAACTGCGGGGGTGGCATCTGACCCTCGCCAAACGAAGCTGATCGCTGCGGTGTCATGTTGGCTCCCATCGCCATCATGCCACCGTCACCGTGCACTGAGCCATGCATCGGTGAGCCGCTCATCGTCAGCATGCTTTCGCTGTGCGCCGAACTGGAAGAGACGCGTCGGGAAAGAGGCGTTCCCGCCATGCCAAAGGCGTCGAACGTCGGCGGTGTTCCATGCATACCTTGGGGAAGGTTTGTCGGGCCAGAGCCCATACGCAGACCGCCTGGGCCTACGCCTGCGCCGAATTCGGGTTCCGTAACAAAGATGGGTGGGCCGTCGTGCCCCTGCGGCGTCCACAGACCCTGCGGAGGCATTGGAGAAGGCAGATCCAGCGTAGGGATGCGGACATCGAATCCGAGGTTGCCACCGCTGGACTTCTTGACGTGCTCAAGCACGAGTCCAAGCACGTCTCTGAGCTGCGTGGTGAAGGTGCGCAGCGCCATGTTCTGCTCGGTGAGCTCTTCGAGTCTGAAGTGCATCTCGTCGACCTGCTGTCGCAACTGCATCTGCCCCACGCTGACGCTGTACTGCAAGTCTCGCGCCTCGACGCGCGCGTGCTCCGAGTCCAGCGCCTTCCTACGGATGTCGTCAAGCAAGTCGGGCCGATTGCGCAGGAACTTGGGATGGGAGAACTCCCAGATCTGAGCATCGACAGACTGGCGATGACCGCGGGGTGTCTTGTTGACCTTGTAAAACCCATACATGTTGAGCTGACGAATGAAACTGGAAAAGTTGCTGTGCTTGAAATGTTTGCCGAGCACCTCTTTGGCGAACTCGTCAAAGTTGCAGACCATGACGCTGGTGCCGTTGCGGTTCCAGCTGATGAGGTGCTGGTAGTCGGGATCGCTGACCATGCGGAAGAGCTTGTAGACAAACTTGCTGCTCTGCCTCTTTTCCGCGGCGAGGTCAGCGTCGGATTGGCCGGTGACGTTGGGATCATCGACGGACACATCGCCCATGCTCTGGTTGGCGACGCCGCCAAAGGACGTGGGACTGTCGGCGTTCTGAGAGCCAGTGGCGCTTTTGATGGATGTGGAGCTGTAGGACCGCACAGCGCCGGATGTGGGAGCTGTCTCATTGTTGAGATTGTACTCGGCTCGCAGCGGCGAAGAGGCGGTGGGTGCACCGAGGTGCGCATCCGAGTTGGCTATGCCTTCGGGATGCAAAAGCGGCGACGTCGAAGCGGCACCGGCCAGGTGGAATGGCGTCGCTGCTGCATCGACTGGCGACGCAAGATTCGACTGAGGTGAGGAAGCGGCGGTATTTGCAAAATTGAGCGAATTGTTGAATCGCTGTTGCTGCTGTAGCTGTGGCTCGGCTTCACTTTTGACGGAAAGACCCGAGATGTTGAGATGAAGGTTGTTGCCCGAAGAGGTGGGACGCATGTTGGTCGTATCGTGACCAAAGACGCTGAGCGAAGAGTTGGGATCGGCCTGAGGGAGTCCCACTAATTGAGCCATGGAAGGCGAATCCGCCATAATGTGTTGGAGCTGCTGGTGCGGCGATGAGGAGGTGGGAGCCTGAAAGAAGGCGTCAAAGGCCGGGTCGAAGTTCTGACCGTTTTCGATGCCGTTCATCTTGGGACAGTGGACGCAGTTGGGATACCAAAGTGGATCGATTGCAACCTCGACCTCATGCAGGACGAGCAGCGATAAGCGTCAGATTCGCTGGTGCGGTGAATGGCTGCCGTCTGCTTGGAGAGCAAGACAGTGGTTTCCGAGGGAGACTCTAAGCCGCGAGAGGCGAGCGCGAGGTTGCGCTTCGTTGAACAACCGAGTGGGGAGGGGCGGCGAAAACAGCGACAAGAGTGAGTGCTGGTCCCGTATGAGCAACCGGCGGAGAGGCGATTGCAAGGCGTACAAATGAAACAAGATCGAGGCTTGTGCTGGTGGAGCTCGAGCAGCGCGAAAGCCTCTTGGTGTGGTGATCAGAAGCGGGCGAGGACGAAGGCGGAAATGCTTCGATGCTTTCGGTACGAGCGAGCGTCGAGCAAAGGTTGATGGATGGTCGATGCGGGGTAGAGTGTGCCTAGCAACTGCTATGCACCGAGCAGGTCGCGTTCTGAGTCGCAGTCGTATGCTGGGCAATCTTGACTTGTGTCGGTGGGTAAAAAGGGCAGCGGCCGACGATGCAGTGCTAGCGCGCTGAATGCCGAACTTGAGGCAGAAGGTGGATGGTGATCGGCAAGTTGTATGGTACAAGTCGAGTCGGAGTGTGGTGAGAATCGGAGAGCACTCCGATCACGTCTAACAGCTCGCGCGGTGGAGACCAGAGGCGAAGACACAGCGAGTGACACACACAGACAGAGAAGAAAGTGACACGGAAGGGTAGAGCAACAGAGGCGGAGAGGCCGACAGGCGGCGTCGGAAAAGCGCGACTGGGCTCAATAATTGGACTGACCGGTGCAGAGGCCGACCAAGCTACAGCGACAGAGCGGATTTGCCGACCTGCGACTAACGGTGCAGCAGGGGCAAAAAGGCAAGCGACCGACACACACGCTTGACCCACATGCACACTCGACACCAGCCGATAACTTACAGCGAGTAACTTGTATCAAAATCGCGGGCAGCAGCACCGTACTGGCTGCAGCAGCGGCAGCGGCAGCACGAGCTTTTGACAGCCGCGCTTCGGCAGCGGCTCAATCAGCCTTCGTCACGGAGTGTCTGTGTGACATTTGTTTCAACCTAATGCAGTGGGGCAGTGTGCAGCCTTAGTTTTTGTCCTTTCTGAGTAGCGCCGGAAGCGAAGAAAAGAGGGTCGGTCCCCTTTGACAGACACACATGCAGTGTACAAAAAGGCACAGCTGGGAGAGGTTTTTTCGATTCCGATTGTGCTGCACCTGCTCTGCTGCTCCCGCAGTGGGGTTTCAGCCTGCGCTCGCCTGTCTCGTGCCTGCAACTGTCGATCCTACCATTGTCTGCATCTGAAAGGTAAGAGTTGTGGACATTCTGCCCTTGGTCCCTCATAAGCCTTGAGTCTAATTCAATTGCGATCGTGTGATGGACCTGCGTCTGTGACAGTGTTGGTGTTCTCAACCGGCGTCGAATGCATCGTGAGAGCAACGGAGGCAACGGAGGGTAATCTTGACACCACCTCCCTCGGAAACAGCGGCGAGCGCAAAGTCGAAAAGGGCGAGGAATGGCGGCAGCATCCAGGGGGAGCCCCTTCGCAAGCATCAAACGGAGATCTACACGCAACGCAATCATGATTTGTCAAACACCGGTGCCTGTTGTTCATGCTTGTCTGCTCGTTGCAAACAGACATCTGGCATTGAGCTTGAGCTTATATACACTGCTGGCACGTCGTTGTTCTACATGCAAAACCGTCGACTGCCAACGCACGCGTGCACGCTTTGATGTGCTTGCAGCGTCGCACCCTGCTTTTTTTTTGGCCTGCTGATCCTGTCTCAGCCCCGGTTTTGAACCCTTCGCATGTCGAAGCGCGCGCCGCGCTCAGCCCGCCGTTTCTTCCAAAGTAACAAACGGAAGGTCACACTGTCAAAGGTGCTTTCCGATACCGAGTGTATGCGGAAGTGCTTCCGCACTCACACCCACTTTCATCGCTGAAGTGACCGACGACCGATCAACCCACAGCTCTTCTCCTCTTTGTCTCGCTGCAGAATCGACGACGTGCAGCGTGCAAGCACAAGAAATTTTCCGCAGCTTCATCTCGGCTGCTCCACCGCTGTTTGTTCGTGCTCGGACGGTGCATCGATTCCATTTGACGATCCTGCATCGCCCCACCGATGTACCTGCTTTCAAAGGTTGCGTGCTCCATTGTCGGAATTGGCGTTATGAGTTCCCCACGTCGGATGCCGGTCTTTTTCATTCCCCTCACTGCACCGGCTATCCAACACCGCAGCTTGTTGAATGCCGACACATGCGACTGTCGAGACCGCGAAATGTAGAGCGCGATCGTGGTCACAACAGCCATGTCTCTTCATAGTGTCGGAATTTACGCCAGACGTACACAGCCGAGATCGAAGCTGCACCGTAGTATCAAGCGCAACAGACAAGTTGCAAGAGATACGAAATGAAAAGACATAGTGATAATGTACATGCTGGACGCAGTTATCTGGTCGTTGCTCGGCCAAGCCGACATTCGTCAGTCGTGACGAAATGTAGCCACACTAACTTTGTCCGTTCGATCGTGTATGAAGTGTCGCAGGAGCGATCGGACGGGCCGTCCGACGGGATGCTTGCTGCTACGCTACAGGTGATGCCGCCCCTCTATGCCCCGCTCCACCTGATCCAGATCAGGATCGAGTGTCGTGTGCGTCATTCTGGTCAGACTGTTGCCGGTGCGGAGCCCACTTCCGCTGCCAGCTTTTCGGCAGGAACGCCAGTAGAAACCCCAATCCCCCTCCTCTGCTGCTTTCTCCAGCATCCGCAGCAGAGCCAGGGGCAGGTCCAAAACGGCTAAGGAGATCTTCAGGCCGCGTAGATGTCGTCTTCGACGACGATGATTGCTCGTGCGGTTGCAGCTCCAGCAGAGATGGAGACGGTTGGTGTCGTCGTTCAGCCGACTTGTCACCCGCACCAATTTTCTGCTGAACATCGCGATCCTTGGCCTCGATCTCACTGATGGTGCGATTGCGCTTCCAGCCATATTTGGACCTGAGGTATTCCTACGGAAGCGGCTCGCTGCTCGACGAAAGACGATTCAAGTGGACGTACACATCCGTGCCGTACCCTTCCATCGAGATGAGCTTGAGGTCTCCGCCAAAGTAGCGTGCGTACAGTCTTGCGAGCGGCAGACCGTACCCGAAACCTGCCATGGGCGCTTTGAAATCGGAGGCGTTGAACTCGGGATCCAAATCTTCCGACTGCGCCGTGGTGTACATGTAGGTCCACACCAGCGGCATCTCGCTTCGCGGGATTCCTCCACCCTCATCGCTGATCTTGATGGTGATGTCCTCCTTGCCCTCGACGACGATCACCTTGATCGGTGGGAAGTTGTCCTCCTGATCTACGCCGTACCGCTCCACCACGGCTCGAAGCGAGTTCTTGAGCAGCTCGAAGAGCATGTGGTTCAAGTGGCTTGGCACGTACATGAACGTCAGATCTGATGGGCACACGAGCTGCACGGGAGGACCCTTGAACAGGCCGTAGTGCTCCTCGCAGACAAAGCGCGCATTCTCGATGGCCTCGTGCGCCATGGCGCCGACGTTGGTGTTGGTGCAGATGATGCCGACGTACTGCTCGTGCTCCTGGTTGCCATCCACCTTGACGCGCGCGATCTGGTCCGAGAGCGAATAGTCGCCGCTATTGCTGCTGCTGCTGCCGCTGCCGATGAGCTTCGAGGCAGGTTGCTGTGACGAACGACTGAGGGCGATGTGTTGACCAATGAGGATGCGGATGCCGATACGTGAGAGGTAGAAGCGATCCAAGAAGGACTGGACATCGGCCTGTACCGTGTTGCGCTTTCTTGAGCGCTTGTATTCGAGCACACCCTGGGCGATGGTGGTGACGACGGCGTCGTGCCTCTTCTTGATCTTCTCGAGCGCCTTTGTGAAGTCCTCGTTGTACTGCTCAATCTCGCTGGGCCACTGGTGGTCTGGCAGATTTGCATAGTATCGGTGTTCGAGGAGCGCGCGTGATCTTGAGCCCCCGCCGTTCTTGCCGTTTGCTTTGTTGGGCACGAGCGCCTTTGCGAGCCCGGCGTCGCTGTCGGTGATGGTGGCCGATTCTAGCAGGCTTGGATTCGGCTTGGATTCGGGGAGCGGCTCTAACGCTTTTGAGGAGGTCTGCAGCAGCTTCTGTACCGAATCGGAAAGTCTAGGCTTGGGAAAGTTGACGAGCTCCTCAAACGACTGCGCGTACCAGTTCTTGACCTTGACGATGGAGGGCATCTTGGAGAGATCATGTGGCAATTCGTCGAGCTCCTTGACACGATGTGCCAGTCTGATGGGAAGCTCTTCGGCGAGGAAGCTACCTGCTTGGAGGATTGTTCCTGGATTCGGATTGCGTCCGAACTGCACCATCTGTCGCAGCGAGATGCCCGTCTGCGGGAAGCTGGCGAAATGGTGCAGCTGCGACCAGACCTTTTGGGAAATTTGGTAGCTCATTGTGACGACGTGGCTAAACAGAAGGCCTAGTGGCTAGAGAGGCTGCGGTCCCAGGGCAGCAAAAGCGTCGTCTTGCGAGTTGGCTGTCGCGTCGAGCTGTGTTCCGCAGCGAACAGTCCCTCGGAAGCGCCGCTGACCAACAAGGGTGAGTATCAGCAGATAGGACCCTATGAGCAGTTGCTCTTGGCCGGTGTGCCTTCCGACGGTGCAAAAATCACGGACGCAGCAAGACGGCGCCTCGGTGGATGAGGTGTCAAACTCTGGTTGTCTGACGTTGACGTCGGACGAAGGTTGCCGAGATTGTGCAGCACCTTGATGTCGAAGATCCGTGTTCGGAACCGTGATGTTCGACCGTATAGAGCCTCGTGTGCGTGCCTTGAGAATTGCGGAAGCGGAGATGTGCTCGGAGACGGAGCGAGCGAGGGTGTTGGGGTAGTAGCAAGGATAGAGGAAGCAAAAGGATCGAAGGGATGGCAGCGTCGGTGGGTCGAGCGGTGATTGGCTTCTTAGCGTCGAATGCGTTGCGGGGAAGCTCGTGAGTTGAGTGTGACTCTTAGCTCAAAAAGCAAAGCGGGCTCTTCATGCAGTTTCCTCAAAGCGAGAGCAGCCAAGCTGCCGTATAGGTTTCCTGCAATTACGCAGAATGGGAGTAACCGGATGTACCGCACGCCAATTTTTCAGAAGCGGAGTCAGTCAAGACGAGCGGAGAGCTGAGCGCGGAGGGCGCAGGGCGGAGGAGGGCGGATTGACTGGACCGATGGAGCGTGTCAGAGTCACGAGAGCACGGACTGGGCATGCTCGAGCGGGAAAGGCGAGACCCTCTCTGTCCCTCTCGCACACACAGAAAAGGGAGCAAGCAACACCGATGTGACGAGCCTCGCACGGCTCGAAATGGCCAATTGAAAGCCGGTAGGGTCGCGCCCCTCTTCCTTGCTCTCCAAAGCAATGAATGGGCTCTGCCGCGTGTGAAAATGGCCCGGGCCTGAAATTTCGACCTCATGTTAGGCTCTCGCATTCATGCATGCCACAGACGATTTTTGCGGCGTCCTATTGAGAACGCCTTCCACTTCTGCTTCAACCGCAAATCAGGCGTCAGACACAATGCATCGCAATCACCACGACTGCTTGTCTCGCTCCGACTAGCTCGTGATTTGTGTTCATCGATGGCAAGAATAGATTAGATGATATCACGAGTTGATGACATGGCTGCGAGCGGTGGCCTCCTGATCCGGTTCGAGAGCCTGGGGCTCAGTCTGGGGGACGGGCTCGTTGAAGTTGGGCTGACGAGCCTCGTATACACCCCTCGAGTTAGCATCGAATCCACCCGGGTTGTCGGCGAGCGCCTGGTACTTCTTGTCCTCGGGACCGCCCAAGCCTTCGAAACGAATGCTCGATTCGCCGGTGCGCTGTGATCGGTCGTCTCCACCTTCCTCAGGAGGGATGTTCTGAGGGTTGGTGCCTCCACCAGTCTGGCCGGTGCGGCCTACGCTGACGGAAGCACCGGGGAAGCTGTCGAGTCCAGACTCGTTGACGCCCGACTCTTCCGAGGTGACGGTGGTTTTGGGGTTGAACGAGTCCTTGAGGCGGTTGTCCGACTTGTTGTCGAGGTCTCGGAACTGTGCAAAGCGAAGGAAGTAGAGGTTGTGTTAGCAGCTGAGCGCGATGAGACTGACAATGAAACTGGATAGGATACATACCTGCTCGTCGATGATCTGCTGATCAGACTTTCCTGCGTAAGCTTCAGACATGGTGGCGGTGGTAAGCGTGTTCGCTGAGAGAGATTGGATGGACGTGGTGGATAGTCGGAGAGACGTTGGTGGTCTTTAACCTACATGAGACCTCACGCCTGGCTTCTTATAGGTGCCTCGAAGGATTCGCGGATATCTCATGGCCGCAGCGAGGGCCACCTCCACGCCTCCAACGGTACTCGATGAGACAGGAAAGCTCGCACAGAATGACTTCAGCAGGCAGCAGAAACAAACATCTGTGATCTCATGGCACTGCTGGACTGTCCAGCAGAGCGACTTCGCAGGTGCTCACCTCGCCCTGCACATCCCTGGGCAATGAGGTGACAGGTGACGCAGCAGCAGACAACATCTTCGACGGGGGTCGCAAACGGGCAGGGAGAGAGGCGCCTCAAGTCAGAGCGCCTTCAGGGCAACAAACAAGGGTTTAACCGATGATTCAATGCTCACTCATCCTCGCTTTTCTTTGACAGGCTGCCATGCTCGCCCAATCATGTCTAAATTCGGCGATTTGACGACGCCATGTCGTGTCTTCTCCCGAGGCTGCAGCGATACCTAGTCCTTCGATCTGATCGACAACGCAGCGTCCGATGATCAAACGCGGCAGCAGCGTGCTCTTGCTCCTTGACGAAGGAAGCAAAGAGGTTAGCAAATTCAGATGGTACGGTGTGGCAGCGATGCTTGGCAGTTCAGGGTCCACCTCTGCGAAGGTCAGTCAGCTCTCGTCTTTGATGTCAAGTTGCAGCCGTCATAAGAAAGTCGCCGAGGTTTCTCTTATCGTTCGGAGATCGACCGATCTTACAGATATTCTTGCAGATGGCCACGATTGGAATGAGGAGGAAATCGCGACAATTCGGTTCCGTCTGCAGGCTTAGAGATCAGACGGAAGAAACAGGCTCAAGCGCGAGGGAGCTTTGATTTTTCGTGATCGATTTTCCAGCCGTTCAACGTCGACTTGGAAAATGACTTCAAAAGGCTCTGCGTTGATGCATCCTTTGAATATTGGCTGCCTCGCTCTGATTTGAATTGGGACTCGAAGATGCAGACTGGTTTGAATTGGGCATTTCAACTTCGCCCAACGCCTGGCGAAATCAGTCGTCCGGAAGACTCACCGCACGTTCAGAGGCCAAATCAGGACAAGGCTGGCTAATGCCGCCAGCCCACGCTTCGAGACAGCAAACGAGCAACGAGCGTCAGTCGTGGGAGAGAGAGTGTGTGTGTGTCTGTTCGTTCTTCCAGAGCTGGCGGACTGACTGTGTTCGTCGTCGCCATCAATTTGATGTTTTCTCCATCTCAACGTTCACCACCACCTCTCCCTACCTCCCATCCATTCCTGAACTTCGCGCCACAATGTCGTTCCGCGTCGCTGCTCGTAGGGTACCTACTCTCGCCCTTGCGCGACCCACCGTCGCTCCTCGCGCAGCCACCTCGGTCGCTGCCATCCGACTTTACAGCGACAAGCCTTCGCCCGAGGCACGCGCCAGCTCCATCATCGACTCTTTGCCAGGCAATTCGCTCGTCAGCAAGACCGGCTGGGTTACGCTCGGAACCGGTCTCACCGCCGTCGCCATCAGCAAGGAAATCTACGTCGCCAACGAGGAGACTGTCATCCTCGTCGGTTCGCTCATCTTTGCCGTCCTCGTTGGCCGTGCCGTCACCGGCCCTTACAAGGAGTGGGCTGACTCCCAGATTGAGGTAAGCATCCCGACACTAGAAGAGCACAAGCTCCGTCGCAGCAGCATCCATTCCACAGCAGCACGTCCAGAACAAGAGCATCCGCAACAGCAGCATCCATTACGACAGTATCGACATGGATTTTCGACAGAAACATCGTAGAGCAGTACCGGATGAAGTTCACCACTTGCAGTAGCCCGGATCAGTCGCACTTCTGTTGGCAAAGAAGTGCATACCAACATCGCTGCAACATGAGATGATATGGAATCACGCCCCGCAGACATCTTTTTCCTACATGACACGGGAAAGATCTGCAATCACACCAGCGCGTCATGAGGCAGGCAAAGCGCTTCATAGTGCATGCTTCGCCTTGGAAATGCTGAAGCTGGCGCAGGGGACAATGTCTAGCGCTGGACTTGTATTGCACTCGCCGACAACCTCGCCAGCATAGCATGACGCTGCCACCCCAGGATCGACCCAGTTCAGCCCTTCGACACTTGCTTGACGCCATCTTGGCTGCGATTGCTCCTGCGACGGTGCTTTGTGCGCAACATCCTGCCCTTCTTGGCGTGTCATGCTGATCCGATCCCTCGCTCTTCCTTTTCCCACCCCCGCAGAAAATCTCCAAGATTCTCAACGGCGCTCGCGCCAAGCACACGGAGGCTGTGCAGTCGCGCATCACGTCGGTAGAGTCGCAGAAGGACGTGGTTGGATTGACCCAGGCATTGTACGCTGTGGCCAAGGAGACGGCGCAGTCGGAGAAGGAGGTGTTTGAGCTGCGACAAAAGACGGCGCTCGCTGGCGAGGTCAAGTCGGTGCTCGACTCGTGGGTTCGCTTCGAGGCGAGCGAGCGCGAGCAGGAGCAGCGCGAACTGGCGGCCAGCGTGATCAAGAAGGTGCAGGACTCGCTCAAGGACGACAAGCTCCAGAAGCAGATCCTGGACAACGCTGTTGCCGAGATTGAGAACCTTGTCAAGTCCAAGGCTATCTAGAGGAGTGGATCTTCATTGCCTTGACGGGTTCGTTCCGCGATTGCGTAGCATAGCCTTTTTGGGATTGGACAATGCAGATCGCAGGGGCAATCTTGGCACAAGCTATCTAGGTACCATGTAGAGCACTCTCCGTCTCTCATATCTCGATCGTAATACTACACAAAGAACAAGCACAATCATGCTGCTCGCAGCGTTGAACGTGGTTGCTGTGTCTGAGATGAGATTGTTTAGTTATATAAATATAAAATACAATGCCGACGCTACTCGTTCAAGCTGAGATTGGCAGCTTGCTTCTCTACCGCTTCGGTCTCCAGCTTTGGGTTTGAGGGGAGCGGTTCAGCCGGTTGCAGTGTTGATCCTTGTGGACCATCGATCATGCTCTCCAACAAAAACTTGACGACGGCCTCCTGCTCCCTCATCTGGGCTTCACTCATCGGACCTCTTCCAGCACTATTCCTGACGTCCCACAACTTTCTCTCCGAACCATCGTCTTCTCCCGCTTCCGCGTCTGTTTCCTTCGGTTGTGTCTTTGGGTGGAAGATCAAGTTCAACTTTTTCGCCTCTTCCGGGTTTTCCGATTCGAGCTTTTCGATGTGCGAGACGAGAAGTTTGACTGTGTCGAGGTGACCGTTGAGTCCTGCCCAGTGGAGTGGGGTGTTGCCGGAGACGTTTTGGGCTAGCGAGAGTGACAGGTCGCAAAAGGGGAGGAGGTAGCGCACCACTTCGAGATGGCCGTTGGCAGAGGCGTAGTGGAGGAGAGTGTTGGAGTCTTCGTTCTTGATGGTTGCCAAAAGCTCTGAGGGGGAGGATGGGGATGAGGTGGAGAGGAGAGGCGAGAGGGTGGATTCGAGGTCTTCGAGATCGCCGTATCGTGCGGAGAGGAGGAGCTCATCGATTTGATCGCTGGTGAGCGACGCGGCTTTGTTCGACATGGTAAGGTGTGCGTGTGTGTTCGTGTGTGCGTATAAGGTGTTGTGGAACGGTGGGATGCCGATGTGCGGTGGCGGTGTGTATGATGGTCGTTGACGTCGAACGATACCTGTCAAGACTGGTAAGCAGTTTGTGTTTCTTCCAGAATTTACTTCAGGTGAGCTCCACAGACATTTTTTGGGTTGTGGATTTCAGCTCGAGCTTTCTCTGCTTCTGAAATCCTTTTCTTTTTTCTCGGCAGACGGATCTCTGCAGCTGTGCGTGTTCAAAGCGAAATTTTTCAATTTCTTCTTCTCACAAGTCCCCGCAACCGCCTTTTTTTGCTTTCGGAGCTGCTCAGGGTCTGTCTCGAGAAACTTGACAGCACTTCTTGCCATCCTCTCTTCAACCATATATACAGTCGCTTCAAAGAAAGCACTGCTCATCGGTCATCGTCCGATCACCTCTTTAGCCAACCTCTCTTTGCTTCGTCAAATCTCCTCTAACCATGGCGCCCACCCGGACCCGCGCATCCGCCATCGGCGCCCCCTCACAACCCGCCCAATCTTCCCGCAAAGGCAAAAAATCATGGCGCAAAAACATCGACCTCACCACCACCGAGTCCTTCCTCGAACAGCAATCCGACCCTCTCCGCGCCACCTCCTCCGACGTCCTCTTCGTCGAAGACCGCTCCGGCCAGGAAACGCTCGCCGCCAAACAGGCTCGAACCAAACGACCTCTGAAATCGCTCGAGATCCTCCAGAACTCGTACGGTCACTCTGCTGTCACCCAGCCTGCTCGCGCCAAACATGACAAGAAGATGGAGTCGAGGCTGAGGAAGATGGTAGGTCGTCAGCAGGTCGGAGTGAAGGGGGACAAGAGTGCCATTGCGCAAAAGAGCGATGATGTTGTCAAGAAGAATCTGTCCAACGTTTATGATGTTTGGTCGACTACTGAAGACAAGGGAAAGTCCAAGGCAACCGAAAAGGAAGATTGGATCCCGGCAGAAGTATCCAAGCCCACCGTTAGCTTGCCAAAGACGCTTCGAAGGGACGACTACGAGAACATCGCATCCACGCTCCCCGCCATCGACCTGCCGCATCCAGGATCCTCGTACAACCCCGACCTCGAATCCCACGAAGCGCTGATCCAAGAGGCCTACGAGATCGAACTCAAGCTCGAGCAAAACGAACAGATGGCCCAGAGTGAGCGCGAGAAGTGGCAGGCCAAACTGGCGACGATCGTCGCACGAGAGGCCGAAATGCGTTCGCAGAAGGACGACCAACTCAAACGATACCGCGGTATGGACGTTGACCTTCCCTCCGACAACGACGACGACGACGACGCCTCGGATTCTGGCGCTGAATCTCTCGCATCGGATACGGAAACCGCTGCACCCGGGTCGAAACGCAAGACGCGCGCCCAACGCCTGCGCGCCAAACGCGTCCGCCACCAGCAATCCCAAGCGCTCCTCCGTCGCGCCGCCCGCATCGAATCCGCCGCCATCCTCCAACTCCCCGCCCTCCGCCGTCGCGAAGCTCGTCTCGCCACCGCCCGCGCCCAGGCCGCTGAACAACGTCGTCTCGACAAACTCTCCCAACTTTCTGCAAACGGTCTATCCGGTCACAAGATCGGTAAACATACCGTACCCGACCGCCACATCGACGTTCAAACCGCCGACCAGCTCAGCGAGTCCCTCCGAACACTCAAACCCGAAGGCAACCTCTTCAGAGATAGGTACCACAGGCTCCAGGTGAGGGGGAAAGTCGAACCCAGAGCTAAACAGACTGCCAGCGGAAAGGGCAGGAAGAAGATCAAGAGCTACGAGACGCATGATTATAAGAAGTTTCAGTGACATGTCCAGAGGGTGTTTGGGTTTTCTTGTTGTTCTCAAATGCATAGTGTTGCTTTTTCGAGTTTCAGACCTGTGAGGTGTGCGAGAATGAAAAGCTTGATTATGGATTGCCGTTGTGCAAGTTCTACTGGTCAGCAACGGGAGCCTCAGCAGCAACATCGGTGGGAGGGAGAACAGCTTCGGGAGCAGTCTCTGCCACAGCCGCCACCACCTCATCCGCCGTGGCTTCAGCTGACACGCCCTCATCAGCCGCTAGCTCCGCGCTGACAGGCACCACCGGATCAGCGGATGCTTCGATCGGCGCCGGCGCAGAGGGCTGGTCGAGCATCGACTCGTCCGCCAGCGTGTCCGGTTGCGAGGCGACGGCTTCCACTGCACTGGCCGTGTCCGTAGCAGGCGCGGAGGCAGAGGCCTCGTCCGTGGGGGCCGACTCGGCAGTCTCGGACGCTGTTGCGGTCGCAGCAGCGTCGCCGGCAGTCGCGTCCGTGGCAGGTGCAACCGGTGCTGCATCAGCCGCAGCTGGCTGAGCATGAGCTTCGCCAGAAGCTTCAGCTGGCACCTCGGCAGGAGCAAGCAAAGGAGCAGCAGGCGGCTCTTCAACAGCAGCCACGGGCGGCTTGATGTCGCTCACCGCCTGATCCGCCTCACCCGTAGTTCCCCCAGCAGCAGGCGTCGCAGCAGCCTCCGTTGCCGTCTCCGTAGCCGTAGCTGCAGCTGCGGGGGCTGGCGGTGCAGGAACGGCCTTTGGCGCCTCAGCAGGCGGTTGAGCACGCGTGACACCAAGCTCGATGTTGAGCTTTTCGATCGCCTCCTTCTCTGCCTGCCTGCGCTCTGCCTCTTTGGCTTCCTCGTCAGCTTTCGCCTTGGCCGCAGCTTCCGCATCACCACCCTGTTCCACGTCCATCTGCTCATCTCCACCGGCTTCCATCGTCTCTACCACAGGTTTGGGAGGTCGCAGCTCCTCGGGTGTCTCTGCCCTGACAAATCCAACACCCAGAATCTTGCCCCTCGAAGCCTTTTCACTCCAACTCTCCACACCCGCTGCCTCGTCCGTCCCATCCCCGTCTTTCTGCCTCTGCGCACCCTTACCAGAGCCAGAACCCTCTCTCAACTGGCTCAGCTTTGCACTGTGCTGCTTCTCCAACTCGTCCGCCTCGTCTTGAATCCTTTGCACTTTCGCCTTCAGATCCTCCGCCTTGACTTGCGCATACGGCGAAGGAGCGGGCGTCATAGTGTCGATCCTCCTCGCATCAAACACCATGCTGAGCAGCTCGTGGTTCTTGGCGTACCTGGCGACAGCCATGTCGCGCGGGGTCAATCGATCCAGATCGTCAAAGATGGATTCGGGCATCTCGTCTGCGATGGTGGGTGGCAGGTTGAGTCCCAGGAATGCCGGCATGGGCGGTCTTCCAGGGAAACCGTGGGGTGCTCCGGGAGGTTGCTGCTGTGCGTGAGGGTGGTGAGGGTTGTGCATGGATGGACGACGTGCCAGGTGTTGTTGCTGTTGCGGGTGGGGATGCTGCTGTTGGTGCGGGTGCTGAGATGTGAGCTTGCGCTTGCGACCACGAGTCGAGGAAGGAGTAGGCGAGTCCATGTAGTGCTGCTGTGGGTGTTGGGGGATGAATTGCTGTGCGTGGGGATGAGTACGGTTCATCATGCCAGGGGAAGGGGAGGCAGATGGACCCATGCCCGGGTGTCCTGGATGACCGGCACCAGGACCGTGGGGAGGAGGCATATTCATCGCGGTGGTGGTAACGGCAGGGCGTCGAAGTGAGGGCAGATGGTGGTGGTGATGATCAAGATGAGGATCAGGATGATGGTGTTGGAACGAGAAGCGACGCGACTTTGACTGCGACTCGATTTGGCGTTGAAATTTGGCGACACTTGTTAGACCACGGCTACATTGAGCTTATGATTTTGAACTCCACATTTCTGCGCTTCGGCCATTTCAAGGAAAGTGACACATTCTCGCAACTCAGCCTCCTTCTCGCTCCACGTCTCATCCACACGACACCATCCCCATCTACCAGGAGCAAGCATCAACCACCGCGGGGCTTCCGTGCAGTCTCGATCTCGTGCGCTTTTCGGCCTTCATACTTCCAACATGCCGCCACGAATAGCTGACGACGAGTACGTCGACGACGGGGCCGACGCCTACGATGCCGAAGACTTTCTCGACGACGATGACAGCGGCGACGAGTACCGTGCTGCTCCATCACTACCCAAGCTCGGAACATTACGCGGCGCTGCATCGCGGCCTTCGGCTAACTCCAACGGCCGAGCTGGACCGTCCAACGCTGCCGCGGCATCATCGTCTTCAAGCACCGCTGCTCGAGTCAAAGCAGCAGCAGCCGCCAAATCCAAGCAGAAAGACCAAGGATACTCCTGGGAAGCCACATACAAGCGATCATGGGATGCTGTCGCCGAAGACGACTCTGGCTCGCTCGAAAGTGCCGTCCGCTCAATGATCGAAGGGTCCAAACGTCGCCGAGTGCTCAAAGATGTAGCGCCCGTTCAGCGCGGTATCATCCGACACCTGGTACTTTTGGTTGATCTTTCCGCTAGCATGCTCGAGAAGGACATGCGACCGAATCGCTTCGATGTGACGCTCCAGTATGCGCGCGAGTTTGTCGGCGAGTACTTCGATCAAAATCCCATCGGCCAACTCTCGATCATCGGCACGCGCTCCGGCATCGCAGAACGGCTCGCGATGATGGGAGGCAACACCGTAGATCACACCGCATCCCTGTCCAACAAGCGAAGGCTGGAGCCGAGGGGAGAGCCATCGCTTCAGAATGCGCTCGAGATGGCTAGGAGCAGCTTGGTGCATCTGCCGGCGTCCAACTCGCGAGAGATCCTGGCGATATTCGGAAGCTTGACCACGTGCGATCCGGGAAACATCCACGACACCATCGGTACGCTGGTCAAGGACAACATTCGAGTGTCGATCGTGCATCTGGCTGCAGAAGTCAAGGTGTTCAAGGACGTGTGTACGCGGACGGGCGGTACGTTCAGTGTAGCGTTGAACGAGGGGCATTTTCACGACTCGTTGTTCGAGCTAGTTCCTCCACCGGCGGTCGAGGGCAGAGCGAGGCGGGTCAAGGGACGCAATGGAGTTAGCGCGACGAATGGTGTACAGAACGGGGATGACGAGGACGACGAAGCGGTGCAAGCAGGAGTGGATTTGTTGCAGATGGCTTTCCCGCTACGTCTCCCCGCCCACGCAGCTCCCACGCTATGCGCGTGCCACTCGCGCTCCCGCGGAAGCGGCTACCTCTGCCCGCGCTGCGGCGTCAAAGTCTGCGACGTGCCCACAGACTGCCCCGTGTGTGGCATCACCATCGTCATGTCGACGCACCTGGCGAGGTCGTACCACCATCTGTTCCCCGTGCCGAACTGGAAGTCGGTACCGTGGACCTCAGTGACGCTGGATTCGGCGCCGGCGTGCTTCTCGTGCAACCTGCCGTTCCCGACGCTCCAGGAGGGGAGCGAGAGGAGCGCAGCGGCCAACAAGGCGTTGGAGGATGCGGGGTTGTCGGCCAGCTCGAGGTATAGGTGTGCAAGGTGTGGGAAGGATTTTTGTCTCGAGTGCGATGCTTTTGTGCACGAGCAGTTGCATGTTTGTCCGGGTTGCTGTTAGGGGCGAGACAAACATCGTCAATAGAGGGTGAAAAAGATAGGGAGAGTGTGTGAGTGTGTGTGTGTTGCATCTGCCTGGACCGACAAAGCTGATCATCGCAAAGGAACCATGAATTGTCAGTTGACTTTTACAACCTCAATTTCCAGCCCCATTTTCAACGCTCATTTTTCGAGGCGAGATGGTTTGCAGATTCACGGCAGCAGCCCACCCTTACAATGCTCACAATGATTCAACACGCTGCGTATCGAGCGCAATCCACAGCAAGTAAGCCGAACGACAAGCATGGTGCAACCATTCTTCACTGGACGATGCATGTTCTCATAAGAGTAAAAGTACATTGATGTATCCACTGCTGCCATTTGTGGCGAGAACGCTACACGATCCAGCCTTTCGCCACCTACGCCGCCCTTAGCGCCTGTTCCTGCTCCTTGTTCTCGCCTGCTCCCAATCCCTCGTTTGGCAGCTCATCGACAAAGTCCGGCAACTCCTGATTGCTCTGCAAATAGCTCGGCATGCTCTCCCCTTCTTCCTCCCATCCACCTTCTGCCTCCAACGCATCGAGTTCGGCCTGGAGATCCTCCTCATCCACCTCGTCCGGCACGCCATAGCTCCTCCCCAGCGTCTCCTGAACCTCATTCGCCGCTTCGATCAGATCCTCCATCTCATCCTGCATACTCTCGATCTTGTCCAAATCGATCTTGCCGTACGTCTTCTTCATCTCCTTGTTGGCGGTTTGCATCGCGTCGAACGTCGCCATGGTATTTCGCAGGTTTTCAGTTGTCATGGTAGCCTGCTCCATGTTGTACGATTGTTGTTGGAGTTGCGCGAGCTGGTTCTCGTAGAGACGTTTCTGTTTGAGGACGCGGAGTGCGCGTTGTTGGATGGCGGTCTTGCCGGGTCCGTCGCGCATCTTGCGCATCTGATCGCGATAGCGGGTGAGCTCGGAATCGAGTTTGCGGATCTTGACTTCGACCGAGTCGGCCCGTGTTTCGGTGGAGGCGATGGCATCGGTGAGAGACGGTTTTGGTTTGGCGGCTTTGCTTCCGAAGAGTCGATTCATCGTTGCGGGTGTGAGAGGAAATGCCGAAAAAGGAATAAAAGATGGATGCCTTGGGTTGAACAAAGTGAGTTGATGCAAATGCGAGCAAGATGGACGACGACAATGACGACGTTGGGATGGAGATGGTGGTGGTGGTTGATGGTACAGTAGCTAGCAGCGTCGTCGAGATTGGGCATCCAAAGTCAGGGTCCATCTCGGAAAAGCAGCAGCTCAGCAGAGCGTCACGCTCAAATGCGATTTCAATTCCTCAGCATCCGTGCACAGCCCAGCCAATGTCGGCGAGTGGGCGAGTGGAGGCGTCGGGCGGAAATACAAAGCAATTTGTATTGGCGCTCAGACAGCCAAACCGCCAATTCATCGCAGCTCCTTCTTCTCGACTCTCATCACCATCAACCCCGTCAATCCGCAGCCTACACTCTTCCTCGGCATTCGCACACACCTACAGCCAACGCAAAAAACGACCTCCCTCAGCATTCGTTCAGTCGCACACGATCCGCGCACCTTGGCTACTCGTACCGAAGAAACACTCACCAGGCGGTGCTCCTAATCCCGAACCTTCGTCACCGCAATCATGTCGTGGGGCGGCTTCAAAAAGTCCATCAACCGCGCAGGTACCACCCTGATGCAGAAGACTGGTCAGGTCGAACGAACAATCGATTCCGAATTCAACTCTACCGAAGAGCAATACCGCACCGTCGAGCGCGAGGTCCTCTCCTTGCAAAAAGAAGCCAAAGCCTACCTCGACGCCATGCGATCTCTCGCCTCCTCCCAAGCACGCATTGCCGAAGCGGTGGATGGATTCTATACCGACTCGTCCGACGCAGCCATGTCCGCCAACGCCTACCGTCGCGCCGTCGACGAGCTCGACACAAAAACCGCCAAAGAAATCGACGCCCCTTACCGCGCTACCGTCCTGGAACCCGTCGGAAAACTCGCCAGCTACTTCCCCGAAATCAACAAGATCCTCGAAAAACGTGCCAAGAAGCTGCTCGACTACGACGCCGCCCGCAGCAAACACCGCAAGCTCGTCGACAAACCCTCGGACGACCCCTCCAAACTCCCCCGCGCAGAAAAGGAACTCGACGACGCACGCATCGTCTTCGAAACCCTCGACGACCAGATCAAAACCGAGCTACCCCAGCTCGTCGACCTGCGCATCCCGTATCTCGACCCAAGCTTCGAGGCCATGGTAAGGATCCAGGCGAAATTCGCAGAGGACGGGTACGAGAAGTTGGGCGGCGTTCAGAGGTTCTTCGCCGACGGCGTCAGGGAGCAGTACGCAGACGGCCAGTTGGATAACCAGGTAGAGGCGGTGCTGCAGGAGATGCGAGAGCTGTCCATCTGCGGTGTTGGTCAGTAGGAATACCAATCCAGACAGTTCAAAACGTGCGTGCGAATGCGGTCTGTGTGTTACTTAGTTACAATGTGTGTGTGTGTGTTGCGCTCTACGAGTGCCTCTCCCCCTCACCCAGTAGGATCCCCACCACGTGCTTACAACAAATCCTCCCAATCTGCTCACACTCCTTCCTAATCGCCTCCTGCGCCCCGCTCTCCTCCTCCCCTCCCCCTCCCTCGCCACCCACCACCTCGTCCATACTCATCAACTTCTCCAGCACCCCCTCCAACCGCTTATTCACCAAATCCACCTGTCTTCCCAGCATCAACCTCAACTCTGGCCCCGACAACATCCCCACCGCTGCCGCCTCATTGGCCAACAAAAACTGCCGTGTACCCGCCCATTTCGCGCTGGTCGCCAGCAAGTCCAACCATCCATCCGATGACGCCACCCCGGTCCGGCGTAGCGAATCGGCCGCAGCGTCGGTCAAACACATCTTGACCCGACACAACGTCTGCGTCAACGTCAACGCTTCCATCGCACAATTCCTCACCCGCATGATCTTGGCGAACCGTTGCTCCGCCCTCACCCGCGAAGACCCACCTGCCGCGCGTTCCGCTTCCATCTCCCTACGATACGTCGCCACCACAAAGTCCAGCACGTGCAGCACATCCGCCTCGCTAAAATGCGACCGAACGTTCAGCTCCGCCGACGCAGGCGATCCGATCACATGTTCCGCCAGCGAGAGACAGTCAGCCGCCAGCCCGGAAAACACCCGGTCCGTAGCTTGACGCAGCATAGCCGCTCGTCGTTCGTTCGTCAGCGCACCCATCGGTGGCGCGTGGACGGCTGGAGCCGGCGCGGCGAGCGCAGCGGGTGCAACGGCGGTGGGTGTTGCTTGTGCTCGTCGGAACGCCTCTTGCAGTGTCGGCTGGGAGTGAGTCGCAGGTGCGGACTGCACGTGGCGTTGGCGTTGCGTCGAGGCTTGGGGAGCAGGTGGCAGCTGGACCAAGTTGTTCTGTGCCATGTTGGGATGCACCACTGGAGCCGGCTGCGGTTTTGGAGCTTGTCCAAGGTGCGAGGCCAGAAGCTGGCCAGGCATCGCCTGCCGCTGTGCCGCCGCCATGACCGGCGAAGCCGATCTAGGCTTTTGATCCGGCGCCGCCAGATGTCCCGCCGCGTCCGCACCATGACCCGCCGGTGGCACCGACGTGCTAACCCTGACCTCCATGCCACCCTCCACCACCTCCTCCTCATCCGCAAACCTGAACTCCGGCTTCGTATACTTCGGCTGCGCCAACCCCCTCGAATGGAAATACTTCCTCTTCTCCTCATTCCAACAGTGCATCATATGCGGGACCCTCGGAAACTCCATCAACGCCCTCGTCATGACCCTCTCCGGCAACCTGGACAGGTGCTTGACAGCCTTGGTGCTCGACACCCTGTCCATCAGCTCGTGCATCGACAGGTGCATGTGCTTGTGTGCGTTCTTGTGGAAAATACCAGGACCCAGCTCCTGTAAGCAGGTCCACGGAATCATCTGCGCCGGATCCTGCCACTTGTCCACCACGTCTTGCACCGTCCGAGGTGTGGCGAGACCCGCCCGTTTCGGTTTGAGCTCCCTCACTGTTACGTAGCAAGATCTGCGCCCGGTCACTTTTGCGAGGTCGTTGAGCATCGACTTCATGCGGTCGTCGATGGTCTTCTTTGCGCGGCTGCCTGTACCGGCGTCCGAGGCAGTCTGGCTGCTGGCTCGCTCGTGGCTTCGGCTTACGCCTGTCTCGTCAATGGTGACTGGGTTTTCGGCAACATCCGGGTTGGATAGTGCACGGGGTTCATCAAGAACCTCAGCGGCGGTCGACCCATCATGACCTTCGGCAGAAGAGCCAGCAGGTTCTGAAGATTCTGCTGCACCTGCAGAGGCGTTGCCGGTATCCATATCGGCTCCTGCATTGTTAGGCAAGTCGGGCGCCTCCGCCTCCTGTGCATTTTCGGCGGGGAGAGTTGCTACAGCAGCCGCCAAAGTCTGCGACACAGCGTCCCCGGTTGTTGCGGCATCTGCGATTGCATCTGCGTCTGGTGCTTCGGCGGGCGTCTGGATCTCAGAGCTCTGCGCTTCCAAGGCGATCTCGTTGGCGTCTGACTGTAAAGGTGCGGGGTGTGGGGTCGTAGTGACTGCTGGAGTAACCGCTTCCATTGCAGTAGCTGAGGAGCCATCATCGACCGCTTCGGGTTCGTTCGTCAAGGTTGTCACATTTTCGGGAGCTTGGGGTGAAGCCTCGACTGCAGATGCGTCGTTTGGAAGGCTCTCAGAAGTCTCGACAGATTCTGGGAGAACTTCGCTGTCTTCCGTCAGAGCTTGTTCGACCGCTTCAACGGCATTGGCCACTTGTTCCGCGTCGATATCTGCCGGCATCTCCGATGTTGCGACGAAGGTTTTGGTGGTGACTCCCGCTGCAGCAGCACCTTCAGTCTGATCCGTTGCAGTAACAATTGCATCATCATTCCCTTCGCCAGGTAGAGAGTTGCCGATGGGCGGGGCCATCCCTTCGCCTGATGCCTCTGTCGATGGGTGTTCGAGGCCTTGAGCGACTTCCGACGCCTCCTGCGTTGTTTCCTGCTGTACCCCCTCAGTCCGAGAATCTGGTGCAATCTCGTTTGCGTCGCCAGTCCGGAGGAGATCCTGCTTGTCGGACGGCGGATGTGCTACTTCGGCATCAGCTCGGCTGATCGATTCTGCGCTGCCGGCTACTGGATTTTCGCCGTCGGCTGCTGCGGTAGGATCGTCTGTGGACAGTTCGCTTGGCTTTGCTGCTGTTGCACTAGCATGTTGCTCACCGCTGGCGATCTCCCCTCGATTGTCCTCTTCGAGCTCGTCTATTAGCTCATCTTCCTCCTCTGGCTCATCGGCTTGTTGAGGATCGGCTGAATTCGCGCGTGGCTGCTCGGCATCGCTCTCCAGCTCCTCGGTGGGTTCCTGTGCTTTGGAGACTGTCGGCGTCGATGCTGCCCGAGGCGAGGGATGGGATGTTGCTGCTTCGTCGACGTCCTCCAGAGGCTGCTCTGGTGGTGTTCCAAACGCTTGTGGCGACCCCACCGACTCGACAGCCGAGTCATGACTGGTGTCATTGTTCATGGTAGCAGACGAGTTGCTATTGTCCGGGGCTTGCTGCTGTACCGGGTCGGGTGACCGTATGGAGCTCGTGGCGACATTGTCTGGTTCAACATCGCCTTGAGCCGAAACTTCGTCGCGTTTGAGATACTTGACGTAGGCAGCCACAGCGGGCGCGAAACGCTTCTGCAATCGGGGCGGAAGTGTAGGCATGTCGATGCGGAGCTCCTTGATGGTAAGTTGCGCGCCAAGATCTGCCACTTTGCGCCGAAACTGGCTGACGATGGGCAGATTGGGATGATCGGCACTGAGGCCGGCGGTAAAGTCACGCACGCTGTTGTCAATGTGTTGGGCGAGCGATATGCCTTGCTCGTATTGACGGAGCGCGTTGTCTTTGAGCGCTTCGACTTCCTCGGCGGTGGGTTTGGCTGGTCCATGAGTGCTGCGCGAGCTCGAAGAAGCCGAGACACGCGTTTGTGAAGCATCGCGGCTCGCTGCTGCGGACGCTGATGAAGGTGTGTCGCCATCGTCTTGAGCAGGTAGAGAGGGCGCAGCGGACGATTGGACTCCTGCGGAAGGTGCTTTGCTGACGGAGCGTCTTGAGGAGCCTGAAGGGCGTGCATTGAGCGACGACTCTGCCGAAGGTGATACTTTGATGCTGGAAGCGGGTGCAACATTGCTGGAGAAGCGAGTTGCTGCTGGCCCGCTGGCACCTGTGATTTCGAAATCGTCTTCCGAATCATCCGAATCCTGGGCTGATCGACGGCGAGTGGTAGGAGCAGCAGCAGCAGCAGCAGCAGCAGCAGCAGCCTTCGACTTCTTGTTGGGGCTGGTGTGCAAGGAAGGAGTCGACGCTTTTCGCTTCGTCAGCCTAGGTGCTGATGCATGCGATATCATGCTGCGCGTGCTTGCCGGTGCGGTCGATGGCGGCAGCTGGGACGCTGAAGCAGAGCTCGAGCTGGAAGCCTTAGCGGGCGATTGAGTCCGAGGGCGTGAGGACGCCGAATCACGGGTCGACTTGGTCGGAGATTGCGACGATGACTGTCCCTGTCTTCGAGTCTTGGAGCTCGGTAGAGGATCGTGAGCGAAAACGGGCTTGCTGCCACCGCCTCCGTACAGATTTTCCCAGCCTTTGACGTGGTAGGCCTCCTCCTCTCTGCGCTTCTGGCGACGGGCTCTGCGCGCTGCCGCATCGTCTGCCCCGTCACGATCTCTCGAGGGGCCTGCTTGCGATCCAGACTCGCGCGGCATGGTGTCGAAATGGGCTGTCTTGACCGAGCTAAGCACCGTGCCGACGTGGAGGAGCAGAAGAAAGCAACGCCATGATCAAAGTGAATGGCGATGCTTGTATGCGGTCCTGATGGACGAAGGAGCGCAGGCGGCTGCTGTAGGCTGATGAGGAGGCTGCAAGCGCTGCTGAGTCGTGCCCCTCAAGCGGCTTGGGTAAAGTATGCGGCAGATTGGCTTGATGAGGTCCTTGACAGGTCGGATGTCGCGAAACGGGCTCAAGACGGCCACAGTGCCAACACGCGCTTCAGGGTCTAACTCAAGCGTGAATCTGGAAGTTTGCCTCTGTGTGCTTGTGTCGCCTCGTGTGTCAATCAGAGTCTGTGGAGGCGCCATAATTTTGATGTGTTAGCCATCGGCTGCTAACAAGCTCGGCCTTTTTCATGCGCCAAAAAAAAAAAGAGAAAGAAGATTTGTTGGTCACCGGAACAAGGAGCGCGATCTTTTCGTGGTTGCTGCGCAGTCTCCGCAGTCTGAGAGGGCATCTGAACAGCGCTTATTTGATGAGTGTCTTGTTCTCGAAGACTGACGAGCCAAGGCAGAAGGTGAGCTCGACTTGACCGACCTCCACCAAAAAGCTCGGTGAGTGCGCACCGATTATCACTGCTTCTCTCCCAACTACCAAGCAGCTTGCGTACACACGAACGCAAACTCAAGCATTCGTCGACCGCATCTTGCCGGCTTCACCGATACAGTCCAGTCATACAGCAAGACTCTGCCTTTCCTCAGTCCGACAGCACGCAATCTTTCTCTTTCTCTTCAATTGATTAGCTCCATTTGGCAGTCGGAACAAAAACCTACACACACTATCTCGTTAGGACCCTGGAAGAAGCTCCGTGGAACATGTCAGGCTCGACGGTACAAGGCGAATCCTCGTCCTCGAGCGGCTCCACTGCGCCATCGTCCCCGGTCGCATCCTCGGTATCATCGATCAACACCGATGTGACTCACCTCGACCAAGCATCTGCCACTTCCGCCGACGTACCTCCCTCACCATCCAAGGAGGACGTGGCGCTTCCCGTCGAAGAGAGGCAAGCAAAGGCGAAATCGTTCAAGGATGAGGGCAACAAGCTCTTCATCGCCGGCCAGTACGACGCAGCCAAACACCAGTACGGCCTCGCCATCGCCCTCGACCCTTCCGTCCCCGCCTTTTACAGCAACCGCGCAGCGTGCGAGCTCAAGCTCGAGCAGCACGGCTTGGCGATAGAAGACGCTACCAAAGCCATCGAGCTCGACTCCAAGTTCTCCAAAGCCTATTTCCGCAGAGCCAGCGCTCATCTCAGTATCCTCGACCCCAAAAAGGCCCTCCCCGATCTTCGCATCGTCTCTCAGCTCGAACCCAAAAACGCATCGGTCAAGGCCCAGCTCGAAGCCACCGTCAAACTCATCCGTCGACTTGAGTTCGAGAAGGCTATCAAAGTCTCGGAAGGTGTCAAGGCTGCAGAGACCGTCGAGTCCAACTTGAAGGAAGGCTCGGGAGGCACAGTCGTACCCGACTCGTACGCCGGACCACGCATCGCCCAAGGCGACGATGCCGATACTGCGCATCTCGGCAAGATCGATCAGAAGTTCATCGACGATATGGTACAGCACTTCAAGGACGGAGGCAAGCTGCACAATCGATACTCGTGGCAGATCATCCTCGGCGCGTTCCGGGCCATGCAACAAGAGCCGACGCTGGTCGACTACAAGGTACCCGAGGGTACCACCATCGATGTCATCGGCGACACTCACGGTCAGTTCTTCGACTTTGTCCACCTACTCAACAAGACCGGCGCACCAAGCGAAAACCATGCACTCCTCTTCAACGGCGACTTTGTCGACCGAGGGTCTTGGTCAGTCGAGATCGCGCTCACCGTGTTCGCCTACAAGTGGCTGTACCCCAAGACCACGCTGATCAACCGTGGCAACCACGAGACGTCCGAGATGAACAAGGTGTACGGCTTCGAGGGCGAGGTCAAGGCCAAGTTTGGCGGCGATCTCACCTTCAAGTTGTTCACCCAGGTGTTTGTCGCGCTTCCACTCGCCACGCTCATCACAGCCAGCAGGCCGCCTCTCAAGGGCAGCGAGTTGCCCGATTCCTTCTCGATCGCACAGCGAGAGCCCATAGTCGCACAAGAGACCGGCTTGAAGCGCTTTTTTGTCGTTCACGGCGGCCTGTTCTCCAAGGACGGCGTCACGCTCGACGACATTCGCGCCATCGACCGATTCAAGATCGGTCAGCCAGGTCAAGCCGGTCTCATGATGGAATTGCTGTGGAGCGATCCTCAGACCGCACCGGGACGCGGTCCTTCGAAGCGAGGTGTGGGTCTCGGATTCGGACCGGACATCACCAAGGCGTGGTGCCAGCTCAACGGCGTCACCGCTGTGTTGCGAAGTCACGAGGTGCGCATGGGAGGCTACGAGGAGGAGCACGAGGGTCGATGCTGCACCATCTTCTCGGCGCCCAACTACTGCGACTCGACGGGCAACCTGGGCGCATTTGCACGTATCGACGATCAGGGTAGCATCGGCTGGACCGTGTTCGAAGCGCAACCGCATCCCAACATCAAGCCCATGGCGTACGTTGGCAACGCCATGAACGGTATGCTCGGCGGATGAGCGGCTTTGACCGTCGATGTTTGTCCAAAAAGCATATATTTTGTCTCAAGTCAATCGGAAGAGAACGATTCTCGGCAACGGACCTTGCGCCGTACCATGTTTCCTTTCCTCTCATACATGTACTCTATATCTGTCATTCCAATGGTACAACGTCCAGCATTCTCTAACGGCAGCGAACGGATCAGTCGGATGCATCGTCGAAAGCAGGTAGACCCCAATCTGTGGGATCAAAGTCTAGCAGCGAATCGATGGTCTGCGAAGCGCCCAGCTCTTCGTTGGGGAAGAGAGCTCTGAGGTTCGGATCTGGGACCCAGACGACGTGCATGCCTGCCGCCTTTGCCGCCTGTACACCTGGTTTGGCGTCTTCGAATACGAGGATGCTCGATTCTGCTCCTTTGAGGTGGTGGGATTCGTCGAATTCTGCGCCCATTTCGCGGAGGTTCTGGGTCCATTGCTCTCCGAGCTTCTCTGAAGTTGCTTTGTCGGTTAGGAGGCCTTCTCGTGCAGCGAGGAGGAAGATATCTGGATGAGGTTTACCACGGGTCAGGCGAGCGTCGTCGCCGCAGATGACGCGTGCGGCGAAAGGCCCAAATAGCTCCGGATGAGCAGCGGTCTTGATCTCGTAGTTTTTACGCTTGCTCCCGGTAGCAACGCAGATGGGGATGTTGTGTTTGTGAAGATGCTTGACGAGTCTAGTGGCACCTTGCATCTGAGGCACCTGCTCAAACGCTTTGAGAAGCACCTCGTTGCGATCCTTGAGGAAGTTGTCAATGTCAAAGGGGCAATCAGGACCGTACGGTTCGCCAGGCTTTGTGGGCGGCCATATGGATGAGAGTAATGTCAAGGTTGCTTCGCGTTCGGGTTTGCCCATGAGGTTGGCCTTGATCTCCCACGTCTGCTCCTTGCCGTAGGGCTTGAGGATGTCGTTGACCACCTTGGTGTAGATGCCCTCCGAGTCGATGAGCAGACCGTCCATGTCGAACAGCACTGCTTTGATGTGCGCGATCGGCTGTTTCGTTGAGGTCGACATGACTGCGTCTTTTGATCGGATGCCTCCGTCTATGTGTGATGGTCTGGAGTGAGACTTCGGAAAGGGTCCGAAGGAGCTGTTGGCTCGAGTCAGCGCAGTGCACGTTTCTTCTCGGCTCTGCTCGGTCAATTTGGCGGCCTATGAAAGCCGCGCCCGTACTTTTATCTCGGTTTCAACGTGTGCAGTGTAAACGCTGTAACAGTGCCAAGGTGAAGAAATTCCGCTCGCGTGTGAGTTCGTGTGTGTTGGTCCGGCCGCCTTGCTGTGCACGGATGCACCCTGGGACGGTCACCCGACTCGACAATGCGAATCTTCGTCAGTCATCTCCATCACATTCTCACGCTTCGGATCCACCCGACTGAGGCGCTACCATCATCAACACTGGGCGTCGGCTCGGATTGCTCCGTTGCTGCATATTCGACTCAGCAACGCCATCCCAACGATGAAGGTGCTCATCACAGGGGCGTCCGGCTTGCTCGGTAGAGCCGTTCACCAGCAATGCATCGAGAAGGGCTACGACACAAAGGCACTCGCATTCACCCGCTCGGATCCGTCGAAACAGCTCGTAAAGCTCGACCTCACCGATGCTGCTGCGGTAGAATCGTGCCTGCAAGACTTCAAACCCGATGTCATTATCCACACAGCAGCCGAGCGTCGCCCAGATGTCGTCGAAAAGGACCCGGCAGCTTCTCACGCTATCAACGTCGATGCCCCCGCTACCATCGCCACCCTTGCTTCCAAACTCAACAAAGTGCCGCTGCTCGTCAACATCTCGACCGACTATGTTTTTGACGGCTCCAAACCACCTTACACCGTCGACGATGCGCCCAATCCCCTCAATGCCTACGGCGTGAGCAAGCTCCAGGGCGAGCGAGCTGTCGCCGAGCACGCCAGCTCTGGGCATTTCACAAATCTCCGAGTTCCTGTGCTCTACGGAAAGACCATCACCAACGACGAGTCGGCAGTCAACGTACTGCTCAACGCCATCCAGCCTCCACCCAACTCCACTGACCTGAAAAAGTGCGACGCCTATGCAGTGCGATACCCCACCAACGTCGGCGATGTCGCCAAAGCCATCATCAAACTCGCCGAGGTTCACGCAGAGACATCAGACCCGGTTCCGCCGACAACGCATTTCAGTGCAAAAGAAGCAATGACCAAATACGACATGTGCATGGTCCTCAGCCGTATCGCCAACTCGGTCGGTTTTGAAACACGCACCGACCTCCTCGACCCAGAATACGAAGTCGATCCGATGGCCGCTACAGCAAGACCTAGGCATTGCAAGCTCGACACATCTGTACTGGAGGCGTACGGCGTACCTGTCGAGTACACTTCTTTTGAGGATTGGTGGAGACCGTACCTCGCAGAGCTGTACAAGGCCAAGTTGGAAGAGGTCGCGAGATTGGAAGCTGAAGCACAAGCAAAGCGGGAAAAGGAGGAAGATGAACGCAAGAAAAGAGAAGCGGAAGAGGAAGCTGAACGTCAACGAAAGCTCGAAGAGAAGAAGCGCCTCGCTGCAGAACAGGCACAAGCTCGTGCGGAGGCAGAGCGCGAAGCCGAGGAACAAGCACAAAAGGAGAAAGAAGCAGCAGAAGCAGCAGAAGTCGAAGCGGCTAAGGGGGCGGAAGCAGCAACAGAGTCCGTAGCCTCAACGTCAGGCGAAGCAGCCAACGGCACCGACAATGCTCCAGGTTCACCTCATCCTTCCTTCAATTCGCTTCAGGCGCGACCCACACCTCCCGCCACGTCTGCACTTCCATCGCCTACCAGCTCACATCCGCCCTCCTCGATCAAAAGTGGTCGTGGATCGGACACACCGCCTCCACCAACCAGCAAAGACGGTCCTTCCACCATGCCATCTGCAGTCGAGATTCTCGCCACGGATGCAACACCCACCGGATCCGTCATCGACGAAAGCCCGCTCAACCTCGCAGCAGCGCGCGAGAGGCAATGTCTAGGCTCGACTCTGCCACAGCGATCGCTGAGTGCCAGCAGCGCCGCTCGCCTTACATCTTTGACCGACGAAAGCACCATGTTCGGCGGAGCTTCGCGCAAGTCGAGCCTTTCTGGCCCACCTTATCTGGACACGACGAGTACTGTGCGTCAGGGCAGAGACGATTCGGACGATGATGGGTACGGTCAACCTTCGCCTCGTGTGAACCAGGCGGCGTTTACACAGCGAGCAGAGCCGGGATCTCCAACTCCCGTTGGACGTAGTCATGCGGATGGCAGCGCCACTCTGAGCGGTCCGGTGGGATGCTCCGTTGCATCTCTCGGCTCGTCGGCTGCTTCCGGTCCTTCCGCAGACAACGATCGCAACGCCAACTACACCGGCTCCTCCACAGCCTCTCCCGCATCTGCCGCCCAGCCCACGCACTACCACCGTCCGTCCTTCGACGCCATCCACGACGCCCAGTCTCGCGCCTTGCACTCCCGCTCGCACCGTCCATCCTTCACGTTCAATATCAAAGTCGGCGACCCGCAACGTATCGGCGACCCCATGACCGCTCACATCGTCTACACCGTCCGCACCACCACCGACAACCCCTCCTTCCGCTCCTCCCACTTCTCCGCCCTCCGCCGATACCGAGATTTCCGATGGCTTCACGCCGCGCTCGTCCAGAACAACCCGGGAATTATCGTGCCCCCCGTACCCGAAAAGGTGTCCATCGGTCGCTTCGCTGCGGAACTCGTCGAGGCGAGGAGGATAGGCCTCGAGACGTGCATCAACAAGATCGCGAGCCATGCGCTGTTGCAGCAGGATGAGGATCTGAGGTTGTTCCTCGAGTCGGAGAACTTTGCGGCCGATGTCAAGGCGAGGGATGCGGTGAAGGGTGCGATAGTTACACCCGAGCAGAAGACGTACAAGAGCTGGGGCAGTGCGCTGTTGGGGAGCATGGTTCCGAGCACTTCGTCGCTGTCGTCGGGTGCGTTGAGCGCGAGTAGGTTCGAGGAGACGGACGAGTGGTTTAACGAGCAAAAGGTGTACCTGGATTCGTTGGAGAGCGCCTTGAAGGGCATGGTCAGGAGTGTCTCTCAGCTGAGCAGTCAGAGGAAGCAGGTGGTGGCGGCGATGCACGATCTCGGCCAGGTGTTGACAACCCTGTCGGGAAGCAGCCTTTCCAGGTCGCTGAGTACCTGTTTCGCCGGGCTAGCGGAGGTGAAGAGACGTGCGATGGAGTTAGAAGATCTTCAAGCCGAAGCCGACGTCCGACAGCTCGGCACCACCATGTACGAGTACGAACGCGTCGTCGGCAGCGTCCGCAAAGCGTTCACCGTCCGAACCGAGATCTGGGCCAAATCCGCCCGATGCCAGGACGAACTCCGAAGGACCCGAGCCAGGTTCGATAAGTACAAGGCGACCAACCCGAGCGCCGCGGGTGCACAATTTCAGAGCCTACTGGCCGAGCTCACGGAGGCAGAGACGAGGGCGTTGGACGCAGAGAGGCTGTTCGGAACAGTTTCAGAGAGATGTAAGGATGAAATGGAGAGGCTTGATCTGGAGAGGGTGTTGGATTTCAAGAGGGTGGTGGGTGGGTGGGTGGAGGGGATGATCGAGAGGCAGGAGGAGGTGGTGGAGGAGTGGGTGAACTACGCGGGGTTACTGGGCAGGCAAATGGGGATGAAAATTTTGATCGGGGAGGAGGGAGAGGAGGAGGAGGAGCAGAGGGATGGAGGAGGAGGAGGCGAGCAGAAGCAGCAGCAGCAGGCTCCAGTGGGATCGGAGATGCAAGGCTCAGACGTCGCGGAAACGGACTCGGCGGCAGCAGCTGGAGGACCTGTTCCTGCCGACGTGAACAAGCAGCCAGTCATCGAAGAGGACGTTCAGCAGCCAAGTGGCTCTCAAGGAGCTACACCAGAGGCTTCCGCCAATGCAACGGACAGAGCTGCTTCGACCGACGAGACGAATGGTGCTGCTGCTGCAGAGCAAGCTACTCAAGTGGCCAATACCGACCCCGTTCAGACCGGAAGCACCTCGGCAGATGCGTCTTCTGACGCGGTCCGGCAGACAACCGACGCAAACGCGACAGCAGCCAACCCATCTACCGACGAAGACGCTCAACCAGAGCCCTCTCTTCCCATCGCTGAGGCAGATCAGGTCAAAGACGACGTTGTCAACGAAGCGACCACAAGCGCCGAAGCAAAAGAAGCGGCTGACACAGCTCCGTCATCGGACGCTGCCGACGCCTCTCCCGAAGTCCAATCGAAAGACGCCCAAGAAGAAACCTCATGAGGCGTCGCAGGGCCGCAGACGACCACACGCGTTTGCACGACTAAACGGGAAGCGCTCGATTCACAAGCTAACGGCTTTTTGCATCGATCCTCTCAGCAGCGGAAGCAATCAAAATGAATGGGAATGGCACACCGTCGCACCGTGAAACGTTCTCGTGTGTCTACATCTTTACTTTCACCAATTCTTCCTCTCACCCTGCCCCCAAATCTGCCTCCTGCCCCAGCCCAAGGTCAACCTCTTCCTCCCCTGCCTTGCACTCCTCCTGACCGCACTCTCCGTCAACTGATCGCGCGTTGGACTCTCCACTTCCAACGACATGAGCGTCTCCTCCACCTCTGCCTCGGATGCTGACGACGATCAAGAGGAAGAGATGATGATTGGTTGAGGCTCATCTTCGTCGTCGGTGATGATGTAGTACGAGGCTCTGTCGAAGGAAGAGGAGGAGGACTTGAGGATGGGGTGGGGGGAGATGGGGGAGGTGAAGGAGTGGGTGGAGAGTGAGGAAGGTGCAGGTGAGGGGGAGAGTAGGTCGATGACAGTGTTCGTCGCGGAAGAAGATTCTCCCTGCACCTCGGTCTCTTTGTCTTCTTCCGACAGCTCTTTCTCTTCCTCCTCGTGGTCGAACGTTGGCAGGGGATCTTGACCACCCACTCTCCTGAACTCAAACTTACAAACTCTAAACCCACTCCTCCCCCTCTCCATCCAACACCGTTCCACCCTGTACAGTCCACAATACACATACCCCTCACTCGGCGCATACCTCCCCCCTGCCTTCCACCCTCTCACCACTCTCACCACCTTCCCCGACCTCACGCTCTTCTGCAACGCCGCGTTCTTCCCTTCCCACTTCTGATCGCTGCTCTGCGGAGCAGTCCTCAAATTCTTCGGATTCTGCTTCGTACCTTTGAGGTCGCGACCACCACTGCCGGTGTAGGTGAAGGTATCGCCGAGATCGACGTCGTCTTCGTAGCCACCGGAGAGGCAGATGGACCAGCAGCCGAGGTGTTCGTTGCCAGAGATGCCGGCTACGGTGGGGGCGTGGACGGCGTCGGTGGAGCAGTCGATGCGTTTGGACCAGTGCGTGCCGATGGGGATGCCGGGGATGGCACCGAAGGTTTTCGGGTTGTGGATGCGAACGCCGAGTCGATCGGCGGATCGTTGGAGTTCGTCTGAGGACCTGTAGTGGCGTGCAGGGTTGAGCGTGTTGTGGGAGGATCCAGAGGGACGATGATAGGAATGGTAGTCGTCGTCCGAATCAGAGTCCGTGTTGTACCTGTCGAGGCGCGAGCGAGAAATCTTTGCAGGGTATACATCATTGTCGCTGAGAGCTCGTTTCATGCCTCGACCCTTCGGCTTTTTGGGACTGTCGAGCGTTCGAGATACCGATCGAGTGATCCTTCTAGGCCGCTGAACCCTCGCTGCACTGCTCTCGTACTCCTCTGCATCAGCAGGTACCGATTTCGACGCTGACTTCGACTTGGCTTTAGCGGCGATCGATGCCTTCTTGGGTGTCTGAAACAACGAACTCGACCCTGGATACAGTCCCAGCTCCTTCATCAACTCGAGATTGGCTTTGATGTTCGCCTGGCGTTGCGCTTCGTAGTCCTCCTCGTCCATCGTGAGCTGCGCATCGTTGCGGACCATACTTTCAAAAAAAGCTTGGGAAGTTTGAGTGATGCTGGCAAGGCTTAGCTGGCGATGTTCTCGAGGGTGTGCAGATGATGGGTGAGCAAAGATAAGAGACAGATGACAGTGCGGATGGATATCTTGTGGTACAACAAAGGGCATCCTTTGGCTCGTGCGCAAATTTCACCTTTCTTCTTTGAGTGTCTGCGGAACCCTGAATTTCCCCACCCAAAACGTGGCGAGACCACTTTACGCGACGCGCGACACACGCGTCTGAGCTTATTTTGGTCACATGCCGCGTTTCGTGTCCCACTGCTCTCTCACGGATCGCTTTCTTTGACGCTCAGCACGCAGCTTGAAGACTCACAACGCTCGACCGAAAATGTCAACTGGTGTCGATTGCGACATGGTCTGGATTCCTTCTGAGGATCAACAAGCTATGTAGTGGGTGAGCTGTATTACAGCCTGCTGCTGCCTTCCTCCCGAATCTTGAGTCCCAACGCCCTGCCGACAATCGCGTACTTCTCCGCTGCCTCCTGGATCCTCTTCTGCGTACTCTTTCCCGCTCCATGTCCTGCATCGATCTCCACTCTGAGCAACAGCGGGTTGGGGTTCTTGGCCAGCTTATGCTGCATCTCGGCCATCAACTTGAACGAGTGAGCAGGTACCACCCTGTCATCGTGATCCGCGCACGCCAGCACCGTCGTCGGATATACCTTGTTCTCGTCCACGTTGTGCAATGGCGAGTACTTGTACACGTAGTCAAAGATCTCGGGATCCTCCGAAGGATTACCGTAGTCGGCGGTCCACGCTTTACCGATCGTCCATGTGTGGAACTTGAGCATGTCCATCACTCCGACATCCGCAATGCCAGCTCCAATACCGTGTTCGGGAAGCTGCTGGTTGATGCACGCGGCAACACCCAGGCCGCCGTTGGACCCTCCAGAAAGAATGACCTTGCCCTTGGCGGCATATCCGCTCTCGTGAAGGTATTTGGCGGCGGACAGAGCATCGTCAAATACATTCTGCTTGTTGAGCAACGTGCCCGCTTCGTGCCACTTGTCGCCGTACTCTCCACCGCCGCGACAGTTGACAAACGCCAGCACTCCATTGTAGGAAGAGATCCACGACATCATGGAGGGCGAAAACACCGGAGTGATAGGAATGTTGAAACCTCCGTAGAAGTACAGGATAGCAGGGGCAGTCCCGTCCTTGGTCACGGTCTTGGGATGCGTGACGAACATGGGCACGCGTGTACCGTCCTTAGACTCGATGAACACCTGCTCTGACACAAAGTCCTCGGCTTTGATGCCCTGTACCTGCGTGTCGTAATAGGCGGTCTGCTTCGCCTTGGTCGTACTGGCTGACGACTTCGTCGGCCAGTCCAAACGCACAACTTGACCCGGGTTGACAAACGAGCCGAACTGCACAAAGGCATGATCGTCGCTGTGTCGAGCAGCAATCTGCTGGATCGTACCTACGAGATCCGGCAACAGCCTCTCGACACGCTTTCCTGACTCGAGCTCGTACTGGTACAGCTCGTCCTTGACATCGCGCGAGTAGACCACTAGCAACTTGTTGTGGTCGATCACCTGTACCGATGAGAGTAGTGCATCATTTTCCTCGGCAATGACATCGGTAAGCTCAACATCGTTACCGGTGAGCTCCCACACATTGCTGGTCTGCTGTGCCTGCTTGGCCGGGTCGATGTCGACCGAGACGAACCGGGAGTTGGGCGCGTCTTTGTTGGTCATAAAGTAGAAGCGGTTGCCCTTGTTGGTCACATAGTTGAGGACATATTTGAACGAGAGGGCAAGCGGGATCCACTTGAGTTCTTTGCTAGCTGTGAGACCTTGGTCCTGCAGCGGCAGCACGTAGACTCGTTCCTTTGTGTCGGTGTCCCTGCTGTTGTAGAGCATGAGATAGTTGCCATCGTGCGAGACGTTTGTGCTCCACATGGATTCGGGCACCTTCAAGTCTTTGCTGACGACCAGCACGTCCTCCGACTGGGAAGTGCCGACTCGATGGTACCAGAGCTGAGCGTCCTTGTTGGCATCGGTCTCTGTGCCTTTGTCGGTCACGGACGCTGTAGGGTAGGTCTGGTAGAACAGCCCGTTGTCATCGTGGGTAAAAGCGGCCCCCGAAAACTTGACGTTCTCCAGTCTGTCCTCCAGACGGTCCTTACCGCCGGTGGCGTCGACGTAGTTTGCCAGCTCGTCCTTGGACAACTTGATGGTGCCGTTGGAATTGTAGTGAGCGTCCTCCAGCTTGAACGGCTTAGCTGTCTCTCTGATAAAGATCTCGACCCAATCGCTTCCACTTTTGCTGATACCGTAGACGAAGTACTTGCCCGAATGCGAGAATGTGGTGAAACTCAGCGCCACGGTGCCATCAGCACTGAGCAGATTGGAGTCGAAGAATATGTCGCCGATGGGGTCGCGCTGGTTCTTGCCTGCATTGCTGTCTACTTGTTGCTTGCTGGCGGTGTAGATGAGCGACTGAGGCGAAAGACCCGAGTTGAAGCTGTAATAGTACTTGCCGTCGCCTTTGAGCGAAGGGCAGGAGAAACGAGCAAAGTCAAAGTTCTTCTCGATTCGAGACTTGAGGATATCGAGATCGGGTTGACAGCCATCGAGGTAGCTTTGCGTCAGCTTTGCCTGCGCGTGTACCCAGTCTTTGGTCTCTTGCGACTGCGAAGGAGGCTGCTCAAGCCAGATGTAGGGCTCGGGAACGGTGACGGAGCCCTTGGCAGCCGACTTGTACGTCAAGGAAGCCTTGTCGTCACGACGAGCTTTAGGGTAGGGATTGGGCTCAATCTTCCAGCTGGGAGCATCCTGCGCTGACATTGTGACGGAGGTGTACGCGAAGCAGCGCCGAGGATGAGCAAATGTGTTTGTGGACGGCGAAGGGAGGCGAGAGGTCAACGATGTTCTACAGGAGGGATGGAGACACCTAAGCGGACGGAGTCTACCCAACATGAGATGTGCTGCTGCGGCGACGGTGGAGATGGTGGGGAAGAGAGAGGAAGCTGGTATGCCGTTGAGAGGCGGAATCTGATGAGAAGTTTGACAGCTCGAGCCAGAGTAGCAAGTCAGTCGACGTGGAAAGAAGCAACATAGCCGACGGACGAGTCTGGTCCGCGAGCGGGTCCAAGCGTCGCAGCCGAACGAAAGGGAGAAAAGGGTCCAAAGCTGAGCAAAGACGGAAAATGAAACCGAGATCTTCAAAATGAAGCAAGCCTTCGGCAAAGCCGTCGTGCAGTGTGGCTGCTTACGGAGCTGTCTGCAAGCAAGCTCAGCGCGCAATGGTCGACCTCCTATTGAGTCAAGACTTTGCTTGTCTGCTTGCTTGCTTCTGAGGAGAAGGAGTATTCCCGCGTGGTCACCAGTGCTGACTATACGATAGCGTGCTTGACTTGGCAGATGGGACGGGATTCAGTGCTTTCAAGCTTCTGTGGCCCCAGATGCATCGCAACAGCAGCAGGTATCATGCGAATGGGCACCGTCATTGTCCTTCGCCTATGCTGTTGGGCCTGTGGTTGCGTCCGAGTGAAGTAGATGGTGTTAAAGTACGTGTATCATGTATAGTCGAGTGAAGCTGCACACAGTCATGCTGAGAGTCCAACTCAAGGATTGAAGCCTGGTCGATGGGCACAAGGTGTTCGTCACAATAGACTTCACGACTATATGAAGGCGAAAGTGCGGATGAGGCTCTCTCTCGCGACAGGCAAGCCACAGATCGGATCGTCCAAACGGAACGGCGAGCACTCTTCTGTTGTCGCCTTGCCCGCCCGCTGCCTTAACACGAACATGCAGACAGAGCAGCCAAGTCCGATCCCGGTCAAGACCAGAGACGCGCGCAGAGGGCAGACAAACAGACGAGGGAGCGTCGGAGGCGTTTGCTGTCCAAGGTGTTGGTTTCGAGGGTCGGTGCCTAAAATTTCAGCGGGGTTTCCTGTGTTGCTTTGGACGCGAGCCACAACCGCACGCCAAACAGGCCTCCCCGATCGAGGCGCGTCGACTGCGTCTGGTGCCGGGCTTCTTGCCAAATTTAGCCTTTTGACTGGCTGGCAGCTGTTGGCGCGAGACCAACACTTTTTTTACGCACACGAAGCGAATGGCAGTCGCGCAGAGTTCGGTCTCGCCGACAGGCGTAGGAATCACACTGCGGAGCAGCCAAGTGAGGCTTGACTCGCCGAGGTTGGTTTTGACACGAGAGACAAACTCAAACTGCAGAGAGCAACACACTTCCACACTTCGTCCTGCTGTACAATCACATCGTTTTCGTTGCCACCTTCCAGTCATCACGACACCTCTGTACATCACTTCAGGACTACTCACGCCTTCCACGTCTCCCGCTAATCACGACGTTCACCACCTCTCGCACCGATCTTTCGTCTCAAAGCAGCGCGCGCTTCACAATTGACGACCTCCAGACGACTCTGCTCGGCCAAGAAACGCCTTCGATCTAACTCTCTCAGCATCAACTGCGCGCGCCTCGCCCATCGGTTGAGCCGATCATACGTCATACACGCAGCATCCCGATACAGCCATGGACAACTATCAGAGAATCGAAAAGGTTGGCGAAGGTAAGCACTCGACCCAGCAAGCTGTTGATATGGCACGCACTGGCGCATTCTGCCAGCTCAAGTGGCCGAAACCTGACACCTTGTCTTTGTCTTTCTGCTCGCGCAATGTCTCCCCGCGATCGCAGGTACATACGGTGTCGTATACAAGGCAAAGGACTTGACACCAGGCGCCAACGGCCGTATCGTCGCACTCAAAAAGATCCGCCTCGAAGCTGAAGACGAGGGCGTCCCTTCCACAGCCATTCGCGAAATCTCGCTGCTCAAGGAGCTTCGCGATGACAACATTGTCAGGTGAGTCTTCGCCGTCGCAGAGGCTTGTCATGTTCACAGCCCGCTAGAGAGGATCAGGACTGACTTTGCACCCATTCTTCTCCCGTAACAGATTGTTCGACATCGTTCATCAGGAGAGCAAGCTCTACCTCGTATTCGAGTTTCTAGACCTCGATCTGCGCAAATACATGGACAACGTCTCACGGAACCGTGGAGGCGACGGTATGGGTCCCGAGATTGTCCGCAAATTCACCTATCAGCTCATCCGCGGTCTCTACTATTGCCACGCGCACCGCATCCTTCATCGCGACTTGAAGCCTCAGAACTTGCTCATCGACAAAGAGGGCAACCTCAAACTGGCCGACTTTGGTCTCGCACGCGCATTCGGCATTCCTCTGCGCACATACACACACGAAGTGGTCACGCTCTGGTACCGAGCACCCGAAGTCTTGCTCGGCTCGCGACACTACAGCACCGCCATCGACATGTGGTCTGTAGGCTGCATCTTTGCCGAGATGGCCATGCGACATCCCCTGTTCCCGGGCGATTCCGAAATCGACGAGATCTTCAAGATCTTCCGCACGCTGGGAACTCCGACCGATGATGTTTGGCCAGGCGTACAGCAACTGCCGGACTACAAGGACAGCTTCCCCAAGTGGACTGGTCGACCGCTGCGTGACGCCGTCAAGGGGCTCGACGAAGCAGGATTGGATCTGCTCGAGGGCATGCTCGTATACGACCCGGCAGGAAGGACATCGGCGAAACGCAGTCTCGTGCATCCTTACTTCCGACAGCTCCTGGCATAGAAGCTCGACTCTTCAGATTGTTGAAAACTCTTTGCAGCCTCGACCTAGCATTCCGCGCCTTTAACCACCCTGCCACCATCAGCACACAGCCGTTCTCTGTCTCGTCTATCTCATCCGTCGACGCCCCTCGTCTCGCCTCTTACCACACTGTACACTCCGTTCCGCTTGATCTCTTGCCATTCAAACACCTTGTATGCTCATCTCTGGCGCCAAAACACACGCGACTGAGCCGCGTACACAGACATTGCCGACGGATATCTCATTCGGCTACGTTTGTTCCTGCTACAGCGCATGAAGCAGCATGCCGTTCGCCTGGCCAAGTTCCCAAAGCGAGACCCCTGCTCCGACATCCTCGTTGTCCCCCTCCAACGCCTCTAATCTCGTCTGTGTCGTCGAGGGAAGTGGCAGGTACATCCTCCAATAGATCTCATCCCCCGGTTTCAGCCCTTGACTCTCCTTTCCTTTGGCCGACTCGCTCGTCACCGTCTCGGTGTAGTCGAACCAGCCCTCTCCGTCGTCTTTGGGGTCGATGATGACTCCGTCGTGGTCGCTGAGGATGGTGAGGATGGCGTCCATCGTCACGGCTTCTGCGGGTCCGCGTAGGAAGGGAAGGAGGGAGGAGGATGAGGTGCGCGAGAAGAGTTCCTTCCCTTCGTCTGGGTTCAGAGGTGGTGAGACGATGATGCCTTGACCGGTGGTCTTGTCGATCCAGAAGATGGGGTAGCGGTAGCCATACATTGGCATGCCCATGAGGAGCTTCCCTTTGATCAGGGAGAGTGAATCTTCAGGCTGTTCCGCTTCCGCCTGCTGTTCTGCTGGGGCCTTTTCCCCGTCTCGTTCCTCAGTTTGCGAATCGACCGAGGCTTCATCGAGCACTTCCTCACCACCAAACTCATCATACGCAAAGGGACTGCTAGGATCCTTCAACCTCTCCACCTCCTCGTCTCCTCCTTCTCCTGCCTCCTTGTTCAGCTCCGCTTCCGCCTCTGCCTCTGCCTTCTGCTTCCTCCTCCTCTCCTCTCTCGCTCTGCTCGCGTCCCTCGTCGCCTCCGCAATCAACCTGACATTCTCTCCAATCCACTTGCCGCTGGTATTCGGACCAGCTTCTCTCAGCGTACCCCTCTTAGCCCCCCGCAACGGACTCTCCTTCCCAAAATCCTTCCCTTCCATCTTGCTCGCTCTTCCACCTGCCCCCGACATATCGTACGTCATGATCGAAAAGTAATCCACCACAGCTGCCAGTTGTGGTATGGACTGTTTGATCATCGTGTTTTGACTTTGTTGCATCCTATCGAGCTTGATCCCATTTAGCGAGTATTGCGTTCGCAGAGGTGGAAGGACTACAGTGAGGGATTTGTCGGTGGTCTTGAGGGAGGAGGAGAGGAGGGAGATTGGCTCGAAGAGAAGATGGGTTGCTGCTGATTCGAACACGATTCCGTGGTAGCCTTTGGTGGAGACTTCGGTGGTGATGAGTTGGGAGAGACGGTTCCAGTTGGAAGGGCTGGATAGCAGGTCGGCGTAATCGTTCTGTTGCCAAGAATCTAGATAGAACCGTGGAACGATCTTCACCCTAGATTCTCGATTCTTGAGCTTCGATTCCACCCATTCTCGCTCTTTCTCACTCGGTGGTCCACCGCTGAGAACGTACGTCGCATTACCCCCACCCTTGGAAACCACCTCTCGATCGACGAGAACCGTATACCAGACAGGCGAAACCATGTCGATCTTCTCCGCATACTCATCCACCACATCGATCCCACGTGCATTCCAGGGCGTGATGTAGGCGAGTACAGTTCGATTCGTTAGCTTCTGGGTGATGGAGGCGAGTTCGGGCTGGATGCGAATGTACTCGTCGGTTTCGTACACCGCTGGTGTTGTCGAGGCGAAAGCGAGAAGCGCCGTGAGCAGGAGACACACGAGGTGGAAAAGCCCACTGCGACATTGAAGCGTCCAGCTTGCTGGCAGCAGAAGTGACACCATCATCGTGACGGTCTGTGCTGTGCGATGACAGTGTCGAGCTGGTGATGATGGTTGGAAGAGAGCTTGTCAAAAGTCGGTCAAAGCTCAAAAAGCACAGGGACGTGAAAACACTGAATTTACGGATGCGGGGAAGAACCACACCGACAGGCATCCAATTTTCCTCAGTGTTCATGATCGTCATTACACACACCCTGGCGATGAAAACCGCTCCACTCGCCAAGCAATGCAAAAACGCTTCCTGTGTACCATGACATTTCTATCTGAGCACCTTTCGTGCCAATCCTCGCCATGCCCACCTCTACCACCATGATGAGTGTGTCTACAAAATCTTCTCCTTGGCCGCCTCGAGCACCTTGTTCGCCGCTTTGGGTCCACCCATTACCCTCTCCTGAACCCAATCGAACGCGAAATCAACCACGTGTTCTACCGGTTCATCGAAGAGGAACGGCAATGCCGGGATGAACATCAATCCAGCTGCCGTAGGGCCAAACGCACGGATCCGGTGGTTCTTGGCCTTTGCAAAGACGGGTGCCGTGTACTTGACGATGCTGTGAATGGTGAATGCAGGCAATGCCATCGAAGCGATGCTCTGGAAGACTGCTTGTCTTGCCACTGTCATTCCTACGTGGGTCACCTCAGAGACCTTGCTGGGGTCTACGCCAGCGTGTCGGCCGTGTTCGGCAAGTCGTTGAGTGTGACGCTTTCGCAATTCGACCTTCTCGGAGGGCGAGAGTGCCGAGAGGGTCTTGGAGTCGAGCACCTCTTCCAAAGGAAGGTTCTCCCGAACGGATGAGAGGGTCTGATTGGCAAGTTTTGCTGCTTCTGTCTCGAGCTCTTGCACAGGTCCCGTGGCAGAGAATGTGGTGGAAGCAAGCGATTCGTACTGCTTTGCCGCCTTGAAGCCTGCGTAAGCTACATCGACGATGATGTAGGTCCACGAGACGGCATAGGCACCCCGGACGACCCATGGCTTGGTTAAAGGCCTCAGCGCCTCTCCCATCTCGCTTGTGTAGGCGCTCATCCTCAAAGATGAGCCGACTGCCGTCTTGAGACGGGCTGCATATGCTGCGTATCGTCCAGGCCCGTTCTCGAGATCAAGGACCTCCGAAGTCGTATCGGATGAGGTCGAAGACGAGAGTGTAGGTGTGGCGAGACCAGATGCGGAAGCCTCGGGAGAGTTGCTGCCGACGTTGCTGGTGGTAGGGGAAAGGAGCGAGGACGATGCTTTGAAAGGGCTTTGGTGCAGCACGCCTTGAAGCTGGAACCCGAGTCCGCTGAGCCCAAACAGCGGGATGTAGCGCTGCGGCTCGATGTTTGTGGGGTCCAGCATGTCTTGGAGGAGTATAGTCCTTGGTGGAATCCAGTGATGATCGCGACAAAGGTGGAACAGAAGGATGTCGTATTGTGAAAGGAAGATGCGAAGCTGACGGGATCTGCACTGGTAGGAGCGACGCTGCAAGAAGCACGTCACCGCAGGTCCAACCGCATCGAGCTTCGTTCACGGTCGCTGTTCTTGGCTTGGCTTCACCTCACTTATCGAAAAATTCCTCCACTTGGCAGGCAAAATCGGGCTAAAAAGGCGAGGCGAGCTTGGGACGCGTTAGGGAAACATCGGCGATGGGACCAGTGGACTTTCCTGTGGTTCAGGGTCGCACACTTCAAGTCGCGGATGGGCCAACTCGAATCGCTGCGTCCCTCCAGCCCTCTTCCAATTACACAGCATCCTTCACCGTCAACCTACACCGGACTCGTTCCGACGCTCCTTCATCCCTTTCCGTTCAGCTTCCTAATCATCTTGAGCCTCAGCACCGGGCGAGTCGCCGACAAAGTAGCATCCAAGTGCTGTTGGTGTCTCTCTCTGTCGCACATGCCGACAGCCTTGTTGCGGAATAGCTCCGATACCCTAACGTCCAGTGCTCAGTTGGCGGCCATTCTTCACACACGACATACGCTGACCTCACAGCAGTCAGATGCGACCGACACGGTATCGACAAAATGTTTGACGACTTTGTGCAGAGCTCGTCATCGCAGCATACTCCACCAATCCCGAACCAAAAGCGCCAAATTTCCTACACCCACAACACAGGTGCCAATGGCCAATACTCTACTCCGCCTCGCTTTGGAGCTCACACGTACGACTCGATCAATGACGGCTTCGAAGATGATACCTACGGAGGTCGTGGTATTGACGGCGACGATGCTCCTCACGATGGGTTCGGATCGTCCATGCTCGACCCCATCGCGGCACTCGAGACCGGTTTCATCTCCTCGGATGCAGGCCCATCCTCGCATTCAGATCCCATCTTCCAGCTCGGCAGGGTCCAGTACGCCTTCTCGGCACCTTTGGCTCTCATGACCGTCTCATCCAATATCCTCACAATGTGCCTGTATGCATATCCTAAGCCTTCTCAAGCGTCTAGTCCGTTCCCGACGGCCCCACCAAAGCTCGTCCGCATCAACCTCGACGATCCAGAACACACTCAAGAAGCCGATGTACCTATTCCGCCAGCGCCGCGCTCTGCACGCAATGCGCCTCCGCCAGATCTCAGCACGCTTGGCCCGCACAAGATGTTCGCCGACCCCTCCGGTCTCCATCTCGTGTTGGCAATGCGGAACGGTGACAACTACTATTGGGCCAGCGGTTGGAGAAAGGCGCGACTACTACCCAAACTCAAAGGTCACATCATCGAGAGTGTTGCGTGGAACAAGGACAGCAGCGCATCGGCTGCCCGAAAACGTGCGGCCAACAGTACTCCTGCCGTGTCCACCACACGGCAGATCCTCCTGGGCACCAGATCAGGAGATATTTACGAAGTAGTCATCACAGCCGCGGTAGGCAGCGATCCTGATGATGGCGACATCTTTGACAAGATCGCCCGACGAACAGGAGGAAATGGAGGCGAACGCGGAGATGTCGAACGTGTCGTGCGACACATGACTACTTTGCCAGAGCGACAGCCGGTCACAGGCCTTGTCGCCGAGATATTCCCTCGCAATGCCTCAGCTGCATCAGGTGATTCATCCGCCAACGGCTTGGCCTCAGCATCGAGCGACCTACGTCGAGCTGTCGTCATCGCTACCACAAGCACGCGCATTTACGAGTATGTCGGCATCCTCGCCAAACCACGCACAGACGAGGTCGACTCGCAATCGCTCTTCGACAAGCTCTTCCTGCCGTATAGGGGCGACTCCTCACCCAATCTCAAGTCCGAGCTGCCTGGTGACCTTCCCTACTCGGAGCTGCACACATGGACTCCTACCTCTTCCAAGCACATCTCGGCACTTGCATGGTTGACCGGGCCTGGTGTCTACCATGGGCTGCTCTCTTATCCGCCGGACGCAACAGCGGGCGACAGCGTCATTGAGACCGCCAACCTCTTGCCATATCCAGCTATCGCTATTGAAGACGAAGACAGCGCAAGTCCCACCAAGCGACGCAGCCGCATCAGCACAGCCTCCAATGGTGACCCTGGCGAGTTTGGTGACGGTGGCGCACCCATCACAGAGATACCGCTTAGCATCGCTTTGACAGAGTTCCACTTTGTCTTGCTCTATCAGGACCGAGTTATGGCCATCAGCTCGCTTGACGATCAGGTCATCTTTGAAGAAGCACTTCCACTCAAACCCAATGAGCGCGTCATCGGCACTGCGGTCGACGTCACCAAGCAAACCTTTTGGGTCTACACCGATGCAAGCATATTTGAGCTTGTCCTTCGCGATGAGGATCGCCACGTATGGCGTGTGCATCTTGATCGAGGCTCCTTCGATATGGCTCTCAAGTTTGCCAAGCCCGGAATCCAACGAGGTACGGTTCTCTCGTTCCAGGGCGATCGTTTCTTTGCCGAAGGCAAATACATTCAAGCCGCGCAGTGCTATGCCCAGACCTTCATGCGCGCATTTGAGGAGATCGTCTTGCGCTTCACCGACGTCGACCAGCGCGATGCCCTGCGCTACTACCTAGTCATGCGTCTCGAGCGACTCGACAAGACTCACGACGTCACTCAGCGCGTCATGCTTGCCACATGGCTAGTCGAGATTTATCTGAGCAAGATCAACCAGCTCGAAGATGTCGCTGCTGCAGAGGCGGCCAGCCAAGACGTCGACAACTATCGCCTCGAGATCACCATGATCACTGAAGAGCTGCACCAATTCCTCGGTACCTATCGGACACTGCTGGATCCGCATACCACTTTTGACCTCATCAAGAAGCACGGTAGGTCCGACGTATACCTTCACTTTGCGTCTGTCATTGGCGACCACCAGCGCATTGTCCGACATCATGTACAGTCCAAGCAGTGGACCAAAGCTATCGACGCCATCAACAAGCAAGACTCGCTCGAACTCTACTACAGCTTTGCCTCTGTGCTCATGCGGCATGCCCCTGCCCAAACGGTCGACTGTTGGTCTCGCCAGCGCAACCTCGAGCCACGCAAGCTCATCCCTGCGTTGCTGCAGCACAGGCCTGATCTCACTCTAGGAGAGACGGATCAAGCGGTCAAGTATCTGAGCACCATCGTCGCTGGCAAAAGTGGGAGCAAGGATGCCGCCATCCACAATCTACTTCTCACGCTGATGGCACGTCGAGCGTCGCGCTACCCTGAGCGAGAAGATACAAAGCAAGAGCTCCTGCGCTTCATCGATGAAGCGAAGCCCGACCCGTTGACCGGTCAGCCTTACTTTGACCTCGACTATGCGCTGCGCACGTGTCTGTCTCAGGGCCAGATGGAGGCGTGCGTACGCATCTATGCCAAGATGAGCCTGTTCGAGTCGGCTGTCGAGCTGGCGATCCGCGAAGGCGAGATCGAGCTTGCCTGCAGCTGTGCCGACTTGGCCGAAGCCATGGACCGCGATCTGCGCAAGAAGCTGTGGCTCAGAGTCGCAAAGGAAGTCGTACGCACCGCTGCCGACATCAAATCAGCCATGGCGTTCCTGCGACGCACCGACCTCATCTCGATTGAAGACGTACTGCCCTTCTTCCCCGACTTCGCTGTCATCGACGACTGCAAGGACGACATCTGCGAGGCTCTGGAAGGGTACGCAGCGCACATTGAAGAGCTCAAAGACGAGATGGACGAAGCTTCACGTTCGGCTGCCGCCATCCAGCAGGACATTGCCAAACTCAGCGAGCGATTCGTGACGATCGAGCCGGATCAAAAGTGTCACCATTGCATGCAGGTGCTAGTGCAGCGCCAGTTCTACATCTTCCCCTGCAGACACGGGTTCCACGCCGACTGCCTGATCGGGGAGGTAACGAAGACCATGTCTACGCGCAGCTTGAGAAAGTTGCTCGAGTTGCAGCAGCAGATTTCGGCGCTGACGAGCGGGCTGGTGCCCGCACTGCCGAGCTCTGCACTGGCGAACATGGGCTTCCTCAAGGATGGGTCCAAAGCGGTGGTCAACGCTGCTCAGGGTGCCAGGCAGGCCGGAATGAGTGGGTTGCAACTGAGCGCGAGGGGGTTGGGCAACGTCACAGCTGCAGTTGGGTTGGACAAGCTGCGCGAGCTCGTGGTGCCGGATGCCGTGATCAGTGCTATCTCTGCCGGTGTGAGCGTCAGCGTCGCAGGTGGCAGGAGGGTGCTAGCACCGCTGGATCCGTTTTCGAATCCTACGACCGATTGGGTCGCTGGTTCTCGTACCGCAGCCCAACGGCGAGCAGCTGCGTTGATCGCTTCGTCGGACGGCGATGCGAACGGAGCAGGCGAGGATGGCAGTGGAGCGGACAAGAAGATGATGGGTTCAGCAAGGAGTATTGAGGATCAGGAGAGGATACAGCAGCTCCGTGATCAGCTGGACGCGCTCATCGCCGGAAGCTGCCCCATGTGCGACGGAACGGCCAACGCGATTGGCAGGCCGTTTATTTCGGATAAGGAGGCGGCAGATGAGTGGGCTCTGTAGAATCCTCGTCTTGGAACCTGTGAAATGCGTCTCTGATTGTGATGTCCACGTCGTCAAAGGCTCGTATGACGTCGATCGACTTGAACTGAGGCTCGGAAGGACGTCGAGTGTCGTGTGTGGATTTTTGATGTGGATTATGGTGTTACGCCGAAATTTCTTGGATTGCTTCCTGACAGGGGACCCTTCTCGGACGAGTCTGGGATTGGTTTCGAGACGTGGAAGAACGAGAAGAATTGGCGCGCGCACGGACAGCCGACATGCTGTCGAGCTGCACACAGTCGACTCTCTTTACGCCCTTACCACCTCTTCCACCTTCCCTCGACTACAATCGACGTCCAGACCACTAGCGACGACTGTACATTGCGTCGCTATCTGGAGCAAGACCTCTCACCCATCATGTCGGCTGCCACATCAACAAAAGGTGCTGGCGCTGGCGCCGGCGCTAGCACACGTGCAGCATATCGTCTGCCCACCCTCTCTGCCGAGGCCAACAAGAACGTCCTCTCGCTGCTTCGTCTCATTATCATTTTCCTGATTGCTGGCGCAGCTGTATCATCACGTCTGTTCGCAGTGGTGCGACACGAGAGTATCATTCACGAGTTCGACCCGTGGTTCAACTTTCGCGCCACCAAAGTGTTGACCACAGATGGCTTCTACCGCTTCTGGAACTGGTTCGATGCTACAGCGTGGTACCCGCTCGGACGAGCTGCTGGTGGAACTGCGTATCCAGGTCTCATGGTGACCTCAGGTGCCATCTACAATCTCTTCCATTCGCTCAACATTCCCGTCGACATTCGAAACATTTGCGTGCTGCTCGCTCCCGCCTTCTCCGGTCTCACGGCGTGGGCGACGTACATGTTCACGGCGGCGATGAAGGACGATGCTGCTGGTCTGCTGGCAGCAGCCTTCATCGGTATCGCTCCGGGATACATCTCGAGGTCGGTGGCTGGATCGTACGACAACGAAGCTATCGCCATTTTCTTGCTCATGATGACCTTCTATCTGTGGATCAAGGCGCTCAAGGACGGCTCGGCGCTGTGGGGTGTCGCAACTGCACTTTTCTACTTCTACATGGTAGCCGCATGGGGAGGATACGTGTTCATCACCAACATGATCCCGCTGCATGTTCTCGTGCTCATCCTGATGGGCAGGTTCAGCTCTCGTCTCTACGTCTCCTACTCAAGCTTCTACGCAGTGGGAACTCTCGCATCCATGCAGGTGCCCTTCGTCGGCTTCCAGCCTGTTCGTACCAGCGAACACATGGCTGCGCTCGGCGTCTTTGGTCTGCTTCAGCTCGTCGCTTTCGTAGAGCTGGTTCGATCACACGTTCCTAGCAAGCAGTTCAAGCTGTTGCTCGTCGGGTTCGTCGTACTCGTCGCAACACTCGCGTTCGGTGCCCTGGTAGCACTGACCTATGCCGGCTACGTCGCTCCCTGGACCGGTCGATTCTACTCGCTGTGGGACACGGCCTACGCCAAGAAGCACATCCCGATCATCGCGTCCGTATCCGAGCACCAGCCTCCTGCCTGGCCTGCCTTCTTCTTCGATTTGGAGATGCTCATCTTCCTCTTCCCAGTCGGTGTCTTCCTGCTCTTCAAGGAGTTGAGGGACGAGCACGTCTTTGTCATCATCTACGCCGTCATGGCGAGCTACTTTGCCGGTGTCATGGTGCGTCTCATGTTGACCTTGACGCCCGTGGTATGCGTCAGCGCGGCCATTGCGATGAGCACGCTGTTGCAGACGTATCTCGATCCCAAGGAGCCGACACCGCTCGAGGGCCGTGCCGACGCGGACGACGATTCGGTGGCCAAGTCGACTCGCTCAACTACACGCAAGGCAGCGGAAGTCGCATCCACGCCAAAGGAGAACACCGTCGCGGGATCTGATTCGGAGATCTCGCGACCCGCTTCCCCCGTCTTCGGCGCATCTTCCTTCTCCAGCTCCAAGTTTGGCGTGTTTGGTCTCGACTCGCGCTTCTTCGTCACCATCTACTCGCTCCTGCTGCTGCTCGTGTTTGTCCTGCACTGCACGTTCGTCACCTCTACCGCCTACTCTTCACCCTCTGTCGTGCTCGCATCGCGCAACGCCGACGGTTCGCAGCACATCATCGACGATTTCAGAGAAGCCTACTACTGGCTGCGTCAAAACACCGCCTCGGACGCCAAAGTCATGTCGTGGTGGGACTACGGTTACCAGATCTCCGGCATGGCCGATCGACCCACACTCGTCGACAACAACACCTGGAATAACACGCACATCGCCACCGTCGGCAAAGCGATGTGTTCGTCGGAAGAGAAATCCTACCCGATCCTGCGCAAGCACGACGTTGACTACGTGCTAATCATCTTCGGCGGGCTGTTGGGTTTCAGCGGTGACGACATCAACAAGTATCTGTGGATGATCAGGATCGCACAGGGTGTTTGGCCGGACGAGGTGAGGGAGGCCGACTACTTTACGCCGCGCGGCGAGTACAAGATCGACGACGGCGCGAGCAAGACCATGAAGGACAGCTTACTTTACAAAATGAGCTACTATCGGTTCAACGATCTGTTCGGGGGAAGGCCGGGGATGGATAGGGTGAGGCAGACGCAGGGTCCGACCAAGAGCCCGGAGCTGGAGTATCTGGATGAGGCGTTTACGAGTGAGAATTGGATTGTGAGGATCTACGAGGTGAAGAAGCCGGATGCGTTGGGGAGAGACTTGCCTGGTGTCAAGGGCTTTGAGGGTGGAAAGAGGAGGAAGAGGGCTTTCGCTTTGCCGGCGACCAAGGGCAAGTGATTGCGATCCTTGCTTTCGAGGGATCGAAGAACAACGTCCTTTTTGATGAATGGAAAAACATTGTCCACTCGCTCCGCTTTTCCCCTTTCAAGGATATGTGCATCTCCCCATCCTCCCCTTTCCAACGCCTGAACCTTTCTCCAACGGATCGGAAAGGAGCAAACGGCACCACAGGTTCTTCTACCTTTGCTCCTTTTCGGTACGTTTCCAAGGCAAGATCGATTCTCTGACGGTTCAACCAATTCTTCTCACGGGACAACATCGGTTTCTTCGCTGTCCGAGGTCGGGATCGACGCGAGGAGGGTGAGGAGTTTCGAACTTTTCGCTTTCACACAAGACGTACAGATGTGTGTCGGAGAGGAAGAGTTCGGGACCCACGCTTTCTGTTGGTTCGACTTGGAAGGGGGGACATTTGGATGTGGTCTTCGACGATCAGAGATACAGTTTCGAGAAAGCGTCGGCTCGGTGAGCATTGAGCCTGAGCAGGGTAGGGAATTACGGAACCTTGATTAAATTGATAATTCTTTCATAACATTTGGGTGAATGAGATCGTGTTGGTGTCTCCTGTTGCCGTACAAACGGTCTCCCCACCACGACATCAGAGCTACTGTATCACGCCGCTGCGGACATTGAAACGAGGACTGTGTTGTCATCGTGGGTCTTCGTTTTGCCAAGGAAATGAAAGGTTTTGATGCGGCATTGTCAGTGCCATTCTTGATAATGAAACAGGGTGTTGCAATTTTTCTCTATGAGAACCATGCGTGTGGAGCAACGTATGTTGGATGCAGGCCACAGTATCGACTGATTTCGTGTTGAGTGAAGACAACTGCATCAGTGGAGCCACCAAGACGGTCGTTGATGAAAGACCACGCCCGTTGATGAAAGACGCCCGTTGATCCACGACCATCGCTGGCACAAGCTGCGGTTCGTGTGGGCTCTGCTCGGAACACGCCTGTATCACGCAATCACCCTTGCAATAGCTAGGGCACTTCGCTTTGATGACTCTCATTATCGAGAGAGCGCTACGGAGTCGGCATCGTACGTTGCACTGCTGAGGACCTTGGTGGGACCCGCTCATGCTTCGCTCACATCTCACCTTGGAAGGTATAAAAGGGGATCATCATCGTGAGGGCACAAATGCAGATAACAACTGTCGTCCATAGAGCCACTCTTCCCGAACGACCGTCTCACCGTCGTTCTTCTCGACATCGAAATGCGTCTGATTTTCACCCTCGCCTTTGCCGCGACGCTCGCTTTACTCGTCAGGTGCGCCTACGACGGCGCGCTCGTGACCTCAAGCAACCATGGCTATCAGATGGGACGAACTGAACTTCCAGGTACTCTGGCCAGCCTTCTTCGTGATCCCGCTGGATGGATGGGTCCTCGCACCTACCCTCAGGCCGAAGTGGTGCCCATCGCCACACGGGCTCATCCGTTCACCGACCATCAGGTTATGCAAGCGATTCGGAATTCCGCAGAGACCCGGAACATGATTGTCCTGGGTCGACCTTTTCCCGACAGGCCGGGTAGACAAGGATTCGCGGCTGCTGTTCACATACCTGCCCCCTACGATAGACCCAACAGCAAAACGTTCGCTCTGGTCTCGGTTGATAGAAGTGCTACCTTTGATCCTCGCGTGCACATCAACGGTTTCGTCACCGTGAACAATGCTCCAGGGATCGAGCACGATATTGCAGGTCATTACTTCCCGCGTAGCCAGATCGTGGAGCCGGGTAGCACGCTGACTGCTCGTGAGCTTTTCGATCACCTTCCTCGTTGACTGAACCTGCAGCTTTGACGTGTCACTCTCAGACGGTTGATCGATCGCCGTGCGCTTGCAAGATTGTAGTCTCCTTGCATTATTCATGTGTGGGCGATATGCCAGTTTTCTCGATCGAATGCTACAATGGTGTCTTCATCTGAGCTGCAACGCTTGTTGACGTCAAGTCTGCTGTGACCTCATCGGTACGCTTCCGCGTTGCTTTTGTATGCTCGAGGTGGGTGTCGTCCTGAGGCATTATTTCAGGGCTTGCGCAGCTCGACCCTTCGCCTTAATAGCCCGAGCTTCTGAGTCAGCTGGCATCGTGATCTATGTGACATCACTCCAGCATCATTCGTCTCCTTTGGCGACGTTACCGAGCAGCACTTGATCAGATGTCGTTTTTCAATCAACGCCAAACGCCGTGCCTTCTGATCGTTATCATGGCTACGCTCGTCGTACTGCCATTCGTCTCAGCTTTCGGCGACGCACAAATTCATCCCATCGATACCGACCCGCGCCCTCTTCCTCCTCCAACTTTTATCAACAGAGAACTATTCGTCACACCATGGCCCGTTCCGGATCACGACTTTCAGCCCCTTCTGCATCACCATCTCGTCTACTCCTTCGAACTACCCTACGCTCACATCATCCCTGTCCATCGCTATCCAATCACCATTGAACAACTCGAGTACCAGATTCGTCACAGCGCCAACAAGCTTCGCTTCATTCAGCTCGGAACCGCCAATGCTGGGCGCTCTATGCGAATCGCCTTCGCCGTGAGCGATACGTATCAGAGTCATGGTCAAAAGTACTTTGCTTTACTTCGCGTCGGCCACGAGCGCGAGCTGTCTCAGCCATATGTGATGGTGGTGGAGTTCGTCAAGGTGTCGGGAGTGGGACAGATGGGGGAGGAGATACCGAGACCGACGTGGTTGAGGGGCGCGTGCGTTTTGACGTTGCCGGGAGCAGCGTTGACCGGAAATGAGGTCTTGGAAGCTTTGCGCCTTATATGAGAAGCCAGGGTGATCACATGATGCCCAAGTAGGGAGATTCAGAGATAAGCGGACGCCACGATCAGTAGAGTCCCAACTGGTGTGAGGAACACAGATAGAGAGAGGCGCTCGATCAGTCTGGCTGTGCATGCGATTGAGCGTCAGATGTCTGCCTGGCCAGCTTCACATCAGTACAAATGAGACGAGCGTGAGAACAGGGACGCTTGAAACGTTTCAGACGTGTCTTCATCTTCACGGTCAAAGCGACGCTCGAAGGATCGTCGTGGGCCGTTGACCTTCCCTGTTGACATGAAGAATCGAGCAAGATGTTCAAAGTCAAACGTATATAAGCACTGTCTCGAGGTTCCAGCGGCATTGCCCATACCCATTTCGCGTGATACCCGAAGCGCCGCCGCAAAGGACAGGGACAGCCATGAGACCCTCTTTGCCTCTTCTTCTCGCCGTCCTAGGCGTGATCAGCCTGACGGTCCTCGCAGCTGGCGGAACGGGGTCGTCTCCGCCTGTGCTGGACGAGACCCGCCCTTATACCGGTAGCTACGTTATCAGACTCAACGCTCCCAGCAACGTACGTGAAGAGTACCAGGCAAGACTTGGCGACCACATTCGAGACAACTGGCAAATCCCCGACGTTCACGTACAGCCTTTCCCTGTCGCCAGGTTGTCTCCCCACGAAATCCGTGGTAATCTCAACCACGATCGTACCCTGCGTCGATTCCTTTACCTCGGTCACACTGCTTTAGGCATTCCGGATATGGTCCTCGCTACTCCCTTGCACAGAGACGCTCGTCCGGAAGGCGATCACACGTGGGCAATCCTGAGCGCTCATCAGCCTCGCTCCCGTGGTGCTCGTAGACTGTTGAAATGGCACGGTCATGTCACAGTTAGCAATGGACAGCAGGTAGTGGATAGACTCGCTCAGTCGCATGGACCTGATAATGTAGCAGTGGAAAAGGGTCACGTTCTTACCATCGAAGAGGTGTTTAGGGAGCTCGGGATGCTTCGTCCGCCGAATTGGGAGCCTATCCTATGATCAAGGGCCTATTGAACAGAAGAAGCCAAGCATCATCGTCTGTACTCATCGAGATGTATGTATTTCGCTGGCAAGCATTGTCCCTACTTCGGCCTGTCTACAACGCAGCCAAATTGAAGTGAGACTGCCGCTTGGATGTTTTGCACTGCTGTGCCTGATCCAGTTCTCCGGGGAGGCTCGCTGTTTATCCCGTGTTACGGAGAGAAAGGATCTTCGGGCTGTCGTCGGCAGCTGTGCCGCACTGAGGCGATTCAAGTCAACTCTTTGCCCCTACTCGGTGAAAAGCAACGTCAAACTTTTGGCCGCTTCCCACCTTCGAAGGAGTGGCTGCATGAAACCCCCACTGGCACAAAGCCACGCTCACACGCTTGACCCAAGCCTTGGACCCGTCTCTTACGTAACGGATCGTGGCATCTGATGCTGGTCCGGCTTTGCTGCCGCAGACGCCCTGCAGATCCGCAGATGAAAAGAGCATGGCGAAAGCGCCGTGCCCATACATCTCATCTATATATATGACCATGGATGAGTGCACTTTGTGCACCTTCTTCTGGGCTCAGTCCACTCGTTTAGCTTATTCAGGATGCTCCTCCTTCGAGCTTACCTCCTCTTGAGCTGTGCAGTCATCCTTCTTGCTGCTGGTCCGACTGCAGCAGCAGCCATATTTCGGTTGACACCGACCTTCACGCAGCCATTCCAACTCACAGATGCCCACGAACACCACAGCATCTACAGCATCCGTCTCGACCTGCATCTATACCGCGACCTCGGTCTACGACACTTTCAAGTATCTGAGTTGACCTCTTCTCCTATCTCCTTGAGAGAACTCGAATTTCAAATGCGGTTCGATCGCCACATGCGTCAATTTCTGCATCTCGGTCCAGCCCAAGGCGACGCGCATGGCCTGGCTGTTGCTTTCCCCGTCGTAGTCGAAGCTGAATACGGCAGACGTCATCTCTTTGCGCTGTTGAGCGTCCATCCTCCTATTCGCGATCCTGCCAAGCTCGACAATTTCCCTGTGATCAATTTTCACGGCTATGCTTCCGTAGTTTCCGATCATGACGTTGACATGTCGTACTTGTTGGAGGTACAACGACGCATTCCACTTGCTCACGTTCGAGCGGGTGATGTCCTGAGCATCCGGGGCGTGTTTCGCGAGCTCGCTGCTCTTCATAATGTCTTTCCTTGAAGGGGCCATTGTTGCTCCGAGACACATTTCAGTGACATTGCATTTCCAAAATAGCAGCAGGCGGCTGTATTGTCTGCATGCGTTCATTGTCACGATGTGTGGTAGAGACAGCACATGACAGCACTTCGGCTGACAGAAACGGAGACGAAGCTCTGTGATCGTCGCCTTCCTTCGACAATTCATTTCGCACCTTGTCAAACCTCACCTACAGTAGGTTGGTAAATCCGAGTGGACTGAGCCGGGGCCGACGCAGGGTGGTGTGATTTGACGTATGGCTTCTCGTTGTCGCATTTGTGTCGGAATGAACGTTGACAGCAGGTTGCTTTGTATTCACCATCACGGTCCACTTCACAAATTGGTAGGTTGGTCCCACTCCGGCCCGGTATTCTCCCTCGAGAGGGTTTTTCAGCACTCCTGGCACATGCTGTACTCTCGCCGATTTTGCTTCCGCAAATCGACACTCGATATTCCCGACATCCGTAGTCGTCAAGATAAGGCGCAAGCTGAGGGTCTCCATCAAGCAGATACCGCTTGTTGAAAGCTTCTTGAAAGGCAGTTTCAGGGAATATAAAGATGCAAGGTGGTCAAGTCTGTTACGCTTCTCCGTTGTAAGTACACTTCCCATCATGTCTTCGTTCCGCCCTGCATGGCTACCTATTCTTTTCGTCATCACAGCCGTCCTCTGTTGTCTGAGGCCTGCCTCTGTGCGCGCTGGGGCTTCCTCGTCAACGTCTCGCGGACGCTACACCGGAGCGGCGAAGCTCGGTGGTGATGGAACCGAGCCCGGCATGGTCAATTCGAGACATGAGGACATGCAACGTCTCTCAGAAGTCGCACCCTCGTCTCCCCAACTTCCTGCAGAGCTGTCCATATTTAATTCTCCCAACATCGTCATGGAACCGGCGATCCGTGTGCTTCCTTCGAAGCTCCACAACCTCGGATTTCGGCACGCTACTGTGACTTTCCACGATTCCAAGTATGCCAACCTCAACCGAATCGAAGATCTGGTCTTGACTCAGATGAAAAGCAATCCCGACAGGAAGCAATTCATGCCGATTTTCAGTGGAAGCGCCATGAAAACGTATGCCATGCCGCTTGACCACAGCGCGGTAGCTAGATGGCCAAACAGTGTTGGTCGGGTCGCTGGAAAGGACGACGTCAGCAAAGCCGCCATCTTGAGTGTCTACGATTCTGGCGAGCTTGCAGGAATGGGCCGTAGCATCCGGCTGTATGGCATAGTGAAGATCAAGAATGCCAACACTCTGCATCAGCCATCGAGTCAGGCGGAGCAGCTGATGCACAATGTACCGGAGATGTTGCGTCTCTGAACTCGTGGGCGTTCAGCCAATGTCCTTATGAGTGAAAGAAATCGACACATCTTCGATCGTTCGCACACCTACGACAACAGCGTGACAGTCTACAACGCCCCTTTGGAGTATGTTGACGTACGAGGCTGTCTCACTGGACACAGAAACTAGGACCCGGTATGCTTTGTGAGAAGTTCTGACATCGGAGAGTCCATCGTCAAGGTGATCGTCTAGGACCTCCATGCGAATTTTGCAAAACCGTGTGAGGTTTTCGCCCACTTGATTTCCCGATGTTCTGCACAGTATTTCCTGAGAAGAAAAGGTGAGAGTACAACAACAGCAAGAGGGCTGTATCATAGGTACTGAGACTCTGCATGTGGGAAGATTAGGTACCTGTCGGACCATTCTGACCGACGCCGCCGAGCAGGTGCTTGTGACCACGTCGAGCCCCTGTCAAACTCACAAATTACGCTGACACCGCCGTCAGAATCAGAGAGGATGTCATATATAAGGCAAGACAGAGTTACTGTGTCATGGCCCAAGCAAGCAGCGAGGCCTTCAGCAGCTCAGCAGAGACAACATGATGTCTGCAAGCCTGCTCTTGGTGTTTCTTCTTTACCACCTGATGGTACACGTTTCATGTTCGACAGCTCCGCCCCTCGGGTCGACAATTGCCGTAGCTACGCAGTTCGACAAACGTCAATCGCCGAATCAGTTCAGCCTGTCTTCAAGGCCACTTCCTCCGCCGCATTTCAAGATGCTCGTCAATATCCTTGATCGCAAAGTAGCCTCTTTAGGGTACGCTGCGAGCAAGGCCGAGCCTCACTGGCAGAGTCGGAATGCGCTTCCCTCGCTAGCCGGGACTGTCCGTGCTCAATTGACAAACTTCCCTAAAAGACGCCAGTTTATGGGTCTCGCAAACGACGGGCAAGGCACCAAGGTTTACGCCGTGCCCCTTTTCCACCAAGACTTCGACAGACACCGACCGATCATCGGCGATTTCGCTGGTACAGGTGCTAGTAAAGGGTCTCAGCGAGTCTTGATCGTAGGTCTTCGTAAGCCAGCACCGCTGGACTTGACTTTGTATCGAGGACCAGCGAATCTGCAACCAGCCACAGTTGAAATGTATGGACTGGCGCAATTTGACCATGCTGCGACTTTCCATTCCAGGCTCGAGCGTCCCTGGCTCAACCGCGACATTGCTGAATCTTTGGAGGACGTGTTGCGACGTTAAAAGGCTCCCATCTCTACAAGCTTATTGGCACATCTGCGGGACCACGGTCACCACAATGCCGCAGCCCTTTTTCCCACACCAAAATCTTGTTACCTCTCATTGACCAATGATTGTGGGGTGCCAGACTGTTGTCCGAGCGGCGATGAAAATGAAATGTTGAGGAGAATCGTGCGGGGGTGTCGAGAAGGCTGTCAAGAAAAGTTGACAGTCTTTCCCAGTCGGAAGATTTTCATCTCCTGTGATGCCAGCACATCGTCAGAATATACTGATCGAGCTCTGTCCGCCTGGAGTAGTAGACTTGACATTGAGATAGCCCCACGACGAGTGCCTGTGTACGCTGGCCAGACTCATTCGCTGCGTATTCAGCAGCGTCACAGAAAAGCCGCAATGAAGTGCTGTAGACGGCGGGATCAATGCATCGCGTATGAAGCTCATTTGCCCGCCATTGACCCCAGATACTCTGCATTATTTTGTGCTATCTCGCTGCGGAAAGGTCCCGCATGTCATGCAACAGTGTAATCTGGCTTGAGACGCGCACCCTCCCTAGATCTCAGGGCATCTCGACTGTCAGCCGTGGGGCACAAAGATAATGTGGGAGCTCTAGGATAAGACCAACAAGTTGCGAGAAGAAGCATGCGAGGGGAGCGGCCAATTGCTGTTATAAAACTAGCATGCCGCACTCAAGCAATGGCAATGACCTCGGTCATACTTGGCAAAATACGTGTACCTCAAAGGGGCGTCGTAGATCGAGGATCCTGACGATCATGTTGCTTCAGCTTGAATTCTTTTCGCTTCAGAGGACTTTCTTCCTTCGCTGGATTCTTGTCTTCCTCATCGTCAGTTGGCCAGCTGCTGCGCGTCCTGGTGCAAGTTCCTCCCGATCAGCTTCGGTGAAGAAACCGCCTCCTACCGCCCCTAGAGTAATCTACCGGCTACCAGATACTCTCTTGACGCCTCGTATACCCGAAATGCAATATCAAGCGTACATGGAGGAGCTGCCACGTTCTCTACAGCGACTCGGCTATGGTTCTGCTCGCGTCAGTAGCGTTCCAATGAGCTACACCCAATTGCTTAGCATTCAAGACCTTGTGCGCGCTCAAATGGCAACTGGCGGCACCAAAAAGCAATTCATTCCCATCCTGCACGCTCCGGGCTGGCATGGGCAAGGGAGACCGGTGAAAGTCTACGCCATGCCGCTTGACGGCACTGATTACAGGCAGCGAGGCATCCGAGACTACGCTGGAATCAATGGAAGGCAGAAAATAGTGATACTCGGAACCGTGCTGGACCCCCATATAGCTGTTGGCCCACCTGTGGTCGACATTTATGGTGTTGCCGACGCTACAGGCGTTCCAAAGCTTCACTCGGAGCTGAAGAAGAAAGCCTCTCGAGACACACAAGTACACAATTTGGCAGAATTTCTCAATCTCGACAACATCGCTCCGGGCACTGCGATCATTCCCAGGCCTGTCCATGCTGCGGTTGAGCACGGGATTACCGTGCTTTGATCAGTCATACCGTTTCCTCGAGCCCAGACTTCCTGTTCACTGTGGGCGCTCAAAGAATAGATCATCGAAGTCGTAGTTTCACCCTGGCACTTCCCACTCAATGTGAAGCGCTTGGATGCAGCTCCTGCTCCTTCCGATACACATCATGGCGCTGCTTGTGGGTCTGATGCACATGCAAAGTCTCAGTGCAGACCAACATCGACGCCTCATACGTCGTTAAATCGAGAAAATTTCCCAACGTCTGGACAGACAGCCCGATCTGTCTCTGCATTGAGCCTTGACGCTTCAAGAGTCCGGATGGCCGTCTTCTACCTTCATGACACCTAGAGCAAATGGGCAAGTGCTGTTTCGACCGGCGGGACATGTGGTCCCACATTGTCGCCGTTTCCTTTCATTTCATCAAATCACGGCAGTTGCAAAGATACCGACGTGCAAAGATACGGTATTAATTGATTGCTTTTCCTTGGCCGTACCGTCTCGGCTCATCGGCACCGTTACATAAGCATTTGACTCTATCAGAGCTGACCAGCATCAGTGTCTGTTCCAATAGAGTATGCGATGTCCAATAGATGTTCTCGATACAACTCCTGCCGAGGGGCATCACCTCACTGACCAAACCAAGCTCGATCTAGCCAAGTACGAAGGTATAAGTATGACTTCGCTTTCTCATAGCACCGACAGTAACGCTGGGTCTTCAACATCAGACTCACCGGCACAAACTCGTTTGAGAAGTTGCGTCTATTCAGAGAACACAACCGAGCTTCAACCAACGCCATGAAGCTGGCAGCTCTTCTCTGCGCTACTCTGCTGCTTTTCAATTTTGTGCAAGCTGCCCCAGGCAACATCTTCTCTGCCAAAAAACCGCGCAAGCCCATGCAAGCCACAGGCATCATAGCTTCCCTTCCTTTACTGCCGCAAACTCTCTTAGTTCCTCAAACACCCGATCTAGAGATTTACACGGCGTGGCTCAGGCAAAAGGTCCATCAAGTCCCGCAATTTAGCAAAGCGGACGTTCAGGGTTCTGGGTGGCGATTGGATCTCACCACGATGCTCGGCGCCTCTTCGACGGTGCGTGAACAGATGGCAAAAGAAGATCCCTCAAAACGTCAGTATCTTCCGTTGTTTGCGAACGGAGAAGATAAAGGCTGGGGCAATCCCTTGAAGACTTACGCTATGCCTTTGGACCCGCGCTATTTCAATCCCGCGACCGCCGATACACGGCTGTCAGGAGGAAGGGTGGATCAGCACACGTTTGCTATTCTAGGCGTTTGGCATAACGACCCAGCTGACGCATTTGAATACTTCGGACACGGACCTAGGGTGGCGCTTTACGGCTTTGCAACTGCCTTGAACGCACCCCGTGCGGACTCGGTGCTGCCTAAGCTTGACCCTGCGCAGGGACTCTCTCATGATCTCTACCGTGTACTTAGCGTCCATCCTTGAGTTATGGTTGGTACGGGCAATCATCACTGCTTTGATGCTCGTCGCTTCAGCTCAGCCGCTTGCTCATGGCTGCGAAAGGAGCTCATCCTCTAAGGTAGAAAAGAATGAGACTTTAGTTAAAGTGTGACGCAGTCCGCAAACAGAACAAAGCCCATCGACGCAGTAATGCATCTCTGTGATTAAGCAGCCTGTCAAGAAGAGAGCATGTTGTATGAGCAGCCCTTCGAGCTCAGTGATCTCAGGTTCACCTGGAAATCAGATCTGTCATGAAACCTTCGCCGCCTGCATCACAGTCACTGTCGCCTCTTGCGGAGCGTGTATGTCTCGAGAAAATTTGTCGTGCCAAGATGTGCCGGGAGTCGGGGCAGGCAGAGTTGTCGAGCATTGGGTGATACCGCTAGACGAAGCCCAGCGTGAGTCATCAATCGAGGCACTAGTTGCCGTACTTAGATCGCCGGCAAGGCGGTCAACCGACACTTGGACGCCGAGATGGATTTCTTCATGACCGAAGTCGCCGCAGGCTTGACGCTCTCAAAACTTGTTCCAAGACAAGAGCAGCATTCAGCCAAGCATATAACAGAAGCACTCGATCTCCGAGACAGCCCTCCGACCTCTGGAGTAGCTTTGCTCTTGTCTCGAGACTACTTCTTCGACTTCTTCCTGAAACAGCATGCGCTTCCTTCATATTTTCCGCAGCTTCGCCGTGACCATAATCCTTTACTCGTGGTCGATGATGAACAGCCTCGCCATCAGCGATGTTCTTCAAGAAATCGCCTCATCCCTGTTCGCAGGTAGGGAAGGAGGCCTCTATCAGCTGGAAGCCAGCCCAATGGGTCCCTACCAAACCAAGCACTATGCAAAAGTTCTGCAAGCTCGCGTCAAAGACCTAGGCCTCAGCACTCGACGATACGTTCAAGGATTCATGGTTCCGTACGACGATACAGGTCATCTTGACTGGATACGCAAAGAGCTCAACAGAAACCACCAACGTGAGCGCCTCGTCTACCTCGATCAGACACCACATAAGCGAAAGGTGCATGCGTTGCTTCTGGACAGTGCTTCGTCAACGTCGCCAAATATCGCTGTCGTCTCCACACCGCATGTTTGGAAGTCGCTGGATCAAAAGATCCAATTGCACACATTTGCTCAGGTCCCAGGGCTTGAGGATGCAGAGATCCACGACAGGCTGAACAAGGACTTCAATTATGTTCAGTTAGACTCACTCGCTCGAAATGCCTTTCAAAAACGCCTCAATCGGAGTTTGACAATCTGCTGACGCGCTATCCACTTTAGGCTCAATGCTTTTGAACAGGTAGTTCTCGAGCAGAAGAGCAGTTGAGGCTAGCAGTATTGTTAAAAGATAATCCGAGTTGTTCCGTTTGACGTCTCCGCGGCTTGGAGTCAAGTTGCATTGGGCTTCATTCTTGATGATCGCGGTGGGCGTACAGCTTATGTGAGGAACCCCTGTGAATCGATTTTGATGACGTCGCCTGTCACTGCACAGAAAGTGGGCACTACATCGACATGTAGTATCAGCACGAGACCCCTACACTCTCTCGCCCGTGTAGAGTGCAACTGCTTGGTGCGAGTGCGTGCCACCTTGAGGAGTTGAGATGTTGAGAGCCTGCGTTAGCAGCTTTCTTTTCTGTCCTGCTCCGTCTCTGCACAAGATTCCGAGCCATTATGAAGATCTCACAGCCTCTGCAAGTATTGATTCTCATCGTGCTTTGAGCCGCCAAGGCTACTGTAGACTGTCTTGCTCGAGCCACTTCTATTTTACTTCCCTCAAGAAGCGGGATGGGAAGGGGACAACCGGCAAATCAATAGACGGCATGGTGCAGATGCCACCAATCGTGGTGCTGCTTTCAGATGAGGTCCGAAACAATGATTCGCACTCCTCATGCATCAATGAAAGAGGCGGGCCGGTTGATTGCTTCCAAGATCGAGTTGTTCAAGAAATTAACTCATACCCGCCAGATTGCCTGCATTCTTGTTGCGTGCATGCCGGTGACATCCGTTGAGTGCGTGCGAAAGTCAATTTCAGCCAGAAAAGTTGGTGTTGGTTTTCCGCGCATATTGCACGGCATGTCTAGGCCGAGCAAGTCAACTGCCGGTCTTCATCAAGCCACACGAGCTTTTTTTGACATTCAACAGACCTCCAACACTTCCTATCGCTTCTTCCTCTTCTTCAGAGGTCGATGCATGGCATGCATCGGTAACCGCAACAACGGACAGCAAACAATGTACTGGGACCGCGTCGCCCCTGGGAAAATGCAACAGAGTACTGTGGACTATCCCCTGGTGAACATGCTCACGCTGTTTGGTTGATTGAGCGGGACTCTGATCGTCGCACTGAAGCTATAAATAGGCCACGTCACAGGCACGGAAATCTCCACTCAGACATCGGTTGTGTGATTCTGTGACATTGGCTTACCCTACACAAAATGATGGTCTCCGCTTTCCTTCGTCATCACTTCTGCCTTCTGGTCCTTGTTGCTGTTCGACAGATTGGCGTCTCACTTTCTGCGCCGGTCCCAGCTGGCTCTTCATCTGAGGCAGGAAATAGCGGCCCACATCTACAGCTAGCTCTCTTGACTTCGGACGAACTCGCCCGCCCTGCTTCAGCGCTCACGGACAAGCTCGCAAAGCTTGGCACCCCTGGACAGGCACTACCACACAACATAGCACTGCCATACTCGGAATCCTCAAAACAAAGCCTTCGCCTGGCTCTCAACGAGCATCGCTACGCCAAGCATATGCTTCATATTCAGCCCTTTGTGCTTGGCGACCAATACGCTTTTGTCATTCCCTCCGATCGCACAGGGGAGATCCTTGGGGACCTGGAGCGACCTGACGTCGCTCACGTCGGTTTGGTAACAGTTCGAAAGCATCGACAAGATCAGATCGTTTTCAATGGCTTTTTGCGCTTGGACGGGGTTGAAAATCGCAACTTCCTCCATCAAAGTATTCTAGGTGCAGACGGCTTTCCAAATGGCGTTCCCATTTCGCGCAGCCTCCATTCGCTCCTTCATGGCGTCTGAACAGAGATAGCTTCTCAAGAAATACAATCCGCAGCATCGTTATATAACGTCGGTGCAGCTTTCAGCTATACCCAAGCACAGCTTTTTCCTAGTACAAACCTTTGGGTGAGGGCTCTTCAGCCTGCAACGACAGCCTTCATTGTTACGAAGAAGAAAGTGAACGTGCAGAAGTCTGTTGGTCCCGGTCCACGTCGTAAACTCACGGATGATTACGGGCTGGAAAGTCACTTCGCAGATCAACTCAGACTGGGGTTTTGCGAGCCTTGGCTTCGATTTCCATACTGTGATGAAACTCTTTTACCCAGCAGATCGACGCCTCATTTGCATGCCAAGAACGAGTGCAGCAGGCCCGGGAACGGTTTTGACTCGTCACCCGAGACGGATGACCTGTAATCCACGACTAAGGCAGTCTCACGCTCACGCCGCGGTCGAAGTGGCTCCTACGTTTCATCAAAAGTAGTCTGGTCGGGGACACCCTGACCAATCAGGTTTTTGATGAAGGACGATCGAGGTACGCAATGTATCGAGCTCGATCTGGACAGGGTGAGACACAGCGCCTCGCCAAAGAGCAGAAGCCCGAGCTATAAGAGCCGAACAGCTAGGTCGCGACAATGGCCCTCCACTGCCTCACAACTACTATTGCAGCACCTTTGCCGCTTGAGTACTGGGCCATCATGAGGCTCGAGTTCGTTTTATTCCTGCCTGCAGTCCGAATATTCGGCGCTCTGTTGCTCTTTCTGGACCCGGTCTCTGGAGCTGGTTCCGGAACAAAGACCGACGAAGCTTCCACAAGTAGTACGGGCACGACCTCTCGACGAGAGGATCCACTGCTCATCTTTCAAAGACCTCCACTCCCGCCAATCTCAGACCACGAAGATCTCTATGTACCCTCCCAAGGCAGGACGTATATTCCCGTGGAGGTCACACCTGCAGTGATCACCTCGGACGAAAAATACCGTGGCATCCTGAGACTCGCTCATCGTCTCATCGAAATGGATCGTGACGGCACATCGCTACAGGTCGTGGCCCCTCCCGTTACGTCCAGTTCGAGGCACCTGACCGACATGAGCCAGCGTTTACTGATGAGTCAGCATGCAAAGCAGGTGGTTTTCCTGGACGTCTCACCGGACCGTCGTGGTAGACTCGTTGCTGTGCCTTACCGATTGTCGGAGGGAGTACCTCCAGGAAGACTCAGCTGGGCTATCCTTCAGGTCCACCCAGCTTCGCGGGGAACACCTCCACGTATCGACTTTCATTCATACGTGTCACACTTTGAGCCCGATCTCTACGATCTTGATCGTAAGCTTTTCAAGTCTCTCGACGTTCAAAGCTTGCACTACTTTCTCACCCGCCGCGTGTGAAGCTCTCTCATTCTCTACCTTCCCATGCATTTTGTCAATCTTCCGTTGATCGAGAAGGCTTCTACAGGACTGTGAGAATGATGCTCTCGTTGCTTCATCGCGCTTCCGTGTGGGTATTTTCCTTCGCATCTATCTGAAAAGCAATTTACCATCATCGCAGCAACGAATCATGTGAGCGACTCCGTCATGGTCTGCGACGCGGTCCGAGTGATTTCCCAAGGACTCCCCACCTTTGCATTGGCTCAGCTCGAAGGTCAAACTGTTACTGTATCAAGGGTCCCTGTTATAACTGCGAAATGAAAAATGTTCGACAAATCTCGTCCCTCTCTTTCCGTGAAAGGAGCGTCGTGCCGAGCGAACGTCCTTGGTTGAGTTTGTGGTCCGACATAACGCAATGGAAGAGCTAGCCCACTATTTGGCGCTGATAAAAGGATCGGCCATTCCCTGTCTAATTTCTCAGCTGATACGTGAAGAGCCTCGAATCGTTCCAAGGATGGTGTCTTTTCGATATATTCCTTACACGATGACCATCTTCGGCCTCATCGCTGCGATACTGACGTGCATGGTGACACAGGCGTTTGAGGGGGACGTCCATTCCGGTCCGGGTAATTCTGACCTTGCCGGATCCCACGATGCCTCGCAGCTTTCCGACTTTTCTTTTCCTACGATGAACGATCCACATCTCCCTTCGATGGAGCATTACAGCTGGAGTCTCCTCATCCCAACCGCTCGCCATCACTTGATTGATGGTCTTGCTTCGCCATTCTTCGACCGTACAGAGACCTTTTCAGGATCACCGGATCCAACGCCAGATATTCCCTCTTCATCGCGACTTGTTTCATTGCTTCCCCCGGCGACAGTCACTCACAGCGAAGCGACGAGTGCAGTGCCCTCTTTGAAAGAAATTCTCGTTCCAGTAATGGAACAATGGCACATTCTGAGGAGTCTTGGAAATCAGTTAGTCAAGCTTCGCATCAACCCGGGTAATCTTCGAATGGCTCAACCGCTCGTAGATGCTCGACCATTCCACCTGCGCTTCCTCCAGCAACAGTTACAGCGTCAGCTGTACACAAAACACGCCGTATATATTACCCCTGATATGACCCACACGGAGCGAGTCGTCGCATTGCCCACAGAGAGCGAGAAATTCAAGAAAGCGGTTGTCGAGCTGCAGCCTTCCGACCCCGAAAGAGTATCATGGGCCCTCGTAAGCGTCAAACCTCATCCGCATACGTCTGTAACATGGCTAGGCTATGCACTCTTGGATGTTCCCAGCAGAGACATCCTTAACAGGTCTCTCGAAGAAGGAAGGCGAATCAAGACGCTGGCGGAGCATCTGAAGCTTCCCTCCTAAAACTTTCGCGCCAGTGATACTTTTGAATGCTGAATTTGCATGGTCATGTTCCGAACGCACTCAAAAACTGAATAAGATATGCTTGACATTGCTTGGGAGTGACGATATCAGAAGATCGCTGGTGCAGGTCATTGATGTACCTTGTAGCTCGCCGAAGACACGTGAGCAGAACAAATTACGGTAACACTCGTGATTCACATTGTACGTGGCGAATCAATGTATCGGGCCTTTTCACCGAGCCGACAGCAGAAGATGTCGTCTTTAACCCTCAGTGTCTTGGAACTGAGATGATCCGAGCCGGTCTCCAGGATCGCTACCAGGCAATGTGCCCTGACTGCTAGGCTTCGATCCCAGGTAATTCGATATCCTGCGCATCTCGTCGTTGTCGAAGTTCGACATCGCCGGTTCGAGTTCCGCGGCAGAGGTGTGGAAGACCATACGGTAGTGCGAGTCGTACAGACTTGAAGCCCGATTCCTGTCGAGATACTTGAACGCGTCCGTCTTGTCTTTTGAAAGCTCGCTGAACAAGCTCTTACCCGTGGGCACAACGTCGCTCTCTCGTCCTTCAGATAAACGCGTGAAGTATAGGCGAGAGAAGAGTGATGCGTAGTTCTTCCAGAAGTCTTTGACGAGTCCATCGTAGGTCTCGTACGCTTTGTCATCGTCGAAGATTGCTAAGCCAGCGAGTCTATTAGCACTGTCATTGATGGTGTCCGGTGCTTTTCCAAGAATCGACAAAGAAGCTTCTTTGGTGGCAGTCTCGCCGCCTTTGAGGGGGCCGACAGGCGCTATGATCGTTACCGAGCTTCCTTTCGAGCGCGATTGGGCGACTTCTTTCCAGATTGGCATCACCTTCAAGTGCAAATACCGCTCAATGTTCATGCGATAAAACGCATGACTCTGAAGCTGATGATAGATTGCATGTGGCCTTGAAGGGTCTCCCTCCAGGAAGGCTAGATGGTACAGCCTTTTGGCCAGTCTTTCCGGGCTGATCAGCTCGTTCGGCGGCCGATCATTGATGATCGCTTTCGCTGCTTCCACCTGTGATACTGACGCTGGCAAAGGGGGGATACGGACCCCATAGACAACGGCGAACAAAAGCAAGGAGATCTGTGCAACCAAATTGTCAGCTGTGTGTTGATTTCAGGCAGTCTATTCCTTCAATGAGTTCCTCTCTGTACGAACCTGTATGGCTAAGGTGCTCTTGAGAATCACCATGGCTGTACAATGCAGGAAGTTTCCATGAACAGGCACCTGACGCCTTCGAACGTTAGACATAAGCTCACTTGATGCGTTCCAAAGACACGTCAGTTGGTCGCATGATGAATGAGCGCCCGTTGCGGAGAGTCTTCACAGCTTTCGGCTTCCCTGAACTTGAAGGTTAAAGCGACGTGGGGCGAACGTTCGGTCGGCCGATTTGGAGCAACACAACGAGATTCAACCAAGGTAATGTGACGCAATGGGGGTTCTCATTCGACGAGAACAACAGGCAAGCAAGCTGTCTCTCACTTCCCTTGAGTGAAGCTGGGTTGAAGGGTCGAAGACTCCGAAAGTCGACTCTCGATTCTTGCCGCGACCCACCACACGGCTCTAATGAGAGGAGGCAGCTGCGTGTCTCTTTGAGCTCCTCTCTTCTATGAGCCACCGCTCCTTGCCTCAGCTGCGTGTTTCATATTGAAGTGGCCAGCCAGTATGGTCCACGGACCAATCTTTGACGCCCTGCGTTCCGGTAACGTGGTATATTATCACTTACTTCGTACTTTCCAGAGTTTTGAGAGCGACCAAACTCACTCGAGTAGTTCGATCTGTTGCACAGAAGGTTCAAATTGAGGTTCATAGCCCATCGAGAGCCGTTTCAGAGGCGTTCGTGGGTCGGGGGAAAAGAGAGGCCTTCAAAGGAGCTGATGCATTGTCTTCATTACCTCAGATATCGCATGTCCTGAGCCGCCACAAGAAGCGACGTGGGAGCGGAAATGCAAGCTTCGCAGCCACAAGACTGAGTAAACCCTTCATCGAGCTCACTCACACACCTGTGCACGAGAGGCAAGGAAGCTCCTTCCTTTCGTAGAAGAAGCATGCGCAGATCACACTCGACGGCAACGAGATCCTGCTTCAAGGCCGACTATAACATTGTCATGATAGGGCTAGCATTCGAAGCAGAGCTGCGATCCTTTATGAGTGAAATGATTGCTTTCGTGATCCTAGAAATGAGCTCCTTCAAAGCCCACATCGAGGCTGCAGCTTTCATGCAGGTCTTCAAGCGTGGCAGATGAAAGAATTAGCCTCCATTGCGCTCTAACTTCAACGGTGTGATGCACTTCCGTCCGGAGTCTCCTACGCGACATCCTCACCTGACTCACTTTGACAAAACAGCTCTGGTACACTCACAGTTGCGATCTCGGCAGTCATGTCTGTTCGAATCATTGTAGCTTTGGCGCTTCTCGCCCTGCATCGAGTGACGCCTGTCCGCTCAGCAAACGGCGGTGGTCGCATCGGCTCTAACGAACGGATGGACGTTTCTTCGCCTTCGTCGTCACGATCATCGCCCGTTCATGGACTGCATTCTCCTTCTGCTTCTCCGCCGGACTATGTTCAAGGTCGGCCGGCTATCCAGGCTTTTGGCATCCCAATCCAGCAAAGCGTGACTTCAGCGTCAGCTAGGGAGGGGAATCGCGAACCTGATGCTTCTGGCCAAGCGTTCCAGGGCTCCCTCGATCGCGCTCCGACTGACCCTGGCCCGAGTGCCCCGCCCGGCTTACATATCGACTTTCCGCCCAGTCATGAAGCTCCCGTTGTGGACCGACACTACGCAAGTGTGGTTGCAATGAGGACCTACGGCGGCTATGCAACACCCGTGCCTAGGACGATCTTAGAGGATCCGGGTGTCCGATCACGCCTGCTCGCGTACGCCCATTGGTTCATAGAACATCCCGAACACGAGTTTCTCCATCATCTAGGCGCGATCGAAGGACTTGCAATTCATCACCACTCTTTCAGCTACATGTATCGACCTCTCACACCAAAGGAATTCGGCTACATTGTCCCAACAGCAAATGTCGATTGGGCGCAAGTGATTCCGGTGATGGTTCTGCGAATGCGGCTGCCACAGCGCTTCCCGTGGCAATACGGTAAGCTGGAGATCGCTGGCATAGAGATGATACAGCCTACGCAGCATCTTCAGGTAAGCAAAGCTGTCGCGGTCAGCGAGCCGCTTTGGCGTATCTTGGCGCGTATCGCTCTGCATTCTTGACTGAAATGAGATTCCCTTCGCCCATCGATCTGCCACAATACATCTTTTCGAAATGTGACCGCTGTCAGGCCAAATTTGTATCAATGGGCCTAATATCTGACATCTCGGAGAAAGAATGAACCAACTTTGCAAGAAGCTGAGACTTGCTTTCCCGAGCCTGTGTCATGCGCGAACGCCGGCCGCACTTCAGAAGAGTGATTTTGCTGGGGGAACCTGACTTTAGGACAGGTCGTGCTCCGTTGTTGGGCTGACAGACTTTCGCGTCGGCTCTATCACCGCACCAGGAGGCTCAGCATGGTGGAATCGAAAGACCGACAACGAAACGAACCGAGGACCGTGCATCTTTCCGCTTCATCAGCAAGCCCCAAGCTCTCCCTTTTCACCCACTATGGCTTCGCTTACTGTACCAAACTCGCTCCATGGTTTCCGCCATCCTCGTTGGTGGCTATCAACCGATCGATTTGGAAAGAATGCCACATCTAACCGCACCCCTGCATCAGCCATCTCAACGAATTAAGACCGACAAATTACCTTGTGCACTGCGAGATAGCATATCTCAATACTCGCTGTCAGTCTCGCGCACTTGTCCCGTGGATTGATCCGTGGCTGCATGTACAGTATCAAATTTGTGAAGCTCAAACTTCGCTTTCCGTTGATTTGCACTCTTTCATGCGACTGATCTTGAGCTTCAATTCGCCGTTCCTTGTCAGCCTGAGAAGTTGCCGGTGCATTTCATGTCTCCTGTCTAGTCGAGGCTCGAGCTCAAAGAGATCTTCGGATATACGCGTTCACAGTCGACAGAGCAGAAAGCATCGAGCCGACATAACCTTCGTAGAGCTTGGACGAGGCCTTTTTCGGACCCATGTGTCTTGTCGCCACGCATGTTCCAGGAGAAGGGCTGAAGGCATCAAGAATCATCCGTATCTCCGAGCAAGGCAGCCGTACTACACACGAGGAAGGCACACGTCCAGTGCGAGACTTACATAAAGGCCCAAGAGCACCCTAAGGTACAGGTCCGATTGCACAATCGTGGCTTCCCTCTTTACGTTTTCATGATCATGAACGCTCGCCTGGATCGTCATTTGCAAGTCAAGATGCGTCTCATTCAAGTTGCATCCTCAGTCGCGCTTCTCCTCGCCCTCACCGCAGTAGCAAGACCTCAACCGGTGTTGCCTCCCATCTTCGACGCTAGTTCGTCATCGGCGCAGAGATCTAGCATGGTGGACCACTCTAGGCCGCAAGCCCAAGGCCCCGCCAGCTTGCAGGCTCCTTCAGCTCCAGTTCTGCGGGCATCTCCCAGCATTGATCTCCAGGCGCCTTATCAAGACGCACCACTTCACGGCGACATGGTCACCCCACATCCGTTCCTCACCGAGCTTCCAGTAGTGCGAACCGACGTCGTCAACACGATCCTCTCCGACGACTTTGACATTCGTTCTCACTTTCCTCTCCGCCAGCTCTTGACCCCAATCGAAAGAAAGGCGCTACATGATCTGTCTGAAAACCACTTAGCAACACCTGAGATTACGTGGCTACACGACGTGGTCGACGAGCCTCAGTATAATCTTAGATATAGGAAGGAGCTATATGTTGCGGCTCCAATTCCCCAGTATGATTGGCGGAAGGCAGTGGGCTTGCAGGAACGAGTCGGCACAGAGCACTGGCTGCCGATCATATTCTACAAGGTCGAAGTCGAGCCCGGCAAGCGCACTCAATTCAATTTGGCGGGCATCGAGGTGGTGAGAGAGGTGAATGAGGCAATGAGGGTCTTGGTCGACATGGATAGACGGGAGACGCTAAACAACATTGCGAAGCGGCTTGACATGATCATTCGGCACGACTAGTTACTTTCCTGTCCCCAGGGCTATGAATGATGATCATTCCGAGGCAAAATATTTTCCCCAGGGACATTGAAGCGTTCGGCAGCGAGGCTGCTGCACAATGGTCGCACACATTGATGAGCGGAATGAGACCAGATTGCAGTAGAAACCTAACAGTAATGTGAGCCCAACAAGGCTCCTGGTCCGCGGGAAGGGGGCCATTTGAGCGCAGGGACAAGCAGCAGAGAAGGGATTTTCACGTAGGAAGAGCAACAAAGACGCAAGCTAGGCTGTACCCGGCCCAGCAACTGCCGAGGATGACGAAGCACGGCAGGAGAAATGAGATGGAGCGAGCTCGAGAAACTGCAGAGCAGTGGTTTGAATGAAAGTTGAAGGCGAGCGTCGCCTGCACCCAGCTGCCCTCGCCACACGGTATGAGCTGCACTTACACTAGCTACAAAGTTTCTTTCTTTGTGTCGCCCTCAGACGCTTCGTTTGTTCTCTACCCTCTGCTGAGTGGCAAGCTCCGCACTTGTCTAAGACATTCCCTATCTCGTAAGCTTGTTCAAGCTTTGCGAACTCAATCCCCGTGAAAATTATTCGATTCGTTAGCAAAGGGCTTGGTCGGCGTGCCTGTAATCCTCGTACAGCTCTCAGGTTCATCTGCCTGCTCTGAACCCATTCATCGCATCATCTTTCGAGCCTCGACCTCGAGATGACTCTGTTCAGTACAGGAAGGTTCTTGATCCTTTCGACAGTCCTACTGGAATTCACCAGAGCGAGTTGCGTTCGAGCATTCGCAGCAGTCTCCCTTCGTACTCGAGCCTCCAACTCTGACCCTGAGATGGCGTCTCGTCACGCTGCAGAACTTGCAGACGAGGCTACAAGCGCTTCGAGTCGACATCTGCTGTATCCCGGTACCAAGGTTCCGCAGGAAGTCATGAGTTATCTCGTCGAAGAGCGGCACGGTGTTGACCAGCACATCCCTATGAAGTTCCGCTTCGGCACGGGGCCAACGGTCAAGTCCAAAATTGCGGAGATGCTTCACGATGAACGCACATTCGTCTCGAGCTTTTCTTACTATGGATCCACCTATTTTATCGTCCCTGCTTCCAGCTACCCTGACTCAGCCTTTCCGACCTGGGATCACTTGCTTTCACATCCCGGTCTTCGCCTTCCGGCAGACGTCATTCAGCCCTTCTTCGTCACGAATGTTGTGCGCGTTCCCGGCACTAGGGCGCGGCATCTAGAAACTTTGATTTTTCGGTGCTTTGTGTACGAACGACATCCTCCGAGGATGACAAGACACAGCTTATACGGTCCTTCCAAGAGCGTCGGAACTATCTGACGACCATCAAACAAATGCTCCGACGGATGCCCTGACTTTCGAACTTTTGCAGACCGTAAACGCTTGCATGAATGATCAAAGGTGCTTCCAAAATCTGTACAATCGTGACTGGTGCTTGTAGCCTCTGGTTGAGTCCGGTTTTACTGCGTTCAGCCATCCCTTCTACCTCTCGTTGCTACTTCGCTTGCTGCAAGTGCCGTCTTTCGTGTGCATAGAGATGATTGTCGACATCATCCTTGTGCAGCAATGGCTATACTTGTCCGGCTGAAGAACTGATTGGGTGGCGACTATCGGGCTCATGCGGACCCACAGATATACGTAAGGCGGGTCTTCGGTCTTCGATCGGTCGTTACCACAGGCAGCATCTGGAGCAGTAGTCCCACCTTTCCCACGCCTGAAGAGGGATTTCCCACCTGAGACAGATGAACAAGGATTGCGATCCGGGTCCCCTAGTCCGCCGACAATCACGCACTCGAGGTCATTGATGAGCGAGTGAAGACGGTGAGTGGAACATCCGCACGGCTGTCTCTCAACCATGATCATCGATCTCCTTCCCATTCCTTCCAACAGCCATGTTCAGCTGCCTCGAGGTCCGTAACAACCAGTTGAGAACTTTGCTTCTAATCACGATCTGCTGCTTGTTGCTGCTCTCGTACCACGTCTCCTCTTCCCCTACACCGGTTCGCGGAGATGAGAACGACAAGATGCTCAAATCGTTCGAATTTACCGTAGCCGGACCAGACTACGTTCCCCCCTCACATCATGTTGAACCAATTCCAGCGCCGAGGAGTCCCGAGACTGGGTCTGCCTCCTCTTCTGCAAGCGATGGCGAGAGTGATTGGGTGGAGCCTGCCAGTCCAGTCAGTCCGAGAAACTCAGACGGCGAATATGAAATGCCCCCTTACCAACGGTCATTGCACGTCATCCCGGCAGAAGGGCATCCTTTGTATCCCGGACATCTTATGGTCGATCCATGGATACTGAGGGCTGCATGGAAGGAGCGCAGGTTCAGCCAATCGCCGATAGCAGACATGCAAGTTCATCCGGTTCCCTTAACTCCGGGCTCTCTCGTCGAGTCCCGTGCCATTCAGCTGCTTCAAGAACATAGCACCAGCATTGCAACTTTCGCGCTGCAAAACGGTCAGGGACAGGGTCGAAGTTCGGTGATACCTGGCAGCGAAAAGACTTTTGGACGCCGATTCCTGATGACACCAGCTCCAGTCACTCGAGAATGGCTGCAGATGCTAGGATTGCAGCCTCAAAGAGCAGGGGGTCGTGTGCAGCCAATGCTGTTTTTCGAGCTCAACTCTCGAGCAAAAGCCGCTCATGATTATATCAAGCTGCTGGGTGCAGCAGTCATGAGACCAGGACCATCATCTGAGGAATTTGGTAGGACGTGGAGCACGGGTAACCGCATCTTTACCTTGAACGAGATCATTGACGACGCTCACCAAGTTGAATGGCTACGCAAGACTCGGCTGCCCTAGGTGACATCAATATGGGACACAGCTTGGCGTCTCCTTTGGTCTCAAGAGAGTCTTAAACGCCGGCCGAACTCTACTCAATGTGAAACTTCAACTTTCGTGTTTTGTGTGTCAAGTGCGGAGACATACACTGAATTGGACGAATTGGTTGTCGCCTTGCTTTGAACTCTCAGGACAAATAGACAGTCAAAGTGCTGCTGTGAGGATGATGCGTTCGAGCCACACCTTTGTTTTCTTTGCCGTGATTGCCGCACGGCCTGAGACGTGCAGGAAATTTTGACACCTTCACACGCCACCTGAACATCGACGGGTGGATCGATGCTCGAGACGATGCATGAGGTGCCACGCAAGTCAAGGACATCGTTGTTGTTTCGCTGTGAGACAGATTGCAATTGAGCAATACTGCACAAGGTGACATTAGTTCCGCCGTTCTCGACTAGTCAGCTTTCGCCCTCCGCGCTTGCAGGCACTTGAGGCTCGTGTCCAACAGAGCTCGTGACGGCTTCTTGGCACCGCAGCGAGCCAACTTTTCTTGACCGCAATATTTTGGGCAACTTTTGTCTTTCCGATTTTCATTGATTCTGGTGCGCTTTCAAATGTCACAGCGTAGCGACATGGTCAGGATCTCGTGGCTCTAGTCAATCGCAACTTCATCTGTCTATGGTGGGGCAGCGTCAGTCGGATAGCATCCTCATCTCACTTCCCACGACCATCATTGATCCACAGCCATTCGTTGAAGCTGATGAAGAGGTACCACTCCAGTCGCCCTTGACACGATCTTCTCGTCCACCCATTCGACAGCCCTCAGGCAGTCTTCTCATCAAGACTGTCGAGTCAGGCGGTCGAGACCCGACATTGGATTGCAGCTCTATTCTCGCTCTTTCACCTAAGCGAAACGGGCAGGCATTCATGTCCGGATACAAGCATATCGTGCTCAAGCTTGCCTTCATCTGGGTAGGCATATGCATTTTGTCATGCTTCGGCGAGCCTCGCTTACCGATCTCAACCTCGCTGGAATCTTTCAAGACAAAATTATACTCGGCTGGCCTCCCGATCATTTTACAGCAATATCATCCCGGCTGGGATCTCTCGTCGACAAGGGTGCATCATTGGCTAACACAAATCCTGTTCAAACCTGGAAACCTCAACCCTAGCGTGCTCTATTTGGGCCGCGATCCGTCGAACTTCGACGCTCATCTCGCTGTCGCCGACTTCCGCCCAGCAGACTCTTTCATCAGGGTTCTGAAGCCGCCAAAATTTCGGAGCATCTCTTATCGACAGAGGTACGGTCTTCTCGCCATGAAGCTTAGATCACACGAGGAGCCGCACTTCATAGGGGTGCTGTGGATCAAGAACAAGAGGACCTCGCAGAAAGTCGAGCGTTTCATCAGCCGGCATGGGAGACCTTTGAATACGTTGGAGAACAGCGAGACTGGCTTGGAGGATGTGCAGAGAGTCATTCACTATCAGATGCTTTAAAGAAAGCATAGCGCGGCTCTTTTCCAACTACGTTCTGAAGGCTGCCTTCATCAATCAATCCGATCTGATGATGATCTCGCCTTTGATCCTCTCAGCCATCCGCGTGCTTATCATCTCCTGCGAAAAAAGGCTCGGGCTGGAACACGAACATCCTCATGGAGTCGTGCCTGATGATCTTGTTGACTTAGAAGGTGAGAGTTCGGTCCTGGTTCCATTTTGTTGAGCTGGAGAAGCGCTTGTCGGTTGTCGCGGGAAGCGATACGAATCCAGCTTGAGAAGGTCTTTGAATAATCTATCTCCGAACCCTCGACTGACGAGCATGCGTATGGTCGCCCTCGAACGAATCCCTTACACGAACACACACTGACGACGTCAATAAGAACCAAAATTTTGCCAAAGAACTGGCGCTCGTCTTCCAACCCAAGCATTGTCCAATGATCTTTCGCACCAAGATGACGCTCCCTCTCCTCTTCATTCTTGTCCTCATGTGGACCTTCAGTTGCACCGTTCGGGCTTCAGAGTTCGTCTTGCCTCTCGAACCGGAACACCCTCTTCCAGATGTCCAGGCCCACATCAGCGAGGAAGCGAAAGCTGAACAGGCTGCCGAACTGGCCGAGAAGATATTCGCGCTGCCGGGAGGTCACCTACGGCCAGTTTACGGTTACGGAGACAACTTGCACCACGCAGTCGCCATGCAGTTCCAATATTCGGGCTCTCGCTTCGCCGTCTACGAGAGAGAAGGTGCAGGAGACTGGTTCGCAATCTCCCAGTGGACCATTCGAGGAGAGCCAGAGGAGCCATGGCTCAAATCTATCCTCTTTCTCGACGTACGGCGTACGGGTGAAGTGTATCCACTCGGGCACGCCACTGTCAAGGACGGCGTTCCGCCGGGTCACACCGAAGATCTTTGGAGAACGATCCAGAGGGCTGCGAGAACACCACAAAGAGACTTGATCAATAAGTTTGGTGTCACTCATCTCCTCACCCCCGTCTACTGAGGGTAGTAGCTTGCACTCAAAAGAAAGTGTCGTTCGAGATCAGGGACCTTGTCAGAGCAGCTTGAAGGTGACATTTCCCTCCTGTCGTATCTCCGTATTGTGTTCAATCTTCTGGTTGATCGCTAGTGATTGAGTCAGCTACTTGCTGCTCCTCGCGCTTCGAGTGGTTAGTCACGAGGGATCTTCCGCAGCCACTGCTTCGCTACTTCATCCGACCAAGCCCACTAAGCTTGGCTGACTCCCGCGTTTTGCAGTGCTTGGCGTCTGTCGAGTGGGGGAGCAAGGTTGGTGGGCAACCACTTCCTGTTGGGTCATCTGATCATTCTCACACAGACATTCTCACAACGCGGCAACAGCTTCTGGACGTACCGTCAGGTTGGCTTGTGAAAGTGATGAGTATAGGATGGCAAACTGCGCCTTCAACCGTACTCTTATGAAGATGGCCAAATCAGCCGTTTCCGTACACTGAGCAGCGATGCTGAGTCCGCCTTCTCGGCTTCCTCTTTGAATGGGCTCTCTCGCCCGGTCTCATAAGAGTCGTTCCGAAATGGAGAAGAAGGAGGCAAGGAGTCTGGAAAGCATCACCTCTGCTTCGAGGTCATGTTTTCGCAACGCCATGATGTCGAAGCAGGCACAGCTCTATCTGTTATTCATCATTCACGTGCTCTTCAGCTCGCTCGTCGGAGCTAGGGAGGCTGAGCGACTTCCAGATCGACAGCAATCCGATCCGATCAGTGCGGCTATACACGTGCAAAGAGCTGCTGCACAAGCTGCGAGGCTCAGAGACCAACAGCTTGCACGTATCTTCCAGGCAACCTTGGCAGAGATCGAGAGATTCTATCTTCTGCCTCCAGGTACATTTGGTCCTGCCTACTTGTCCCGTCCAAGTCATAGAAGCGGGGTTACCAGCCTTCTTCAGCATCGCAGCACCAGAATGTTTCCTCTTTTGACCTCAAGCGCAGATGGCCACATCCTGTTCGCCTCTCCCGTGCTCTCGAGTCGGGCGAACGGAGAACCAGGCTTCCGCAAGTATCTCCTCGTCTTTCGCTTATATCCGTCAGAAGGCAAGATCGTGCCGCTCGGATATACCAGAGTAAGTCCCGAAGTTCAGGAAGGGGACGATGTCAATTTCATGGATCTCGTCCTCCACAGGGCGAGAGCCAGCTGGGAAACTCTGCGGCATGAATATGGCGATATGCGAGTGGTGGACCCGCACCAGCTGCTCTGACATCCTTGTCCGGGGCCCGTTTTTCGCCGGAAAATTTTGGCTTTTGCCGGTCTTTTGTGTACCGTAGACTTGATTCCTCTGCGGTGTCGCTCAGCTGCTTCCGCCTGGGAGATCTTCAGCTCTCTGAGACGACTTTCGAATGGCTTGCGAAAACTGCTTTCAAGATCCGAGGCGTGGGAAAGCTTTCGAAATGCCCTTACTGTGTGATCCGCCACGCATGTAGTGAGATTGTGGTGTGAGAAGCGAATGAAGCATATCCGAGCAAGACCTCGCCGTCCTCACGAGACATCTATGTTTAGTCAATCAGTCGAGCTTCGTTTTCCCCCTGCCAAGACGGTTTCATCCGCCAACCCTGCCTACCCAGCCATCCGAGTTGAAGCCATCTGTAAATCCAGCTTGCATGCCGGTTCAGTTGTGGTCTCGTGACCCGAGGAAGTCGAAACTCGCTGTGCGGGCCGGCTTCGAACCGGCACTTAAGAGATTGGTAACGGATATCGAGGCTTAATGTCGAGGCTGAATAGAGCTAAAAGGGGTCCAGATACATCGGCGCTTGCTGGAAACCACCGGCTCTGGCTACGATTTAGAAATGCTGCCAAGATACCGTTTGTTTCAGCTCTGGTGTATCGCCTTCTGGGTTTTCAGCTGCACTCCCGTGGCCGCGAGGCGCGGTGACCGTCTTCCTCGTCGTCCGCAGCCATACCAGAGTCTCGAAGCTCAACAGCTCGCTGCGTCCATCGAAGCTGGTCTGCGAAGAGAGACTCAAGTTCGGAACGCGCTCCTCAACACCTTGTCCACAATCGAGCACTATTTCCATCTTCCCACAGGATCACTAGGACCGGCTTACCCTTACTTGCCTAGACAGGCATCTCACGTAGCAGCTCACTTCAATGATCTCGACTCGAGAATGCTGCCTCTTTTGGTTTCCTCCATCGACGGTCACATCTTGTTCGTCTCTCCAGCAGCAGCGCAACATGAAGACAGCGAGGCTCTTCTCCGCGGCCTGCTGCTGTTTCACCTCTACCCTGGTCATGGCGCTGTTGTTCCGATCGGATTTGCTCAAGGACCTTCGGCGGCGTCGAATGGAGGACCTGTTGTAGACTTTTACAGCTTGGTGGTAAGAAGGGCGAGATCGAATCTGTCGAATTTGGTGGCAGCGCATGGACCTCTGAGGATCGTGGACCCTCGACAGCTCTTGATACATGCTCGTGGCTAGCAGAATTGTCGTTCAGAGCTCCGGAACGGCGGCAAGGCATGGCGTTCGGAGCCGCCTTGCTACGTGAACGAGGCTTCCCTGATCAGAGGGCTTCTCGACGTTCTCTCTGTACAGCTGACATCTGGCTGTTTGAGTATGCAATGCAAGTAACCTCTCCAGAATTCTCAACCGCCTGACTGAAATCGCAAGTACAAAGGCGCTACCGCTGTCAGATGGGACACTTGTCCAAAATGGCTTGTCGCCTTTCGGCAGAACTCTGAAGTTTACGTCCGAGCCTCACGAGCGCGATGAAGGTGCTGCAAAGTGAGCCGCGTTGTCAGGACACCAGGGAAGCGAGGTCGATCTGATGCGGTGAAAGCGCCGAGTGGGCATGAGAGCCCATTCGGAAACAACAAGAGCAAAGTCAGCGAGGTGTTGGTGGGCACTATGACTCCCTATGAAGTCCGTGAGTCTTGTTGGGCTTGCCTGTCACCATAGTGGGATTTCAGTCATGACCAACACTTCGGAACCTTAGTCTTTCGAGGCGTGTCAGATGCAAACAGCTGAAATTCTTGCCGGTACAAGATAGCATTTATTCTTCCAGGCTCGATCTCGAAAATCCTCTTCCACCACCGACACAGTCAGCATGATCAGCATTCGTATCTGGCAGTTCCTCTCTCTGTGCATGTTTTGTGCAGTCGCCTGCTTCGGTGAAAGAAGCGACCAGACGAGTTCGCCTCCACGACCTATCCCTGCTAGCAGGCCGCCGTCACCGGAACCTTCCATCGATCGCCTGAGGGAGGTTCACGGCGAGATGGTTGACTTCTCACGCCATATCATGGAAAGCCAGCTACATTTTCCCGGAGGCTACATCCGACCTGTCTTTGGCTATCATCCAGACTACACGAATCTGATCGAGAACCACATTCAAAATCCTGACACTCGTTACGTCCGGGTTGCGCCCGAACTCGGATATGGCGAGATCTACGCAACACCCTGGACTGTGGTCAGACCTGGAGAGACGGAGCCCAAACGGGGGTTTCTGATGATCAACTTCTCGCGGAACAGATACAATCCGATGATCCATACCGGCTTCAGGGAAGAACCTCTCCCGGGTGGCCGAGAGAATGCTTGGGAGTACATCAATAGGGTTGCTACTGTCACGCCGGAGGATATTCGTCAAAGATTCGGTGATGTCCGCTTCCTCGGCTTGCCCTAGGACGGTGTGACACACAATGGGACTCTTCAGGGCTAGTAAAGGTTCCTGCAAGTCGAAACGCGGGAGTGATCCAACAGACTGCTCGACACACTCACGGTGCATACCCAATTAATTACTCACGCTCTCGTTGGCCAGTCAAAACATCTCCTGAAATCAACTGTCGTCTTGAAAGTGAGCAATAATTCGTCTTCCAGCCTGTATTGCCATCTGTGACCAAGGCTGTGAACAGTTTACGAGCTGCTCGAGCTCACCCGTGGCGAGTTTGTTTCGCACGAACACTGTGAAAAGTGTGTAGCAGAGGGTCCGTGTGCGGACGAGGAGTCCCTTCTGCAGCAGCCTTGTTGCATGTTCGGTCTCATTCAGAGTATCGTTGGAGACAAGGATGGATATTCGTGATGTTGCCAGACGGCACACTGCATCAAGCACCTCCGACAACCGACTTCTCCTAGGTAACCACCTGCATTAACGAGATGGAAGCTCTCCCATCACGCAGTGAATCTCCAAGTTGCTGCTTTCAGATGAAATTTCGCGAGGCTCTCACAAGGATCTCGGTCGCCGTAAAGTAGTAGCAAGAAGTACGCAAGTCCCGGCTGAGCATCACTCGCAGACAGTAGTGTGAGACAAATGGATTGCAGCTGAGGCCTGTGGCGAGACCTGAGAGCTCGATGAGGCTCCCTGCCCGCCGGAGAGGGGGCTGGACGAGCGCAAAGGCGAGCAAGAACAAGGGAGGGTCTACAGGGAGGGAAGAAATCGTGCGCTAGGCGATGACCAGCCTAGCGACGATGAGAAGATGATGGAAGAGAAGAAGAAGAGTCTAGATACAGGAGAGGGCATATGAAAGGTGGGAGGCGAGCTCTGCTTGCCCAGACGCCCTCGCCCTGTCGCACCAGATGCAAGCAGCTCTATCACACGAGTGAGCCGTCTAATCGCTCGGATAGACCGGTTGACCTCTCGGCCACATAACTCAAGCTACTTTTCTATGATTCGGCTCTACTATTGTTCCAATTACGTCTGATCCGACGATCGTACTCGCTTGCTGTGCGAGGCTCTACATATTGGGTTTCTCCTCCTGTACTCTTTGCATTAACGTTGATATTGACTCTACTTGCCTTTGCACCATTTTATCAACATCAAAGAGCAGAACGGCAATGCGAAGATTTATTTTCACTCTTACCTTACTTCTTATCAGCATTCTGGTACTCAACTCCTTTCCATCTCGAGGTTCAGACTTCGACGGCCAGCTGGACCACGATGTCAATCCAGAGATAGCTGAACAGATTCAGGAGATCAAAGAAGCACAACATGCGGTCGAAAGTCTCGAACGGTACGCCTCTGTTCCGCCAGATTACTTCTCCCCCCTTGTCGGCTATACGGAAGAGGCAGCCGAACGAGCACGATCGCACGTCGCCAGCTCATCTAGCCGGTTTTTCCTGAGGCCAGATTCTAGGTACCTCGGCGCTGTAGTCGCGTATTCGACCTTCAGCTTTCATCACCCGAGAACGCATCGAAGGGTCTTCGCCGTTGCTATGCTCAGACTCCGAAAGCACAGAGAAGGAGGGTTTCTTGGCGAAGCGTACTTTCCGGAAGGATTGATGTTAGGCGAGAAGAGAGATCTATGGCAGCGATTGAACCGGCAGGCGACTTTCGACAGAAGAGATTTGATCAGGCATTTCGGCCCGCTCGCCCTTCATCTGCCCTAGAGGTCATGCGAGAGGCTGGAGAGAGCAAGTCAGTGCGATGCGATGTCGTTCATAACGAGTTTAGGGGCCTACAGGTCTTATGACCATTTCACACCCTTGATGAACGTCTGTGACTGCTGTCAGGCAGGAACGTCGATCGCAATCTGGAACGTTGCTTGGTTTAGTAATTCTGTCAGCAGGCGAAGCTTGACGCAATGCTACTTAAAAGGTGTGACCGGGTTCGTCAAAGCTTGATTCTTTCAATTAGACTTCAATCCCCATCTCGCCCCAGAAGAAGATGCAGATCAATGGCAAAGCTTTCGCGCTCATTTGCGCTCTCACTTTCACTCCCACCTGGGTCGCGGCTTCATTGAGGACCAACGACGATGACGGCGCAATCTACCCCTCCGATGTGATGGAGGAGCTCGCAGTCCTCGAGATTGCACACAGCAATGCTCGTAGAGTAGCGAAGATGCTTCTTCTGCCAAAAGACTATATCGCTCGAATCGAGCCGATCAACCACAATGTCGTGCTCGGCTCCCTTTTGCGCCTCAACTCGCGCGACGCTCGCTACATGATCGATTACCACCACTGCTACCCTCTGCATCGATCGTGTCTGCTCATATCGCCCTACGCTGTTGTAGAAGAGGATCATGAAGGCAGGCCACAGCAAGAGAAGGTGATTATGATGTTGATCGCCGAAGAGGGACATCCAATTGAGCCTATCGGATTGGTCTACCTTCCATCTGGCGACAGGTTGAACGTATGGAACTGGTTAGACGGGATCGCGTCAGAGACCAAGTACAGCCTGGAACGGCTGTTACCGGATGGACGTTTCATCTTTCCCAATTTCGCCAATCTTTGAAAGAAGGGTGGCAGATCCACTGTGCAGATCCACTGTACTGTATGTGTCGTGTAACACCCAGCACCGTAGTAGAGTGTCGCGCCCAGCGAGGATAGCTCATCAACAAGTCGACATGAGGCGCTCCCTCGCCAAGGGCAGAATTTCATCGCTGTTACATTTTCAACAGCATATGTATCTGATCTTTTTCGTCTGCACCGTGTCCGTGCGAGGCGAGCGTGACCCGAAGCCAACTCCAAAAAAAAAGATAAGCTACCGGGCGAGACGCGCAGCATGTGCCAAACGCGTGTGCAAACTGTGCGTGTGTGTTGATCTTGTTTCGATATGTCCTCAAAATCAGATTCAGATCGGGGAAAATAAGAGACTCGCAAACTGCACAAAGGACGACCCACCACCACACGGACGCGAAGGGCGAGAGAGAGAGAGAGAAACACACACTCTTTTTCGACACAAGATTCCTACCGATTCGTGCGCTAGGATCATCATCTCTGCCAACATCCTTCCACCCCTTTTCACGCATACCTACACTCACATCATGCGCGAACTCATCACGTAGGTTAATTCGATGCAGTGAAAGGGCTGGACAATGGCGGAGAGTCACTGACATGCATCACTCTGTGCTTTTCGAACCGGAATATCAACAGATTCGCCGTTGGTCAGGCAGGTAACCAGATCTCGTCGGCCTTCTGGCAGGGGATCCTTAACGAACACGGTCTTGACGGCGATGGTGTATGTAGCAGCGCAGACGGACCGGGAAACAGCAGTGCAACAACCGTTTCGGATACTGATACACCTCTACAATTTCTTGCGTGTTCACGACACAGCGATACGTTGGCAACAATGAAGCGGAGCAACTCTCCAAGGTAGGCGTCTTCTTCGAGCCCTCTGGTCAAGAGGGCAAGTTCGTGCCTCGATCCATCCAAGTCGACCTGGAGCCCGGTACCATGGACACCATCCGATCCGGTCCCCTCGGTAAGCTCTTCCGCCCGGACAACTACATCAACGGCGAGTCCGGAGCAGGCAACAACTTCTCAAAAGGATACTACACCGAAGGTGCCGAGTTGCTCGACCAGGTCCTCGACGTAGCGCGCAAGGAAGCCGAAAAGGCCGATATGCTTCAAGGATTCCAGCTGGTCCACTCGCTTGGCGGTGGTACCGGTTCGGGTCTCGGCACCAACCTTCTCACCAAGCTGCGCGAGGAGTTCCCCGATCGAATGCTTGCCACTTGGTCCGTCCTGCCTTCCCCCAAGGTTTCAGATACCGTCGTCGAACCGTACAATGCTACGCTCTCCTTCCACCAGCTCGTGGAAAACTCGGACATGACCTTCTGTCTCGACAACGAAGCGCTGTACGACATCTGCCAACGAACGCTTCGCACCAAGAGCCCCACCTATGCCGACCTCAACTCGATCATCTCCTTTGCCATGTCGGGCTGCTCCACCACGCTGCGTTTCCCCGGACAGCTCAACTCGGATCTTCGCAAGATGGGTGTCAACCTCGTACCCTTCCCTCGACTGCACTTCTTCACCACCGGTTTCGCGCCCCTCGTAGCACCCGGATCCAAGGCCTACCAATCGCTCAAGACATCCGAACTCATCGCACAGGGGTACGATCCCAAGAACATCATGGCTGCCATCGACCCGCGTCACGGAAAGTATCTCACCGTAGCAGCCATCTTCCGAGGAAAGGTGAATGCACGAGACGTCGAAAACGAAATGTACAACCTTCGCGAAAAGAACCCGTCCGGTTTCGTCGAATGGATCCCCAACAACGTCCTCACCAGTCTCTGCGACACACCCCCACCCAACCTCAAAATGTCGGCCACGTTCATCGCCAACACCACATCCATCCAGGAGCTGTTCAAGCGCACCCACGATCAATTCAGCCTCATGTTCAGGAGGAAAGCCTTCTTGCATTGGTACACGGGCGAAGGAATGGACGAGATGGAATTCACCGAAGCGGAATCGAATCTCATGGATCTCATCGCAGAGTACCAGCAGTACGAGACCGCAGGCGTCGACGACGTGGGTGAGGAGGAGTACGAGGGGGAGTACCAGGAGGAACTCCCGGAACAGGGTTACGAGGCTGGTGCGTACGAAGGCCAGGAAGACAGCGTTCAGTACGCAGAATGAACAATCAAAGCCAAAAAGAAAAAACAGAAACCAAATGTACCATCAGATCATCTACTGCCCTTTGTTCTCCTTCCTTGCCCTGACCATCTCCACTCCCCTCCTACGCTCACTACGCCCATTCCAGCCCCTGTTCGATACATGTAATTTCCTCGTCTGCTCAACAGCTCCTGCAATTCAGATAAGGAATCAATCTCGAAACACCAAAACGCTGTAGAACCTATTCTTGGATTTCTGAGACGTGATGATTGTTCTGTGAGTATGCTGTGAGTACGAAGGTGATGCGATGCAGGTGCAATCAGAGACGACGCTGGTCCAGCCAAGTAGAAATGTCGCGTGCGACCACTTCAGAATGCCGACTGCTGTTGCTGTTGTGGTTGCTGTTGCTGCTGCTGCTGCTGGAAGCCAGTGATGTTGCCAAACTTGAACGGCGAGGGACCCGACTTGGGCTGGAACGTGATCGGCTGAGGAGGCATCGAGTAGACAATGCCCAACTCCTCGCAAGCCGTCTTGATGCGCCTCATGAGCTTGGTCCTGCGCTCCCACCTCGCGCCCCAGTCCTGCCAATTACTCTTGTGCTCGAAAGCAACGATGAGTTCGATCGCATTCTGTTGCGTAATGCTGTTGAAGTTGAGATCTAACGGACCGCCAAAGTCGCGATCATTCTCCTTGGTCCAGGCGCGCAGCTTGGTGCGGAGCTGCTCCAACGTCTCGAGCGACGTCTCGAAGCCGACCTGGATCAGCGTAAATTCCCATTGAGCACCGCTGCGACGCGAGTTGTAGATGTACTTCTGGGTGGCCAGCATCGCGTTGGGCGCCACAATCTCGGCATTCACCGTCGTCCTAAAGGTGGTGGAGAGCAAGCCGAACTCCTTGACGAACATCCACTCCTCGTCGATGCAGACCAGGTCGCCGACATCGTACGGATGGGTGGCAAAGATGAAGATCATGCTCTCGAAGATGTTCTTGGCCGAATTGCCAAAGATGAAGGAGAAGCCGACGACAAAGGTGGACAGCGGCACGATGTTGGACACGGTCGAGTCACCGTTGAAAATGAGCAGCCAGATGAAGACAACGATGATGAGACCAATGAACATGAGCACACCATCCAGCTTCGAGATGGCCGACGACATGTCCTTGAGCGAGGTAGAGAGGGACCGCCTCTCGCGATAGATGCGCTGCACTGCCTCGCGCATCTCCTCTTTGCTGATGTCGCCGTTGCGGTCCGCGTCGAAGAGGTTGAAGGCCTCGCGCGCCTCTTCTTCGCTCTTGAAGTAGGGCACAAAATCTTCGGCTACGAGCGTCGACTTGTGGTCCGAGAGGTTGGTGAAGAGCAGCTTGGCGAGCTTGCGTGCAGAGCGCTGCGAGCCGATCTGGCTACCCTTGTACAGCTTACTGTCCTTCATGGTGGCCATGGCGATGGCGTCGCTGATCTGGGCGGCAACGTTGGTCTTGCGCTCGCGCTTCTGTGTCTCGTGCTCCGTGGGCGTGCGCGTGCCGTCGTGACGATGCAGATGCATGTGAGGATGGTGGTGGGTGGTATGATGCTGACCGTCGGCTTGCTTCTCTCCGTTTGCGTCGGACTGCTGGGAGGTTGCAAAGTAGCCACCGAGACCGTCGCGGGACTGCTTGGCAGCGTGCTGACCACCATAGGCCTGTTTGTAGCCGGGCGAGGCGGGACGGCTGCGCATAGGGTTGAAACGACGCTTTTGCATGAGGTACTTGGACTCGTGCAGCTTGTCGAGCGCCTTGAGTGCCTTCTGATTCTGCTCGAGACGATCTTTGACGGCCGTCTTGTGGAAGTTGATGGCGACAAATTGTAGCGCGACCTTTTCGACGAGCAAGATGAAGCTAGTGGCAAAGAGAGAACGGATGACCTTGAAGATGGTCCGCCAGTAATCGGGGCGGGAGCTGGACGAGTACTGGATGGCCAAGACACCGCCGAGACTGATCCAGGCCCAGGTGATGCAGAGGACCAACTTGAAGTAGAGAGTGGTGGCCATGAAAGCCTCAATGTACGTCTTGACGATCTCGGGCGCCTTGCCATAAACGGCAATGACGAGCCGAAGCGCGAGGGGCGGGATCCAATCTATGATGAGGAAAGTGCCACAACTGGCAGCCCAGATGATGGCGATCCAGATGCTCCACACGACAATCTGTGCACGCGCGGCCGAAGTGTTGTTGGTGGCAGTGACTACAATGAAGGGCACAAGGCAGATGGCCGTTCCGATCAGAGCAACGAGGAAGATGCGGACGGGACGGGCAAGGCGAAGGCAGGCGAGATACACTTTGCGTCCGCGCTTTGCGCGTGTGATCTTTGCGCCTTTACCGCCACGCTTCTGATCGGCGTCGTCGTCGTCATCACTGGAAGTATCCCAGTCAAAGTCCTCGGAGTCATCCGCAGAGCTGGCAACCGAGCTAGCGCGACTGTGCCGATTTTTCAGACCATCTGTACTGGCAAAAGGAGCGTGGGGCGGCTCGAACAGGTCGTGTTGCGCTGGCAGGCCAATCTTGTTGGGACGCTGGATACGCTCGACGAGGGTGTCGTGGTTAGCGTTCCAGCCGTTCTTTGTTGCATTGGAGGAGTCGCCGTTGCTGCCGCTACCGCTGGCGCTGGCATTGTCGTTGCGCACCTGATCGTAGCCGGGCTGATTGCCGGCGTCGATGCCTTGAAAGTAATTTGGATCATCCTCACGATGGTGATGGAGGAAATGAGCTGGAGGAGCACTGCTCAACGAGTCTTCGAGCGGATTGCGTGCGGTTCGCTGCTGCTGGGGACTCTGTATGTTGGCGAGCGGGATGTCCGCCATGTCCATCTGCTCAGCTGTCTTGTAAGGGAGCGAAGTCATCTTGGCGAAGGTATCGAGCGTATCGGAACAGTCCGATGAGTGAGAGTCAGGGCCGTGTCTGAGAGGCCAGTCCAGCTAGAGCGTCCTCTCAAACGTCCGCATCGAACGACGAAATTTCGCAAAGCTCCGCAATGTTGTCGTCGAGTCGTCGGTTGTGCCGATCGATGGTAGAGGATGAAACAAGGTGCAGTGTACAGTATGCCTGCCGGGAAGGAACAGTCGTCTGACAAACCTTGCACCACTCCTCTGGCCGAAGGTGATGGAAGGGAAGGACGAGGCGTGCGTGTATGATCGTGGTGTGATAGAGACGAGAAAGTCCAACATGCTGCAGCCAAGACTTGCGGTGTGTGTGCGCTGTATGCCCCTCATTTCGCAGAGATCACATTCGAAGGTCAAATTTGGCAGGCTGCAGCAGCACAGCCAGGCACACCGATGAATAAAAAGAGAGACTGTAAACAAATTTATTTATTAATATTTAAAAAGAAGGTTTGTCGTCAAAGCAAGACTCTGCCACCGTGCAGATCAATGCACATGCACACAACCTTGAAAAATTTCCAGGGGTCCGGTCCTCTGATATCATAAGGATCACCTTGGGAGAGACAGACACAAACGCCTCAGCCGCCCAGCAGCTGAGCAGGAACCTTGATGGTCTCAAAAGGGCGCCTCATCGACCTTGCAAGAGGCTGCTCCATAGCGTATGCTGACAAGGTCGACGTGGTTCAGAGCAGGTAAATCCTAGCGAGAGGAGACAGCGAGGCGAGGTGTCATCTGCTCAGCGCCTCCTGCTTTGACCACACGGTTGCGGTGGAGGCTAACAACCTATCAACGACCTGCAGTTGAGCCCAAGCCTCGCCGCTGTCGGCTTCCTCGCAGAGGTACAGGGCCGAGCGCTTTGCGTTGAGGTGGTAAGCATGCAATCAAAGCATGCGACTACGGCGTGGTGCGGTGGTGCGCTGCAGTGCTGCGCTGGCAAGAGCTCGACAAGGCTTCGGTGTCTTTCTTGCAGGCTGTTGCAGCAGCCGCCAAACGAGAGCACAAAAAGATGTCACCGACCAGAATTCAACGAACCCTTTCTTTTCGGCCAGATCCGCCCATCAAACGGAAACTCTAACACTCGGCTCCAGTGACCTTGCGGTGAGCTGACGTCAACGCAAATCCGGGCTCCGAGGATCGAACCCCTGCCAATCGGCCCCGCTCCACCAAGTCTTTTCAACACGGAGTCTTTGGCAGGGATCCGTTGACATGCCTCTCTTTGCCCTGTATGGCTCACGACTGCATGTTCGTTTCGCAGTATAGCATAAAAAAACCGCTGATTTTGGGGTGCTGTACGAGTGTAGTTGAGAATCGACCAGGTCTGCTCTGCCGGCAGCAGGCAACTTATCCGATCTTCCGTTCCGTGTCTTGTTACGACACTCCGGAAGACCTCCAACCGGCTGCTGCCACTGACTGCCTCCAAGGCACTCCCGGCATTGAAATTGGAAGTCTCATCTATGGCTATCCTGTATCTTCATGACTGATTTGCTCCAACTCAGGTGGTGCACAAGAGCCACTGGTGTGCAGATGTACTCACGGTAGGGCAAGAGCGAGCTCATTCAAACCTCGTCGGTCAATTGCAAAATGGCATTTTCGCCGAGTTTGCCATTTCGTGCTCTTGTCGATGGCTTCGGCAATAATGGTTGCGTCGGCAGGCGAATCGAAGCAAAGCTCGTCTTGGCTCGGCTTGCCGTAGCGGACGCATACCCGACAACGCCATTTCATTCTATTTATGGATTTTTCACACTCTCGGCTCTTATGCGTCGTGCCTGTTTGTCCGTCACACGTTGACACCTTAACCATTCGCCGCCAACCCCCGCTTCTCGCACCTCGCTGCGATTCTGTATCGCACTCCTCTCGACCCTTCCACTGATCCCTTCTTCTTTCCTCCTGTTCTTCCTGCTCCCTATCCCTTACCCGCTCCCTGCTTTCTGATCTTCAACTGCTTCGCATCCTTTCCCCCCTCGAATCCCAGTTTTAGCTCTCGACTTGTCTTGTTCTCTGTCTGCCGCCGCAAGCTGACAGCCACAGCGTCGAACTGCGAGGACAGCCAACAGCTTCCGATCGCTCTCTGATTCGATTGGCAGTGTGTCGCTGTCAGCACCAGTTTCTACTCTGCACCTACGTTATCGGCTACCTTGGTCGACCGATGCTGGCTTTCAGCATATGACCACCGCTCAACCTCTTCGGCTCCCTTTTTTTTCGACGCCTACGTGCAACCTGACTCGCTGATAGCGCACTTGACGACCAGCGCACGTCTTGAGCTGATCCGTCGTTGATAACTCAGGAGTCCTGGTGTCGACTTTGATCTGATCCACGCATTGTGCCATCACAGCGTCCCTTTCACCTCCCCCTGGACCACGAGGCCATCATACACCTGCCGCCAAACCTGATCGGGAAGTGAAAAACACACGCGCACTCCACAGCATGGGTCGCAAAAAGATCAAGATCCAGCCCATCAAGGAGGACCGCAATCGATCTGTCACCTATCTCAAACGTAAGGCTGGCCTGTTCAAAAAGGCGCATGAGCTTGCTGTCTTGACCGACTCGCAGGTCGCTGTGATCGTCTTTGGTCACAATGGCAAGCTCGCCGAGTTTTGTTCCACCGACATAGATCTGCTTCTCCTCCGGTACACCGAATACGATGGCGTCGCCGAAAGGAAAGGTCCCCAAAATTATCTCGATCTCGACAGAGACTCGGACGACAATGATGACGATGACGAAAATGATGACATGGACATGACGAGCGCTGATGGCGCCGCTGACGACTTCAATGGCTCCAGTGGTTCGAACCGTCCAGGTGCGGCGGATCGACAAAGCACCAGCAGTGCCAGCAGCAACGCCAAAGGCGGCGGCGGCGGTAGCATGAAACGAAAGGCGGGACAGATGTCCTCGTCGTCCTCCAACAAACAACTCCACCCGTCGAATCTTTTGGCATGCACTTCGAGTCTCGGCTCAGGATACGGCATTGCCAACGCATCCACTGCCAAACAAACTGTCAATGCCACCCTTCGTCGAAAGAGCCAGACTCAGGCTGGATCAGGGCTCGTCTCTACACAAGCAGCTTTTCAGCCAATGCATATCAGCCCGTCCTTCATGTCTGGATCCGCCATGCAGCACGTCGTAGAAGGCGCGCCGATGCACATCATGGGCTCGACAAAATCTGTTCCTGCTATGCCGCAGCCAAATACCGGCGTTGCTGACCAAAATCCACGCAGCAACGATGCAGCAGCCAACACAAACAAGGCTGGGGCGATCGCCGACATGTCCATCAGTATGCCCAGCGACGATCGCCTACCCATCTTTGTCTCGCCCGCCACGCCCGGATTTGGTCTGACCCCTGGCGGCACCATCATAACGCCAGGCGGGAGGCGATTCAGCTTCTCCGACGTGCTCCCACGAAGCACCAGCAACTCGACGATCCAACGACCCGTGACGTCCTCATCGACGCTTGTACCGCATTACTTTCACGCCGACATGCTTGGGTACGTCGCGACACCGCCACCAGTATTCGACACCATGTCGTCCAGCTCTCCACTGGAGAATCAACAGGATCCATCCGTCACGCCCGCTTTCCAGACGAGGACCGCGGAGCCAGCCTTGCAGCGATATCCGGCTCCCATGTACAGTGAAGTGACGTATGCCCCATCATCTGTCGCCCACATGGCTTCTAGCGATCCGACGGGCCCTGGTGCGGACACGACTGCCAATAACGAGGCGGGCGGCGCGTCGAATCACCTCACCTTGCGCGCCGCGGGTCTTGGACAGACTCTGCATGCAAGCTCTGCCTCGCCTATGCCAACTCATACATCTGCAGACGCTAACGCAGCCTCCAATGCCTTCTATGCCGGCTCCTCAGCTGGCCCAAACGTGAAAGCAGCGGTGACGCCGCTGCGTGGCTCGTATGACAGTTCGGCAACGCCCGAGCTCCTGAGCCACAGCAGCAGCGCATTATCGCGGCCAGGTCTTGCAGCTTCTGCATCGAAATCGGCGGCGTCGACCGACGAAGAGACGCCGCCTCTGTACGGCAGCGGTGTCGTGGCTGATCCCAGCAGGTTGGATCCGAGCTCAGCATGGCTACCTCTACCACAAGGCGCCGATCGCAAACCAAACCAGGCCGTTCAAGAGCAAGACCAAGAGAAACTTGTAAGGCCTGCGCCCTTCGATCCGACGCAGCCGATGGGCTCCGCTCCTTTTGAGCTACGGTTGCCACCGCGTCGAACGCATTGACTTGTTGTGCATCGTTCAATTCACTCCGCCTCGAGGCGGTGTTCCCCCATCCGACCCCCGCGCTTGATGCGACTGTATTTCTAGTGTTTCGCTGCCCCGCATTTCTCCTTCAACGCACGGCTTTCGTCAAGACTTGCTTCCATTGTTCTTCCTCAGCTCGTCGTACCATTCACGCCATGCGACAGCTGTTACGCAAGAAGACACCAAAAAACCCCATTCCAGCTTTCACGAACAAGACTTCGGCGACCGTCCTCGATTCGTTCATCGACCCAGCCGTTGGAACCACCTGTTCATTGCATGTGCTGTACAGTGTACTTGTTGCTTATGGAATATGTAACAACACATTCTAACAAATCGCAGAAAGGCCCTTTAATGATGTCGTACTCGATGCTTCCGCTCCTTGTGTGCATGTGCATGTGCACGTGTGTGCAGATGTATGTGTGCTCTCGTAGAGGTCATCTGTATTAGTAAGACTTGTATGCATCACCTTGGACGGATCGGAGGGGATACGTGGTGGCTGTGATTCTCGTCCTCAATTTAACACGCAAGAAGGGGAGCATCCAGACATGTTGAGAAGACCGCGTGGACGCGCCTCCCTTGCGTTCGTAATGTTATCCGCATCCCGAAAGGCCTTGCTGGCCCTTTCTCCGCAACTCTCCGTCACTCTTTCGCTTCATCCGAACGTACTTTGATCCTTTCAACTCGCTACACACAGCGATCCGCTAACGAAGCTGTTCCAAAGAGTTCCAGCAACCTGTATCACCTCGGAACGAGCTGGCGAACCGCAACGGAACTGCCGAGCCGACGCTGTCGTCGGATACAACCGCACCTAGCAGAACGAGTGCTAGGTCAGCTTGCCTCGGTACCGACTCGGACTGTACCAGACTCGTCAGCTAGTCGTCACCTCACCCGAGCGTCGCTGGATACCAAAGCTTCCCGACGGCTTCGGTGGGCAGCCGGTGTTGACCCTGCCATGGTGCGAATAACTTCTCGGCGCAGCATGAGGCGACTGTTGCCGCTCCTTTTTGCCTCACTAATCTCAGCGCTTCTCTTGCTCCCCTCTCTAGCTAGCGCAGCAGACCCAGGTGTCAAAGTGTCCCGCTTTGCCCATCTTCCCTCCAAAATCAGCTATTTCGATGATAGCACCGTTGCACTCTACCACGATGCCACCGCAGGCATCGTCTATCGCTCCGAAGATGAAGGCAAGACCTGGTCACCCGTCTCCGGCTCCTCCTCTGGCAAGGCAGCCATGCTGGTGCCCCACCCATACGACAAGAAGCAAGCCTTCATTCTTTCACGCGATACGATGCATTGGCGCTCCACAGATCGCGGCAAGACATGGCAAGAGTTCCTCACGCCCGAATCTCCCGCCACACGCGCAGGGCCACCCATGGAGTTCCATGCAGACGAAAAGCACTGGGATTGGATCATCTTTACTGGCAAAAAGTGTTCTATGTGGACGCCATGGGGAGGCAGGATCTGTCACGACGAGGCGTACTACACCACCGACGCCTTCGCCACCAATCCGCCCAAATTGCTCGAATTCGTCATGCACTGCAATTGGGCTAAAGCAACGCCCGAGATGGAAACCAGTCCCGATGCACTCAAGCGCATCTTTTGCATCGCTTGGGAGGACGCTCAAGAACAGAGACGGGCCACGATACCCGGGGGGGCCAGCGGATCAACGAGGCTCTTCCAATCGGACGACTTCTTCAAGACCAAGAAGATGGTCGAGCTCGACATGGGTCGCAACGCGAGGCAGTTTGCCGGACTCGGACCCTCCAAGAGGTTCCTCGTGACAGCGTTGCGCGACTCGCAGGGTGGATCATCAAAAGCAGGCACCGAGATGGCGCTTTTCGTCACAAGAGACGGCGTCAAATGGGAAAAGGCCAAGTTCCCACACGGCTCAGAGCTCCGCGAGAATGCATACACGGTGGTCGACAGCACCTCGCACTCCATCATGGTCGACGTCGTTGACTCGGTCTACGACAACACGGGTATCCTCTTCACCAGCGACAGCACAGGCACGCAATTCGTGGAATCGCTCCGCGGCACGCGCCGCACACCGCAAGGGTTGGTCGATTTTGAGCACCTCGTCAAGATCGACGGAGTCGGTATCGCCAATGTGCTGTCGGACGGCGAAGGAGATGTGCGGTCCATGATCACTTTCGACGACGGCAGCAGTTGGCACACTCTTAAGCCGCCCACAGAGGACGACAAGGGCAAACGCATCGACTGCGATCCCGCCGACGTTAAGAATTGCGCACTCCACCTCTGGTCTGTATCGGGCAAGACCAATGTCGGCAAGCTCTTCTCCTCGGTTGCACCTGGCTTTGTCATGGGCGTCGGAACCATCGGCAGAGGTTTGAAGGACTATGACGAATGCGACACCTTCCTCAGCACCGACGCTGGCCGTACGTGGAGAATGGTCTCGCGCGATGCACACAAGTACGAGTTTGGCGACCAAGGCTCCGTGCTCGTCATTGTCGATGACGAAGATGTCACCGACCACGTTTCCTACTCGACCAACTTTGGCAAGTCCTGGAACAAGCTCAGCTTGGGCCTCAAGATGAGGGCCAAAGTGCTCACCACGATTCCAGACAGCACGTCGCTCAAGTTCCTCCTCGTCGGCAGTCAGACCAGGAATCAGGCGGACGGCAAGGACCGCAATGTCGCCATCTTCCTCGATTTTGCAGAGATGAAGAAGAGCAAGTGCAAGGAGTCCGACATGGAAAGGTGGTACGTGCAAGCTGCTCAGGAAGGAAGCTGTCTAATGGGTCATAAGCAATGGTACAAGCGCAGAAAGCCAGATGCCGACTGCTTCATCCAGGACAAGTTCCACGACCCGGAGGGCAAAGAGGATCCGTGTCCCTGCACCGATGCCGACTACGAGTGCGACTTTGGCTTCATCCGCGGCAGGCAGGGCGATTGTGTGGCGACGGGCAACGAGCACATCCCCGAAGGTGCTTGCGCCAAGCCTACTGATACCTATTTAGGCTCTTCCGGATACCGCAAAGTGCCAGGTAACACGTGCGATGCCGGCAAGGGCATACGCAAGGACGAAAAGACGCAGAAATCGTGCGGTGGCAAGAATGTGCCGCAGGAAGGCAAGGTGTTGCACAAGTCCTTCACCTTCCCTTCGCTCGTGGTGGACAAGATGTACTTTCCAGAGTCATCGAGTGTGCTCGTTCAGCTCGCGGACGGCACCGTCTTCCAGTCGCTCAACGATGGCTACTCCTGGAAACAGCTCGGCGGCGACGGCGCACCGTCATCCGCAGAGGACAAGTTCCTCACCATGGCGCTCCATGCCTACGACCCCAAACGCGGATACCTCATCACCGCAGGTCAACGCGTCTACTACACCACCGACCAAGGCGCCAGCTGGAACTGGTTCTCGGCACCGCTCCCGGCGAACGGCTTGGGGATCGGAATTCTCGACTTTCACCCAGATAAATCGGATTGGCTCATCTGGACGGGTAGCCGCGACTGCATCTCTTCCCCCGCCAAGCAATGCCACGCCGAGGCTTGGTACTCGGACAGCAACGGCGCCAAGTGGGAAAGGATCGATTCGTACGTGCGCACATGCTCCTGGGCGCGCGACAAGAAGCTCAAGATGGATGCGCGCACCATCTTTTGCGAGAGCTATCAGGTCAAGCAGGGCAACCAGCGCGACTTTACCGCCGCCAACAAGCTTCAGCTGATCCGTGGCGATGATTTCTATCGCAAACGCGCTCGCGTGTTTGATGCCATTGTCGGATTCGCCGTCTTTGAGCAGTACCTGGTTGCGGCAGAGTACGTGATGACCTCTTCGACCCCAAGTCTCAAGTTGCAGGTCTCGCTCAACGGTCGCGACTTTGCAGAGATTCACTTCCCACCAGGCATGGAGCTGGGTACGCGCGCCTACACGGTGCTCGACTCGGTCACCGACGCCATCTTTTTGCATTTCACCACGCACTCCGAGACTGGATCAGAGTGGGGAACCCTGCTTAAGAGCAACTCGAACGGCACGTTTTACGCCCAGTCGCTCGACTTTGTCAACCGCAACGACAAGGGTTTCGTTGATTTCGAAAAGATGCTCGGATTGGACGGCGTGGCGATCGTCAACGTCGTCAGCAATCCAGATGACGCCTCGGTGTCGAGGCAGAAGGATCTGGTCACACGCATCACGCACAACGACGGTGGTCGATGGAAGTCGCTGGTACCGCCCAGCCGTGACGTCTATGGTCAGCCGTACGAATGCAACAAGGTGGGTTGCGACTTGCATCTGCACGGCTTCACCGAACGCGACGACCCGCGAGACACCTATAGCAGCCCTTCCGCCGTGGGACTCATGATGGGTGTCGGCAATGTCGGTCGCAAGCTCGCCCCCTATCGCGACTCGGACACCTTCTTGACGCGAGACGGCGGATTTACCTGGGAGGAAGTGCACAAAGACGCGCACAAGTGGGAGTTCGGAGACCAAGGCTCCATCATCGTGCTCGTCAACGACGAGCAGGCCACCGACACGGTGCTCTATTCTCTCAACGAAGGCGTCACCTGGGAATCATACGCGTTCGGCGAAAAGATGCGCATCTCTCAGATCCTCACCGTACCCGAAGACACGCATCGACGCTTTATTCTGCTTGGCACACCGTCCGGCTCAGCGGTCAAGAGCGCAGCCGTCTATCTTGACTTTTCGGCTCTCGAATCGCGAAAATGCGTGCTCAACGTCGCCAAGCCGGAGATGGACGATTTCGAACTCTGGTCGCCCAGCGAGGAGCGCGCCGAGCAGTGCCTGTTTGGACGACAGACGTTCTACTACCGACGCAAGCGACGCGCCGACTGTTACGTCGGGGAGAAGATCGTCCAACCCCACTCTGTTAGCCGCAACTGCTCCTGTACAGAGGCTGATTTCGAGTGCGAGTTCAACCACTATCGCGATGCGAGTGGCAAGTGCGTACTGTATCCGGGCGCATTGCCCTTGTTTACGGACGTAGCGAGTCAGTGTTGGGCGGCGGAGAGCGATGGATACTGGTACGAGAGGAGCAACGTTCGCAAGATCCCGTACTCGACGTGTTCGGGAGGAGCGAGACTGGATCGAGGAGCCAGGCACGTCTGCAGCAACAACCTTGCCGGTCACGGATTTCTCTGGTGGACCACGGTCATCCTGTGTCCCTTTGGCCTGGCCGGACTGGTAGGGTATTGGTGGGCGAAGAAGCAATCGGGTCGATCTGGATTTGGAGGGACTGGACGGATCCGATTGCCGGACAGCTCGAATCGGCTCTACGGTCCAGATTCGGAACTAGTGCAGAACCTGGCTTCGGTGCCGAGGTTTGTGCTGGGCGCAGCTAGTGCCGCGTTGGCGAGGTTGCAGGAGATTGCCTCGGAGAGGATCCCTTTCATGCGCAACAGGATGAACCGGTCAAGAGGCGCCTATGGTGGTTACAGGCATCTGTCGACGGACGAAGATGCTTCTATGCTGCCCGATTTCGAAGAGGATGAACTGGAGCGTTGACATATCCATTTTTCTCTTTCACAAGGAGGTGCTCACAGACACACGAGCAAAAAGCAAACATGTTCTCTGGAATCTGTTGATCTGCACATACTAAAGGATGGCGACGAGTCAGGGTTGATCTGCGAAATCTCATAGAACAATTGGTCTATACCGGCTTCACGTGCATGTTCCATTGATCGAATCGAGGTGTTCGGAGAAGACGTGCGAGAGGCCTGTGAGGTTCAACTTACGTTCATGTTTCATGGAACTCTATTTTTAGGGACGCCTGTACAGAAATTTGAGCTTGTTTATGTTTGGACGTGACCAAGCGAGTACGTTGTTGGCCTCGTTTCGTGATCCGAAGTTCTGTAGGATTTGTAGCTCGGTCATGTGTGGTTCAAAAAAAAATACACAGAGCATAGGATACTTCGAGGGCCGAAGCCAGTACACAACTAGGTGAAGAAGGATGGGAAAATTGACCGACCCACGGCTTCGGGTTGTCGATCACGAAGGTTGTGTCTGATTGCATCGGAAGCGTTGCAATCACCAGAGGTTGAATCGCCGATAGAAGACCCTCGAAGGAGCCTTCGGCGACGCGTGCAAGCTGTGGGTGCTGGAGCGGCGTTGAAAACGCACGAGCTGTCACAACGTCATTTTGCAGACACGTCATGCCGAAAATACATTGTGCAGCATGACATTGGCATCGATGGAAGCGGGAAACGGTCTCGACCATCGCATTGTCCATCTGCACGGCGTTGCTGCAGAAAGCATCGGATGGCAACGTGGCCGCGGCTCATCACGTCGGTGGCGTCCGCATTAGCAACCATGTGATGTCGATCCTGTTTGTGCGATGCGTCGTGATGTGATGTTGCCAAGCGAATCCACAGCGATGAATCGAGATGCATTGTGTACCACGAGCCGACAGAGTGGACAGATTGAAGGAGGGGTGAATAAGAGACAGAAGCGGGACCCCGTGATGCCAGGTCACGGTCATGTCTCAGGTCTGGACGATCCTGATCGTCGTGGACCCAATGATTCAGAGTGTTTCAGGGCTAGCGAACGAGCGAGCAAGCAAGCGAGCGAGCAACCGCAGGGGCAGCAGGCCCTGCCGCAGCAGCGGTGCAGCGGATGGGAGGGGGGCTGGAAATTTTGCAAAATCCGGTGTTCCAAGCTGTTACGTGGAAGTTGCTCATCTCGATCTTCCGGCTCGCACGGCCTGCAAACACTATGCAGTCACGCAGTCACGCAGTCACCCGGCGAGCCTGACAGCTGAAAGACAGGCAGGAGTTTCTGCTCAACTCATCCCGACGCCTCCACATTTCGGTGCGTGTCGCAATTTTGCAGCTGCAGCTGCTGCGAAACTCCAAATGGGGAACACGCACACTCCGCCTTTTCTTCTGACGCGTTGGCTGGCGGGCAGTCTCTGGGAATTCCATCCACTCTGTCTGGCTGACCATGCAGCTGACGGTCAAAGGAAGGCCACCTCGGTCTCCGCCTGTCAATGCTTTCAGTTAAGTTATGCACTACGCCATCTTGGTCCGTGTGACAGAGCCATGCAGCGATGGCTGGACTCAGTCTCCCTGCACAGAGGGAGCCATTCCGGAAAGGGCACTCAGGCTGGGGCCGCTCGCTCCTCCATTTGACTTTTCGGACAGCCCAATGACGCATTCATTCGCCTTTCACCGACGTGAGCTGCTGACACTGTTCAGACGCCGTCTCACGCCTTTCATTCCGGGCCTCACGCCTCTGGATGCACGAATGAGTGAGTGAGTCTGATCCGCCCCGCTGGTCTCGTGCCTCGACTCGAGCGAAAGCCCTTGCTGAAAGCTGATGCCATTTTGGGATTCCATGCCTTGGCTCGTCATACCGTTCAGCACGCTTCCAGCCCAGACCCTCTCTCCGATCTTCTCGTGGCTCGACGGAAACGTCACAGTCACAGGCAGTACCACGCTCGCAGCGCCTTGTCCGACTCAACTTCTCGCCAGGGTATATAGCATCGCTCGCCATCCCTCCTCGCCATCCGGTCTTCCTCCTCATACTACCACACATACCAGTTTTCTATTGATACCAGTTTGCACAGATACCCTACCACTATCTGTTCATTCCATCCACTTGACCGTACATACCACATCGCACGTATACCTGTCTCGGTCCACCTGCGATCGCTCCATCTCTTCACCAGACGCTACCTCGCACAATCTTCGATCGATAGTCTGTCGACCCCGATTCTGCCTGTCTAGCCACATTTCGAGTCCACCAACTGTCGAATTTGCCAATCATGACGACCGTCCCCACCGCCGTTTCTCAGGTCTCTGAGAACCCTTCCGCGAACGCCGTCACCTCGGCCGTTTCCTCGCACCAGAAGGCTGCCGATGTCGACCGCAAGATGCGCTTCTTCGGCGTCATCCAGGCCTTCCGCGAGGGTCGCTACCCCGACAATGCCCAGATTGACGACACGCTCAAGTACACGCTTGCCAACAGCCCCGTCAACACCGACAAGCTCTCGCCCGACGGCAAGAAGCTCATCCAGGACCTTCGCGAGCTCATCGAGACTTCCCGTCAGGTTGTCGTCAACAAGAACGGTGGCGAGGAGTTCCAGAACTTCCTCCACGCCACCCGCAAGGCTGATGTCGCCAGCAATGTCAACGTCAAGTCCCCCTTGACCGGCGCCGACGCCAAGAAGGACGGCGAGACCGCCGGCGAGGCCTTCCGCACCCTCCTCACCCTCTTCCTCCGCAACGGTGAGGCCCGCAAGCTCGTCCAGGACTTCGGCTACATTGGCCGCGACATGTTCGCAGACGGTGCCGCCAAGGCCGCCGAGGCCGCCCGTCCCGACGAGGAGAAGCTTGCCAGCGTCGACCACCCCGCTCCCGACAACGAGTTCCACGACGACATCCCCGATCTGCTCCAGAAGAAGGAGCAGGCAAAGGCCGATGCCCAGGACACCGCCGAAAAGGCCAAATCCGAGGGGGCCGCCCACGCTCAGGACCTCAATGACGCCGTCGACCCCAACGCCTCCAAGGAGCAGAACCAGGCCGCTGTTGCCGACGTCGCCAAGGCCAAGGCCCAGGCTCTGTCGGACAGGATCCCCCAGAAGCACAAGGACCTCGCCAAGGAGCACTCCGACAAGGCTCAGGAGTACCTCAAGGAGAAGTTCCCCAAGGAGCGTCGCGACCAGTTCTACTACCGTCTCAAGAAGATCGTCGTCGAGTGCCAGCGCCACAAGGACTACCAAGACGCCATGGACTACTTCCTCAACTTCTTCGAGCAGTACAAGGGACATGCCACCCACGTCTACAACCAGTCCGCCCAGAGCGCCCAGAGCGTCCGATCCGAGGGCAACGTCGCCACCGCAGAGACCACCTTCCGTCGTCTCTTGGAGCGCTTTGCCAACGGCGCTTCCACCGAGCCCATCGTCGACGCCGTCAACCAGATCTACACCGACGTCGCCAACGACCCCGAGCTCAAGCAGTGGTTCAGCCGCCTGGACACCTACATCCGCAAGTGCCTCCAGGAGCCTGGCTACATCATGAAGGACGAGGCCAACTCGCAGGCCAAGCAGCTCACCGAGTCCGGCAAGAAGTTCTTCGTCGCCGCCGACGGTCGCAGCCAGGGCAAGTATGTCCCCCACAAGGACGCCCTCTTCCGGGAGATCACTCACTTTGCCAAGGCCATGGGCAACGACCCTCTCAACAAGAAGCTCGGCGACAACGTCCAGCAGATCACCAAGGACCTCTTCCTCAACGCCGATGGCGGTCTCACCTTCAAGCCCCACCTCTGGAGCGACATTCGCGACCCCATCCTCCCCGAGCTGCTCAGCCACGTTGGCCTGGTTCCGCTGCCCCGTATCGAGTACACCGACCCCCAGGTGGACCTCGTCATCGAGAACCTTGCCATCGACCTGCTCAACATCCTGCCCTCGCAGGTCGAGATGGATATGCGCAACCACTTCAAGCTTTCGCAGTTTGACAAGCTCGGCGACAGGCACCAGCACTCGTTCAAGCTCACGCTCCACCAGATCCAGACCGACATGCGCGACGTCCACTTCTTCTTCAAGAAGAAGCAGGGCTTCCCCAAGCTCAACGAGAAGGGTACCGCTGACGTCTTCCTCGGTGGCAAGGGCTTGACCGTCACCGTGCACCTCGAGGCCGAGAACGCTCCTCGTGGCAAGAAGAGCCGTCACATCTTCACCGTCAAGCAGGTGGTCGCCAAGGTGGACAAGCTCAAGTTTGCCATCCGCGATTCGAAGCATGACACGCTCATCAAGGTGCTGCGCCCGCTCGCCACCGGCATCATCAAGAAGGCCATCTCCAAGGCTGCCGAGCAGGGCATCCGCAACGCGCTCCAGGACCTCGACACACAGCTGGTCGAGCTGCGCGACCGCATCGAGCGCAACAAGGAGATTGAGGGCAAGGGCATTGGCGATGCCTTCAAGGACACGTTCCAGAAGGAGAAGCCTGAGGATGCCAAGAAGAACGACAGCTCGTTCAAGCTGGCCACTTCGAAGCGCAACTCGATCCTCCCCAACCTCGGCCACCCCGACGGCTGGATCCAGAAGATCGACGAGAAGGACGCCGCTGCCAAGGCCAACCCCAGCCACGTCAACAAGGAGTGGTATTCGCCTGCTTTCAGCATCGTCGCTGCGGGCCAGAAGGACCCTCGCAACACGGTCTCCTCCAAGACGCAGAACCTCGGCCCTTCGCCCACTAACTCTGGTGCTGGCGCTGCCGGCGCCGCTGGTGCTGCTGGTGCTGCTGGTCTCGCTGGCGCTGCTGGTGCCGCTGGCCTTGCCGGTGCCGGCCACAGCGGTCAGACGACAAGCGTGTCGAACGCTGCTCAGCAGGGCGTCGGCCAGCCCGGTGCTACCGCGAGCGCATATTCGACTCAGAACGGCGAGCATGCGCCTGGTGCCATCGTAGCCGGCACGGGTGCTACAGCGATCGGCGCTGGCGCTGCCGGTGCTGCTGCCACGCACGACGAGTCGTTGGCATCCAAGGCGGCGCCGGCGATCAACGGCGCGGCACACAACACTACCGAGGCTTCGCAGCCCATCAACCCTGCCTTTGAGGCGGGACACATCACCAAGTGATTTCGTTTCGCAGCACCGACAAAACTTGATACCGATGTGATGCGCTAGTATTCATTTATACCCGTGATTCCTGTCCGTTCCGATCTCTTTCCCCCAAGGCTCCAACACACCCGATCGACTGCATCCTGCCGCTCTCTGTTCGACCGTCGCTGTTGCTTGTCATGTCTCGCTGCTTGTGGTAGAGCGGTGAAGGCAGCAAGTGGCTCATGTGTCATTGATACGGAGGAGGCAAGGATGGATGCGATCGCCAACGTCTCTCCCCTCCATGCGCTTGCTAATGGAAGTCAACCGACGCACAAATACCGTATATTGAACCTGTAGAAGCAGGAAGATGCGATCGACTCCGGCGTCAAACTTCCAAGGTAGGTCTTCGTTTTGACCCTCTAGTCACGAGGCCAAGCGTCGTTGTCCGCTCTTGGAAGTCTTGGTGTCGACCGGTCGATGTTCTTCTCCCCGCTACGATCATGCCCGATTTGATCAATGCTAAATACGTCTTCCAACTCTTGTCTAGTGCCGGTGCTTCGAATGTGAGTTGAGTGTGAGGCTTTGATGGTAACGGTCCCGAGTGTGAGTGTATCGCTCATGAAAATGCGCCATGAAAAAAAGTTCCGGCGAAAAGGGGGACCTTAAAAAGAGTCCAAAAATTGTTCTCGCACAGATTGACGCATCGTTCCTGCAGGCTCAGCAGTCCTGTTGTTGCTGGTCACACCGTGCATCTCGCAGCTGAAAGAGCGGATAGCCCCGATTGTTCTTGGACGGGACCGAAGAGAGTATTTGTCAGGCAGCAGAGTAGCTTGCGTTGCCGAAAAGGAGTTCGGCCTTGCCGACCTGGGCGACTGCAGCGTCGAAGCCGAAGAAATCGCGTTGTTGAGCATGTGCCGACAGGAAGAAAACAAAGCTCGGCGACTGAGACACACGCGGCGGCAAAGGCGCAGCGAACAAAGCACAGCCCGCTATGCATGCTCCAAATCTCTCGGCGCGTTTGCAGCCTTGAATTTTTCTCGGAAGAGGCGCACGCACATGTCGCTCAGAGAAAGCAAGAGAGAGGACCCTGAGCTCGGTCTTTCCCTCTTGGTTTCTTGACGAATGGCTTCGCATCCATCGACACTCAACCCTTGAATCGCTGCACTGTCATCGTCGCAGGCAAGATCGTCGGAAGCAGAATAGCTGAACCTGCGTCTGAGCAGCCGATAGTCGACACAAAAGCATACCAGCAAGCGCCATCGACCATCACCTTGGGTTCTGTTGCTCAACTACCCTTGGCGTTTACATTCGTCGCATCTTTTCCGACACTTTCTCGGCATCATCACGATAGATTCAATCAGCATCACAACTCAGCGCGTCCAGTCTCTTCGCATCTTCCGACCATCTCGTCTCACCATCCAAGCGTCACACAGTCACAGTCAACCACGACCGAGCCTTCTGGGAATTGCTTTGTTCGTCCGTGATCGTCTCGAATCACTTCGCGAAACCGTAACCATCGCGCCCCTCACCCGCTTCTACCGCCGCTATTCAACATGCTGTTGGCGACATAGAGGCTTCTGACAGTGGAAAGGCTACCGTCGGCGAGCACAAGCACTTTGGCGCTGTCGCTTAGCACCGTCGAAACCAGGCTGCGTATCAAGGCCATCACTTAGGGCGAGCTCCTCAGTGTTTTGCATCCACCATGGTCGACGCTGCACCAAATCTCACGCGGCAGGGCTCGGTGGCTCGCACAAACGCCATCGCCATGCTCAAGCGAGCCGCATCGCACCGAGAGATCAGATCAAGAGCAGCTACACCTGCGCTTCCTGGTGCGTTTCCTTTGGAACCAGAGACCGATCTTGCATCTTCCTCGCAAGCGCCTGCGGAGCCTTCACAACAGACTGCAGCGCCCGAATCCAGTCGCACAGGCCTACCAACATCAATGGCTGATACATCTCACGACCTCAACACCGCTCAGCAGACGCCCTCGGCGTCCACCCATCCCTCTCCTTCACTCAACAACGCCTCGGATCAATTCCCGTCACGATCGAGCTACGATAGGAACCCTTACGGCGCCGACAACGCTGTCGCTTCGACCTCGCTGCTGCCCATTCCCGGAGCGTTGCTGTCGTCTGACGAATCGCACGACCGCTCTCGTTCCCCGTTGTTCCAGGACAAACCGAGTCAGCGACCTTTCAACCGCTCTCCCTTGCCCTCTCTCGAGCAGCTTCGCGCGCGAATCCTGCTGGAACGCGAATCCGCAGGCCTGCAGCGAAGCGCCAGCACCAGCGCCGCCAGTCAGGCTGCTCGTGCTTACGCTCTCGAGAAGCTCCTCGGCAATAGCGGCACCGACGTATTCTACGACCGTACTCCCGAAGGAACCCTCATCGGCCGAGGCGCTGCGACACCTTCCCCTCCTGCCATCTCGAGCCGAGACGATGACGTGCCGGACATGGCGTCCGACGATGAGTCTGCGCACGAGACCAGATTGAAACGCCAGTCGATCAAGTACCGCTCTTCGCTTCGAAGGAGCCGCACCGTCAATGGTCTCACAGCCCTGGCAGAAGCACAGAAAAAGGCCGAATTCGTCCAAGGCGTCTTTCTCGCGGTTCCTGGCCCTGCATCCAATCGCATCTCGCGCATCCATCAGCGACGCGTTGAGCGTCAGAGTATGCTCAAGCTGCCCACAGCTGATCCCGCTCAAGCTCATGTGCCCGAGGAGGAGAGTCCAGTTCCTGCCCCGCCGCTCGATCACACGGCCGATGAGGCGGTTCCGGGCCTATCGCGACAACAGTCCCAGCGTCAGATGGCGAGGACGGAGATGCTGCGCAAGTTGAGCACGAGGGGCAGAGGAACTGCTACGCCGACGCCGCAGCCAATCGCGGACCAATCTGATGGTGCAGACTACGCCAGCAACTCACAGGTTTCATACCAACATCCGAGGCTACCACAGGTGATCACAAACTCTCCAGCTGTCGACGAATCGATCAGCCCGGTGGGTGTAGTCATCCGACCACCATCGTCTCCCGTGCCTCCGCACCTCTCGCAAGCGTCACTTCCACCTGCGCCAGCTCTCCGACTAGCTCTCAGCCCTGCCAGTACTGCCGCCATTGACGCTCATACGTATGCTGCCCTGGCACCAGAGCCGACACCGTCGGTAGGCTTGAAAAATTCGTCGTCGGCTGCCTCTCTCGCGTCAGACTACGCACACAGCACTATTACTAACGCATCCGCTCGCGACATGCAGGAACGCAATCGCGAAAGCACTATGGCCCTCCTCAACAACGAGGACAGCTTCGGCTTGGAGACGTCGCCGTCTATGCGATTCTCCTCAGTCGAAGCCGAAGCGATCCACTCGTCTGCACGAAACGTCGATCCAGCCTCTACTAGAAGCGACAATGGCGCTGACGAGGGAGGTCTCAACATCAATTTCGACAGTGATGCGCAGAAGAGACGTCGTGCTGGTCTTGTTGGTTTAGGGCTCGCCTCGGTCCTATCGCAAGCACCGGAAACCCCCGAATTCAACACAGACCAAGAACCACCGAAGGCGGGTCGAGAGGGCCCGTCGCCGGGAGTGCAAAAGGATGTTGTAGCCTCTAATCGCGCCTCCAGGCTTCTTCCGTCGCTCGACCGGCTACACATCCAGCGCCCGACAACACAAGAGCTTTTATCCAGCCCAGCCTCCTATACGGATGAGGAATCGTTGGAAGATGACGCCTTCTACCAGCTTTATTCGCCAGCAGCTGGTGGCTACGACGACGGAGACGACAGCGATCAAGACGACCATCACGGTGGGCCCGTACCACGCAACGGCTCAACTGCAGAAGGCGGCCAAATGCTGCAGAATGCACCATCTCCGAAAGTCGCTGTAGCTGCGGTGCAAGGTCTTGGACTCGCAACAGTTGCGGGCACACCGAAGCATGCCCAGCAAGCATCCGGTGCAGATTTTCCCACAACCCCTCCGTCACAACGCCTCTTCCAGCGTGGAATGGCCTCCGTGCCCTGCGATCCTTCGCCCAGCGCCGAGACCGAATTTGGTGAGGCACGCAGAACGCCTAGAACGCCCTGGATGAACGCGAGTCCCGGCGGAGTCAATCTGCCACTGCGCCTGTCCAACTCGCTCATGTCGACCGACTCACCAGCTGTTGGCTTCAGCCCTATGACCACTCGTGGCGACAGCGTCTCCCGCAAGACGCGAGGCGACTGGCCAATGTCGATCGCCAGCAGTGGCACAGATCCTCTGAGCCGGGAAAGCCTCGAGGGTCGTACCGAAAGGGAAACACGTTTAAGATCGTCCGAAGAAGCCAGAGCGTACAACGGTGCTCCTGCGATCGGCTCACCTCTGATTGAGGTCCCAGAGGATGAGGCAATCAGGGATGCAGGGCCCAGCTCGCGACGATTAAGCCACGATGCTGAGGCACCACATATGAGAGATTCGGAATTCGAGCTTCTGTCGGTTCCGAGCTCTCGTGCCAAGCCTTCTGAACGCCTTCAAGCGATGCTTGGATCGGATTTCGTGAACGAATACGCTCCCGATATGGACTTGGACGCTCGATCTCGCTCGTCGGTGGGAGGGGATGACGAACACAACTTGAGGGTGCCCGACTCTCGCGCGAATGGGTCGTCGCTTTCTCATAAGGGAAGCAACCGTTCGATCAGCGAAGTGAGCGACGTGGATGGAGATATCGACGACGCCTACCTACGTAAGGTCGATCGGATGGCGGACAAGCTCGGTGTACTCGCTCGGACGAACCATGCCAAGAGCGCGGATGTCGGGCCTGGTGGAGCAAACACGCCGTCCCGAATCGCTCCACCGGCTCCGAGGCTAGAGCGAAGCAATACGGCAAATGGCAGCAGGTTCACCGAACACGTATCGATCCCGCCACCTCCCGCCTCCAGCGGTCATTCGCAGCGTCCCTCAGCGGATCTGTCTTCGCTGATTGGCAATGAAAAGCTGCACCCGTTCCCCGGTCTATCCCAAGCAGGGAGCCCTGTGCAGATGCAGGAAGGGTTCAATCCCATGGCCGTCTCGGCAGGCCCGCCCTCTTCGGCGGCAGCTGCAGGAGCTTCGGACGTTCCTCTCTACGCATCGGCGCCGAAGGACGAGCAAGATGCTAATGGCAGGCAGATCGGGTTGTTCACGTCTCTGCGACGAAAGGCATCCAGCTTGCGAAGGACGCCATCTTCCGCGGCAAAGGAAGGTGGTAGCTTCTGGGCGCGCCGAGGCGGGAAGAAGACCGAATCGCCCAAACTGCCGACCGAAGCAAGCTTCATTTCGGCGCCCATTCTCACGGAGGAGACACCGGGACCTGCACCGACTCCTTCGCAGCCTATCTTCACGGTGGAAGGGCCACACGGCGAGACAGCCAGAGCTTTGTCGCAGCAGCGAGAGAGGCAGTATGACGCCACCTTCGAGCATCGGCTCTTCGGCGGGCAATCGACGGACAAGTCGGCAGCACCGACAGCAACATCGGCAGAGCTGCAGCGCAACGCCTCCGTCTCTTCGGTGGTCAGTGCTCGAATCCGGCCAGATTTGCAAGACGGCACAGCCGACGCCGATGGCTCCACGTCTTCTGACCATCACACAGCAGCGGTCAAATCGCTCGCGCCCACCACTGCAGCCATGATCCATCGTTACAGCCGAATGCTCTCCTCTGCTCGTCCTATGCAGACTGTCCCTGGTGCGACGCAAGAAGACATGCTAGATCCGCCCCGCAAGCTGCTCGCTACCGATCCCGTGTTCCAGGTGATCAGCGCAACGACCATCAAAGACCGCTTCCTCTTCTTGTTCAGCGACATTCTCGTCCTTGCCAAGCCCGTGTCAGCCCCTGGTTCGGAGAATGGTCAAGCCCTGGGGAAGATGAAGCAAGCGTCGGTGCTCCCTTCTCTTTCATGGAAGTTCAGCGTCAAGAACATTCTCGAGCTGCATCGACTCAAAGTCAGCGTCACCAGCAACACCCGTTCTGCATCTGCAAAAACACGTGCGCAGAATCCGGTGCTGTGGGGATTTGTCTCTCACTTCAGCAAGGATCCGGATGCAGCTGTGCGTGCGCTCGTCGCCAAGACTGGCCTCGAACCCACGGCCGCCTCGATTGCACAGCTGCTGTACCAGACCCCGGAGCTGGACCGACATGATCTGACGCAGTACCTGGGCCATCCTTCGCGCCGAGAAACACTGAAAGCCTACGTCTCGCAACATCGACACGTTGGGGTGTCGATCGAATCTGCGCTTCGAGCGCTGTTGCTCGACTTGCGCTTCCCGACCGACCTGGAAGCGTTCGAGGCGCTGCTCATGCACTTTGCGCAGAGCTGGACGTCGCACAACGCGTCGATGATCAAACCGAGTTTTACGGAACAGATCGCATCCGACCTAGTGTTTGCCATGATGGCTCTCAACGACGCTCTGCACACGGGTGTCCAAGCGGGTCCCTCTTCCATCACTTCGCCGAACTTCCCACGACCTGTGACGGTCGTCACACCGAGTTTGTTCAGCGCACCGTGTCCGGAGCTGTCCAAGCAAGACTTTGTCTCTGTATTTCGACAGCACGACCCCACGCAGGTGCTGTCGGATCGAACGTTGAGCCGGATCTACCTGAGCATTCGATCCGAGCCACTGGTGCAGGCGTTGGATCGATTCGAACCGCGTTTCACGATCCGCGTCAAAGGCGGTCGACTGCCGACACGTTTGACGTACGCGCAACCCGCGGAGCCGGTGACGCTCGTGATCCCCGCACCCGATCCGGATCTGGCGATCCGACTCTACGCACAGGACACGACGTTCGAGCCGCCTATCCTGACGTTCGCCAACTCGAACCAGGCGAGCTTCACCATGTGGACCAAGAGTCTAGGTAGCAAACAGGTCGTGTTCGTACGCGCCGGTCGCAACGCCCGGTTCTACGGTGGGGGTGAGATCGACGATTCCGAGGACAGCGAGGATTGCCCTCTGCCGAGGAGCTTCAATGTGAGCGTGGAGCGGGCGTTCATGAAGCACAGCTTCACACTCACCTCTGGCGAAGGAGGTTTAGCTGAAGTCAAGAGGTTCATGTTCAGCTTTGAGAATGCCGAGACGGTTCAGAGGTGGAGCAGGGTGATCCGGGAGAACGCGGAGAGGTGTTTGAAGGAGAAGGCGGCTAAGACGGTGGGAGAGGTAGGGGTGGGAAGGGCGACGGAGATGGCTAGTTTGCAGGTGTTGAGAGAGACCTTGATTGCAAGCGAGGAGGATCGCGAGAGGGCGGCGGGGGGAGGGCTGAACCGTGCAGCGACGTTCACGGGTGGTTCTTCGGCGGGTACTCGGATCGAGCCGGCGCAAGCAGTCCGAGCAGGCCAGACCGGTCTGGGCGTCTCCGCTGGTCCATCGACCTCCGCTCTAGACCGCACCACTTCCACCTCGCGCAGCTACTACTCCTCATCCGGCGTCGGTCGACACGAACGAGAACTCCTCATCCCACCCTCTTCCTCCACCTCAGACGCCAAAACACACACCAAAAACGCATCCTCACTCTCCCTCTACCCGCCGTCCACGAGTCGAACCAGATTCGGAACGACACCCCTAACCGCGGTGGCGCGAAGCAACTCCGCTCGAAGCGCCAGCAGCCCCCAGTCCTCCACCACCCCCCTACCCACCCTCCACAGCTCGACGCAAACACCTCCAGCGGACAACCTCGCCAGAGCCCAAAGCATCAGCACCGCAACCACTTCTACCCCGGTCCAAGACAAGATTCTTCCCGGAAGTCAAATCGTCAGCATCGCAAGACTCAACTCCTTGCTCGTACGCGTCGTCGCTCACCATCAGCAGCAGAGATAGATAGCCCGCCCTCACTCGGGACCATTTTGTCATCTTTCCACACACAATGGAGAATGTTCGCATTCGCAGAACCAACGTCTGCGCTTTTTGAGATCGGATTGACGTCGTGCACTGTTCGAACAGACCCAGCCGCACCCTGCATTCTTGAGAGATGACCGGCAAGACAACATGCCACGCAGACTACATGAAACGCTTCTAGGAAGCCTAGGCGAACACACGCCCAGTACAATTTTTGGCACCGCATCTGCACTTAATGACCAACTTTCCAGCGCTCGTCACCGCAGCCTCCTCCTGAGAAGCGGCCGCAAAGGTCGCCGTCGTATCCGCCCCAGCACCAGCCATGGTCAAGGCAGCCTTGTGTCTTCCTCTCGCCTTGGCAGGGCTGAGCGGTGTCGAGGAAGCCGCAGCAGCAGCACCAACGTCCTTGTCTTCCTCAGGATGACCTCCAGCATAGTTGAAGCAAAGCTCTTCGCCTTCCTTGACCTTCTTGTACGTAAAGAACGCCAGCAGTGGACGCATGATAGAGGCGTTGTCCGTGTAGACGGGGACGTGGTAGATGTTGGGATCGCACGAGTGGTTGAAGAAGCGAGTGTGGTTACCCCAAAGCGCCGAGTCGACCGTGACTTGCTGGGCGTCTTCCATGTCGGAACGGATGTTGCGCATCTTGCGCGCCTGTTGCTGCTCGGCTGCGCTCAGGGAGAGGAAATCATAGAGCGGATCGTTGAAGTCGGTCTCGGGCCGGATCGGTGCTTCTTGGAATGCGAGTGCAGGGTTGCGCGAGATGGCTTTGGCGCGCTGCTGGAACGCCCAGTCCTGCGCACGATTGTGGGCATTGTTGGTAGCGCGTGTGAGCAGGTGGCTGGCGCTGGCAATGTCTTGTTTCCCTTCCTTGACGCTGAGCTCGGCTTCGAACAGGCCAGGCTCCTCGTCGCGATGAGATTCGAGATAGTGGTAGTATTCGTCGTACCTTTCGATGAGGTCGGTCGCGTGGGTGATGAGCCTGACAAGCTCGCGCTTACCGGACCTGCTTTCGCGATACCGGTCGAGCTCATTGCGTTCCGCGAGCTCCTTCTCGATGATTTGACGAGTTAGGTGGACCTTGATTATATGGCTGTCGAGAACCTGGAGGTAGGTGGTCCCGAGCAGGCCTTCATACACTTTGGCGCGCCTCTCGCTCTCCTCATCGTTGGTGAGCTCGCCGCCGTATGTGCCGACGAATGAGCCTTTGGGAAGGTAGTCGAGCGTCTTGATGCCCCAACCTTTTCCCTCAGTCTTGAAGAAGGCGAGTTTGGCAGACTTACCCTTTTGAACCACGCGGTTGGGGCATGACGATGAGCAAGAACACAAACTGTTGCACTCGAAGATGGGTGTACCGAACGGCAAATGGTTGACGAGACGACCATCTCTGTCGTAGGCGAACTCGGGCACAATGGGCACTTGCGTGTTGGTGGGCGGGGTAAACATGTGCTGGTAGTGCGACTCTTGATACGGGTAGCACTCTGCCGCCCTGCGAAGGCATGCGCAGGTTCTGGGATCGCACTCGTCGTTGTCGCAATCGCAGCCCTTGTTGACGCAGAGCTCATCGGTGATTCTGTGACCGTTGACGTCTGGCACAGGGGGGACCTTGTCGAGGGTGGGGACCGAGGGATCGCAGATGTACTCGTCAAGCCAGACAAAGTCCCACGGCGGAACGACGTCGCCAAGAGACGCGCCGATTCGGTTTTCAACAGCGAGACCGGTCATGCCTCTTTCCCACTCCTGCGTCCAAGCTATGAAGAAATTGTACAGCTTGGTTGCCTCGTGTTCGGGACAAAGACGGGGCGGCATGCTGTTGAGTCGGAACTGGAGGGCCTGGCCCGTGTCGGCGGAGCGAGTCTGCTCAACATAGCGGGGATCGGAGCGAAGGATGGATAGATCTTTGATGATTTTGCTCGCGAAGGTAATCTTTTCTGCGGCCTTGTCGACTGCGCTTTTCTGTCCGTCATTGGTTTGCGGCAAGGCGGAACCGATGCTAGATGTCGAGGCCAGAGGGTCTGTGGTGACGAGAGGCATCCCGAAGATTCGTGGAGTGATTCTTGGAGGCGAAGATACAGTCTATAGAAAGCCAGAGGCAGAGCGAAGCATCAAGAGCTGATTGGTCCCGCTCAAGGGAGTGGTGCAGAACGACAGAACGTAAAGAAGGCGAAGGGTCGTTATCTCAGCTATGTAGGATTCGCGCTCGAGACAATGTCAAACAAGAGTGCTGGCGAAAGGTACTGAAGAAAGTCGCGACGTTGCGATCGAGCTGGCGCTTTGAGCGGCTTCTTTCTGAGAAGACTGAGCCTACAAAGCGTAGAGTGTGCCAGAGACGGACCACTGCGGCGCACGGGTCAGCCGCTGGCGTGGAGACTCTGCTGTGAGCTCTGCTGTGAGCTCTGCTGTGACTTGTGGTGGGCAGTGAGTTGAGTAGTCGGGATGAAGCCGATACGAAAAAGTTGAGGAGAATAAGGTTTGGCTCTTGAAATAAAGTGTTGGTCTGTGTTCTTCTTGCGCAGCTGCAGGGTTCAGAAAAGTGCGAAGCAGCGCGGCGTGTTGTTGGCTGGCCACCCGATTTTTATGATCTGCACCCGATGCAAGCTCGACCGATTTCGGAAATGCAGCCAAGCTGTCAAAAGCGGATCGGCGAATTTATGCGATGACGTCCTCGAGTGCAGCTTTGCTAATCCATTGAACAGCATTGTGGCGCCTCTCAGAATCGTCAGCTGGTTCAGGGTCCTGCCGACATGATTGCGAAAGCATTCCGCCTCCGCATCAAGATGACAAACCAGACAGACGTTCATGCTACAGTATACCCTATCGAGGTTGTATAAACTCGTCACATCCTCAACCTACAGTGTCCTACAGGACCATCGTCACCACTCAACGTCGATCCGGTCTGACCTCGGAGGACTCTTTGCTCATCCGTCCGGACATCATCCGGAGCCTGGAAGTTGATATCCGAACGTCATGTCGTCCACAGCAAACGGCAACGGCAGCCATGCCAGCCAGAAGAAGCGTGTCATCGTCGTCGGTGCTGGCGCGTCTGGCATGTCAGCGTGCCACGCCTTCTCCCTCTCTCCCCATGAATTCGACGTTACCCTCTACGACAAGCAGTGTTCACTCGGCGGCTCTGCCACTTCCTACCAGCTACCGGACCCAGCCAAGTATCGATCGCAATACATCAACGATGGCGTGCAGGGTGCATCCCCCGTCTTCTACAACACCTTCAAGGTGTTTGAACACGTTCTCGGCTTCAAAGCGCAGGAAGTAGGCATGCAGATCTCGTTCGGCAAGGGAAAAGAGTCCTTCTGGTCCAACGTGTTTCCCTCCGAGTTGGTGGAGAAGTACGCAAAGGACATCAAGAAGTTTGGAACGACGCTCAAGACCATCAAGCGCTTCGAGGTCTTCTTCGCCGTCATCCCCGTCCACCGCATGCTCAAGTTGTTCGGCTTCTCTGACGAGTTCGGCGAGCGAATGGTCTACCCACTCGTAGCGCTCTTCTTCGGAACGGGCAACGATACCAAGCACATCTCTTCGGCGATTCTGGAACGAGTGTTTTTGGATCCCAGCATGCGACTCTTTGAGTTCTCTGAAAACAGTCTGCTGGCCAGTGTGCCCACCATGATGGCCTTCCCGGAGCTGGCGCGAGTGTACGCAACGTGGGAAGACGAGGTGACCAAGAACGGTAACATCCGCGTCGAGACCAGTCGAGAGGTCACCGAGATTCAGCGCAACACCCGCGAGGCACGCAAACGCGGCGGAAACATCCTCGTCACCTCCCGTCGTGTCGACAAGGAAGGCAAGCCGCTCACCACCGGTGATGAACAAGAGCGTGTCGAGGTCTTCGACGAGCTCATCCTTGCCTGCGATGCCGACACCTCCCTCAAGATCCTCAACAAGGGCGCTACGTGGAAGGAACGCAAGATCCTCGGCTCCATCGTCTACCGCTGGGACATCACTACAACGCACAACGACTACGATTACATGTGCAAGCACTACCAGATGACTTACGACGCCAAGTACAACGCCAAGAATCGCGACGACGAAGAGACCAAGAAATCCTTCGACTTTGCAAAAAAGAACTGGAAGCCTCTCTACCTCATCAAGATGTACGAGGACGATCCCTCGCTCATCGAGATGTCCTTTGATCTAACCAACTACCAGCCTCAGTTTTCCGGTGCAGGCCCCACAGGTCCAGAGGACAAGGGTGCACGTTCACCCTCCTCTGCACCACCACGCGAGCGTCAAGGACCCAACGGCAAGCAAGGCGATTCCCAAGAAAAGGAACTCTCCCAGCTTCCCTCCACCAACCCCCAGGATCTCAAAGATCCTCCCGTCGAAGACCACGTCTTCCAGACCATCTTCCTCAACAAGGAACTCTCCCAAAAGTGGACCAAAGACGAAATTTCCAAGGACAAGATCATCCTCGAAAAGTGGTGGAAGCAGCAATCCCATCGTTGGACCCACTACGCCTACGTCGTTCCCTGGTTGTGGCTCATCAACGGTGCAAACCACACAAACTACTGCGGCGGTTGGACGCTCGTCAACATGCAAGAGGTCGCCATCGTCAGTGGCTACGCGGCAGCGGTGGCCATCGGGGCAAGGTACCCGTTCGAGGAGGACAAGGAGTGTGCCAGGTTGTTCCATCTGTACAACGCGTTGGCGCATTTGAGTTTCAAGAATGCAAAAAAGGCGCTCAAGGGTTGAAGGGGCGTTTGGATGATGGGAGTACTTGTTTTGCTCGATTTCGGTTATACACGCATACCCTTGTTGTTTCTGTTGGAATGTCATTTCGTCGATGTCGTTGAAGGTCTGATTGCCAGCTGTGACATCTCGGTGTGATGATCATTGGTCTTTGCCGTCCTTGCTATGCACTTGAGATCTGGCTTGTGGAATCGTCCCGTCCAATGCCGGACGCAACACGAACCACCCGATGAACACCATCACTGCTGCGAGCCATCCCATGCCGAGCGCTGTTGCTGGTACACCTCCCGCATACAGCCTTTCCAGCGTCAGATGGATCGGGACTGACATCTCTCCCTCGACACTTTCCGCCGCTAGACCGCCAAAAGCGCTCTCTGCCAACTGAAAGAGCCGACTCCATCTCGACCCATTGCCACCCTTCGCCGGTGGAATGGCTACACCTGTCGATCTTACCACGAGATGCAGATACAGCTTGGCACAAGGAAACCTGACCGCACTGTCTGCATCCTTGTTCCAATCGATCGTGTCGCTCGCCAGCACCTCCGCTGGGGTCTCTCTCGCCGACTGCGAGAACACCACCCTATCCTCTTCCCTTCTGCCTCCTCCACGCGTCTCTCTCGGCACCACCGAACTCACCACCCCATAATTCGGTACCTCCATCGTCCTCTTGCCATTATCATCCTTCACTACCTCGGTTTCCACCAGTTCCGCCTTCCACTCAACCCCACCTTTCGCCAAAACCTCTTCTGCACCCATCACCTCCAACTCGACCTCGAGCGCCAAGTTCGCCGCGACACTGCTCCTCACCGTGAAACGTTTGCTCAGCATCCACGCGAACGAATCGATGCTCTGCCGAATCCAGCGATCGCGTGGATTCAAGTCCGTGTAGAGTTTCGCTTCACGCGGCGTGGGGAGCGTGAATGTGCCGTTGTTCGAGACATCGAGCACTAGCCATGCACCGATTTTGGAGTCGTCGAGTGGTGAGGCCGAGTCAGAGTGCGAGGTTGGTACAAGGCTGAAGATCGATGGGGTAGTCGATGGTCGTAGAACCGGCCTGATAGATACAAGCACAAGTGTCAGTAAAAGGCATCCACATACACTCGCAGTATTCACGCTTGGAGCTGACCACAGTCAGGTAACCTTCACAGGTGCCAACGGGATACCATTCCTGCAGCGTCCGAACTGGCGGTCAAACCCCTTGATCGCTACCACTACATGTCGATGAAAACTCACCAAGTAGACGACAGCTGATCAGCAGCCCTAGCAGCCAGATGACCATATTCGTCAGCACGGCAAAGCACCGGTCCAAAGTTCCGTATCTCCGTATTCGCCTCGACCCCGGTCCCCGCCACTGCCAACACGGCAGAGAAAAGTGCGAACAGCCGCAACATCCGGCCCCCCCTGTTCGACGGTGTTTGCCCTGCCTTCACTTTTTCGCCGGGAACCTTGACCGTGCCCACGGCTGAACTCGTCGAAAGCGGCTCGAAATCGCTCTGGAATCGACGCGCTTTCGACCATGTCTGTTTCTCCTGTACGCTTGCCATGCCCCCCTTACTTCTCGACAATGGTTGAGTGAGCAAAGTCACCGCGTTGAACACTCTCTCGAGGATCCATGCAGTGAGGTTGATCCAGGCGTAGAATATCATGGGTATAAGACCCATCATGAGATTGCCAACAACACCTCGTCGACGGATGGTATCGTAGATCTCGGTCTCGACGATGCGTTTGGCGTCCGGGTGTCGGTACGGACCGAGCAGACGGTAGAAAGTCGGGAAGGAAGCTCCGAAGCAGTAGATGAGCGTCACCTTGAGACCGTACGTCCACAACAGCTGGCCGAGAGGCGGAGCGGTACCCATGTCGCGCGCCAGCGTCGAGACGTAGGAAGAATAGTCGACGCCGTACTTGATCCTCGCATTCTCCTTGACCAACAGGTAGTAGTGCGGGGTCGACAGCGGTGCCGGGATACGATCGCGCAAGATCAGCGTCCAAAGTTGCGCTTGCATCTCGGCGATGGGAGGGATGGCGCCTACACCGGGACGCACAAAGCCGATGAAGGCTACGCTCGGATCCTCCGGGTCGAAGACGTCTCTGCAACGGACAGTGGCAGGCACGGGGTACTCTTTCGACAAGAAGTCGAATTGCTGCGTGTAACCTGTCGCATAGACCACCACGTCAGGCTTGACGGTGCGATTTCGCATGCGAAGGTCCTCTTTACGTCCATTGCGAACGAACTCGACGGTGCCATCCTCACTGACACGCGCCGGGAAAGGAGCCAGATCGACCGAGACCTCGTCGGGTTTGACTGTGGGCGGATCGAGGTAGCTGGTGATGCGCTCCAGAAAGCGGTTGCGGCTCTTCCAACCACGATTGATGTACGGCATGGCTTTGCTGCTCTTGTTAAGGAAAGTATAAGCCCTACCGAGTCGATGCGGTTCCAGCTCGCCGACCCACTGATTGCAGCCAGCTTGAGTACCCGTCAGACACCAGAGGAGACGCTTGATGACAAAGTCAGAGACGAACCAACGAAGGTGCGCTGCGGCGACCCAGGGGTGAACGTAGGCCGTCTCGAAGAGGTTGGTGATGAGACCGTCGATGGGCAGGTTGCCGTCAAAGACGTTGCCAAAGACTACAAAGTCAGCCAGCACCGCGGGGAAGAGCAGAAAGCCCGATCTTGTGCAGAGGATGACTTCTTTTGCGCCGGCCTTGACCGCCTCGTAGGCCATGTCCATGCCAGTCTCGCCCGTGCCCAATACCATGACACGCTTACCCCGATACAGAGAACGGTCCTTGTACTGGGACGAGTGAAGCGTGATGATCTCTGATGCGGTGGTGGCGTGCTCGACCGGCTCAGTGATGCGAGAGGCGGTAGTCTCGGCCGATCCCATGCGTTCTGTAACGACCTGGTCGCCATCGATGGTGGGAGGTAGACCAGGAATGTTGGGCAACGCCGGCGTGACGTGAAGACCAGAGCACACACACAGATGAGTGAAGACCTCGGAGCGATCGGCCGCGTCTTTGTCGTCGCCATACAGAGAGCGGTAGCGCAGAAGATGACCTCCCTCGACTTTGACCGACTTGATGACCTTTGTCCTCATTCGAAAGTGGCATCGTTCCCGTAGTTTGAAGTGGGTTGTGTAGTCTTCGAGGTACTGGACGTATTCGTCAAGCGTGAGATGATCTTTGTGTTCGAGAGGCAGACGGAAGTCGGAGAAGGATGTGAGCTGCTTTGAAGAGACGAGCGTTGCATTGGAATAAGATCGGTAGCGGAAGGTGCCGCCAATGTCGGATTCCGCTTCAAACAGGGTGATGACCGGCTGGAAGTCTGGATCGGCATCTGCGGCTTCTAGCAACGTCTTGGCGGTGACGAGCGCACTCGGACCAGCGCCGATGATGGCGACTTTCATTGTAAATGAGGTGCGGGTGATCCGAGTGAGTAGCGAAGTAAAGCAGAAGCGGATTCGCCGAAGAGGATGGCGTTCAATCGTCAAAGAGCAAGCGAAGTTCCAAGCAGGTGTGCTATGCAGCCAGGGGTAAACGTCAGGGTCCAAGGCGCGGAGCGATCTGTGCTTGCAGGCTTCCGGGTGACAGCGAGAGCGCCACGAAGGAGACAGGTCGACTGCAGCTGACACAGCGAGAAATCTGCTGCGCGCGAGTCGATTTTCTTTCCGTGATTCGAGCAAACTAATGCCGATCTGACATCCATTAATTCTGTCGGTTTGACATGTTGGCGGCTATAAGTTCTGCGTGCATAGCACAATCCTGGGCGATGAGCTGCTTGACCCTCATTCGAGCTGAGTCGCCACACAGTAGTCTCTACCATTTGGGATGCATCGGATGGCCGAGTGTTGACAGGGATCGAAGGTTCTTCCCATCTAGCAAAGAGAAGGGCAGGCTTCAGTCGGCGAACTGTGAGCTGGTGAGCTGGTCCCGTGCCTTATGCGGAGTTTTTGTGCAACGCAGCTCGCTTCTGTTTCATGCCGGCGGGAGTGTTAGCACGGAAAGAGGTTGAAGTGCATCGGTTGATGCATGTGCGAGCAGCCTGGTGCGTCATCTTTGCCGTATACTCTGGATCCGAATCGCTCGTGCCCTTATCTCGGTCGAGCTGACATCAAAGATGCGCCGTAATCCAAGCGAGAAGGCACTCACCAGCAAAAGGTGGATCGCTTCGAAGGAATATAAGCGGGTTGAGACTGCCAGAAGTGGTCGGCGGAGCAATCCGTACAACCTTACAACCGTTTCCAAGCCATGGAGAGCAACAGTCTCGGATCTGTGGTCTTTGCGAGCAACAATAATAGGCTCTGGAGGCGATGGATCCTTTCTGTAGTGAACAAATTGCAACCGGTCCTTTGAAAGCGCTGTTTCGGAACAGAGTCCTGCAAGAAGTTGATGGTGCAAGATCCAAATCTGGTACAAACTGAAAGTAAGCTTGCCGCAAACAAGCCTTCTTTCATTCCCCTGTTTCCACTCGACCCAATCACACAGCACGATCAGAGAGCAAGTCAGCAGCCAGGGGGTCTTTCCGAAGGAACCGAATCGTGCACTGGGAGCGGCGAAGCTGCACTTGTACAATCTTTTTCGACCGCGGACTCGCCGGACTCCTCCAGGAACCTCGTTCGCCCCCGCAGAAACGAAGATAGGGTCTCTTGCCAGCCGAAAGTCAAGATAGAAACAGGTGTCGAGGTCGAGTCGTTTGGTACTCTTTCATTTCCGTTGAATTGAAGTTCGAGAGAGGAGCTGCGAAGATTCAAGTCGAAATGAGGACTACAAACTAGCGGCTTCGGAATCCGTGAGTTTCCATTTTGCGTGCCAACGGCCACTCGCTGCCGAAATTCAGCGAGAGGTGCTTGGTATCCCGAGTCCAAAGCCCTAAACAGGGGAAAACCGTCAGTGTACGAGGCCTCAGGCCAGTCTCTCCATCTTTTGGCTTCATCAGCTGCAGAGTGCTCTTCCGCCGAAACCCTCCATCAATTGTTCGGCTGGCCGGCGTGGCAACCGTGTCACGCCACGCCGCCCTTGGTCGTTGCTGCTGGTGCTGCTTGTTCTGCATAGTGCTGCCGCCGCCGTGGATTGATTCAGCCGCCGCACCTGGCTCTGTGGTTCTAGCTCGCTCTCGGCCCTTGCGATTCCATGGTTCTTGTGCCACTGTTACACACGGCTTTCCGATTGCCTCTGCGTGTCGCATTCGCTCTCCCTGTCTCTCTCCTGGCCGCCTTGTACGTGAACCTCGCTCGCTCTCGTCGCCATCGTCGTCTTCGCCGCCCACCATCTCGGTCTCTCTTTCTCCTTCTTGCCACTTCACACACACACACACACACGCTCTCTCTTACGACACCACCGTCGGTCATCACTTCATCGTTCGACGTATCTCGGCTCGGCTGTTGACGCAGAGCAAACAAATCGCATTCAACACGTCCTTTTGATCATCAACTTGCACAATCCGCCTGACAGCCAGATACCACCATCGTCTCTTCGCTTCGCTTCCGACATCACAACCACCCATCGACAATTCGAGGGCTACATCCTCGTCAGCTGCACTCAATCCGCCACCGCCCCTTTTACGGCATCTTCTGCTTCGATCGTCCTTTTGCTCAGCATTCGCTAACACGCACACCCAGTCTGGTGTTGTACTGTACAAACGTTCTTGCCCATAGCAATCGATCGCTGTCATCCGGCGCGAGCTGCAGTAGGCCCCACCGTCGGCGTTGTTGGCTTTTCACCACGGCTGCGCACCTCATTGTCCGCCAAGCATCCGTCCCACGCACCACCCTCTGGCAACCGGCACTCATCAATTGCCGCCCCTTCAATATCTCCTCGCCTCTCTCATCTTTCGCTATCATCTCTCAAGTCTTCGCTACACCTTCAACACTGTATAGCCTCCCATGACTTCATCCGCTCTTCTCACACTGGTCTAGTCTCCACCGCATACTCGCAAGCAATCGCGGTCCTCGTATCCGTACCCGTCCTCATCATGCGTCGGTCGAATGGCCGGCCGGGGACGGTCGTGGGCGCACCGCATCCCACAAACTTCTCGTGTCCTCCACTTACCGGGATTTCACGTCCCAACGTGAGACCTCGCGGTACATCACGCGGCCCCCAACGCTCCAGCAACACCAGTTCGCCTAGGAGACGACGACGTTCGATGCTCTCTGCCTTCGCCGCCCAGGCTGCCGTATTGGTATCCTCAGTGCTCGTCTCGTCACCCGCCATGATTGCTCCCGTTGGAGCATCACTTGTCGCCAACGGCGGCCCCGCCTCTTCTCGTGATGTCACCCACCAATTTAGCCTCGCCCAAGACACGGTAGCGACAATTCGACCTTTCAGCAATTCCAACATCCCGTCCGACGTTCAGCTGTTGGACTCTCTCCATGCACAACGGCCACCGCAACCTGTAGCGCAACCGGCATCGTCACGGCAGGCGACTCTGCTGTCCCAGCACGACCATGCTTCATCGTCGATGGATGCTATTGATGATCAACTGCCAGAGCACTTGCATGCCTCATCACTACATCAACAGTACGCTCGACAGATCGATGACGAGCCCAACCTCTTTGTCGAGCGGGACGCCTTGCAGCCCAGCACCGACTCTTCCGCTGTCTCGACGCGCTCGCTCTCTAAGGTCACGCATAGCGGGCAACGCTACTCGCTCCCATCCTCCTATCCTTCTAGCATTGCCTCGTCATGGAGCAGACCAGAACGCAGCGTCTGGTTTCAGCAGAAGGCCATCATCATCACCTCCATCTTCCTCGCCATCTTCATCGTGCTGTTCATAGGTGCTGCCGTGTTTCTCCGCGAGAGGAAGTTCGACGACGAGCTCGAGGGTCTTGACGATGAAGAGGCGCTGGCACGCATCGAAGAGCGCATGACCATGGGTCGCTTTTCCGATCCTGCCGAAAAGGACGACGGGAACGTCGGCGACGGCAAGTCGAGACGTCGCTTCCGTCTGGGCAGAAAGCGATCCGAAAAGGATGGCAGCGATCCGGATCTGTCGCAACCCTCATCAGGCTCGTCTAGCGCCGTCAAACGTAAACGCCATCTTGTATCACGCTGGACCAGAGGCAACCTGCGGAACAGCGACGACACCATGCGTGGCGTCAGTGACACCGCCTCAATTCGATCAGGACGTTCGGCTCGTCGCGTTGCCCTTGGCAACGTCAGGACGGGTGAGGAGACCGTCGAGATCACCTACGACGATGATGGTGCCGAAGCGCAACGCACTGTTGACAACAACGGAGGACCCGAATCGGAGCGCCCGCGCTCACCGCCACCACCACATCCTGATAACGAGAACGCATCAGCATCGTCGCCCTCCGGAGGCAGATCCACATCTGCGGTTGAACGACACGGTGGCGACGCATCAGGCGTCGAGGAAAGCCGGCGGTCGCCCAGACGTGTACTGCTGGACGACAGCGACTTTCAGGCAGCAGATGCTGCGGAAACGCACCACCCCGAAGGGACACAATACATGCCGCCTGCCTACATCCCGTCTGGGTCTGGAGGTGCGTCTGGCTCAGCATACGATGGCGCTGCGGTTGCCAATGCGATCGCACTTGGCGATGCCAAGCACGGCATTCCATCTCCCGCGGAGCGCGATCCTACGATCTCTCCAGAGGTGATCAGCGCGGCATTGGCACACGGACGTCCCTCGGCGTCGCAAGACGAACACGAGCCAAGTGGTCCGGTCGCTGGTCACGTTGCTACGGACGACAAGGCGGTGCTGGGCGCTTTATCTGCAGCGGCAAGCATGCCGTCAGCGCCGGCTGTCGATGGAGGTACATCGGCTCCTGCATACGTCGCATCACATGCATCTGGCGTTGGAAGCTCAGCCGCTGCAGCAGGGCCCTCGGCGCCCGACATGGAAGTGGATGGCGATGGATTTGAAATTGCGCCCGCTGAAGAGGTCGACGTGGATGCGACACGACTCAGGTCGTTGGAAACCGAGGCGCAAGCAGGCAAAGGCAAGGCAAAACAAGCACAAACGTCTAGTATGCTCCCAGCCCCGCCTTCAGCCGTCGAGCCCGCTTTCTCGCCGTTCGACCAGCCCTATCGCTCGGCAGGACCTCCCGGCGCCCGTTCGCCTTCGTCTTTGCCGGGGCGCAGATCCACGGACGACCCGAATGCACTCATGTCGCAGCGCAAGAGCGAAAAGCAAAAAGAGGCAGAGCAAGAGCAGCAGCTCGCGCAGCTCGTGGCATCGCGACCGGACGCTACGGACGTGCCGACTTACGAGCGTATGGAATCTGCAGCGTCTGCACCGCCTCTAGCCGAAGACGACAGTGTGGTGTCAGGCTCGGTGGCAGACGCTGCAGAGCACCTGCCTGCCTACGCGCAGAGAAGGAAGTCCACAACAGCACCAGCAGCGACCGCTCCATCACACGATGCTTCGGCACCCTCTGCGCCCTCTGCACCACCCATGCACGACCAAGACGAAGAGTAGTCGTTCGAGTAAAGGAAACGCAACGCATCATCACAACTGGCATTCTTTGACCTCAGGGTTCAAGTTTCAGTCCCTCTCTCTCTCTCTCTCTTGTGTATTCTCTGTATACCATTCTGCATAAACATTCTTTTGATGCATTCTCACTACCTTCTTCATGACCATGTGCGAGACGATCACAATCTGTTGAGGCTCTGACTGGGATGTTGAGTAAGAAACGAGAAATGGACGACAGCGAGGTCGTGTGGGAGGGAATTTCGGGACTCGCTGAAGCGGCGAGGTGGAGGAGCGTGTGAGAAAGAGCAACACAAATTGCAGCCGGGCCAGTGTTGTTCTGGGTTGCCTTTCTTCCATCATCATTCCTAGGCGTGACTTGCCCATGAACACCACACGGTCAGCGCAGGGTGCCTAGTTGGTGATGGTGCTTCTTTCCTCAGAACTATACGGTATCGGTGACACGTTCAACAGGCATTCGTCGATCTTGGTGCACGCAGCATAGCCGATCGACCTCAACCGGTCTTCCTAGCTCCTTCACGTGTCTCCTCAAACGTCTTTCATCAACTCGAACACACGAACTCTCTTTCCGTCTACACTGGAACCGTTTTCACGATGAAAGAAGCCTTCTCCACCCCACTGCAAGGCTACGATGCCCTACGCATCCTTACGCAGATCTTCTCTTTCCAAACCATCCACTACCTCATTCTGGCTACACTTCTGCCGCCGTTTCTCGCGATCTTTGCCGAAACGTCTTCGTTGATGTTCGAAGGTGGACCTACTCAGGTGGGGATGGTGTTTGACTGGAGACAGCTTGCGGGACAACCGACGTATGATTGGGTTGCACCGAAATCCAGTGACTCCAAAGGATGGTTGGAGGATGGGCAATCTGGGTCAGAGGAGGGGGAGATTGTCATTGATCCCGCTGTGCTGGTGAGGTGGAATTTGGACAACGTTTGGTTGGATGAATCGATATCGGGTGATACGTTACAGGGGAAGGTGTTGGATCACGATGATGTTCTTCGATTCAAGACCACCAACACCTCTTCTCCTTCCCCCTACAAGTCTGACGACACCTCACCAACAATAACCGTCCAACAAGCCCTCGAACACTGGGAATACTCGCACACACGCGACTCCCACCGCTCCACAACCCTCATCTTCACCTGGCTCCTCACCATCCCCCTCGACATCCTCCTCCTAGTATACCTCGTCCGTCGTCCAACTCACATCCTGGACCACGCCCTCACTTTTCACCTCCTCAATTTTGCCATTTCGACATGGTACACAGGTGCAGTACCAAAAGGTCTAAAATGGTGGTTGACAATGTTGATACATGCCGGTGTGTTGGTCGTCTGGAGCGAACAGTTGGCGATCAAGAGAGAGATGGGAAGGAGTGTAGGGTATGGGTTGGTGGGGATGGGGATGGGGGACGAGGAGATGGGAGGGGGAGGGAGAGAGGCGGGAAGTAAGATCTTTGACGTGGAGGAGGAGAGCGAGCGGTTCGAAATGAAACCCTTGTGATGGACCGGCGTATCCAACAACGTACATCAATCTACTCCGTCACATCACACTCAGACTTACTGTCACTCCACAGACTGGCACAACATCCGAAGACCATCAACATCTTCATCAATGCATACCGCTGCTTTCTGAGTAATCGCCTTCGATTCACTCGTCCCCTTACGCTTTGTGACGACGCTTAGGCCCCAAGGAGAGAGCCTTCTTGTTCAGCCAATCGTATTCGGGTTTGATCCGCGCGTGAGACTTGCCGCTGGAGGAGCTGATCGATCCATCGGCCTCGAATATCTTCAGCTTCGTGCTGTTGTTCTGGTCGTTGGTGTTGTTAGTCTCGTTTGACCCAACATTTCGTGCTGAACTCGTACGCTCGGAGGACGAAGATGCAGAAGCCTGAGGAGCAATACGCGATGCGAGCGGGCCTTTCCCGCGCTTCCTTTGGGGTGCAAAATCGAAGAGAACATCAGGCTCGGCTTCCAATGGACGCCCCTTGACCGCTTTTGAAGCAGCCATGCCAGGCAGCACCCCAAACCCGGGCATCGGGAAGTTGCCCTCGTCCATCTCATCGTCGAGTCTCTCAGGCTCGACCGACAGACTGTTGCGTGCCCGTTTCTTGCCCTTGCGATGCGCAGTCGGCGACACACGTGCCGCTGCTGCGGTCGATGCCGACGCCGAAGCCTGCGAGAGCAGCTCGAACCCATCCATTGGCGTGATAGGAGCGGAGTCGACGCCATTCGCGAGCGGGCTGCTGGAACGTACTTCGATAATCTCCGCGTTCGGACGCCTCGAGATGCGAGAGATACGATGTTCCGGCGTGCTGATACCTGCCGCCTTGAGTTGCTCTTCCATCGACTTGTTGATCGCCTCTAGCGCCTTGAGCCTGCGCGTAACTCCCTCGCCCTCTCCTACCATCGCCGTGGACGGTCCTGCGCCCGTCGATTTCTTCCTGTCCTTGAGTTGCTGCTGCAGCTTCTTGAGCTGCTCTGCTAGCTCGCAATTTTTCTTGTGGGTTGCCGCCCTCTCTCTTTCCGCATCGGCTCTCCTCCTCCCTGCCTCGCCCACTTCTGTCTGCATCTGTTTCAGCGCAGCATCGGTCGTCATGTTAATGTTGGCAATTCGGATGGTGGTCTGGAGTGCGCTCTGCCGCACGCGAGCCTCGAGCTCCTGTTCCCGCTTGTTCAGTTCGTCCTCTCTGACCTGCGTGGCAAGGATCTTACCTGTCACGCTCGCTTCGAGCTCCTTAGCCTGCGACATGCATTGCTTGGCTGCTGCCATGATTGCGTCAGCCTCCGCTGACTTTGCCGCAGCGGCGCGGCTAACGTGATTTGCCTCCTCCATCGCCTGGTGCACCCTAAGCTGTTCAGCCACAACTTGTTCCTGGAGCTTCCTGTTCTTTTTGCATTCACGATGTAGTTCGCTGGACTTTGCGACAAAGTTGGCTGCAGCTCGTTCGAGAGCCTCCATGGAGGTGGTTAGCGCGTTGGTGATGTCGACGTCCCTGTCTTTGGTGAGATCGACGACGAGCTTCTGAACGCGATGACCGTTCTTCCTCGTCTTGTCCAAGTCGCAGCCGTGGAGGCCCATGACGTACCCTTGCAGGGATTTGTTGAAGTCGATAAGATCGTCGAGCAGACGCTTGAAGTGCGGAGTGAGGTTGACAGCGCCACCTCGAGGATCGACCAAGTCCCACTGCTGCTGTCCGGAGAGATACGTGTCGAGGTCGTCGCCATCAGAAGGATAGAGCTTCACGACGTTCTCGGGGTTTGCCGGCTGAGTGCAGAGGGGGCATCGTTTCTGATGAGTCGGGCGATGGGTAGCGGCTGCCGTGGATCCGTAGAACCATGTCTGCAGACAATCATGGTGGAAAATATGTCCGCACGGCAGCGTGGCTGCGCGCTTGGGCTCGCCATCCTTCTGATCGAAGTCGTCCAGACAGATAGCGCAGCCCATGACGATATGCTTGCCGGTGGCGGCGGGTAGTGAGGAGATGTCCGAGTTGTTTGACCTTCCGAGCAATGATGGTCGCCGGAGCGGAGGTCAAGGCCTTAAGCAAAGGGGCTGAGAGTTGCGGGCCAGCTTCAAATAGGCCAGAAGGCAGGTGCGGAGGGATCTGTTGCCGGCCGACGCTTCCGCAAATGCTGAGTCCGCCCCACTTCCGATCGGAATCGACAGATAAAAGGGACTTGCGCTTTCACTTTTGAATCGGCACCGTTACAGCGGCATTGCGAGCGACTGCTTGGCGACCTATTTTGACCGGTGCCGGATGACACAGCAGAACTACCCTCAGTGAGGTCGCCCTGACTGTCTTGAGAGCTTTGCGGGGGCTGTTGCTGCGGATGATGATAATGATGAGGTGTTTGACAGGTGAGGGGCGAGGGTCCAAGTGTTCTCGAGTGTTGTTCTGACACTTATCCTGCGTGTCGCGTACCGTGAGGCTAAAAAAGTAAGCTCGGCTGCCTGCGGTCTGAGATTCCTCCACAAGATTCTCCTGAACCCTTTTTTTCCTGGCGGTTCTTCTCGATCCACTGTCAACTTTCAATTCTCTGCGCCGTCGGATCACCCGTTCGCCAGTCTCCGCTTTCTCTCTCGACGGATTCAGCAGCGGATCTATCAGTCGAGTGGACGTAGAAGTCTACGACAGAGAATGCTAGCTCCGAAGAGTTCACACAAGCGCAAACGCAGCTCGGCTCGGTCCGACAAGGCTCGGAAGCTTGGGCCGACAAGATGGATCGTCAATCTGTTACCCTCCGGAACGCCCAAATCACAACGCGAGACCAAGGAGGGCACAGTCCTATCACCGCAGGATCATGCAGGGCCGTCTCGAAACAGCGAGTTCGACTCACTGATCGATTCACATTCCTTCTGTCGCTCTCTCGAGCTCATAGTGCCACTCACATCGGAAGCAGATCATACGTCACCCGACAGCGCCGCCGAGCTCCCTGCCGGCGTGAGCTCACTCCTCAGAAGACTTGAACGTATCAGCTCCTCACACAGATCATATAGAGCTCGCATCCCGCTGAGCTTGCTTCTCGACCCTATTTTCGTCACGGCATACCTCAAGACCGGATCCTTGATAGCCCTCAGTCATGCATCGGGCGCACCTGGCCTTTCTCCGGGCCTAGAGGACACAGCCTGCGTAGACGGTCAGGGGACGTTGGTTCTATCGCTTTGTAAGGACACCTACCAGACACTCGGCCTCACAGGAAGAGCGAGCCACTTTTCTCGATTATCCTCCGGACGAGCCGCAGATCGCACGAGCGGGCCAGACTCACGCTTCATTGTAGAGCTCCCCTTGCTCTCGCCTTCGTTCGTCCCTGGGAAGAAGGGGTATCAGCAAGCTCTCGACCGACTGCGCCAATGGGATCGCACACGTGCGCAGTCACTGGAAGCAGAACAGACAATAGCACAGTCACATGCTTCGTCGAGAGTGGGCCTCTCCGCCCACCGTACCGAGGCAGTGACCAGCGAGCATGCAACGTGGGACATGCTCTTCGTGTGGTCTCCGAGTCGGGAAACTGCAGATTCTATCGCAGCTGAACACTCCTCCGCATCATTACTGGGCGCGATGAACGAGATCAGCTTTCCGGAGGACCTTGTGCGTGCTCAAGATGTCGAGTGCCTGTCACTGCAGGCGATCAATCCCGTCATCACGGATTCTGTGTGGATCCCCCCGCTCAACGATCCTGCGCAACATCCTCTTGGCGGCAAATGGCGGGAAAGCGAGCGACACTTTGCTGAACTCGAACCATCACGCGAAGGGTCTTCCGCGTCAACTTGGCCAGCGTATCAGGACGGCCTGCAGGAAGCTGTCGAATGGGCAGGGCTGGCTTCACTCGGCGCAAATCCTCTGCGCACTTTCACTCGACCGGATTCCACGTGCGTTTACAGCCCGCCTTTACCGTCACGTCCAGGCAGAATCGTCAAGCTGAGCTGGTCGGGTCCTGTCGGTCAGCCTTTGCTGCTGAGCCCATTGCTGATTGCCCAGATCGCTGCGGAGGTGAACGATTTCGTTGTCGAATCGTCGGGCAAATCTCACCACCACGAATCAGCTGAGTCGGTGCACTGGGCAACGCTATCTTGCTCTGGGTTCCCACACGCGCCTTTGACGTGGCGATCCAAGGTTCCACTGAGCTCTATTCACGGGGCGAAGGAGCTGCCTGGCAACAAGACCACCTCTCATAACCAAGCTGCACTGCCCGCCACCGAGGATGCGTCGATGACCGACACATCATCTTCAGACGACGACGATGACGCGGACAATGGCGACAGCGACTCCTCGCTCGACATGGACGGCCTACGCACACCTAAGCCAAGAAAGAAGAAGCGCTCCAAACGTAACATCGGCAAGAACCAGACCGAACACACTTTCACCCCCTCGACAGGTGAGACAGGCTGGATCTCATTCTGTCTCGGCGGCTCGGCCAAGGACGAAGCGGTGGCTAGGCCTGGTCGGTGGGTGTTTGTCGAACTCATTGGCACAGATACCCGCTCGTAGATGCACACTTTCACCTTGAGATGCACCTTCTTCCCGCACAGACTGCAGCGATTGATGTGTGCATATGTGAGTCTCTTGGCAAGCTTGAAGTCATTCAGATGCTTTTGAATTCGATGTGTTCGTTGTTCTAGCATGAATCAGTAACGATCCGATGAGCCCTCTCCTACGTCGGAAGACTAGTCGAATGGACCGAGATAATCCTCCTTCATTGTGCCGATAGCAAAGATTTCGTTGGCATCTACCCTCGTACCCACGATTTTGATCCTAACCTTCCTGCCCTTTACCAGCCTATCGCTTGCACTGACGAATTCTGGCGGGTTCGATTCGGGCTGGAACCTGTATTCGATGGGTATCAAATGACTTGAGACGAATATATTCAAAGGACCGACTTCGGCGAAGAAGCCCATTTTGTTGACGTTCGTTATTTTCGCATCCATCACTTCTCCCTTGAAGGGCTTGAGGACGACGGCTTGATAGGTAGAATTGAATTCGGCGAGACCAGATCCCGGGATGACTTTGCCTTGCCCTACGTCAACGAGTCCGATCACTTTGATGATGTATCCGTGTTTACCAGTGCAGGTGCCCTCGACGTCATCGCGAAGTTTTTGATTGAGGAACTCCACCATGGATGGTCCGAAGTAGGATGGGTGGAGCTCCGTTTTGTGGTTGAGGTTCTTGAGGAAGAACATTTTGAGCGAGACTTGGGAGGAAGTAGCTCGATGTTGCGAAGAGTCGAAAACGCCGATGGAGGTGGGTCAGCCCGTCAGCCGTTCAGCGTCGCAGACGTGAAACAGGAACGGTCTTTCGATGCTCCTTCGTCTGCGGAGCGGAGGCAGACTACCACGATGCCGGCGAGACTGCTAAGCGGTCGACGCGCTTTCAGCTGCTCGCTTAAATGACTGATTGTGTGAATGGCAAAGCTTTATAGAAGCTTTCGGGCACCAATTGCGGTCCAGACGAGAGGACGGCTCCTCCGAATCTGCTCGAGTGGGTGGATGAATCGAGACCGACGCGGACCCAACGCGAATGGTCTGAGGTTGCCGATCAGGCGCGCACTTTCCCTGCTGTACAGCGTAACACTTCTGCAAAAGAGTGCCGGTAGTAATGCCGCTGATGGGGTGATTGGTGTTGGGTGGTGAAAGGAACGGACGATTGTATGGAAAGGGTGATGCGCAATGCGCAAAAGACGCCAACACCCTCTCCACTCAAATTGGCAGTGCGTCAGGTCACGTGTCGTCACTTTTTGGAAGCTTTCCCCTTCTGAACCCTTCAGCTTTCCTCCTCGACCTCCTCCAACCTTCCTCTCACATCACCTCTGCTTCGTCCGTGGTACGAACGTTGCACACGCCCGTACTGTACAGAGGCAGATACGCTGTTCGTGTGCATTCAAGGCCGGTTCCGAAAGCGCGCCACAATGGTAAGTTCAACGAAGCTAAGCTGCATCCTACCTGCATGCCATGTGACCGCTGACACATCCCATCTCTTACACTCACGTCGCATAGGGCAACGACGGAGGCTCGATCGCCAAGCGGGATGAGCTAGTGCGAACAAAAGCCTCGTTCGAAAAGGTCGACCCGGAGCTACTCCGCCAATCGCTCTGGACTGTATGCTCCCTTTCACGTCAACCACTACAGCCCCCGGTCGCATCAGACCAGCTCGGACACCTCTACAACAAAGATGCCATCCTCTCGCACCTGCTCGCACGGCATCAGTCTACTTCCTCTTCCAATTCCGATCCCATTCCACACGTTCGTGGATTACGCGATATCACAGAGCTCAACCTCACGCCCAACACGCTCTACCGCGCACCTTCACCGACAAGTTCGAGCAAGGACCACTCCGTCTACCCCTTCATGTGCCCGCTCTCGTCCAAGCAGATGGACGGAAATCAACGGTTCGTGTACATCGCAGCATGCGGCTGCGCTATGAGCTACACCGGTCTGCGTACGACAGTCGCGGCTGCAGAAGCGAGCAAGGAGAAGCCCGAGCAGCGACCGTGTCCGGTATGCGGGAAGGCTTTCAACGCGGCCGGGTTGGTCAAGGCGAAGCAGCCGGAGGTAGGCGGGAGTCTCGTCACCATCAACCCTGGAGAGGCGGAGCAGACGGAGATGCGGGAAGCCTTGGACAAGGCGAGGGCAGAACAAGCGGCGAAAAAGAAGGCGAAGACAAGGACCGCGGATCAAGCAACAGAGAAGGGCAAAGCCCAGGACAGCGAGATTCAGGAAGACAGAGCGGAAAGAAAGCGCAGAAAGGCGGAACGAAAGGCAGAAGTGGGCGCCAGGATAGCCGCGCTCACTTCCGAGCTTGCAGCCGAGCAGTCGTAGCATGTTGACGACGCCAGCTGCTCTTTATCAGAGCTCTGTGTCGCCGCCACCTCTCTTATACCCAATCTGACCTCGTCACCATGCCATGATGCGCTTCCTGTTCTGCGGAGCCTTCGTGTTCCTCGCCATTTGTATCCTATCTCCAGCCACCAGCTCCTGTACTTGTATCCTCGCAGACCACTTCATGTACAGATCCTCCGCAATCGCAATCGAGTAAGACACAAAGACGCGGATGCGACTGTTTGAATATATGGTATGCTGATTGCAACGATGAGCGGCAGGTTGCCAAAGATTACAGAGCCATCGATCTGGCCTAACGGACTTCGTTACAGGGCCCAAATCGAGATTGGTGTCGAGGAGAAATTACTCGGTGCGCTCGGCCTGCAGCTTGGCGTAGAAAGCATCTCGTCGGGAAACGGAGGGGATGTGGACACCGTACCTGTCAACGGAAACCGCGTTTCAATCATTAGGGAAGTAGGGGTGCAAATGAGTCAGAAGATGAGGTCTAGGAGGTTTGGCGATCGGATGTGCCGAAAATGCCAGAGGAAGATGTACGCACCAGTAGCCGTAGCCAAGGGCAGTGCCGCCGCCAAGAGCGACTGTGAGGTCGAGGATGAGTCGCTTGCGCAACTTTCCAGTGATAGCGGGGATGGATCCGACGGGCATCTGTGAGCGAAGACAGGGTTTTGAATACCATGGTCAGTGTCAATGTCGTTACGGTTGCTGACCCTAGTTGCCATGATGCGATGAAGCTGTTGACAATCGTCGACAGCGTGGTACTGCCGATGCGACGCGCCAAGTGGCGAGGATACGAACTGTGTGGAGATGCTTTTCGAAGAAGGTACGAGGTTCAAGGAAGTGGTTGGTCGTGATCAAAGAGCAAGGCGGCGATATCGTACCGGTGTTGAGGCCGTTGGTGACGAGTTCGAGACGTGAATCTTCTTCGTCTCTCTCGGCCTGAAAAGGGTCAAAACGGACCCGAAGCCAAACCAGCTCGTCTGCATCTCTCTCTCCGGTTGCCCGATTTAGAATCGAGTATTTTTTTTCCGTTTCAACCCGTTGAAGTGGATCTAACAGCTTTTCCCCCGAACTATGGCCTTGACGTTCACTTCTATGGCTGCAACCCCCATCCGATACCGTCGTTGAAGCCACTTGTAGGCCAACAGCGAGCTGAATGGACGAACGCGTCACGGCCACTTAGACATGCGAGCGCGAGAGAGAGAGAGAGAGACCGTATCATATTCGCTGTGTGGGTCTAGTTAGATATCATGGTCAGAAGGGCCACAGGGTCGCGCAAATTGGGTCATCGTGCGTGTTGACCGAAGCTGCAGCACACACGATAAAATCAGAGACACTGAGCAGCTCGATCTGGCTCACTGAGATCGAAAGACTCTCGCACGCACGGTCTCTCTATTTTTCTCCACACGAGGAGGACACGCTGCGTTTGTGAGTGCGTGTGTGTGTGTCTGGCTGCCTGTGCCTGTCTCGTTTTGTGGCTGCTGTTCTGCTGCATTTTCGGCACTCCCCTGAGCTGCAGCGTCGCTGCTTCTCGGTCGGCCCGTCCGTCCACTTGGCCCTGACGCAGCGTTGCGGCCCTTGCTCGGCAGTCGCCGCCCACATCCACAGTCACAACCCTGATTCGAGCTTCCGACGATACTTTCCCTTCACCATCCCCTCTCCAATTTGCATCGGCCTCGCATCCGTCACTAAAGCTCATTCGGATCTGCCCAAAACCTTTCATCTCTGACCATAGCTAATCAGACACTCCCTCGCGATTGCAGTGAAGGTCTGAAACGTCGGACAGGCAGTGTTCACACATCGCGAGGATCTGCATCATTCATCTGGATCTAAGCGAGCCGAGCGAATATTGTCGGGCAGCATCACACCAATCCCTCAAGCACGTCGATCTCGATTCCATCCGAAAAGTTTGGGAGGTAGCAACTCCGACCTGATAGCCCGCCATGGCGTACGTAGCGCTTTGCAAAGCGCTTTACGACTACGTAGCCCAAGCCGAGGACGAGCTGAATCTCACAGAGGATGACTATCTCTACATTCTCGAGTCCGACGACCCCGAGTGGTGGAAGGGCAAGCTCCGACGCACCGACGAGAATGGAACACCCATCCAGGACGACTCGGACGAGGGCGCCGTTGGTCTCGTGCCCGCAAACTATGTCGAGGAAGCCGAACCCGTCCGTCTGAGTCGCGCTCTGTACGACTACGAGGCGCAGACGGAGGACGAACTGTCCATGGCAGAAGATGAATTGCTCCGTGTTTACGAGTCGGACGGCGTGTGGCTGCTTGTCAAGAAGCAAGGCGATGATCCGCTCAGCGGCGGCGAGGGAAGGCTCGGATACGTACCTGCCAACTATGTCGACGAAGCCGAAGCGGTGGACACAGGCGACGCTCCTGTTGTTGAGGACGAATACGCAGCAGGCGAGGAGGAGGAGGAGGAGGATGACGAAGACGACGCCGCTACCACTGGTCGTGCTGCAGCCATCCCCCAGATCCAGCTGCCGCAGACAGCACAGCTCGGCAAGGGCGATGAGATCAAGATGTGGCCCGTCTCGGCTTTGGACAGCAAGAAGAAGAAAAAGAAGGGCACCCTCGGCATCGGCAATGCCTCTCTCTTCTTTGCCTCCGAAAGCGACAAGACACCCGTCAAAAAGATCAGCGTCCTTCACATTGCGAGTCATTCAGTCGAAAAGGGGAAAACGCTCCATCTCCAGCTTTCGCCCGAAGCTGGCCTGGACGAGTCTAGCCTCGACTTTCACGCCGGTTCCAAGGATGCTGCCAGCGATATTGTAAAAAAGATCGAGGCGAGCAAAGCCAACGCCCTCACCGCAGCATCAGCTGCTCCTACTTCTCCCGTGGCGGCACCCCCTGTTCCTGCTCCTCCCGTCGCCGCTTCTTCCGCTGCAGTGCCGTTGCCACCCCCGCCGCCTCCAGCGCCACCTGCCGCCGCAGCAGCGACGCTTCCTCTCCCCACACGAACCACCAGCGCCACTCTACCACCGCCCGTACGCAAGAACGTCTCGTTCCAGTCGCAAGCTGCGTCGGAGCCCGAAGCGGCTGTCGAGCACGGTGTCGCCATGTACGATTTCGAGGCCCAGGGAGACGATGAGCTTACCGTGACCGAAAACGAACATCTCATCATTCTCGAAAAGGAGAACGACGACTGGTGGAAGGTGCGAAACGATGCCGGCAACGAGGGCGTCGTGCCCGCCAGCTACGTCGAAGCCACGGATGCTCCCGCAGCGGGAGGCGCCAGCTCTTCCTCTGCAGCTGCACTGGCGGCTCAGCAGGAGGAGGAAGAACGATATCGCCGAGAGGAGGAGGAGGCTGCCGCAGTCGCCGAAGCGGAGCGCCAACGCGAAGCTGCCGATCGAGAGAGGGAAGCCGAGGAGCGCAGAGAGAGAGAGGCGAAGGAGAGGACGCGACGAGAGGCACTCAAAGCACAGCCTGCGCCCGCACCTCCCAAGCTCACCCAGCGACCCAGCACCACCGAAGTCAGCAGAGCTGCCAAGAACGTAACCATTCCTCAAAATCGGAGCGCCCCCGAGCGTCCCAAGGATGGCGGTGGCCGCTCCAAGCCTTCGCCTAACAACACACGCATGTGGACCGACCGCACCGGCTCTTTCAAGGTCGAAGCCGAATTCCTTGGCTTCAACCAAGGCAAGATCCGTCTGCACAAGATGAACGGAGTCGTCATCGAGGTCGCCATTGAAAAGATGTCGAACGGGGATATCGCCTTCCTCGAAGACATCACCGGCAAGAAGCTCAACCCGACCGACGAGGAGATTGCTGCTTCCACTGCACGAAGGCGCGAACGTGAGCGCGAGCGCGAGCGACAGTCGAGCCGATCGCAGTCATCCGCAGCTGTCGGCATGTCTCGTGAGGACCGGGAACGAGAGCGAGAACGCCGCAAGGAGAAGGACCGGGAGCAGCGTCGACGCGAATCGGCACGAACCGGTCCCAAACGCAACGTCGACTGGTTCGAATTCTTCCTCGCTGCTGGTGTCGACGTGGACGACTGCACCCGCTACGCCAGCTCCTTCGAGCGGGACAAGATCGACGAGACGGTTCTTGCCGATCTTGACCCTGGCACGCTGCGCAGCATCGGCTTGCGCGAGGGTGACATCATCCGTGTTACCAAATTCATCGACAAGAAATACCGCCGAGACAAGTCGCACACCTCGTCGTCGTCGCGATCCTCGGGCCGTGCCAACGCCAACACGGCTGCTGACCTCGAGAGGCAAATCAAGGCGGATGAGGATCTCGCTCGCAAGCTACAGGAGCAGGAAAGCTCGGCGCGACGAGGCGAATCGGTCAGTCCGGCGCCACCTCAACTCTTCTCGGGTCCCGACGGCACGCTCAAGAACAATACGCGCCGCGGCAGACCTACACCCAAGAGCACGAGCAGCAGCAACGTCGATGCTGCCTCCCTGGCTGCTGCGTCGGAATCGCTTGCCCGCACTGCGACACCACCGGCACGAACTGCTACGGTGAGCCCAGCAGTGGCACCGAAGCGCACTGGCTCTTCGCTCGCCAACGGATTCGACGACGACGCCTGGACGCCACGACCTTCGAGCACCAAGCCGGCAACACCTGCTCGACCCACCGTGGCGTCGCCTGCGCCATCGACGCCTGCAGCACCACCAGCGCCCACGCCGCCGCCTGTAGTCGCTGCAGCTGCCCCGCCGTCACCGGCGCCACCTGCGGATCCGAACTCGGCGCTCTTCGAAAAGCTCGCGGCGATGAAGGCTCCATCGGCCGGCGCTAGCCCGCGTCCTGGTGCCAGTCCTTCGCCTGGTTCATCGTTCCTGGGTCAGTCGCAGGCATACAACCCCAATGCACCGCGTGGACCGTTTGCGCCTGTGCCTGCCAACCAGGGGCTGTTGCAGCCGTTGGTGCCGACTCAGGGAACCGGTCAATTTGTGCCTACCAAAACAGGCATGATGGGCGTGCAGATGACGGGCATGCAGCCTCAGCAGACCGGATGGGGAATGCAGGGTATGCAAGGCATGCAAGGTATGCAACCTCAGATGACAGGCTACAACAACGGCATGGGAGGCATGGCTCAGATGGGCGGTATGGGTATGCAGCCTCAGGCTACAGGATTCGGCAACGGCTACGGCATGAACGGCTCGTCGCCCTACTCCGGAGGCCACGTGAACACGCAGCAGACCGGATTCCCTGGTATGGGCATGCAGCCACAGCCGACGGGATTCAACAACTTTGGACAGAACCCGCAGCAGATGGTAGCGCAGCAGACCGGGTTTGGGATGGGATCGCAGCAGCAGGCGCAACAGCAACAGGCGGAGCAGGACGAGAAGGACAAGTTCAAGGCGTCCAACATCTTCCAGCAGATGAAGACGGGTGCGTTCGCCAAGGATCCGAATGCGGCACCGCAGGCGAGCGGAAAGTACGATGCTCTTCGACCGCAGCCGACTGGCTTCCAGCCTGGCGGAGTGATGCCGCAGTTCACGGGGATGGGATTCGGTCAGCAGCCGCAGCAGCAGCAGCAACAGCAGCAACAGCAACAGCAGTATCCTTACAACAACGGATACGGTGGCGGTTTTGGTGGATACTGAATGATTTCCTCGTCAGGGCTGCGTGGAAAGGTGAGCTATTGCATTGTTCCACTCTCAATTCAAACTATATCACAGCTTTGTACTGAGGTGCTTTAAACACGATGTGAGACGGTGGTGGCAGCATGAGTTGAGTACGAGTGAGAGGATCGAGCTGGACCGAAGCTAGCGTACAGGTACGACATTTTCGGGCAGCCTCGTCGCCTGTTGGATCGATCGGTTGTTCAGACAGCTTCGTCTCTGGTCCCGCGGCCGTATCGGCTGATCCGTGTTCGAAGGCGAATCATCTGCAAATTCAGAATCTCTGCGCGACGCGTTTACTGGCGCGATCTGGATGCTAAAGTGGAAGATGGGAATTTCGGGCACTGCGTCAGCACAGCACGAGTTCATACGGGAGGCAGGAAGAAGGATCCGGAACGCGCCGCGTAAGTGTGGACTTGGTCCTTGTACAGCTGACCTGCCAGCAGTTCTGGTCTACAAAAGCATCTTATACCTTCACCATCGGCATACAGTTTGATTGAGCTATCCAGCCTCCATGATGAAGAGTGAAAGAGCCGTGAGAACACGATGTACAGCGGTGCAAGAGTCTACGGCAACGCGCTGGCCGGGAAGGATAGACACATTTGAATTTTTCGCAAAGGCCAACACTCTTGCACAGAGGCACACTGACAGGCTGAAATGGTCAAATCGTCCTGAGCGCGTCTTTGCGGATTTGTGACAAAACCAAAGCCAGGGCAGCAGGCCAGTTCAGTCGGTTCGTCACACGCCTCTGCTTGCGAAACGGCCAGGCACGGCGCGAGAGAAGGAGGAAGCGGACAGAGAGACGCGCCCGAAAAAGTGTCACGTTTGGCTCGCTTTGTGCTCTCTTCGCAAATCCAACACTTCGAGAGCTGGAAGCGGTGGACAAGCATTACCACCGTCGACCTGCTACACCATCGTTCGACCGCCCATCGTCTCGAACCCTTGCGTCGCCCGTGACACTTGACTCTCACACGCACCCTTCGATTGTCACCCTAACGACACAGCATCATCGACTCCTCTTTCGCACACGGCGTCCTCATCCATCGTCTCGCAACGCTATTCTGGTTCAATGCACTAGGAGCGATCCCGGCTTTCGTTCCAGCTGAAATCATCCTCACATCTCTCAAGTCGACTCTTCTGCTTATCTGGGCGTCTCTCGTATCGACTGAGGATCAGCGTCCGCACACATGCCTCTGAACCCTGCCACCGACTTCGACCCATCAGCTTCACACACACTCGCACACGAAGCCGACCCTTTCCCTGCAGCATCCTCGACGCTGGCCGACCACGCCCATCCCCTTCAACCCGTACAGGAAGTTGCTTCGAGCTCGCTCGTCGACAGCGTATCGTCTCCGCACGCCGCGCTACTCGACTCTCTCAAGCATTCCTCCCATCCGAGCTCCGGCATCAGCTTCACCACCTCGGCCTTGCAGCGTGCTGGCTTGCTTCCCATCACCTCGGCCATGACCACCGCCGTTCCTTCGGGTGCCTCAGCGGCTTCCGAGACCCTGCAGAGGGTTATGGGTCAGAGCGTTGCTGCCACGAACGGTGCTTCCACTCCTACTCAGGCCGGTCCTTTGACACCCGCGCAGCTCAAGAACATGACACCGGCACAGGCCAACGCTGCACTCCAGAACCCTGTCGGCAACGTCCCCACCGTCTACCTCGCCACCTACTCCAATGTGCCCGTCTACGAGATCACCGTTCGAGGCATCGCTGTCATGCGTCGGCGTGGCGACGGCTGGCTCAATGCCACCCAGATCCTCAAGATCGCCGGCATCGAAAAGACCCGACGAACAAAGATCCTCGAAAAGAGCATCCTCACTGGCGAGCACGAAAAGATTCAAGGAGGCTACGGCAAGTTTCAGGGTACATGGATCCCTCTGCAACGTGCACAAGAGGTCGCGGCCGAGTACAACGTCTCGCACCTCCTCCAGCCCATCCTCGAGTTTGATCCCGCCACAGCCGACCAGATCCCCAAGCTCTACCAGCGCAAGAAACCTGCTTCGTCCGCTCGCAACTCTTCAGCTTCCGCCATCAACGATGGCAGGGGCTCCACTCCGTCCAAACATTACTCGCCAGCTCCATCCAGCATCGGTGGTCCCAGTCAGCAGCCCCGCTTCCTCTCGCTTCGCCCACCCAAGGATGCACAGCAGCGAGATATGTCTCCGGCGCTCTTTATGCCACCTGGTGCCAGTAGCCTTCTCACCAACGGTGCTTTCGTCGGCGACGCCGCATCAGCCGGTCCTCACGCGATCCCACCTGGCTCAACTCAGGCAGAGCAGGAGGCGCTGCGTAGCTACAATGTGTACGGCTACACTCCACAGGGTGTGCCTCTTCCTTCTTCAGTCGCTGCCGACGTCAATGGCGCCGCCTCTAGTGACGCTGCCTCCATCCTGGGTGACAAGCGCGCCGCTGACGAGGCTGATCGGGTCGAGACTTCCGCTGCCAAGCGTTCGCGACTCACCAGCCCTCAGCAGCAAGGTCGAGATTCGGGTCTGTTGCTCGGCCCTTCGCCTGTCAAGGACCTCAATGCCCTGGGCCCCGCCGGTGGATCTCTGCGTGCGGCTGCAGCGCCTCGAGGCCACCGCATGGCAGTCGGTCCTCCCGATGCAGCCGGTCGGGATGGCACCGTTGCACGCTACGCCGACCGAGCGCTTCCACCGAAACCGTATGATGAAGGCGAAAAGCGAATGCGCGACCGTCTCGTTAGTCTGTTTTCGGACGACGGCGTCCTCCAGGGCGTCGGCGAGGCTGCCGGTGCAGCAGCCGCACAGTCTGCTACTGGCGCGTCTGCGGCAGACGAGGACGACGAGGCATATGTCGCCAAACTCGACGGCTTGTTGGCTGATTTGAGGGAAAAGGCGAGCCTTGGTGGTCTCGGCGCCAGCGGCTCGGAAGGTCCCAAAGCCACCGTCGATCTCATCACGGACGACCATGGTCACACCGCGTTGCATTGGGCCTCTGCTTTGTGTCGTCTCAAGCTTGTGCGAACGCTGGTGGCCCGGCCTCCATGGCAGGGCGGTGCCAACGTCCATGCTGGCAACCACGCCGGCGAGACGGCCCTCCACCGTTCAGTGCTCGTTACCAACTCGTACGACGCATCGTCGTTCCCGACGCTGCTCAACCTGCTCTCGTCCTCGCTCAACACGCGCGACTTTAAGAAGCGTACCGTCCTGCATCACATTTCCCTCGTCGCTGCATTGAAGGGTCGAGCTGCATCGGCGAGATACTATCTCGCCTGTGTGCTCGAACACATCAGCGCCGAAAAGAGTTCCAAGTACAAGGGCCTCGTCGATGCACAAGACGAAGATGGCGAGACGGCGCTGGGCATCGTCGCACGCCTCGGCAATGCTAGTATGGTGCGCATGCTGCTCGACGTCGGCGCTCGCAAAGACCTGCCGAATGCTCTTGGCATCCGTCCGTCCGACTGGGGCATCGAGTCGAGCGGCGACGCTGCCTCGCAAACGCCCTCGCAGACCGATGCAGCAAGCACCGTATCGTCGTTGCCGCCGTTGACAGCGGCCGACCTTGCTTCGCAGAACCCATCCGACATCATCTCTGCACTGACGCGCCCGGCGCAGGTTCCGGTGATGAAGAGCTCGGACGTCCGCGATCAGCTCAGCTCGACGCTCGACGACCTTCAGTCGACCTTCGAGCGCGAGCTCAAGGAGAAGCAAGATGCCATCTCGACGGTCCAGAGTCACTTGCAGGCCGCCACCAGAGACCTGGCTGCTCGTCGCAAAACCGTCTCGGCAGCACAAGCAAAGCTCGCCGAGAAGGACGAGGCTCGTCAGCGTGCGCAAAATCTGCGTCGTGCTATTGTTGCGCAGCTCGGTCTGGACGATGCTGACGCAACAGCGAAAGTGGAGCAGCTCGAGCAAGAGGCGACTGGTGTTTCGTCGAGCCGATCCGCGGACGCGATGGACGTTGATGGTGCTGAAGATGTCAAGCCTGTCCTCAACACTGGTCCTGAGTCGCTCATCGAGGATATTCTGTCATCCAACACGATCGAGTCTGATCTCAAGGTCCTGGGTGCCGCTTCTACCACCGCTGCTATAGTCGAGCAAGAGGAGCTGGTCCGTCTTCGATGGCTGCTTTCCTTCTACGAATCCAGCTGCAACGATCTCTCAACCACCATTTCGGAGCTGGAAGACTCGAGCGCAAAGAAAGAGTCTCAGTGTCAGCAAGTGGTCGCCATCTGCGCCAACATCCCTCAGGACAAAGTGGAAGCCATGCTGGACGACCTGCTCACCGCGATGGAAAGCGATGGTCCCGATGTGGATCTGGCCAGGGTGGCCAACTTTATGCAGAAGGTCGGCAAGAGCGGCGAGAATGGCGATCAGGCAGGGGCACAGCTAAGCTCGTCCACGAGTCTCAGCACCACTGTATCGAGTGCCGAGACCGCCGCGAGCAGCGTCGTCCCAGCGGCGGAAGAGGGTGAGAATGCAAAGTCTACGTAGTCTACGCAGATGGAGCAGGTTATCGAGAGCTCAGTCTGCCAACGTCGGTGGATGCTATGGGACTGCTCTTGTCTCTCTCCGTGCTCGTCAGTCCACCTAACGTATTCTTGTTCCTTGGAAGTGCACGCTCTTGCAACATCTTCGTCAGTGGTGATTTTTCTCAGTGCCCCGAGAAGTTTTCTTTTTCTTTCCGGATCATGCCGTTCCTCGTTCTCCTGTCTGCTGTACTGTAATGTTATTGAATGTCAAAGATATCTGGAGTGGTGGATGGTGTGATGTTTGAATGTGGTTTCAGGGTGTGCGGATGCTGATGTCCGAAGGCGGTTGGGATGATGCGATCACACACGGTAAAACGAGAGGGTTGAGGCATGGGTAGTTTAGTTTGTACAAGGAGATGTCATTGCTAGAATCTAGACACTGCGCATAAGCGGAGATGTTGACAGGTCCATTAGGCGCCCTCTTTGAGGATCTCCTTGGAGACGACCTTGCCGTCCGAGTCGAGCTTGTAGAGGATGGGGACGCCGGTAGCGAGTTCGAGGCCGACTGCACGTAGTTGAGGAGAGGGAAAGGAAGGATGTTAGTGTCAAGAAGTCAGAATGATGACTTCTGCTAGGGTTGATTGTCAACTCACCAATGTCGTCGTCGGAGATGTTCTCGATGTCCTTGATCATGGCACGCAACGAGTTACCGTGGGCGGCGACAATGACGTTCTTGCCCTGCTTGACCAGCGGCAAGATCTCCTTGTGGTAGTAAGGCCAAACACGCTCAGCGGTGAGCTTGAGACTCTCACCTCCGGGGGGAGGGATATCGTAGCTTCGACGCCAGATATGAACCTGCTCCTCTCCCCACTTCTTCCTGGCGTCGTCCTTGTTGAGACCGCTCAGCTCGCCGTAGTCGCGCTCGTTGAGAGCCTGATCCTTGTGGATGGTGATGTCCTCCTGACCGATCTCCTTGAGCTGGATGCCGAGCGTGGTCTGAGCGCGCTGGAGGGCGGAGGTGAAGGCGACGTCGAACTTGATGCCCGTGGCAGCGACACGCTTGGCACCGGTGAGCGCCTCTTCGCGACCGAGCTCGGTGAGCGCGGGATCCTTCCAACCAGTGAACAGGTTGAGCTTGTTCCACTCGGATTGACCGTGACGTGTGAGGACGAGAGTTCCAACCATTTCTTCAAGAGTTCGAATGTTGTTGATGATGATGATGATGGAGAGGAGGACGGGAAGCAGTGAACAAGAATGTAGAATGTTGGATTCAGCCTGCGCTTTCCAGCAACCGAGGGGGAAATTTGATCAGATGGCCCCAACGCGCTTTCTGTCCCTTCTGCAGATCGATAATGTTGCTCCGACAGCGTGAAAAACGATGCATGTTGAGGCCAATGTCTAATGGTCCGACACAGCGCCGTCCGAAGCTCGCGGAAGATGACGGCTTTCTTTTTCCCAAATCGTCAAAGTGTTACATCGGTATCTGAACCGCCCTGATTCGAAAATGCTTTCGGAGACTGAGAAATCGGTGCTCCGTGCACCTCGCGGTTAGACTTCACAGCCACGCATTTCTCCACCTCGAAGACACGCCTACACGCTCCACGCACGAGCCTCGGGCCGGCCAGACGCTGATGCACACTGTTGACTCCGCTTTCTTCGTCTCCATGTTGTTCACCACGACATCCACACACGCCAATCATGTCGCTCAACGTCAACCTCTCGTCGAGCGCCATTCGCGACGCCTACGAAAAGGTGCTCGACGGTGCCAAGGACTACCTCGTACTCACCTACGAAAAGGCCTCCAACGATCTCCGTGTCCAAGTGGTCGAGAACGGCGATCTCGACGATCTCAACGAAGAGTTCTCTGATGGACGCATCCAGTACGCGTTCGCTCGAGTCAAGGACCCTAACACGCAGTTGCCCAAGTTTGCGCTCATCAACTGGTGCGGTGATGGTGTGCCCGAGAACCGTAAAGGTCTTTTCGCGACTCACTCGTCGGCAGTAGCGCAGTACCTCAAAGCATACCACGTCAGCATCAATGCAAGATCCGAAGGCGATGTGGATCCCAAGGTCATCATGCGCAGGATTGCGGAGTCGTCTGGAGCAAACTACTCGGCTGCTGGGAAAGCCGCCAACACGCACTCGGGTGGGCCGATCGGGTCGGTAGGCTCGAGTTACAAGCCCATCGGAACTCCGGACATCAGAGGCATGCAGAAGACTGCTCCCAAAGATACCATCGCTCCCGTGGGATCCAACTATGCATCTAAGCGCGATGAGCTGCAACAGATCCGATCTGGCACAGCGCCAACACCTCAGCTTCCCAGCGCTCCTCGCGTCAACGCGCCGGCTTTCGACTCTGCCCCTGCTGCTCCGACGCCAGCTCCAAAAGCCGCTGCTCCTCCAGCACCAGCTGCGCCAGCCGCCAAACTGGCAGTCAGCAGCGCGCCATCAGTCCCACCTGCACCTCGACCGGAGACATCGTCGGCACCACCGAAGCCTGCCGAGGACGACCGCATCCAGCCAGTCGGCACCGCCTACCAGCCCGTCAGCTTGGGCAAGCCTGGTAAGCTGAACATGGCCAACCGCTTCCCCTTTGGTGGCCAGGACGATAAATCGTCTGCGTCGGCTGCTGCACCTGCACCACGCGTCGCCTCGGGAGGAACGTCCGGTAAGCTTACGTGGAGCCAGCGACAGGAAGCAGCACGCAAGGAACGAGAGGAGGAAGAAGCACGCGTCAAGCAGCTCTCGTCGGGGATGCGAACCGCCAGCTTTGGAACGGGTGCAGTGGGTGCAGGGTCTGCTCCTGCTCCTGCTGCTCCTGCTACTCCTGCTGCTCCTGCTGCTCCTGCTGCGCCACCCGCACCGGCGGCGGCGGAGCCGGAAGAAGAAGCCGCGCCCCCGGCACCCCCTGCTCCTCCCGCTCCGCCAGCTGCCCCGGCTGCTGCCGATGTAGGAGGAGCAACAAAGCAGCTCGAGTCGACGCATCTTTCGGGTGCTGGTGCACCACCGAGCAGCGGCGGTCTGCGCGGCCGAGTGGCATGGGCGTACGAAGCAGCCGAAGACAACGAGTTGACGCTGGTCGAGGGCGCCACCATCTCCCACATCGAACAGATCGACGAAGGATGGTGGTCGGGTGTGGACGAGCACGGTCAAGAAGGTCTGTTCCCTGCCTCGTACGTCGAACTGATCGAGGATGATCCTGAGACACAAGAGGCAGCTCCGCCGCCTCCACCGGCTCCTCCAGCACCGCCTGCTGCTCCTGCTGCAGCAGAAGCGGAGGACGACATCCCACCTCCTCCACCTCCGCCGCCTGCACCTCCTGCAGCAACGGCAGCGCCAGCTGCTGTTCACGAAGAGGAAGAAGCTGCCCCTCCACCGCCGCCGCCGCCTCCCCCTCCTCCTGCAGCAGCAGCAGCAGCAGTGGACGAACGCGGCTTGGTCTGCACAGCCATGTACGACTTTGACGCGTCCGAGGACAACGAGCTCAGCTTTGCAGAGGGCGACACCATCGTCCATGTCGACGACCAGATCAGCGACGATTGGTGGAGCGGCACCAATGAGCGTACCGGCGCGCAGGGGTTGTTCCCCGCAAACTATGTCGAGCGAGCTTGAACAGGCGGTATACGGTGTATGAATGAAGCAGATCGTTCCAAACCAGAGAAGTGCCCGATTGTGATGCGAGTGAATCGGGCCAATGAACTTGCAATGTAGCAGAAAATAGAAGCAATCTTGA